AGACTATAGTCTTTGCATTTTTATACACTTTTACGCAAAGACTATAGTCTTTTGCATAAAAGTCCACCCATGTAATACATTAACAATTCCACCCATGATAAATATAGATATGATTCAGAATATTGATCGCACTGTAAGTTAAGAACTGTCAATGCTCGCATTTGTGTCCAGATGGTTTTTTAAAATTGAACGATTTCTTAGAGAAGAGGAAGATTTTTTACACGTGTAGTTCTTTTGGTAAATTGCTCAATGTTTCAATTCTATTCTTCCTTCGTTTTCACGTTGATGTATAACATTGGATAGATTAAATTTATATTTTCATATCTAACTGTTTTTGAACACATGTATATAATGCTATTTTGTTACAGTTTTTTCAATTACAATTACATTTTATCAGTTGATGATTCACAATATCTTTATATATATGTAGCTTGAAAAATATCAGGTTTAAGTGCAAATCAACTCTGCGATAGCCAAACTACAAATGTTGGCCAGGTGACCGCATTACACACGTATACTGTCGTTGGGATGACAAGTTATATGTATATATGATCGTGACTAAAACACCACACGAGTACATACGAGTGCATACGAGTACATACGACTGACATACGAGTACATACGAGTGACATACGACTACATACGAGTGACATACGACTACATACTGGTCACAAGTATATATATATATATATATAACCCTAACCCTAACCCTATGTACTCGTATGTTAGTCGTATGTACTCGTATGTCAGTCGTATGTACTTGTATGTACTCGTATGTACTCGTGTGGTGTTTTAGTCACGATCATGTATATATACGCTTTTATCCTTCATGATAACACATAATCCGTCAGAATTAAAACAAAAGTTTTGCGGCGGCAAAGCCAGTGTATAGAAAGTCTCTAAAGATGTCCGCTTGTAATTTTGTACCTACATTCTACATGCATGATGATGTAGAAGTATAATACATTAAAGTTATAACGTACGCTATGAGAGTATAATATATAATATTTTTACTTACCAAAACTGACAAGAAGATTGATGGAAACTGTGAACACCAGGAAAGTCTTATAAAGCATCTTTTCAACTAATTCTGTAATATGTACGTATAAGTATTAGAAAGTTAAACATACTTCGGCAAACGTAGATTATAAATAAAACATATGGAATAGTTGTCGGTAGAAGCAAAACTTCTTCAAACGTGTTTTTTCAATTCACGAGATTTTGACTCTATTTTAGAAACATATGTTGTTATTGTGTTTCGTACTATCATTTTAATTTTTTCAGGAATTTGTAATTATTCACAAATTTTGAGAACTATTCCAAATACTATAGTAATAATTTATAAATTATGGTCTCCTTTTTGTGTACAGAAATACATTCGTTTTGTAAGTACGTTTTGAATGTGGTGTCTCGATACAATAACGTGCTAGTTTTATAAGAATTAAATATATGAAGAGCTTGATCGCGTATCTCTCTTGTCCACTGAAAAATATCTGTGACGTTACGAGCTTCACCGATGACAGTATCATTATGTAACAATATTAATTTATCGAGAATCCAACCTTTATTTGTTAAAAATTATTCGAAAGTTGCAGCAACCAGACTAAATGTGTAATAAAACATTTTCAACGAAAACAATGTCATAATTGCAGTAAACCTACTTTGATGTAAGAACTCAAGTCTCGGGTCTTGATATCAAATCTGCTCTCTCTTCCACCTCAGAGAAAACTGTAGACGTTAAATTACGCACTCATTTATTTAACCCCAATGGCTGTTGAACTAAGTCAGAGACATCTGGCAAGCAGTTAGTCATGCTGGGTGTTCAAGATGGTTCGAGTGGGCGGTAGTTTCTTCGGCATTTTTGCCATGACAGTTAAGAACTTAATGAGTTTTTTTGAATATTGCTCGTAAAATAATCTCTCGTCAAAATCATCCAGCAGCTTTCGAGCATCAATGTCAATAAGAAAAGTTTTCTTTACACCTGCATATATTTGTTTGTTGTTTTATGCTATTAGTCTGCGATAATTGTAACTTTTACGAATTTTCCTTAATGAAAAGCTGACACAAATAATTTTTTCATCTGACTTATTTATTTGCGAGAAAACTCGTCATTGTTAAAATACGATCAAGGCATTACTGTGTAAAAGAGCATTAAAAGGTCCTTTTTGTTGGAAAACATTGACTCAGTATTATGATAAAAACATATAATAAGCAGGGCTTTTTTTTAATTTCGCAATGGGGCAGACACAGAGGGCTCGTCAAACTGCACAGCAATTACTTTGCGCACGCGCAGACCGTATCTCTTAAAATATTGGAAGTGCGACGATTTTCATTAGCTCTTTGGAAAGAGCTCATCGAGAGCTTTCAGATGAGCTAAAGATCATCGACGTAACCACAGTAGTTTAGGAGATAGGACTGCGCATGCGCAGATATAACTTCGCGCATGCGCAGATCGTATCTCGTAAAATATTGGAAAGAGCTCGTTGGAAAGAGCTCGTCGAGAGCATTCAGATGAGCCGACAGCTGGCAAATGCAGTAGACTCGCTTTTAAGAAATTTATGTTTTTCATAGTGATTTTCATCATAAAATGCTTGCCAAATATGCGAAAAACACATATATTTTTCCTCGCTCTTTCTCAAGGGGGGAGAGAGAAATTGTGAGATTTTCGGAAAAGCAGTCAATTTCGGTAAATCTCAGCGGTAATGTACGGTGGCTCACAAGGGACACCGCACTAAATAATAAGAATCATACAAAATAAGGATATTAATATATACAAAAAATACACCACACACATATAAAATAAAAATACACACAAAATGCATTATACACGCACAAAATAAAAATACACACACAAAATAACAATATACACACAAAATAAAAATACACACACAAAGTATGATCGCGGGCGCTTGCAGTGTCGGATAGCTGACTACTATCAGTTTATTATAAGGTTGTAATCAGATATGTGTAATTGCGATTTTAACATGTGGTCAACTGGTACTTGTCGTCGTGTTTAACAGTTTCAACTGTGAAATAATTTAAATGACATTTGGAAAGGAATCGAAGCAAGCTCAGCTTCGCTTCTTCAGATAACATTGTTACATTGACATCGGTCTGAATAATTCTTGATATCATGCTCAACCTCATCCAATAATTGCTTATTATTTCTCTTATTGATTTTTCGCTTCAGTATCGCAAGAGCTTGCTTTCGATTCTTTTTCAAATATCATTTAAGTTATTTCGCAGTTAAAACTGTTAAATACGACGACAAGTACTAGTCGATCACATGTTAAATTCACAATTACACATATCTGATTACACATCTGAACATACCTGATTATCATAATAAACTGATAGCAGTCAGCTATCCGACACTGCAAGCGCCCGCGATCATATTTTGTGTTTGTATTTTTGTTTTGTGTGTATATTTTTGTTTTGTGTGTGTATAATGTATTTTGTGTGTGTGTAATGTATTTTGTGTGTGTATCAATATCTTTTATTTTGTATAATTCTTACTATTTTGTGTGGTGTCCCTTGTGAGCCACCGTAGTAATGGAACAAATCCTCCATTTTTTTGGCGTCAGCCACAAATTAAAGCCGCGCTTGAGATAGTCGCTCCAGTTATTACAGAACTCAATGAGTTGCAAGCCGACACTAATGTCGTTGTTGTCATCTTCAAACCAGGGAAACATTTTTGGGATTTTTTTCACAGTCCTTTTTTCAAAGGCATGTTTGGATTAAACACAATAGAAAGCGCTTCGCTATGAATGACACAATATACATTTCAGAGTAGACGTGTTTCCGTCACAGATTCATGATAACAGATTCATGATAACATTACATGTTAGGTTCTTGAAATACTTCTGAGTTAAGAATTTAAAGCTCATGTAATCGTTTTTACACACGGTTCAACAGTTTGTTTTACAGTAACGTATGGCATTGGCGATAAGATCTCGCTTCTTTTTTGTTTTCATCGACGAAGAAATTTCAAAGCTTTACTCCATGAATCAGGAAAAACACATTAGCCATTGGCCGCTCAGTTAACAGAGAAACACAATATTTGTAATAACGTTTGTTTAATTTGTCACTTTAATAAGGAGTAACATGTAATTTTCTTCATTTAAGGACTCAAAATCGAGTCTCTAAGGCCACGTATACACTATACCGGATTCGCTCACCACGACATCTTCATTTGCTTTAAAGAGGTAATTTTCGGAGTAAAAGCTTTTTAAACTGAGAGGCAGTTTGATTGTGTTTCTGACGTTGAACAATTTCACTGTCTTTTAATATAAAGAATATTCAACCTGCTACGATAGCAATCCGGTACAGTGTAAACGGGGCCTAAGCCGATATTGCTCTTTAGAGCCATATTGTCATAGCCAAGCGTTCTTATAGATATGCAAGAGTCTACAATGTGATTGGACTTTGGAAACTTTAAAAGGTGTGGTTGATCTTTCATGCACGCGATGCGATAACTCACGAAAGTTAAACTAGTGATGAAACATTAATTTGAGAAACACACACACAATTTTGACTCAGAAGATGACCCTACCGCTAAGGTTGTCGAAACGTCAGTCAACAACAACAAAAAACAGTCCTTCTCAGGACTATACCAACCTGGACGATCTACATCTACAAACATGTAACACACACTAGTAAAAACATGACACTCAATGTGTCAAATTTTCAACCAAGAAGCTATATTTATGTGTCCTGTCTATGAGGGATGTTCTCGCTTAAAAAACTGTTTGTGTTAGAACACCCATGGATTCACGCGTCTATGGACCTCGAATTTTCAAATTTAAGTTCTTTAAGTTGATTTTCACTTAGTTTAACATGTCCTAATTCCTTCTTTATGAATGTAATCGATTTTTGTTATCGTATTCGAGAGGATGGCAGTTTGAACGATGGAAATATGCGTCACATGATTTTGACATTGAAGTTTTCTTTGAGCAAGTTGCTGCATATTGTATGCAAGAATTAATTTTAACCTCAGCTAAAAAGAAAGTCTGCTTAATGTCTAACATTTAAATTGAAAACAAATGTCGGTTGGAGCTTACTGGTGAGTTAAACTAGCTAAGAATATTTTTCTCAATGTCTGGATGTCAATTTTATGTTTTTGATTTTGATGTTGACAATTTTTTTCACATGTCCTTGACAATACTATATGAATGCTGCAATATTGTTGACTTTAAAACTTCCTAAATATCAACCTTTTTTAAGACTAACAAACTCTTTATTTCGACTCATATATCCGCTTTATATATATATAATAAATCCAAACTCTATATACATATATTTCTCGAGTTTACAATTCTCTGTATGTTTATATTTTACTGTATTTACTTCAGTATAATAATTTTAAAACTACTCTAACCTTTAGCTCAAAAACTGAACTGCTAATTGACTATGGCCGTCAAGCCTTCATTGAATATAAGCAAGTTCAAAACTCATAAGGAACAGTCAGTGCAAGTCTGCTTGAATACTGAAGTCAAAAGAAAACGATAAATAAGGTAGCAGTGTTGAGTAATTTTGTGAGGATGAAGTTATTAAACTACCAAATAATTTATGGGTAGGCTGATTTTAAGCCTTTACCTAAACGTAAAAACTTCGTATTTTTACAAGCGGTTTGAGAACAACCGCGAAACCAAAGCTCAAATAATTTCATTTTGTTTGAGCAAACGAAAACAAAAGAAATTTTCTTTTGTTCTTAAATTGCACTAACGTCATTTCGAGCTTTATATCTTTTGCTTTTATGTTAAAATATTCTATGTGCCATTTATAGTCAATCTTATACGTGATTGCCTTAAATTTAGATGAATTAGGAACGAGCTAGGAACGTCAGACAAAGGAAAACGAGACCACATCCAGTTCCAATCACCACTCCAGTGACCTCGTTTGTTTTACGAGTTTCTGTAAGGAAATAAAAATCATTGTTTTCAAAAATATTTCACGTTGTGATTAAAACTTAATGTTTTAAAATGACAAATATTCAATATCTATCGTCGTGTATTAACTTACGCTGAGCCGAGTGACTAATTGTTTATATTGATGGCACATGAGTTGAGCACCTTTCAACATTTGAGTAGACTGAGAAGAACGATATAGAAACAAGTCAAAGAGTAAAAAGAAAAGACCTATAGAGCTATAGAAAAGAACTATAGACCTATAGAAAAGAAATATAGAGCTATAGAAAAGAAATATAGAGCTATAGAAAAGAACTATACAGCTATAGAAAAGAACTATAGAACTATAGAAAAGACGTTAGAGCTATAGAAAAGACCTATAGAGCTATAGAAAAGAACTATAGAGCTATAGAAAAGACCTATAGAGCAATAGAAAAGAACTATAGAGCTATAGAAAAGACATATAGAGCTATAGAAAAGACCTATAGAGCTATAGAAAAGAACTATAGAGCTATAGAAAAGAACTATAGAACTATAGAAAAGACCTATAGAGCTATAGAAAAGACCTATAGAACTATAGAAAAGACCTATAGAGCTATAGAAAAGAACTATAGAGCTATAGAAAAGAACTATAGATAAAAAGAACTATAGAGCTATAGAAAAGAACTATAGAGCTATAGAAAAGAACTATAGAGCTATAGAAAAGAACAATAGAACTATAGAAAAGACCTATGAAGCTATAGAAAAGAACTATAGAGCTATAGAAAAGAACTATAGAGCTATAGAAAAGAACTATAGAACTATAGAAAAGACCTATAGAGCTATAAAAAAGAACTATAGAACTATAGAAAAGAACTATAGAACTATAGATAAGAACTTTAGAGCTATAGAAAAGAACTATAGAACTATTGAAAAGAACTATAGAGCTATAGAAAAGAACTATAGAACTATAGAAAAGATACTTAAGAGCTATAGAAAAGAACTATAGAACTATTGAAAAGAACTATAGAGCTATAGAAAAGAGCTATAGAACTATAGAAAACACCTATAGAGCTATAGAAAAGAACTAGCTATAGGACTGTAGAAAAGAACTATAGAACTATAGAAAAGAAACTAAAGAGCTATAGAAAAGAACTATAGAACTATAGAAAAGAACTATAGAGCTATAAAAAAGAGCTATAGAACTATAGAAAACACCTATAGAGCTATAGAAAAGAACTATAGACCTGTAGAAAAGAACTATAGGACTGTAGAAAAAAACTACAGAACTTAGTAGACTGTAGTGAAAAGAACTCTTTTCGCCAACCAACAGAATTTTTGCGACTAAACTCCACCTCTGAACAACTTGTCATCTGAAGCGTCAATTCATTGGCACACCAAATTTTTTCAAATGACGAAGCTGTCGATATTTACTTGTGGTAACGACGGTTAGCCCAATGTTTTAAAATTCAAATTTTCTTGTATTGTTGCGAGATTACACAACAAATCAAGCGTGACTGACACGAAGATCTTAAGACAATCAATATCTTTCTGTAATGACTTACTGACAATACATTGCCCCATGCGAAATTATATTGAATATTTTGTTGTGACATTTCGCAAACTAATAAAAACGCTAATATAATTAAACACTGTTCTCGAGCAGCCCATGCAGATGAACTCCTGATATGCGTCTTGTTCAATATAAATCATAAACTCGTTAATAAGCTGGAAGATTATTACACTTTATACTTTCCTTAGTATTCTTTATATGATGTTCCATCCTAATTAGCATTTTATACATGGGACCAATCAAATTTGATCGATCTAGACCTTAAAACGCAAACGAATCACAAGCAGACAAAAGTTTTGTTCTTTTAATTCTGTTCCTATTTAGATTTTTTGTCGGGCAGCCTTGCCAAGCATCATTTAATGCGGCACACAGGTCGTGAACATTTTTGAAATGTTGTTACTCTAAGACCCTTTTGTCTTTGAGAATTATCCTCTCGTGCTATAAACTTTTTCATTTCTTCGATCCTTGCTCTGTATGACTTTTGGAATAGAAAATATATATGAAAGAATGTTATATGCAGTGCGGTGTTCTGAAATTAAATGAAAATACGATCTTCGTACTTTGCTGGACAATTTAACCAATTGTCTCATGAACCTGAAAAATTCAGGTGACTCAATGGGTTTCGAACCCATGACCTCTGCGGTGCCAGTGCAGTGCTCATGACCTCTGAGCTATGAAGTCACACAATTTAAGCAATTGTCTCATGACAATTCAAGCAATTGTCTCATGAACCTGAAAAATTCAGGTGACTCAACGGGATTCGAACCCATGACCTCTGTGGTGCCGGTGCAGTGCTCTGACCAACTGAGCTATGAAGTCACACAGTGGAGAGCAGGTCAATTTTGTTGGGCTGATGTTTTCGAATCCCGTTGAGTCACCTGAATTTTTCAGGTTCATGAGACAATTGCTTAAATTGTCCAGCAAAGTGCGAAGATCATGTCTTCATTTAATTTCAAAACACCGCACTGCATATAACATTCTTTCATATGACATTCCTTTCACGAGAAAACATCAGCCCAACAAAATTGACCTGTTGTTTTTACAGTTGTTTTTCATTTGTAGACGCTTAGAGCGTCTAATTGGATTAGCGGGTTGATTAATGTGATTGGATTGGGTGAAATGCGTTGTCATGGGTTTTGGTGTATCGTGAATATGATTGGTGTTAATATTATTAGAGTGTAATGTTGTAGTTTTGGTGTTGTTTGTAGTTTTTTTGTCCTACCCTCTAACCTCTACCCTTCCTCTATCCCCCTTCTGTACCTCCAAACTCTATCCATTCTTTGGCACATGCTATACGCATACTTTCTTACCCGTGGAATCTTTACAAGGCTCGTATGTTGCATTGAAACCTCTGAAAGTCTCGCTGCCATCGCTGAAGAACCTCAAGCTGAGTTGGTTATTGGTCGACTTTATGGTCCCTTTAATATCTTTCATTGAGCAGATTTTTAAAAGAGGCTTCACCGTTTCAAACCGTCCAAAATCTTGATATAGTCTCTATTGTCATCTTTACATGGTGTATTATCGTTTTCTTTTCGAAGTTCCAAATCGCTAATATAAATAACATGGAGATTTAAGAAAATTAGGTGCAAGCTACTTCAGAAATTCCCATCCACCCAATACTATATTTAAACTGTGGCATAAACAAGCGACTATGACAAACGTTATAAAGGATATGTTTTGTATACTGCGAATAATTCAAAGTTATGCATCTCTTTTATATTACATCAAGTGTCTACAACGGACTCTTCAACATTGTTGTATTTAGAATTTCATACATACGTGATATTTAGACAAACCCTCTTTCTGTTATTAAGCTTTATCATGTAAAAGTAGCCCACGTGTGTTGGGTAGTTCTTTGGATAGTTAAGAGACGAAAAGCTTCCAGATTGCTTCTTTAAGATTGTTTCCTCTGTAAGTATAAATGCAATGCATTATGGTAACATCTGAATCCCACCGATTCACAATCGAGTCGTTCCCTGCTGTTTTTCTATGTTTAGCTACTTATCTATGGGCAGCGAAACTCCTATCTACGAGTCATGAACTTTGTATGAAAGGAACGTTCACAAATATTTATATATGCCAATAATGTCATAATCGATTTTTTTTTGTATCTTGTTTAGTAATGTCATGTTTATAATGTCATGTTCTTATTGTAGTTTCTTCTTGTTTTTAAAGTTATGTTAAGTCATGTTTATAATTTCATGTTTTTGTTGTAGTTTCTTCTTGTTTTTAAAGTCATGTTAAGTCATGTTTATAATGTCATGTTTTTGTTGTAGTTTCTTCTTGTTTTTAAAGTCATGTTAAGTCATGTTTATAATGTCATGTTCTTGTTGTAGTTTCTTCTTGTTTTTAAAGTCATGTTAAGTCATGTTTATATTGTCATGTTTTTGTTGTAGTTTCTTCTTGTTTTTAAAGTCATGTTAAGTCATGTTTATAATGTCATGTTCTTGTTGTAGTTTCTTCTTGTTTTTAAAGTAATGTTATGTCATGTTTATATTCTCATGTTCTTGTTGTAGTTTCTTCTTGTTTTTAACGTCATGTTATGTCATGTTTATATTCTCATGTTCTTGTTGTAGTTTCTTCTTGTTTTTAAAGTCATGTTATGTCATGTTTATAATGTCATGTTCTTGTTGTAGTTTCTTCTTGTTTTTAAAGTCATGTTATGTCATGTTTATATTGTCATGTTCTTGTTGTAGTTTCTTCTTGTTTTTAAAGTCATGTTAAGTCATGTTTATAATGTCATGTTCTTGTTGTAGTTTCTTCTTGTTTTTAAAGTCATGTTAAGTCATGTTTATATTGTCATGTTCTTGTTGTAGTTTCTTCTTGTTTTTAAAGTCATGTTATGTCATGTTTATAATGTCATGTTCTTGTTGTAGTTTCTTCTTGTTTTTAAAGTCATGTTAAGTCATGTTTATATTGTCATGTTCTTGTTGTAGTTTCTTCTTGTTTTTAACGTCATGTTATGTCATGTTTATAATGTCATGTTCTTGTTGTAGTTTATATGTTGTTTTCGGAACAAAATTTACATCTACTGTAATTTAACGTTCAGGGAAAGATTAGCTTTCAATGAGCTCGCCTGTTTTTATCGTAGGCATTGTGGTAGGCATTGTGGTAGGCATTGTGGTCGGCAATGTGGTAGGAACTCTAATGGGCTTATGTTTCCTGTTTTCTGTCCTTGGGTGATGCTCTTCATAGGGATCAGGATATTCTTTGTACTCATGGTAAACTTCGACCCAATCTGTAAATATCAAACAACCATTTAGACAACACGGGCTGCTTAACTGTCAAATGTCAACCGCATTTTAAATTAATTAACAGCTTTTTGTGTGTTATCGATGTCGCCCACTCCAAAATTGTCAATTTCAGAAATTTCGACTTTTCGATTACGTTACAATCTGGAAATTATTTTAGCTATATATTCGCCTCACTGATTCTGGTTAAAATTACTCCAGCTTATGCTACATCCAGTCCAACTATAGAAAATCATGGCATTATTTACATGAATTGAAGTACGGAATCCTGATATTTGTTTAGTATGACGTTACTATAATGGATGGCCCGCACACAGGCTAAACACAAAAAGAAAAAAATGCCTCAAAAACAGCAATGAATATAACAATGTTCAGTAGATAAATATCTTACAACATGTATATATACCAACTCGACTTTTAATGGATCCGTTTGTTCGTCTATTGCTATGATTCGTGTTCAACCAATCAACCGTTCACGTGTTTAAACACATGGGATGAGTTAGAACACGTAGCCAGAACGATACTTCTTGGGGGGGGGGGGATATTCATATATGCTTGACATGCCGTATTAATTTCTTATGAAATCCCTTGTTTTTTACGGATTATAAAATGAATATATGAATATACCCCCCCCCCTAATTGTCGTTCTGGTGAGGTGTCTGATTGAGTTTGTTTGACATGATTTTGTGTTGGTAAAAATTTCCACTCCTCGATAAGAGGATATTTAGAAAATAGGGGCGAAACGCGATACTTGCGGGTGGCTACCTTATTATAGTTAGATGAACGAAATTCTATCCTTGCTCGTAAACTGGAATGAATATTATAAATTTCATTTGCGCAAATATTTGATAGCCGAAAAATTGAAAACGATTACAATGTATTTTAATTGATAACCGATTCTTTAGAAAAAAATAGGTACTCACACCGCACAATGACGTAACACCGTTCATATATACATGCTACAAAATGAAGCGGATTCACAAAGCGGAAATCTACGCCATTGCTAAACCTTTGCCGTTTAAACGATATGTTGGTTAACCTGTGTGCAGGCTATCCTTGAAAACCAACCAAAAACAGGCATGAATCGACTCCGTGCATACGTTCAATTTACCTTTTTCCCGATATGTTGGTTAACCTGTGTGCAGGCTATCCTTAAAAAAAACGACGAAAAAACGCTCAATTTACCTTTTCCGATAAAATACCGCAAGTTAACAAGCCTTTTACCCATTTGTTATGACGAGAAACAATTTTTATAGCGATCTCCATCGTAGGTATCCATTGCAGTGCTCATCATGAATTATCGACTCCGTATTACATCCATCGTAAACAATGATGTTATGAGGCATCATAACATCATAACATCGATTTCTTTGATGCTTTTATACATTCAACGTTATTCCAAAAAATTTCATAGGGCATTTCTTCATTTGTTGTAATTGTCTTAGTCGTCGGGACTATAAAATAATTCCATTGTTACACGTCATATACATTTTTTTGATCACAATACATAATATCTCTGATTATGCCTGACGAAAATCAAATTGCAGAGTCGTTTTTTGGCTTCACCACACAGGTTAAATGCGAGTGAACTCTGCTATAGCTACTACAATGTTAGTTATGTTACGGCCAGATTATCCACAATGCACCCCTGCTGTCCTTGAGATTGGGATCATAGATTAGATAGACGGGTAATCCTTCATCAAAACACATTATTGCTCACCGGATTAAAACAAAAATCATAACCACATAGTATTTGGAAGCAAATTACGTTGAGAGGAGAGGGAGGGAGAGATAAAAATCAACATTTTAGGAACTGGCTAGAAAGTTGTGTGCTCAATTTTCCCAACAGTTTTAACGCAACTTTGAAGTGTTACAGCTTGTCTATTTCCTTCCACAAATACCCACCACTCTTAAGACGCGGCTGAACCAAATTGAACGCTATGCAACCATAAAGTCAGTGTATAAAAATTTTCTAAAGATATCCGGTTATATTTTTGTAGCAACATTATGCATGTTTGATGATAGACAAGTACGATACATATAAGTTATGTTTTACTCGACTCACCTCCTTTTATGGTAGTACTTGGTGTTGTTTTAGGCGAGAATGGAGCTCTCTCGAGTTCTCTGCTTGTCTTGTTGTACCTACAATCTGCGTGTTTGACGATAGAGAAGTATAATACATTGAAAGTTATATCGTACGCTATATGAACATGATATATAATATTTTTACTTACCGGAACTGACAAGAAGATTGATGAAAACTGTGACCGCCATGAAAGTATTGAAAAGCATCTTTTCAGTTAATTCTACAATGTGTTGATATTACAAAGTTTAAAATACTTCAAAAAAACGTGCATTATCAATACAGCAAACGAATTAAGCGTTGATATTACTAAGTTTAAAATACTTCAGAAAAACGTGAATTATCAAAACAGCAAACGAATTAATCGTTCATAATAGAAAGTTTAAAATACTTCAAAAAAACGTGGATTATCAAAACAGCAAACGAATTAAGCGTTCATAATAGAAAGTTTAAAATACTTCAAAAAAACTTCGATTATAAAAACAGCAAACGAATTAAGCGTTGATATTACAAAGTTTAAAATACTTCAAAAAAAAAGTGGATTATCAATACAGCAAACGAATTAAGCGTTCATAATAGAAAGTTTAAAATACTTCAAAAAAAAGTCGATTATAAAAACAGCAAACGAATTAAGCGTTGATATTACAAAGTTTAAAATACTTCAAAAAAAAGTGGATTATCAATACAGCAAACGAATTAACATATAACTTTACTTCGTTAAGTTCGGTTTTTTCAATTCATGTTATCTTCGCTCTATGTCAGTAACATATATGTTGCCTGTTTATTTCTTAATCATTTTAATTTTATAGCAGTTTGTATGATTGTAGATTTGAAATATTCGAAAAACCAAATTATTGGCCTCATTTTTTCGCAACTCACATCTTGTGTTTACAAAAAATGCATTGGTTTCCAGCTTGCTTCAAATGTGATATCTCTACAACTATCCGCTTGCAAAGAACTAGTTTTACATAGGCAGGGCTTTATCGAAGTTTCTCTCTTCTCCTCCATAGAAATCCTAACTATGCCGAAAATATTAAATCGTGAGTATATTCTATATACTATGCCGAAAATATTAAATCGTGAGAGATATTTTATCGTGAGTGTTGCAACCCTAATTCGTTGAAAGTTATTCGAAAATTACCTCAATAAAACAATCCTAAAGAAGTCAATATCAGCTAAATAACGGTAATAAACATATGTCGGTCATACCTTAAATGTCGTATCTTGATATCGAATTTATTCTCCACCGCATAGATAACGTGCAGACATTGGAAAATGTTAGCTGCTTGTCTAACTCCGATGGCTACTGAACCTAGCTTACGTTTGACTTAAAGACATCTGGCAGGCAGTTAGTCATATTATGTGTTCAAGTGGGTAATCGTTTTGCCATGACAGTGGGTAATCGTATTTTACCATGACAATTAAGAATGAATGAATGAATGAATGAATGAATGGATGAATGAATGAATGAATGGATGAATGAATGAATGAATGAATGAATGAATGAATGAATGAATGAATGAATAATGAATGAATGAATGAATGAATGAATGAATGAACGAATGAATGAATGAATGAATGAATGAATGAATGAATGAATGAAATGAATGAATGAATGGATGAATGGATGAATGAATGAATGAATGAATGAATGAATGAATGAATGAATGAATGGAATGAATGAATGAATGAATGAATTTGAAGAAGATGATACGTGACTCAACATTCATGAAAAAAGTTGTGACACTATTATAAATCGTAACTTTTATTTTCCTTGGTGAAAAACTGACCAAAGACAATTTTAAAATTAACTGAAATGTAACAACAAATATTGTATAGAAAAATAAAACATTCATATTGAGCACTCTTTTACACGATGTCATATAATTATGTACACTTATGTACACATATACACATCAATTACTTATGAATTCTTTATAAACCTACTATTGCGTGCATTAAAGGGCTTCGCCATGGTTGAAGAGTTTCAAAACTTTTACATAAATAGTATTATAAAATAAACTTTGAAAACTTTACTATCCTCAATTTCCATGTTATTCGTCGATTTATACGCCAAACCTTTACAATTCTTAAACTAATGATGGTCAACAGCTGTAGTTGTAGCACAGAATAGATATCTTAACAGAAGGTCTACTCGTGTCGGAACCTTTGATGTTCGTGTTCCCCACTTTTCTGAAGCAAATTCTAAGAGGACGCGCCTTCCAGCAAGACACTTCAACTAGATCGCAATAGAAAATATACATGTTTTTACAAATACATCGTTTTGCAGTACAAAAGCTTGGAACCTTATCGTCTTCGCAAGACGATAACGTTTGTAAAAATTTCGGCAAACTTTTGCTTTAAACGTGAATTATTAGTAAAATAGCATTCTGGTGCAATACTATTCCATATTGATTTTGTGAAAGTATCTTGCTGGGAAACCACGCATGCGTAGTGGAACCACTATACTATGCCTATAAATATATATTTGAATATTTGACCCATCGTGTCGAGTAACTCCATATACATCAAAGTCGCATATTTATATAAATGTACCTAGAAACATTGACGTACATAAAGATTGCTTCAAAATACGTCACACAACGTTATGCAACATCACCGAATCCCTTTACTCTCTAGTTCAACACTCATAAACATTATTTTACCATGTACATGATTTTGTGAGAAATGTTTATCTATCTGAAAGGAGTACATATTACTACGTACTTCAAGGCTGACACAAAATATGTGCTTCATGTTAGTTTGTTCCAAATCATTGTAGATTTCAAATATTGTGTTTAGAAGTATCGAGTTTTTGTGTCAATAAAAGGCCAAACTAGTTTATTTTTGTTCGAACTCACGGGGCCTGTTGCACTGAGGCCGAACAGCGCTATCCACCGGCCGGATAAAAATTTTAATTTTGAATGCTTACAAAATTTCTTTAAAAGGGAAAATACACGATTTGAGCTGAGCAATCGCTGAAATAAAGTATCGCTTCTTAGGTTACGAAATTTCTTTGCCGTAAGGGAAAAATAGACATCTGTTTTTACAAGTTTGAAAATTTTACTATCCAATGGATAACATTATCCAGGCTTCGCGCAACCGTCTCCTGGATTCTAAAAGCTCCCTTACACAATTACTCTTATAGCAAAGTCATTTTTCTATGGCGATGGCAAGATTTTTTTAAAATATTCCAAATCAAGCAGTCAGTGAAATGAAAGTACTATCTTCGGATAGTTACGAGATGATTATTGATTTCAAAGCTCAACTAAGTGAGTGTCACTGTGAGTGAGGTTTTAGTATGCAGACGAAGCAAGACTGTTTGTATATTGCAGAGATGATGAAGCAATCAATAGATACGTCGTTAAATGTATCGATAATAATCACATTTACTCCAATGCTGATAACCACATTATTGAAGCTGAGACTGTGGCATTTAACTTGTATATTGTCCATGTTCTTGTCAATTTTCTTAAATTGCTCTACAAGCATTGCCAAACAGGGGCATTGCGATCCGGGGGATGCCAGACCAGACCCCCATCCCTCAAAATCATTCTATAATCATTAATAATCATCAGTAACCACGCCCATGCCATACCCAATTTACAGACAAACGTTATGCCCAGACCCCCCCCAAAAAATATTTGCCCGTATTCTAAAAGCTCACTCACACTCAGTGGGGGCAGGGCTTCAAAATCACTTCATCATTCTTTGAAGACCGAAATTTCACTCAACAATTGATTGCTTGATTTTAAATATCTAGGAGAAAATCTTGCCATAGATGGAGAAATGACTTTGCCAATAATTAGATAGAGTGTAATCTTTATGTCGAACTTAATGAGTGCGAGTGTGAGTGAGCTTTTACAATACGGGCAATAGATTTCGCTTCGCCCTAGCTGCCAAAATTTCCCGTCGTATAAAGACTCAAAGCGAATTTATCAACGTCTGACATAATTTAATAAAATACCCAGACTATTAAAATATTTTGTATCATTTGCAGGAGAAATCTTATCCTTCGTAAAGAATCTCATGCTGACTAAATCAATGATACTGGCCGAGAGGATGGCAGTTTGAACGATGGAAATATGCGTCACATGATTTTGACATTAAAGTTTTCTTTGAGCAAGTTGCTGCATATTGTATGCAAGAATTAATTTTAACCTCAGCTAAAAAGAAAGTCTGCTTAAAGTCTAACATTTAAATTGAAAACAAACGTCGGTTGGAGCTTACTGGTGAGTTAAACTAGCTAAGAATATTTTTCTCAATGTCTGGATGTCAATTTTATGTTTTTGATTTTGATGTTGACAATTTTTTTCACATGTCCTTGACAATACTATATGAATGCTGCAATATTGTTGACTTTAAAACTTCCTAAATATCAATCTTTTTTAAGACCAACAAACTCTTTATTTCGACTCATATATCCGCTTTATATATATATAATAAATCCAAACTCTATATACATATATTTCTCGAGTTTACAATTCTCTGTATGTTTATATTTTATTGTATTTACTTCAATATTATGTATTTTAAAACTACTCTAACCTTTAGCTCAAAAACTGAACTGCTAATTGACTATGGCCGTCAAGCCTTCATTGATTATAAGCAAGATCAAAACTCATAAGGAACAGTCAGTGCGAGTCTGCTCAAATACTCAAGTCAAAAGAAAACAATAAATAAGGTAGGAGTGTTGAGTAATTTTGTGTGGATGAAGTTATTATTTTACCAAATAATTTATGGGTAGGCTGATTTTAAGCCTTTACCTAAACGTAAAAACTTCGTATTTTTACAAGCGGTTTGAGAACAACCGCGAAACCAAAGCTCAAATAATTTCATTTTGTTTGAGCAAACGAAAACAAAAGAAATTTTCTTTTGTTCTTAAATTGCACTAACGTCATTTCGAGCTTTATATCTTTTGCTTTTATGTTAAAATATTCTATGTGCCATTTATAGTCAATCTTATACGTGATTGCGTTAAATTTAGACGAATTTTATTATTAATTATAGTAAATTTATGCCTACAAATATTTTACTTAGTAAAGTACCATTAATTGAATATACTTTGCCCCAGTTGAAGGTTACTATTCTTTAAACAACAGTGTTTATTGATTTTGGATGTTGAAAATCTTGCGTTTCTGACACATCCCATGTGCTTTTATCGTCATCGATAAACTCGGCATTTTGAACCTTTTCCTTAGTGGTCTTTTCATCATTGGCAGCGACATTTGTCTCTTCTGCTTCTTCAATGCTTACCTCGACCTCCTGCTCATTTGCCGACATCTCAGGCGGTCTCGTTGAGGCATTCTGCGAATTTTCACCACTGCTTTCTGTTCCATCAATCACAGATTTTTCAAGGACGACTTCCTCAATTTCTTGTGAGATGTACCCAGCGTCATTGAGGGATTGCTGGGATGTCTTGGGTATCATATTATCATTCTGCGGTAACCCTGGATAAGGCGGAAGCTCTTCGCTGTTGTTTGTTGAATCTGTAGTCTTTGGAAACTTGTCAGGCGAAGCCATCACTGTTGAGAAACACGTTAGAGAACTAATTAAAAAAATATCATAAGTTTAACATGAACTTACCATCACAGTATGCAGGAGGACCTTCTTCCTCCACAACATCTGCATGATCAGAATATTTTTCGACTTCTTTTTGCAAACAAAGTCGTCTACATCTTCGTGAGTGGCATAGAGCTAGGAACGTCAGACAAAGGAAAACGAGGCCACATCCAGTTCCAATCACCACTCCAGTGACCTGGTTTGTTTTACGAGTTTCTGTAAGGAAATAAAAATCATTGTTTTCAAAAATATTTTGACGTTGTGATTAAAAATTAATGTTTTAAAATGACAAATATTCAATATCTATCGTCGTGTATTAATTTACGCTGAGCCGAGTGACTAATTGTTTATATTGATAGCACACGGGTTGAACACCTTTCAACATTTCTATAGCTCTTTAGAAAAGAACTATAGAGCTATAGAAAAGAACTATAGAGCTATAGAAAATAACTATAGAGGTATAGAAAAGAACTATAGAGCTATAGAAAAGAACTATAGAGCTATAGAAAAGACCTATAGAGCTATAGAAAAGAACTATAGAGCTATAGAAAAGAAATATAGAGCTATAGAAAAGAACTATAGAGCTATAGAAAAGACCTATAGAACTATAGAAAAGACGTATAGAGCTATAGAAAAGACCTATAGGGGTATAGAAAAGAACTATAGAGCTATAGAAAAGACCTATAGAGCTATAGAAAAGAACTATAGAGGTATAGAAAAGAATTATAGAGCTATAGAAAAGACCTATAGAGCTATGGAAAACACCTATAGAGCTATAGAAAAGAACTATAGAGCTATAGAAAAGAACTATATAGCTATAGAAAAGACCTATAGAGCTATAGAAAACACCTATAGAGCTATAGAAAAGAACTATAGAGCTATAGAAAAGAACCTAGAGGATATAGAAAAGAGCTATAGAACAGATGAAAGAACTAAAGAGCTATAGAAAGAACTATAGAGCTATAGAAAAGAACTATAGAACTATAGAAACTATAGGCTATGAGAAAGGAACTATAGAGCTATAGAAAAGAACTATAGAGCTATAGAAAAGAACTATAGAGCTATAGAAAAGAACTATAGAGCTATAGAAAGGAACTATAGAGCTATAGAAAGAGACCTAGAGCTATAGAAAAGACCTATAGAGCTATAGAAAGGAACTATAGAGCTATAGAAAGAACTATAGACCTATAGAAAAGACCTATAGAGCTATAGAAAAGAACTATAGAACCATAGAAAAGAACTAAAGAGCTATAAAAAGAACTATAGAGCTATAGAAAAGAACTATAGAGCTATAGAAAAGAACTATAGAGCTATAGAAAAGAACTATAGAGCTATAGAAAAAACCTGTGGAGCTATAGAAAAAAACTATAGGACTGTACAAAAGAACTATAGGACTGTCGAAAAGAACTACAGAACTTAGTAGACTGTAGTGAAAAGAACTCTTCGCGAACCAACAGAATTTTTGAGACTAAACTCCACCTCTGAACAACTTGTCATCTGAAGCGTCAATGCATTGGCACACCAAATTTTTTCAAATGACGAAGCTGTCGATATTTACTTGTGGCAACGACGGTTAGCCCAATGTTTTAAAATTAGAATTTTCTTGTATTGTTGCGAGATTACATAACAAATCAAGCGTGACTGACACGAAGATCTTGAGATAATCAATATCTTTCTGTAATGACTTACTGACAATACATTGCCCCATGCGAAATTACATTGAATATTTTGTTGTGGCATTTCGCAAATTAATAAAAACGCAAATATAATTAAACACTGTTCTCGAGCAGCCCATGCAGATGAACTCCTGATATGCGTCTTGTTCAATATAAATCATAAACTCGTTAATAAGCTGGAAGATTATTACACTTTATACTTTCCTTAGTATTCTTTATATGATGTTCCATACTAATTAGCATTTTATACATTTTAACATGAGCCCAACAAAATTGACCTGCTCTACACTGTGTGACTTCATAACTCAGTTGGTCAGAGCACTGCACCGGCACCGCAGAGGTCATGGGTTCGAATCCCGTTGAGTCACCTGAATTTTTCAGGTTTATGAAACAATTGCTTAAATTGTCCAGCAAAGTGCGAAGATCATATCTTCATTTAATTAGAAAATATATGTTACTTAATGCCTCCGGATTGCTGTAAAAATTATTTTATTGAGCTTTCAACTCGGTGCTTCGAGCCTTCATTAGAAAGTTATAGAAAGTTATATACAGTTGTTTTTCATTTGTAGACGCTTAGAGCGTCTAATTGGATTAGCGGATGGATTAATGTGATTGGATTGGATGAAATGCGTTGTCATGGGTTTTGGTGTATCGTGAATATGATTGGTGTTAATATTATTAGAGTGTAATGTTGTAGTTTTGGTGTTGTTTGTAGTTTTTTTGTCCTACCCTCTAACCTCTACCCTTCCTCTATCCCCCTTCTGTACCTCCAAACCCTATCCATTCTTTGGCACATGCTATACGCATACTTTCTTACCCGCGGAATCTTTACAAGGCCAATATGTTGCATTGAAACCTCTGAAAGTCTCGCTGCCATCGCTGATGAACCTCAAGCTGAGTTTGTTATTGGTCGAATTTATGGTCCCTGTAATATCTTTCATCGAGCAGATTTTTAAAAGAAGATTTGACCACGATACCCAACCATCAAAAATCTTGATATAGTCTCTACTGTCATCTTTACAGGGTGTATTATCGTTTTCTTTACGAAGTTCCAAATCGCTAATTTGAATAACATACAGATTTAAGATAATTTGGTGTAAGGTAATGACTTCAGAAATTCCTATCGACACAAGGCCTTAAGTATTAAGTAAAAAATTTTGCTATTAACAGGTTTTGTGATAGCTATCATAGCATTTCTTGGATATGTTTTATATTTTGTTAAATTGAGCAAATTTAAAAAATGGCACGAGTATACTTAAAATGGCGTGAGGCGAAGCTTTAATTGCAATGAACAAATTGTTGCTGTGTTTTTACTTTGTTCTTGAAAATAACAAGTTATTTAACGGTTGGATCGCTAAGTACTTGCAGAAAAAGTTCCTTTCTCTGGCTTCTGTGATGCTTGAAAATTGTTGTTTCAGTACGGTTGATATAACATATTTCTGTAGTTACATGTTTGTAAATGTAGATCGTCCAGGTTGGTATAGTCCTGAGAAGGACTGTTTTTGTTGTTGTTGACTGACGTTTCGACAACCTTAGCGGTAGTCATCTTCAGAGTCAAATGACTAGTCATTGGAAACTTTCAAAGGTATGGTTGATCTTTCATGCACGCGATGCGATAACTCACGAAAGTTTAAACTAGTGATGAAACATTATTTTGAGAAACACACACACAATTTTGACTCCGAAGATGACTACCGCTAAAGTTGTCGAAACGTCAGTCAGCAACAACAAAAACAGTCCTTCTCAGGACTATACCAACCTGGACGATCTACATTTACAAACATGTAACGATACCCCGGGTTCAAACCATTTACTTCATACTTCTGTAGTGCAGTTCACTATGCAGTGAAATATTGCTCAGCTATTGAGGGTTTCTTTACACAGCTTTTCTAAGTGAATGCAACGGATTTTTGCTCAGCTATTGAGGGTCTCCTTAAAGAGCTTTTCTAAGTCAATGCAGCGGATTTGATTGTTCTCGTTTCAAGGAATTTAGATGATGCATCTATCACAAACAATGCTTCATCTGACTGTTCAGTAATCACCGTTCCATTTAAAATTTTATACACATACCTGATATGTAGACAAACCCTCTTGTTATTATTGAGTTGTATCTTGTAAGTGAAATCCACGTGTGTTGGGTAGCTGTTTGGATAATTAAGAGACGAAAAGTTTCCAGACTGCTTTAAGAATACTTTCTCTGTAAGTATAATTAGAAGTCATAATGAGAACTTCTGAATCCAAACACGTGACAATTGAGTAATTCCTGTTATTTTGTTTCAATATTTAGCACAGTGGTGTATGTAACGTCGCTAATGGAATTAGAATATTGTTAAAACTTCTAACATGGAATTAGAAGTTTCAAAAATAAAAAAAAAGAGACCGAAATGTTTACTTGTGTCTTAAGTATTGAGTCGAACAAGATGTCTGTTGGCTTCATAATTTCAACCTCAAAGTTGTGGAGGCTCAATAGACTTTAAAAGGGAAAATATCTGGCCATTTAATGTTACCATTCACCCGTTCACCAGAATTGACAATTATTTAGCTGTTGGAAAATTCTAAAAGCAAGCTGATGCAATGTCCCCAGACAAGGAAAATGAAATGAGGAAACAAGGCTTACTATAGTATTAATAATTGAGGGATGTCTAGTTTAAATAAACGTCCCTCATGGATATATTGATGTGAAATATTTAGAACTAAATGTACCTCATCCCTGTATTTTGGAGAAAATACGTCAGAAAATATTTCTGTTATAACCAAGGCAACCATGGCAACCATGGCAACCATGTTGTTACATCTAATATTGCAAGGGGAATAGGAGGAGGGGTTATTATCTGCTAGACACTCACCTCCTTTTATGGTAGGACGTGGTGTCGTTTTAGGCAAGGTTGTAAATGTTGGTTTTTAGTGGAGTCATATTCGCCTTTATTATTAAAGTGGGCTTTTCGGCATATCCAAGAGCAGCGACTCTGATAATTACAGCAAATATCATAATCTAAAAATATGAAACTTTTGTTTTTAGAGGCTTCACGTTCACTCTCTCGTTTTTCACATCTACGTATACAAGTATAAAATAGCGTGTATCGCTTTTGATATATCGACGTTCATATTGCAAACGTTGAATCCTTTATTGCACGTTGTGCGCAGTAGTAGCCCCAATAAGAACCAAATAAAACTCATATCAAATAGCAGCTCATGTAAACTAGAGCTATTGACATGATTATGATGCACTTCCTCTCTTACAAAAATTTTGAATCTGCGTACAAGCTATACGCACAAAATAGTACTCAAGAAAGACAATATGAGTCGAATTCTAGTTTCTACTACATCAGCATCTACAGACGTTACGGGGTTGTACGGAATTGATACGGAGTTGTACGGAATCGATACGGGGTTGTACGGAATTGATACGGGGTTGTACGGAATTGATACGGGGTTGTACGGAATTGATACGGGAAAATCCGCGCGAGCTTCGAAATCTCGTATCAATTGCGCACAACTCCGTAACGACCATATATGTTGATGATGTAGTAGAATTTAAAAATTCAACGAACGAGACTTACATGTAAGGTGAAGTTGAAATGCAATGCTACTAGTAATCAGTCAGATAATGAAGAAAATGTACACCTGCCAAATTTTTTGTCAAGTTGAATATAAACATCTCCAACACACAACTCCGCACTTCATGCATGAACCAGAAAAGCTGCAAATTTTGGATCTCGATAACTAGTCGCCATGATATCAGTATCTGCGATCAATTCCGCACATTTCCTTCACTCTCTGGCTGATGACTTGTCGAATTCAAATCATACTTCACCTCACAGGTAGTAAGTCTCGTTGAATTTATGAAATTCTCCTTGTATTTCAAATACCTTTTTCCCATAGATAATGATAAGGTGACCCTTTGTTCTTCTCTATGTACAGATATTGACAGCAATAATAATATTTGCGCATTATATAACATCCATATTTGGAGCAAACTGGCAACAATTGCATTCCCTTTCCGAAGCAATCCGCTTTTTTCCATGCTTTTAGGCAATCATCCTTCATCTTCGTCGCCGATTTTTTTTGGACCATAGTGGACGTTGCATTCTTCGTGACTGTCTTAGAGATGCCTGTTGTTTGATAGGTTAGATAGCAGTCTAACGTTGAAAACAAACTTGTAAACTACACGGCCATTTATTCATGTTTTATATTTTAATACTCAATAAAAATATGGAAATGCTAAAAAATATATTAACAATTCCACCCATGATAAATATAGATATGATTCAGAATATTGATCGCACTCTAAGTTAAGAACTGTCAATGCTCGCATATGTGTCCAGATGGTTTTTTAAAATTGAACGATTTCTTAGAGAAGAGGAAGATTTTTTACACGTGTAGTTCTTTTGGTAAATTGCCGAATGTTTCAATTCTATTCTTCCTTCGTTTTCACGTTGATGTATAACAATTGGATAGATTAAATTTATATTTTCATATCTAACTTTCTTTGAACACATGTATATAATGCTATTTTGTTACAGTTTTTTCAATTACATTTTATCAGTTGATGATTCACAATATCTTTATATATATGTAGCTTGAAAAATATCAGGTTTAAGTGCAAATCAACTCTGCGATAGCCAAACTACAAATGTTGGCCAGGTGACCGCATTACACACGTATACTGTCGTTGGGATGACAAGTTATATGTATATATGATCGTGACTAAAACACCACACGAGTACATACGAGTGCATACGAGTACATACGACTGACATACGAGTACATACGAGTGACATACGACTACATACGAGTGACATACGACTACATACTGGTCACAAGTATATATATATATATAACCCTAACCCTAACCCTATGTACTCGTATGTTAGTCGTATCTACTCGTATGTCAGTCGTATGTACTTGTATGTACTCGTATGTACTCGTGTGGTGTTTTAGTCACGATCATGTATATATACACTTTTATCCTTCATGATAACACATAATTTTGTACCTACATTCTACATGCATGACGATGTAGAAGTATAATACATTAAAGTTATAACGTACGCTATGAGAGTATAATATATAATATTTTTACTTACCAAAACTGACAAGAAGATTGATGGAAACTGTGAACACCAGGAAAGTCTTATAAAGCATCTTTTCAGCTAATTCTGTAATATGCACGTATAAGTATTAGAAAGTTAAAGATACTTCGGCAAACGTAGATTATAAATAAAACATATGGAATACGGAGGTGGATAACTTGCCGTTTGAGCGAGTTATTTTTACGTCAAGAAGGGGAGCGTGTTGTCTTTTTCCAGTTCAGATGTAAAGGAGATGTTAGGATGTTGTGATGTTAGGATGTCTCAACCACCATCCTCACCCTGAACTGGAAAAAGACAATTTCATATGGAATATTTACATGTTTGTACTCCCGGGTTCAAACCATTTACTTTATATGGAATATTTGTCGGTAAAAAGCAAAACTTCTTCAAACGTGTTTTTTCAATTGACGATATTTTGACTCTATTTTAGAAACATATGTTGTTATTGTGTTTCGTACAATCATTTTAATACAATAACGTGCTAGTTATATAAGAATTGAATATGTGAAGGGCTTGATCGCGTATCTCTCTTGTCCACTGAAAAATATCTGTGATGTTACGAGCTTCACCGATGACAGTATCATTATGTAACAATATTAATTTATCGAGAATCCAACCTTTATTTGTTAAAAATTATTCGAAAGTTGCAGCAACCAGACTAAATGTGTAATAAAACATTTTCAACGAAAACAATGTCATAATTGCAGTAAACCTACTTTGATGTAAGAACTCAAGTCTCGGGTCTTGATATCAAATCTGCTCTCTCTTCCACCTCATAGAAAACTGTAGACGTTAAATTACGCACTCATTTATTTAACTCCAATAGCTGTTGAACTAAGTCAGAGACATCTGGCAAGCAGTTAGTCATGCTGGGTGTTCAAGATGGTTCGAGTGGGCGGTAGTTTCTTCGGCATTTTTGCCATGACAGTTAAGAACTTAATGAGTTTTTTTGAATACTGCTCGTAAAATAATCTCTCGTCAAAATCATCCAGCAGCTTTCAAGCATCAATGTCAATAAGAAAAGTTTTCTTTACACCTGCATATATTTGTTTGCTGTTTTACGCTATTAGTCTGCGATAATTGTAACTTTTACGAATTTTCCTTAATGAAAAGCTGACACAAATAATTTTTTCATCAGACTTATTTATTTGCGAGAAAACTCGTCATTGTTAAAATATGATCAAGGCATTACTGTGTAAAAGAACATTAAAAGGTCCTTTTTGTTGGAAAACATTGACTCAGTATTATGATAAAAACATATAATAAGCAGGGCTTTATTTTAAATTTCGCAATGGGGCAGACACAGAGGGCTTGTCAAACTGCACAGCAATTACTTCGCGCACGCGCAGACCGTATCTCTTAAAATATTGGAAGTGCGACGATTTTCATTAGCTCTTTGGAAAGAGCTCATCGAGAGCTTTCAGATGAGCTAAAGATCATCGACGTAACCACAGTAGTTTAGGAGAAAGGACTGCGCATGCGCAGATCGTATCTCGTAAAATATTGGAAAGAGCTCGTCGAGAGCATTCAGATGAGCCGACAGCTGGCAAATGCAGTAGACTCGCTTTTAAGAAATTTATGTTTTACATAGTGATTTTCATCATAAAATGCTTGCCAAATATGCGAAAAACACATATATTTTTTCCTCGCTCTTTCTCAAGGGGGGAGAGAGAAATTGTGAGATTTTCGGAAAAGCAGTCAATTTCGGTAAATCTCAGCGATAAGGTACGGTGGCTCACAAGGGACACCGCACTAAATAATAAGAATCATACAAAATAAGGATATTAATATATACAAAAAATACACCACACACATATAAAATAAAAATACACACAAAATGCATTATACACGCACAAAATGAAAATATACACACAAAATAAAAATATACACACAAAATAACAATATACACACAAAATAAAAATACACACACAAAGTATGATCGCGGGCGCTTGCAGTGTCGGATAGCTGACTACTATCAGTTTATTATAAGGTTGTAATCAGATATGTGTAATTGTGATTTTAACATGTGGTCAACTGGTACTTGTCGTCGTATTTAACAGTTTCAACTGTGAAATAATTTAAATGACATTTGGAAAGGAATCGAAGCAAGCTCAGCTTCGCTTCTTCAGATAACATTGTTACATTGACATCGGTCTGAATAATTCTTGATACCATGCTCAACCTCATCCAATAAGTGCTTATTATTTCTCTTATTGATTTTTCGCTTCAGTATCGCAAGAGCTTGCTTTCGATTCCTTTTCAAATGTCATTTTAGTTATTTCGCAGTTAAAACTGTTAAATACGACGACAAGTACTAGTCGATCACATGTTAAAATCACAATTACACATATCTCATTACACATCTGAACATATCTGATTATCATAATAAACTGATAGCAGTCAGCTATCCGACACTGCAAGCGCCCGCGATCATATTTTGTGTTTGTATTTTTGTTTTGTGTGTATATTTTTGTTTTGTGTGTGTATAATGTATTTTGTGTGTGTGTAATGTATTTTGTGTGTGTATTAATATCTTTTATTTTGTATAATTCTTACTATTTTGTGTGGTGTCCCTTGTGAGCCACCGTAGTAATGGAACAAATCCTCCATTTTTTTGGCGTCAGCCACTAATTAAAGCCGCGCTTGAGATAGTCGCTCCAGTTATTACAGAACTCAATGAGTTGCAAGCCGACACTAATGTCGTTGTTGTCATCTTCAAACCAGGGAAACATTTTTGGGATTTTTTTCACAGTACTTTTTTCAAAGGCATGTTTGGATTAAACACAATAGAAAGCGCTTCGCTATGAATGACACAATATACATTTCAGAGTAGACGTGTTTCCGTCACAGATTCATGATAACACAGCTATCACAAACTCATCTATCGTAATACCGCATTATTTTATATGTCTAGAGAGCCACAACATGCGGAAATAACCTAAAATATTTCCTACAGAATTTTAGTTATTCAATCTGAAAAAATCTTGAACGAAGTTTGGCGTCCGCCTTCAACATAACATAGAGGTATAATTTACTTGAAAGTTGATCACATATAGCATGACTAACTTTGCTGCTTCATAAAACACTTTGCGATATGACATTCCTTCCCGCATCCATTCACGCAAACAGTATTAGCCACCATAACCGACTTACCTTAAAACGTTGCAGCCAATAAGATTTATATATTGTCGTAAATTTTTTTCAATGTTTGACCGTCGTTTGCAAACGTTGACGTTATTACTTTGCCATTGACTTCTCCACAGTTCATCGTGTGGCCGCCGGAATGTTGGCTGGGAAACTGAGGTCGAATAACATTACCGGATTAAATTTCGCAGCGTTCTATTGCGTCAAAACCGTCCATGAAATATATGTATTAGAAGCGACTGTCAACATTTCTATATCGGCTCTCGTCACTCTCTTCCTGAACGAAACAGCTGCTGATGACCGTCTTGATGTCTGAGTATTTTTTCTGACGCAAAAGTAGCGTGTACGAGTTGCTTGGTCGTTTTCAAGACGCACGCAATTTTGAACGTTCGAAATAATTATATTTACTTGCAGTGCAATCTCCTGCTGTTTGGGCTTTTGTTTCATTTTTATTGACAATCTGATGACAAACGCAGTATGTTGGGACTTTCAACAGCTTAAACGACATCATTCTAAGATCTCTCCTTGAATACACTTGCATTTAAATATTGAAAGGCGTCGCATGTCAGTCATCAAACTGAACGTGTTCTATATGACCTGTATTTATATAGAATTCCTAAATTGAGTGATTGCCTCGCGAGACTTACAATGCTCATTACATGTTAGGTTCTTGAAATACTTCTGAGTTAAGAATTTAAAGCTCATGTAATCGTTTTTACACACGGTTCAACAGTTTGTTTTACAGTAACGTATGGCATTGGCGATAAGATCTCGCTTCTTTTTTGTTTTCATCGACGAAGAAATTTGAAAGCTTTACTCCATGAATCAGGAAAAACACATTAGCCATTGGCCGCTCAGTTAACAGAGAAACACAATATTTGTAATAACGTTTGTTTAATTTGTCACTTTAATAAGGAGTAACATGTAATTTTCTTCATTTAAGGACTCAAAATCGAGTCTCTAAGGCCACGTATACACTATACCGGATTCGCTCACCACGACATCTTCATTTGCTTTAAAGAGGTAATTTTCGGAGTAAAAGCTTTTTAAACTGAGAGGCAGTTTGATTGTGTTTTTGACGTTGAACAATTTCACTGTCTTTTAATATAAAGAATATTCAACCTGCTACGATAGCAATCCGGTACAGTGTAAACGGGGCCTAAGCCGATATTGCTCTTTAGAGCCATATTGTCATAGCCAAGCGTTCTTATAGATATGCAAGAGTCTACAATGTGATTGGACTTTGGAAACTTTAAAAGGTGTGGTTGATCTTTCATGCACGCGATGCGATAACTCACGAAAGTTTAAACTAGTGATGAAACATTAATTTGAGAAACACACACACACTTATGACTCTGAAGATGACTACCGCTAAGGTTGTCGAAACGTCAGTCAACAAGAACAAAAAACAGTCCTTCTCAGGACTATACCAACCTGGACGATCTACATCTACAAACATGTAACACACACACTTGTAAAAACATGACATTCAATATGTCATAAATTTTCAACCAAGAAGCTATATTTATGTGTCCTGTCTATGAGGGATGTTCTCGCTTAAAAAACTGTTTGTGTTAGAACACCCATGGATTCACGTGTCTATGGACCTCGAATTTTCATATTTAAGTTCTTTAAGTTGATTTTCACTTAGTTTAACATGTCCTAATTCCTTCTTTATGAATGTAATCAATTTTCGTTATCTTATTCATTCCGATATTCCGATAAAGGGAACAACTCTATCAGTGTGTGTGTGTCAGTTGCTCAGTTGCTTCGTGTTTTTCTTCCAAATATTTCGGAAAATGTCTCTTCCATTATCGCAATATGCTAACAGAACTCCTCAATTGATTGCATTTAGAAAAACAGAATAGAAAATATGTTCAAGTGAGAGGAAGTTTAATTGCTCACTTTCGTTGTAATTACATGATTTGCATGGAATGGTGTGTACATCCGCTGAATAGTCAGCATTTTTAAAGGCTCACATCCAAGGAAGTTCATTTCTACTTCGAGATTTCGCAGTTCGTAATCAGGATGAATTCAAATGACTGATCTCGTGTCATGTACAATTGTGACAAAAAATAACAAATTACGTCGCTTTCTTCTATAATTATGTATTTTCATCATTGCAACGTATGCCGAATTCTTGCCGTTTGATCCACGTTGAGAAATCAATTCAGAATACTTAAGTTGTGATTTTTGTTTGCAATAAATATTATTCGTGACGGCAAAATTCAACTGGAAATGTCACACAATGAAGGCATATGCAGTATACGATTCCTGGCGATCATTTTTATTATCGATGTATTACAAACAACAAGTATGTAGTTTTCAATCTTATTCTTTATTAAGACATTATCTTTAACTTGTCACACGCTGTATGATCGTCATTTCGAATTCCTAATTTGTTACCTTTGACATTCTTGACAAGGCAGACATAGTTGCTTGCAAATTGAGCGAATATTCTTTATCTATGGATGTATATATCAGTCAAATATGATCGTATTTACAACACCCGTACAGTCGTCCTTTTAAATGGATTTAACGTTGTTATAGTTTTGCAATAAAGGGCCGGCATCCATGTTCTGACACTAACGAACATTGTCCGATGTATATTAACTTTGATTAAAAGTAAAACTCCTTGTTTTTACAAATTAGCGCGGTATATTTTCACGAGTCAATACGATTGCGTTGATGACAATCGGGATTCTTTAGTTAGGTATAGTCAATCACAGTCAGAGAACTTGTTTTTGTGAAGTTTGCTTGAGAACCTTCGGGATTCCTTTTAAATTAGGTTGCATAAAACAATCTCATTCTAATGAATCATTTTTACTGGAACTGTAAATATTTATTTTCTCAATAGCTTTAATGGCAAATGATTTGATGTTGATCCCTGATGGCAATAGCGAATGTTTTTGGAGAAGAACAGAAAGTAATGGTAATGTTTAATAGTAATATTGATCTTCATCTGCATTCACTAATTATTTTGATTTGTATTGCTGTTTCAGATCAATATGAATTGATTTCATCACCTGATCCACCAAAAAGTGTACTTGCCAAATTGAGCACTTCGTATTCTCCAGCAGCAACTGTTCCTATGAATAGACGATTTTGTATTTCTTTTGTCATGGAGAATTTTGACTCTGGTCATGAATTGACCTTACGACTTAACAGCTTTGTTAGAAATATTTCGGGATCTCAACCTGTTACTGAATGTCTCCCAGTTGCAACATTTTCTTTGGAGGTGACGACAACTTTCTTATGGTAATGTATTCTCTCATATCTTATAACGAAAGTTGTTTTTTATTCTTTTAGATTTCGATCGAAACGTCCTGTGAATTCATCAGTTCACCTAGCCCTCGATTAACAAATATTCGCTTGGGTATAGATTCTGCTTCCACCACTGCCCCTTCAAATGCAGGTAACATTATTAACATTTTTTAACAGCAGCAATGTTTGTCCTTTAATTTTCGAGATTTAAACTTCGGACATTTTTCTTGTTCGTCAAACATTAATCAACTGATCATGAAATACTTAATCTTGTTTAGATCTTCCAACCACAGATGTGGGTGATATTCAGTATGTTGGTGTGGTTGTAGGTGCCATATGTATTGCATTATTCACCCTGTTTAGTTGTCTCACCATTCTTTCTGCGAGACGAAGTAACCAAAGAGAGTCACGACGTAGGGCTGTACCTAGTACAAGTTACCAAGATGAAGAAGATAACGGTCCAGATGTTGTAGCTGATAATGCTCCACCATCATATGATGCAGGTCAGTTTCACTCAAACATATGTGTACTACATGAAGTATTGAACTGAATATGAGTGTAAGGCTCCAACTCACCAATAGTTAAACGTAGCAATTCAACTTGATCATCCTGATCCTTTCATCCACAGTCCAGAAAAGGGATATGGAGAAAATAAGGTTAAATTTTGATAAAAGTTGGCTTCATAGCTACATGTCCAGGCATGTTTACCTCAAGGTAGAATTTCAATAGCATATACAGTTCAATGTACAACTGTGTTGAACGGTAGTGATTTATAGTTTTACACATTTTGTTATTCTTTAATTTGCAATGATTTTTAAAATGGATTTACGTTGAAGAAACATGACTCATCCTCAGCGATATTTTAACATTTTTAGTGATGGCTTCACCAGAAAGATATCCACCAACACCCCAAGGTACCCCTCACGCAACCCCTCAAGGAACACCTCACGGCACGCCATCTTTACACAGAAGGGTACTGCTCACGCAACAAGCTGTTTCATTACCAGGCTCTATCGCAGCCACGCCTCAACTTGACCGCGCCTCTTTTCCATCCACGCCTCAGCTAAACCGTGCCTCTTTTCAAAGTGATGACATTGATGGCGAGTCAGAGGAGCCTCCGCCTCCTTATCCAGGCTTGGCAAATACGGAAAATCCTAACTCTACGCGAGAAGACGCTACTAACGTTGAATTACAACCTACGAATGTCGTGCAAAATCAAGGTGTTGAAAATGCAGGGGTTAATGTGTCCCCCACAGTTGTTACAGAGGACCCGTGGGTTTTAAACAGTGTAGAAGAAAACGTCAATAAAAACAGGGAAAATAATCCCACCATAGACGAAAACAATTCCGCCAGAGACGGTAACGAGGAATATTTAAGTGATAGTATAAATTCCAATGAAAATAATCGGGCGTCGACTTCTAGTACAAATATTCAAGTTACACAGAAAACGGAAGAGGAACCTTCTACGAAAACTCTTCCAGAGACGATGAACGAAGAAGCACGTATAGAAGTTTCAGTTCTCTAGCGAATTACGGATGCTCTAGGAAAATTTTGATTTATTTTATCATTCACATTTTCATTTTGCCAATTTTTATGCCGTCGTCTTTCATAGGAGCATGAAAGCAGATGGATTTGAGAGAAATCCGTCGAGCACATACGGTCTACTTCGGAGCCTTTTGACAAAAAAAAAACACGACCAATGTATACCTGCCTTGCCGGTTATATATATATATATATATGTATATGAAAATATTATGTAAAGAATGTACTTATTTTTTATTCTAGTTTAGTTATGATATTTAAGCTATTAATTTGACTATGAAGACGAATGATTTTATTTTATCATTTTAAAATATAGTATTCTTCTTACACCCGTAGTGCTAGTTTATTAAATTCTCTATTCTTCATTCCATTTGATGAATTCTCATGAATGGGTTGCATGCACTAACGCTGCATTGGCTGTTATTTCCCATCTTCTTGATGAAGTTCAAATTGAACAAAGCATAAATCGTTATCATGTATCGTTACGTTGAAATAAATCATCCAATTGCTTTATTAAATCGTAATCATCTTTCATTTTAGAAGTCGTCTGTGGTCTTGGCGTTGTCGAACTGAAGGAAAGGTAACGTGAATATTTAGAGTGAGGGTGAACATTTGTTGCACGTAAGTACTATCTCGCATGAAATGGTATCCTTAATAGATCAACCAGGCAGTAATTATTCGCTCTTTAGGTTTGCCATTTCTATAGCGTATTTAAACTTAATGATTCTACATCATTGTACTTCATTGTGGCTCATTGTCCGTCATAGTACTTCATTGTGTTTCATTGTCCGTCATTGTACTTCACTGTGTTTCATTGTCCGTCATTGTACTTCATTGTGGTTCATTGTCCGTCATTGTACTTCATTGTGGTTCATTGTCCGTCATTGTACTTCATTGTGGTTCATTGTCCGTCATTGTACTTCATTGTGGTTCATTGTCCGTCATTGTACTTCATTGTGGTTCATTGTCCGTCATTGTACTTTGAACCAATTAGAAACTTTGATCATATGTATTGGAAGATACCAAGGTAAAATTTGAGATGTGTTATCGTGTGAAAACCATTGGACTGTATTAGATCTCAAGCGATAACTCTTGGGGCCGGTTGCACGAAGCTCGGATAGCGTTATCCATTGGATGATAAAATTTTCGAACTTGTAAAAAAGTTGTTCATATTTTCGTTATGACGATGAAATTTTGTAATCTTAGAAGCAATATTTTATTTCAGTAATTGCTCAGTTTAAATATTATATTTTTCCTTTTAAGTGGTTTTTAAAGTATAAAAAATCTGCTATCCAATGGATAACGCCATCCAGTCTTCCTGCAAAGAATGCTTTAAGCCAAAATATACCCCCATCCCCTTACTTGTGAATGATAAATCCTGTACTGCTTGTACGTAAAATTGAACAAACATGCCTTGACTTTTCTAAGTCCTTTTTCTGTTCTTTGAATTGTCTTGTAAATTCTTCATCAACTGTGACAATATCTTTCTCTATAAACTGAGTAAATATGTAAAATATGTATTTTAGTCATGCTATCGGCTTTACAAATGAGAACATTGTGTGATATTAGCCGTTGTTTTCAATACTTTATAATAAAAAAGCATGAGACAACATAAAGAAGTTTTACAAACCTACGCGATTCATTTCCGCTAGTCATGATTAATGTCAGCATTTTTTTATGATAAGTATTTTTCAAGCTACACGATTGTTAAACCTGACCTGTTTTTATATTTTGTCTCCTTTTATCAAAAAAATAATAATATGAAAATGTATAGTTTGTCTTCATAAAAAAACCGATTGATTTTTACCTCAGGAATTTCTTCCATTTGTTTTACAATTTCCTTTGACAATCCCATCTCCGTGTCCAATGACGTACTACTGTCACGTGGCATGTCACCTTTCTTTTTTGCTGTAACGTCATCATCAGACGAAATACTGAGTGTGACGTTAACGTGTTTTTTTGACTGTCTTTCAGTTGATTGATTAGCAGCAACAGACGTTGGCGCGACTGAAGTTCTTTTAATAAGGAATCTTTATTGAAATATTTTAATTCTTCGTTCTGCTTGCCCATTGACTCCACTAAAGCTAACGAATTTGCTAAAATCGTTTTCAATAAATATTTCTGCTTTTTGCTTGCGCTGAAACATAAAAAAACAATTATGTTAACGAGTCGAACATGGGCGATTAGTCGGTTTGCTCTTTCAGAAATTTATCAAACACGGTGCGTCGTCTAAAATCACGTGAAAATCGCCTGAAGTGATGTCTCTATGACGTAAATGTCCATATATGGATGCGCCCACCTCATTTGCGGTGTTTTGACGAGACGGCACGTCATGTCTGCTAAATATCCTCTTACCTTCGTTCGACGTTGGATTCGTTCATTCTTTTCCATATTTTCTACAATATTTAAGGGCGACGTGATCATTCTCATGCTTATGAGGTATTTTCATGTCATCAACAATATTTCTGACGGCAACAATATTCAACGAGATATTTTTTGCACTAAAACAGTTTACTTACTTCTAGGTTTTTCATCAAACTAGCCAGATCATCATCATCATCATTTTGTTTTTGCTCTTTCTTTTTCTGCGAATCTTCCGATAATTCCTTAGATCATAAAATAAAAACAATGAAACGCGTGCGGTGATTGGTCTATAGCCGTGTTTGCAGTAGCCTGTGCAAAAGACATCTGAGCTCAACTAATCAAATCAATCAAAATAATCAATCAGTCATAGAGAATTTGCAAATCGATCATGAATACATTTTAGCGAAAAAATTAAAATGTTTGTCGTATTGATATTTTAAAAAGAAATAAAAGATGTTTTTCTTTTATATAAGATACTCTCGAGCATGTGCAACCCTCGACCTTCGGTCTCGGGCTTTCATTGATCTGCTCTCGAGTTCTCCCAAAGGTCTCCTTGGTTTGCATACGCCTGTGCATACACAGTAAACATCTTTTATTTCTTAGATTAAAAAATAACTCAAATATGAAACAATTCCCACATCGATGTAATGCATATTGATTTATGGTTCTCTCTCATTACTCTCCTAACCTTGTAGCTCATTAAGTCAAGACGATGCAGCTGTTCAGATCCTACGAAAAATTGACGTAAAGTTTTGAAGTATTTTATAAACGTATTGCACCCCCCTTGCTAGATCATACTTCAGTAGATTATATCACCCTCACCTCCCCCAGAACATACCGGGTTCTTCATTTTTTTCAACCAACTCGTATACGCCATTCCGAATCGTTTTTTCTAATTTCATTGTACTCGTTTTGGATAGATTATTCCGAGCTCCGACAGCTGCAGCAAGTCCTTTGACGAGGTATCTCATCTAACATGGAGTATTCAGATTTTTATCACGACATACTAGACTAACACGCCGTTGCAGATCCAGCGTTGGGCAAAAACAAACGATGACAGGCCATTGATTGTTGGGTTTTATTTATTGAAGGAATATAGAATTTGAAGTTAGCAACTATAGTTAATTTTGCTTGATCCTGGATTTGCAACTGCTCTAACGAGCTTCACGGTAATGCTTTGCGCGCTTAGCCTCAGCCATAGACAACTATTTTCGGGGCATCCAAAAATGGCGGCATAGGAGATTGTTAGTGCAGCAATATGTCAACTTCTACCTGGCCCATCAACGTCAAAGAGCAGTAGGCCATCAAATGAAAAAGAAATAACGTTAAGTTAAGAAAGTTGCGATTTCACATTTGTTTGGTCAGAAAACAATCCCTATTAACTATTTCAGATTTGACTACGAGTTCGACTACAGCTACGTGATTCGTCATTTGTGCGCGAACCACGTGATATTTTGCTGTTATGAGTTCTCGGAGACTTTTGCCTTGTTGCTTCGCAAACAACACGGTTTTCTACGCTTACACATTCCTGAGTAATAAATGCTTTAAAAATGAGTTTATTACTACTGAGTACATGTGCATTTTCACAACAAATAAGGGAATAAAATTGTGTTTGTTTTACTCGTACTCGTAGTCATCATCTTTACAAAAATTTTGCTTGACTACGAGTACGACAACTTGTTTATAGAACCCAGACCCCTTGAGGTCAGATCCCGTAGCGTTACTCGTATTCGTAGTCATCTACAAAAATTTTGTTTGACTACGAGTACGACAACTTGTTTATAGAACCCAGATCCCTCATGGTCAAATCACGTAGCGTTAGTCGTACTCGTTGTAAAAATATGAAGTTCTCTATTGCAAGAACAATACCGGAGGTAAACACAGCGCGCGAAACATTACCGTAAATAAGACTCATTCTTTAATCCATCAATAAACCATACATTTCACACCTCATTCAAGCTCAAGTTATTCTCCTCCACTTTATCTTTGACCATGTTTTCTAGTCCAAGGACTTTTTCGTCATCTGTCAAAGGCTTTCTTGTTGAGCCCTTCAGGTTTGTGAAATTCCTAGAATCTTGGTCGACCTGACTTTTTGAGGCGTTAATAACATCTTCCATCGTGAACTTTGACCATGCGAAAGCCTTTGACAGTGCTATGATTCCGCTTTGTATCATATGTTTCTCCTGAAATCAACAGCAAACTAATCAAATGATCAATAGAATGTTGTGTTTGCTGCACGTATCGTTTCTTGCTCGTATTCTTTGTATTGTTTGTTACATGTATTATTTGTGACATGTAACATTTGTTACATGTATTATTTGTTACATATATTATTTGATACATGTATTATTTGTTACATGTATAATTTGATACATGTATTATTTGTTACATGTATTATTTGTGACATGTAATATTTGTTACATGTATTATTTGTGACATGTAATATTTGTTACATGTATTATTTGTTACAGGTATTATTTTTTACACGTATTAAATGTTACACGAGTTCTCATCGTTTTGTCAAGAAGAGAAACACTGTGCAGCGGAAGACTTAAATAGAGTTATCCATTGAATAGTTAAGATTTTCAAACTTGTAAAAAAAGTGCTTATACTTTTATTATGACAAAGAAATTTTGTAATCCTCGAAACAATGTTTTGTTTCAGTGATTGCACAGTTCAAAACGTACATTTTTCTCTTATAAGAGATTTTTTAAACGTTCGCTATCCAGTGGATAGCGCTATATTTGGCCTTCTTGCGGGCAACCAACCGCCCCCAGACTTATACTTTAATTTAGATGGATAATATGAGCCGTCCATATTCTCCATCTAACACGTTCATTCAATTCATGACGTATATAAGTATTTCCCCCTTTCCCCTAAGCTTACTTCTTCGTTCGTGACAAAACTGCTGATCATTGGTGCCTGAAGTAGCTCCTCCAAAGCTTCGATTACTCTCATTTGATCAATATTTTTTGAACGACGTGAAGCCGTCTGGTTCTCTGGTTCTTCTGAATCAAGAGCCCGCTCGTTCATTATCTGGATTTAGAAAATAAACACAATGAAACGCGCGCTGATTGGATAGAGCTGTGTTTGCACTAGCCAGTGCAAAGTACATCTGAGCCAATCGCAACCAATCAACTCCACCAAAACAATTAATCAGACAAAGACAATTTGCAAATCGATCATGAACACATTTTAGAGGAAAATTAAATTGTTTGTCCTCGGAGACGTTTGTGAGTACTCTCGAGCATGTGCAACCCTCGACCTTCGGTCTCGGGCTTGCACTGATCTGCTCTCGAGTTCTCCCAAAGGTCTCCTCGGTTTGCATAAGCCCGTGCAAACACAGCGAACATCTTTTATTTTTTAATTGTATAATCGTTTGCATTAAAATTGTATCTTGTGATACTTTTATTTGGGATTGTTCATTCTCAAATGATATAACCCTTACAACTGCAGCCAAAAGTTTTTCTTTAAATTGGACAAATTATGACTTTGACTTGCATTTATTTTATCTGCCATCTCCATGGCTGTTTTGTTCACACTTTTCTCAAATTTTCGCAGGGAATCTCCGATGGATAAACCTCTTGCTAATTTTTGAGCAAGTTGTGCAATATAGTCGTCGTTTTGAGCCTAAAATTAGTTATTCAAACTGTTTTAAATGTCGGTAATGATTGGTTGCATAAATTCATCATTGTTCACTAAATATTATACTTTAAAAGTTCGATGATCAATTATACTTTGTAAACTCCGGTCGAAATATATTGGAAAATAAATGGCGAAGCTTGCCTACCGTAGCCTGCGTGCAGTTTCTACGGGGGAGGGAAGATTAATGCGAGAGGCTAAGACAGCACGCAGGCTAGCTTTACCATTTGTTTTCCCATATATTTCTCCCTTAGTTCGCTCGTATAATCATGCATAATTACACTAACAGGGCCAGGAGGCCCTTTGAGTAATTAATTTTTTTTAATTAATGGTTAATGATTGGTTGCATACATTGATTTTGTTCATAAATTATTACCAATCACATGTTTAGTATATCTAAAATTCGAACATAAATATGCATACTTTTTTATCGTTTGATGGTTCTGCTAAAAAAAAGGATGAAAAAATTATTGTGAGAAAGAAGGCAATGACTTCAATCGTGTCTCATAAATGTACTTACGTTTGTTATTAGATTTATCCATGATGTCAGTCTCCTTTGTTTCAAGAACCTTTTGCACCTAAAAAAGCGAAGACTGAAGAACAGTCCAGCGTCCTGAACTGAAGGTAAGGACCTTTCCTGTTTGAAGTATAGAATAAAGAATGGCCAAAAATTTCCGGTTCAATTTGTCTAGAGTATGGTAAACCTAGCAGAAAACTTGTTTACTACAGAAACCCAATCAACCCATCAGAAATTTTGATATCATTTTCGAAGAACTGTACTTTGATTGATAACAGGTTATTCTCCAAATGCCGCCTACCAAAATGGCACTTGATCCCACATCAAAACCACTAAACTACTCACTATATATAGAATAGTCGTCACTCCATACACCCGGTCTGTCTGGTTTTAGTGCTGTTAATTAATATGAACTGGACCGATCACTACAAACTTTACACAATTTTCTTCATTCTTAAACGTACCTTAACACTCAACGGATTAATCTGAAAAAAAGAACAAAAAGTTTTTTTTGGTAAAATTAATACTTGTTTGCATATTCCATACAATGTCATTACGCGGTACTAGCTGAGCTTACAGCACTAAAAATTAATATTTTCTGTTGTAATATTTACCTCCGATTCAAATTTTTGCAATTCTTTTAACAACTCCTACAAAAACAAAAATATTCTTATCCATTATTAAGCATTTACACTTTAACACGTTAATATGAAAGCGCTGTCCAACAGCCATGACACTCGTCCACATGGGCCGGCCCATACGACCTGATTGTAACTTGTTATTTCAGCTTTACTGGATCGAAGAAAATTTTTACCTTTCGATAAAATTACGTTATAGAGACTACCATCTGAAGTATATAAAGTTGAAGAGCGTGTATCAATAGAATTTAGCCCTAGTTGTTTTCATTGAATTTAAAATTTGGAAATAAATTAAATTACGGAAATGTTTTGCATGTGACATCGTGGTCTGACCTACCGACGCTTCAATTGCTTTTGACTGATTTGAAACGGGAGCTAAATAAGATAATTTCACAACATTTATTTCAACGGAAAGACTTGCTTGTGAAAGAGTTGATTTGTTTGGCTACAAATTACACATGTTAACCCCAATAGCGCAAATTATTCATAAAGTTCGATCAATACCCACCGGTTATCGCTTGCAACGTTACGTTCAGTAAAATTATAATGATGAACGCGACGTGCATTTTCCTTTTTATGAGGATGCTCTTAGAAAGCGCGCAGATTTTACTTGAAGTGTAATTTTCTTGCTTTAATTCTCGTATACAAAGACCACAATTTGACAACAAGAGTGGATTTCCCAATGTCTTCATGACACTAAGCCGCTTTGGGATATCATGGGGATATCAACTTACACTGACAGGCTGAACGAGTTAAAAAATAGGTACACTGATGAATATACGGTTACAAAATGAAGTGGAAACTCGATAAACGGAATTAAACTATTATACATTTTTATTATGAAAAACGTCGCTTGGAGACAACTTTTACGAATATTTGTAATAATCACGTGATACAGTACACATGATAAAAGGACAGATTACCAAGTCAGTAAAAATACCCGGGGATTGTAATGTCACAAACTGTGATTACGTCATTCACTCATCGGCGAAGTGGGCTTGCCTGTTGCCACAAAGTAGATGAACGGATGAATGGAAAATTTTAATAAATATAGAAAAGATGTGGATTAAAGAATTGAACAGCAAATAAAACGTCGCAAAATTCACCAGCGTATAAGATTTGCGCAATGTAGGTAGTGTGTGGAAATTGGTAGTTGGACGGCTATTGGTTCATCTAACAGTAAAATTGTTGCAAATAATAACAGTTTTAGGATGATGCAACCATTTCTTTACAGTACATTTATCTTTTTAATTTCGTGAAGTTTAAGGAAATGGATGTTTTAAATGTACTAAAAACAGTTTAAGTCAAAGTTTGTCCGGTTGGTTCTTAATTTCGTGAAGTTTAAGAAAATGGATGCTTTAAATGCACTAAAAACACAGTTTAAGTCAAAGTTTGTCCGGTTGTTCTTAATTTCGTGAAGTGTAAGAAAATGGATGCTTTAAATGCACTAAAAACACAGTTTAAGTCAAAGTTTGTCCGGTTGGTTCTTAATTTCGTGAAGTGTAAGAAAATGGATGCTTTAAATGCACTAAAAACACAGTTTACGTCAAAGTTTGTCGTTGTTCTTAATTTCGTGAAGTGTAAGAAAATAGATGCTTTTAATGTACTAAAAAAACAGTTTAAGTCAAAGTTTGTCCGGTTGTTCTTAATTTCGTGAAGTGTAAGAAAATAGATGCTTTTAATGTACTAAAAACAGTTTAAGTCAAAGTTTGTCCGGTTGTTCTTAATTTCGTGAAGTGTAAGAAAATAGATGCTTTAAGTACTAAAGTTTAAGTCAAAGTTTGTCGTTGTTCTAATATCGATAAATTGCTATCTATGACTTTTCTACAAAAGAAGTTTCATTATCACGGCACACTCATGGTGTGCCTAAAACCGGAGTATCGTTCAGTTTGTCTTTTTTCAAACCGAATTGTTCTAGCTCGTCAGAGGAAAGTCGATCTTGATTCTTTCGCTTGTTGGGACGACGTAAAACTCATCAATGGCTTTGCGACAGTCACTCCACACTTTCTCTTCCATTATTTCTGTTGTTGGGAACAATTCGAAAACATATTTTCTTATTTTGGCAACTCGTTCTGGATCTAACTTCTCCTTGTTCCTGGTACCTAAGCAAAAGGGCTTTCTAACATGAAGTACTCAACTTTGTAGCTTGGCAACCTTAAGGCAGGTGTATTAGTCTAACAAAATAGTTATTAAGCTCACAATGCAGAGAGATGGAAATTGAAGATGACTAGAAGACTCTCAATCCATTACCTGAAACATTCTTTGAAACCAGTTCATGTGGTTTAAACATCTCTCGGACAAGATGCACAGCAAAATTTCCTACAGACTGACTGCGGGCCTTGAGACGAACCAGAGTGACTTCACTTATTTCACCAGGTCTCGTTTGATGATGTATTAACTGCTCTGGGCAAAGATTTCCAGTTAGATAAATGGCCTGGGGTGAAATAGTTGATAGATCATGAGCTGTTTGGGAGGTGGACCCAAACCCTGGTTGCTCATCATCTCCTGAGGTACGATGCTCACCATCCACCGCATCATGGGCAATGACGGCAGTTGTGGTGACTCCATTCAATGCTGCTTGGGACACAGATATTGGTGATCCAGATAGCATTCCAACGTGTTCTGCTGCTTGCACCAGTGCAAGAGTACCATCCATACCAAATGACCGTTTACTGCTACGAGGTGATACAGTGCTACGTCCACCAATGTTAGATTTTACAGTTGAGGTCAGCTTGTCCGACAGTCGACCATCATTGTCACTGATGCCAGCCATCAGCAAGTTGTTAAGAACATCAATCTGAAAGGAATATATGATCAAATGTGTAGGATTAGTGATAATCAATCATCAACAATGGTCAGGGAATCATCCTACCTTTTGCAATATTGCTTGCTGATTTCGAAGTAATGAATTCTGATTGATTGTTATGGTATTTTGGTTAGTAACAACCTGTTTCAAAAGGTTTTCCATGTGGTAGACATTATTCGAGTTGAGACCAGTCTGTGCACCTTCCTCTTGCATACGTTTAAAGACATTGGCAATCAGTCGAGATATTTCCATCTGTGACATTATGTTAATGGCAAGGTCAGACCCTGCTGTTACCCGGCTTGGGTCATTTTCATTGACCTCATCTGTTGCAGAACCATGGTCCAGTGTTTCAGCAGGAGGGTCCAATCCTTCTGTCGAACAATCATTGGCATTACCATGATCAATCTCAGTTTCCGTGACTAGACGAGCTACTTCGATGACAGCTTGTTTCTCTTCTGATTGGTCCACAGTATGAACTTCCTGTTCTTCAGGCATCAGTGACTCTGTCTGGTCTGTTTGTGGTTCCACCATATCTAGATATCCAATGATAGATTCTTCAATAATTTAAAACTAATTATTTTGAAAAGTGAAGTATTGATTTCGATGCTTCGAGCGAAATTGACGTCCTTAGCATCGGCAGTAATGGGTTGATATTTTGAAATGAGAAAGCCATTACAGAAGTGATCGCGTCAGTGGAAACACGAAACTCGCTTCTCGAATGAAAATGAAACGGGTTTATTGTAAAATAGAATTAACAAAGCGCTACGCCGCTACAGAAGTTTCGTGCATTGTAAATGTAAAGCTTTTTCGCCACAAGAGATCAATCATGTTTACATCGCGAAATTTCGAGAGTGTGAAAGTCCACGACACGAGCGATCATTACCAAAATTTCTCGTCCACGATTCGCGAATTTCGCGATATAGCAGTCGCGAATCTAGCTTAAAAGCTTTCAAAACCCCATTTTTAAACAACATATTACCTTTTTGATGCTTCTCCGATCAATTCACATCCATTTATATAGATAAAATCATGTTATTCATGGGCCGAGAACGACCTTAGAGGGCGTTGTAAATGACAAAATGGCCTCTTCAAATTTTAAACAAATTAAAATTCTGATGGCTCGACTGACGTCATATAAGACAATTTAAATATCCGGGGGGAACGGAGAGCCTTGGCTTGTGTCTGCTACCTGATATTATTCAAACCATTTGCTTTCAGAATTTATGCGTTTCGTAGAATTATCATTTAAATATTTAAATGAGAAGGTTCTCTTATTTTTCATACCTTACAAAACTTTCAACGATATTTTATTAATCATATTTAATTTTATGTTTTGTTTGTTTTTTTCTATTCCTCCTCCCCCCTGAATCATTGGTTGAAATTTATGCATTACAAATGTTGCGCAAAAGCCAATATGGACGGTTTTGTCTGAAAATTTTTGCAATTAAAGTAACAGAAAATGACTTCTGTCCAGGCTGGTGGCGAAGCGTCCAAATCAGCTGCCATTTTAACTGACTCTGGAGACGAAAGTGACGACGCTTATGATGATGTTATTGAAGTCAGTCCATGTGGAAGATGGGAAAAAAGACGAATGGAGGTAAGACTTACTTCGATGGATTGTAAGAAAACGTGTAGAATTGATGTTGATATATCGTTTGTAATTTGGAACTTCCCAATATTGTTTATTCTGTTTCCTGAGAGTTAATTACCGCATGGTTAAGATGAAATCCTTTTGAAGTGAATCTCTATGATTGGTGAAAGAATAGTCCTTTGCGTACTTTACTTTTATCATTCTGCATCCACTTACTTCACAGCTTTTTCGTAAATAAGATTTGTATTTTTAAGGTCACCCAACGCGATGTCCCTGGCATTGATAAAGCGTTTCTTGCCATGGACACCGAAGAAGGTGTTGAAGTTGTTTGGAATGAAGTTCAATTCTCTCAAAGGAAAAGCTACAAAGCACAGGAGGTTAGCTACAATACGTATATATTGTTTTCATTGGTTATTGCTGTTACCAAATTGAATAGGGAATGTTTGACTTTTGTGTTGCTTTAATTTAATTCCTCGTTCAATTTGTCACCTACTTAGGCTACTATCAAGACAATTTTCCAGAATTTGACAAAACTTAAGGTGAAATAAACACAATTATGTTTTAGTACAATTTAACTTCTTATGATATGGACCATACTGATGTGATGAAAAATTCCTATTTCTTTTTCTTAGCATCCAAACATAGTGAAGTTTCACAGGTTTTGGAATGACATGCAAGGCGATAAAGCTCGTTTGGTCTTCATTTCGGAGTATATGACATCGGGATCATTGAAAAAGTTCCTGAAAAAGACCAGAACAAATAACAAAACAATTAGTGCTAAGGTATTTATGTGTATGTTGGTAATCTCTGATCCTAAATGCACAATATGGCATTACAAAACAAAAATGCTGATTGCAACAACATTGGTTTTTTAATAGGTTGTAAAAAAATGGTGTAGGCAAATCCTGTCAGCTCTGAGGTTGGTTCATTCAATTCACTTATAGTGGCAGATTAATGCTCATTTGACAGGAAGGGTGCAGATCTTCTAGTGGGGATTGCATCATTATCCTTACTAAAGTTGAAAGGGCCTCGGGCTATTGTACATTTATAGATGAGTCAAACTTGCATAATCAAAGTTTTTTTTACCTTTTATTTAACTTCATAAAAATTTCTTTAAAAGCTAATAGCACTTTTATTATGCCAGGTTGGCTCATCTGTATGTAAGCCTACAACTCTTCAACAGTCCGAGGCCCTGGCCCCTTTAAGCTAAGAAAAGGATGCATGCCCTGTGGAAAATCTGCACCCTTCCTGTCAAATGAAAATCAATCCACCCCTGCTGAAAATCACTTGTAATTGTTTTAATTTGTTTCCATAATAGCTATCTACATGCATGTAATCCCCCGATTGTCCATGGTAACCTGTCTTGTGACACAATTTTCATACAACACAATGGACTAATTAAAATTGGCTCAGGTATATAAACGAACAAGCAATGTTTTGAAAGTAATAACTAATTTGAGTCTTGCTCATTATGTTTTTGAATTCTTTAGTGGCTCCTGATACCATAAGAGATCATGTCAAAACCTATCAAGAAGAAAGACGAAACATGCACTATCTTGCACCAGAATATGGTACTTTTTTATGCATATACGAGTAGTTGTTTCACATCATAATATGTGCTGACACTGTCTAAAATATTGGAGGGTTGCTTGTTCGCTAGGCATGGGATTGTCCAGAACATTTCATCCAAAACAAAAGTCTAGTCATTATTTCATATGACAGTTACATTATCTAGGTGGGATTTCTGGTATTTGATGCACAATTTTTAGTATTTTGAACATTGTGGAGAGGGCTTGGAGATCTCCCCCTCCCCACCCACTTCATCACTGGACATGACACAAATGATTTCTATATTTTATCAAACCAAGTCTGGAAATCCTATGAAAATTGACTGTGAAAAACTCAAATTGTGTAAATGTTCAGTACAACTGTAGAACACTATTTTTATGTATTTCATGGTGCTCTAGGACTTCCAAACACAAGCAGACAATTTCACACAGCTGTTGATGTTTATGCCTTTGGTATTTGTACATTGGAGGTACTTTTGGAAATTATTGATAAATTAGGAATGGAGATAGCACAGGCTATGAAATTCTCACTACCACTTTTACAAAGCATCTGATGATGGCTCTGGAATAAAATATCATCTCTCATGCAACATGTTTTGTCCAATCAAAACTTAGCAAGTCTTTCATATGTTCACTTTAGATGACAGCTTTAGATTTACATGATAAAGAAAGTCAAATTAGTTCTGAATTGGTGAGCAAGGCTATGGAAAATCTAAATGATGACGTCTTCAAGGTTTGTTTGTCTTACATAATATACATCATCGTAGTATTGTCTATAATCTTCAGGAGTGTATTTTTATAGTATTGTTGACAAGTTTCATCATTGTTTGTAGGACTTTATTGGGACTTGTCTTATCAAAGACCCTGTTCAAAGATTCACTGTGGTCAAATTGATGTTTCACAAATGGCTTTTCGAAGTAAGTTGTAGTAGTCATATGAGTAACCATAGCAACAATGAAAACATGTGTAATCTTTATTTAGTGTTATGAATGCTTAATGCCATTAATTAAGTTTACACCTCTAGTGTGCAGAGGCATGGTGCCATTATTTCTATACTATGAAATACTAATTAAATAATTCAAGGAAAAGCATTTGTGATTAATGTTTAAAGGGGAACACTTCCAAAAAAATCATGGAAAAAACAGATTTCAACCAAAAATCTCTGACATGACATGGCAACAACTGACTCATAGCCAACAAAACGACAGGACCCCTCCCTGACAGGGGAATTTGATCACGAACTTATATGATATTAATCACCAATTTTCAATTTCTTTATAATAGGTTCCTTCACTAAAGCTGTTGTCCGCAAACACCACCATAGACAGTGGAGGTATGTTACACTTAGGACAAAGAGAGTGTTATGAATTTTGAGCGAGAATTGTTGTGAAGTTGACTTTATTTTAAATAAGCCAATGAATTTTATATGTTTATTTGTAGTCACATTACCGGAATCCAAAGAGGTGAAGGATCCTGAAAGAGTTTTGGTAGAAATACCATCGTTTAATGGCAATGTCATTGTACGAAAGTACGCCTTTTTAAATATCTTACTGACAGTTTATGTTGGAATATTTACTCTTCATGAAATGTTTTGTGTTTCAGAGAGTCAGATTTGCCATCGTTAGAAAGGGAAAAATTTCTGGAAGAAGTTCAGTAAGTTGGAAGATTTACATGTACATCCGGGCATTAGTGAGCGTGACGTTCGGTGAGCATATATTTACTAATGCCTGGTTTGAACCTGTTATCACTGAATAGGCATCTAACCGAAGGCGCACTCGGCTAAGATCGTGGCATATTTTTCACTACGCATGCGTGACTGCCCAGCAAGATACTTTCACAAAATCAATATTGAATAGTATTGCACGAGAATGCTATTTCACTAATAATTATCTTTAAAGCAAAAGTTTTCCGAAATTTTTACAAAGTGTTATGATCTTGCGAAGGAGATAAGGTTCCAAGCTTTTGTAGTGCAAAACGATTTATTTGTAAAAACATCTATATTTTCTATTGCGACCTAGCTGAAGTATCTTGCTGGAAGGCGTGTTTGCTAGAATTTGCTTCAGAAAAGTGGGAACACAAACATCAAAGGTTCCGACACGTGTGGACCTTCTGTTAAGATATCTATTCTGTGCCGTTACTCTCGGTTTTAAACAAACCATTCACTTTATTGCGTTACGTCATGTAACACAAACATCAAAGATTCCGACACGAGTAGACCTTCTGTTAAGATATCTATTCTGTGCCGTTACTCTCGGTTTTAAACAAACCATTCACTTTATTGCGTTACGTCATGTAACACAAACATCAAAGGTTCCGACACGAGTACACCTTCTGTTAAGATATCTATTCTGTGCCGTTACTCTCGGTTTTAAACAAACCATTCACTTTATTGCGTTACGTCATGTTAAATAGATTATTGCTTTACTTTGCTTTTTACTCCTAGAGATGGTTTGTATCCGCTGACCATCATGGAACGTAGACAAAGTCACGTCAATATTGAAAGGTGTGTAAAAGTCCCGTATTTTATTACAAACTCAAGACTTGTCACTTCTTAAATTGCGTTGCATCCGAACTTTGCCAATTTGGATTTTTCTCAATCATGTTGTCAATCATGCTGCAATTTGTACATATGGCTATTTATGTTTTGCTTTTAAGGTCTTAGACCGCTGACATCAGTATATAGTAGTACATTTTTGTAAATGTTGATCCTCCAGATCACTGCAATCCTGATAATAGTACATTTTTGTAAATGTTGATCCTCCAGATCACTGCAATCCTGATAATAATACATTTTGTACGTAAATGTTGATCCTCCAGATCACTGCAATCCTGACAATAGTACATTTTTGTAAATGTTGATCCTCCAGATCACTGCAATCCTGATAATAATACATTTTTGTACGTAGATGTTCATCCTCCAGATCACTGCAATCTTAATAATAGTACATTTTTGTACGTAAATGTTGATCCTCCAGATCACTGCAATCCTTAGAAGGACTGTTGGTGTTGATGTTGACTGTTGATCGAAGCAATCTTTAGACTAAAGTGAGGAGTAAAATGTTGGAACGTCGGTCAACACTAACATCGACTGTCCTTCTTAGGATTGCACCACTAACCTGAATGATCAACATCTACAAACATGTACCGATACTCGTTCACTCATCTACAAACATGTACCGATACTCGTTCACTCATCTACAAACATTTACCGATACTCATTCACTCATCTACAAACATGTACCGATACTCATTCACTTTAGAATATAATATTGCTGTTTATCTTATGTTTTTCTAACATCTCAGACCGCTGACACCAGAAGAAGGAGAGGCGGAAGAAAGTTTCAATCCTCCCCCTGATGACGTCGAGACCAGATTGGTAGGTGCACGTGAACTGTTATTTTTTGCTCATTGAAAAGAGCTCGACGGGAGCTTTAAAATAAGCTAAAGATCATCGCCGTATCTTCAATACTTTCGGAGATAGCAGTGCGCCTGCGCAAAATTGCGCATACGCATTGCTATCTCCTAAAGTATTGGGGTTACGGCAATAATTTTTTGCTCGTTGAAAAGAGCTCGACGAGAGCTTTTAAGATGAGCTAAAGATCATTGAATTGATTATCAATATGGTGTTGACACTAAAAGAACGAACAAAAGTAGAGATAAAATACGCACGAAAGGCATCAATAGAAGACACGAGAAAATCACAAAAAGTACATAAAAATCTGTCAGAAAAGTTAATGCCATAGTAGACACACATGTATACAAAAGGTAACATTGTATGAAATACATTTTTTCCAATCTAGGTGCTCAATATGAATTGCAAAACAAGAATTTCCGAACAACCAGGTGAACGTATGGTAAGTTGCAATGGCCTGTGTTTCTTTTTTCTTGTGAAATTGTACATCATGGAGGAATTTCTTTTTTTCAGTTAATACTTCATCTTCAAATGGACGATCAGATGAACAGATTGCTTACGTGTAATCTTAATGCAGGTACGTATAACTTTAATTATCCTTGTACAAGTGATCTTTATGTGAATAATCTCAATGGCACGTCTGACCTAGAACCCAGTCTACCAGATATCCGTCTCCGCCAAAATTCTATAGTTACGAATGAAACAAGCCGCCATCTTGAAAGGTGGCAAGACTGACGATATTTACGATTAATATCTGCTTTTCCTGAGTTGAAGTACAGGTGCAAAGTGGGTAGTCTAAGTTTAATTTTTAAAATGTTTCATAGGATGGGTTTTTAAACTTTCTTTAGCTCATTTTTCATTTTGAGTTTTGCTTTTTGCTAATTTTCAAGATGGCGTCCTTGCCTCATCTTGAGTTGGCATTAGACATCTAGAAGACTGGGTTCTAAATTATTAACGTGGATGCCAGCGCGCCATTATGGGCATGGTCATGTGCATGAGAATTTTAAATTATTTTTATCTCTGCTCTACTGCAGTTAAACGATTTTAAAGTATTAGAATTTTCGACGGCATCCAATGTAGAAAACTGTGCTAAATTCCCAATAAACAGGACATCTTGAGATAGCAAAATATGTATTAGCACAAAACGCAAATTAAATCGCCAATTTTCGACTTTATTTCGAAGCCATCCTCAGACATAATGGTGTCACAATTATTAATATGAAAAATGTGGCAAACTCATGCTGTTCTAGGATAGCTTTGAAAATTTAGAGTTTTATTTGCGTCTTGTACTGATACATATTTTGTTTCTCGCAAGGTGACATGTCTATTCGGAATTTGTGTTTTTGCTTTACCTTTTTTAAAATTGTCGGCTGGAAATGATTTTTTGTCAAAACTGTTCTAAGTATCGATGAAAGTATAGATTTTCAGCCAAAAATCTACCATGTTTGTTATAACAGTTTCCAGTCCCCTCGCTACATTCAGACATCTGCATTAAAGCCAGTCTCCCATAATATTATGATCATATGATGTATTTTTAGAGTTCGCAACCTACTCTATTTAATCCTTAATCTCTCTTTAGCGGATACGGCGGGCGACCTGGCAGAAGATTTAGTGAAACATGGATTTATTAATCCAGTAAGATCTTGGCCAAATAGTTTATATTTATTCGGACCGCCTTACTGTCTTTGCATGAGGTCTGGTGGCGAACCTCAATATTGAAATCCGCCCTGATCCTGTTGCTAGTTTCAACTTCGCATGTCGTATGAACGTTGATGTTTTTTTCTTTTACTTCATGTTAGGCTGACAAAGAACGCATTTCGACTCTAATGCAGACACATTTGCAACGGTATGAATGTTTTCAATTCAGTGGCGGACACTTCATAAAATATTGCGGGGTTGTTGATGTCCTCAAGGCATGAGATTTCTAGGGAGCTGCAAAGGCATACCTATATGTATACTTTCGACATTTGATCTCTAGAAATTTCATTTAAAGATTCCTACGTATACATAATCGTACTCACACAAGGTCTAATGCGTCCGCTGGTATATGTACAGCACAGAAGTCTGTCATGTAGTTATTATTTAACGTCACAGTATGTTATGAAGGTGTGAATTGAGTGATTTGGCGCAAGATTTTAAATCTTTCAAAATTATTGTGGAGGGGGGGAAGGCTCAAGCCCCCCTTCGCGCCCTTCCCCCCCTAGTGTCCGCCACTGATTCAAGTACTTCATTATTCTTAGTAGTTCTTAGTAGTAAATTATTGGGGGGCTAGTGTCCGCCACTGATTCATCTATTTTATTATTTTAGTAGTTTTTATTTAAGATTTTCTTTTACGTATAGTTATTAATCAGGATTCTATTATCCATTTTGTAGAGAGATTGCAGTGGCGTAGATGTCATTTTTGTACGTTTATGTTGTGTATGTATTTTGACATTGGTGTCTGGATAACTTGAAGGTAAAATCATCACGATAACAGAACAGTGAAATGTTACTGAAATCATTATGTTAAATTAGAAATTCTATGGTTTATGGAAGGCATGAACAAAAACTGCGTGTAAACGATGTTGAAATTTTGAAAGATATTTAATGACGTGCCATTATTAGCTACTAGTGTACATATTTATGATTAAATGTTAGCTTCATCTATTTGATGTGTAATTACTTCAAGTGCATCTGAAAATGCAAAAATACTTTCTTGAATATTTAAACTGTCATTGCTTTACATGCTTAAATAGACGTAGAATATTACATAATATATTAATGCTAACACGGTTTTTATATACACATGAAAAACATGTGACTTGGACGAGATTTGAACTCGCACCTTCGGGATACTAGTCCGCCGCTCTACCTGTTGAGCTACCAAGCCCACAGGGATTGGAGACGAGTCAAATCTCTTTTAAAATGCGTATGGACGAGAGATTCCCGCCACTATAACAGTTTACTGGATGGCACCGTGTTTCGAATTTATTCCAAAGCCATCATCAGAGAATATATATAATATATTAATCCTAACACAGTTTTAATATGCATATGAAAAACATGTGACTTTGACTACATTTGAACTCGCACCTTCGGGATACTAGCCTGCCGCTCTACTTGTTGAGCTACCGGGCAGTTGATTTTTTTACTTAAGCAAATTTATATGAAAATAACTCATATTTTCAGGACGAAAACTATGCTGCTTTTATTCATGATCAATAAGGAGGCCTGGTAACTACACGATCTTGTTTGACCTGTTAAAACATAAAAAAGCATTTGGTAAACATTAAGTTGACCGACCTTCAAATCTGTACAGAAATCAGTTCCACGCATCAGAAATTTACATTCCAATACAAAGCTCAAGTATATTGTACATTTCTAGGGCAGATAGAATTTAATTATCTAGAAGGTCTTCGATGTTGAAATGACTTTTAAGGGATACGTCTGCTTCACCAAATCGCTGCTTGGATTCCATAGTTGTGTCAATATAATGAATTTAAAGTTCTCAATCCTTGCTCCGAGGAACGCTGTTTTACTGTATTGTTCGCCATCTTCTGGCTTCACTAACGAAAGGAATCTATAACGGAGGTAATAATATGCTTTGAGATATTTCTCGTCCGTGATTGGTTGATTTCGAGATATTTAACGACTGTGATTGGTTGATCGCACGGCAGCATATCTTTAATTATGCGGCAAAAACGTGTGATTGTACTTAAAAAGGTAAACACAGAAAAGTATAGTGTATAATTGCACTGTTCATATTATAACCTGATCGGATGAAAAGCAGCGAAAGCCAAAAAATCTAAATCTTCTTTTCAATTGAAAAAAAAACATGGAAGCAGTTTTAAGTAAACCATTAAAATGAATATAAAGATTTCAGTGAACAAAAATTTCAATAGGATGGATCAATTATATCACAACAAAGGCTAAACGGCAAATGTTTTGTTTATGCAGCTGTTTTTCAACTGCCATAGTGAGAAGGAAGTAAAGGGATTTGGTATTGTATTTCTATTGTTTGTTTATTAAATCACTAACCTATTGTCTTTCAATATTTCCTTTGTCATAATCAAGTTCAACAAACCATCTTCAACGTCGTCAAATTTTATTTTGAGACTATCGAACATATCAACAGCCATCATGTCCAGCACCAAAGGTTTACCGTAACTATGCACAAGAAAGACGAACCGATGTATTGAACTGGTCTTATATTTATGCTACTGCGTGGAGGAAGCTCATACACTGATTTTGTGTGGTTTTATGGTCATGATTGTGGATGAGAAGGAAATTCAAATAAAGGTAATTTATTAGGTTAATTTTTTGTATTTTTAGAGTTTTTCTCTCATCGTGAACCTCACTATTCTATACTTTCACCGACGTCTCATTCTTTACTTCCTTAACCAACGTTGCCTCATTTAGAGCTTTCCAAACTCTGGGGCTTGAGAAACTTCCGGCACCGGCTAAAAAAACTCCGGGGGCTTGAGAAACTTCCCGCACCGGCTAAAAACTCCGGCTTCTGCCGAGAAGCTTCGTCTCCTTGTTAAACAAGTTTCAGCTCTCGAAGAAAGTTTAAAGTTTATTTTTCCATCATCAGCAACCTGGAATGTTTGCTGTATTTTTTGTTGGAGTTTAGACATTCTTGCCTTGTTTACGTTTTTCAGCCTGGCAGATTTATCCCTAGAGAGGTGAACCTTTGTTGCTAATGTTGTCTAAAAGTACTGGACCAAATCTGCCCTGTCAGCAAAACGTAAACAATGCAAGTCATCTATTCTTTAATGAAAACCGCAAACATGGCGGCTATATGACGTCATAAGATAAAACATTACATGTGTACAACACGAAGTGCATGATTAATTTCTTCAAATTGTCAATTTACCGTATGGCTCCTAGTAATGAAATTCGTATGACGTCCGGATCCATGTTGCGTGGATTCAAAGCATTTATAAAATTAGTGTCACGATAACGTAGGAATGTCGATGTTTGCGGGGAAGTATCAATCACTAAAGGCCATCTGAAAGCACAATCATGAAGACTTGTATTGAAGATATATGGAATCATTGTAGTGTTAAAAATAATTTGTTTATTAATGGAACCTTCCACTTTCAGCAATTCTACCGCCAACATCCTTCATCAAGACATCATCAAGTTCTTTAATGGACACCTTAATCCCGACTACCTCGTGATCTTCATCTTATAAAAATCAATGACAGTGTTGTCTTTTCAGTTCACTTGTTCATTTACAAATGCTACGTACCCTCATCGGCTACCATCTCTTTTCTTTGTTCTCGTAGTTTCAGTTTCAACTTGAAACAATAATTTAATCATAAGAGGATTATGAGGATTACACTCTATGAATCATGAAAGGTTTAAGAGGATTGCAGTCTGTGAATGACAAGAGGATTAAGAGGATTGCAATCTGTGAATCACAAGAGGATTAAGAGGATTGCAGTCTATGAATCACAAGAGGATTAAGAGGATTATACTCTATGAATCATGAGAGGTTTAAGAGGATCGCAGTCTGTGGATCACAAGAGGATTGAGGGGATTACAGTCTATGAATCACAAGAGGATTGAGGGGATTACAGTCTATGAATCATGAGAAGATTGAGAGGATTTTAGTCTGTGAATCATGAGAGGATTGAGGGGATTTCAGTCTGTGAATCATGAGAGGATTGAGGGGATTGCAGTCTATTCTATGATGATAAAGTCGAATTCTTACTTTGGCAAGTTTCTGACGAGCTTTTTCACTTCTTTCTTTGGTTTTTTCCAACTGCTTTTCCGCATCGTGAACCGTCTATGATTGCGAGAGAAAGAAAGGAATAGAACCAGAAATTCATCGTCGTCGCAGCGCTCCTTTTTGTACCTGTAAAGTTATGCTGATTTTGTTTTCGTCACCCGTTGCCATGCACTTATCGTGTTCAAATATACGTCGATTCAATTCGCAATGACTCTTCTCCAACTAGCAAATGAAAAGACAAAATGTGCGCTTTGAGGGAAACGCTATGAACTTGCGTTGAACTTGCAAACCTACCAGCATTTGACTTGCTTTCATCTCTTTTTCGGCGACTTGTATCTCTCCTTCCAGCCTTGATTTGACAAAAAAATATGTTATAACGAGTTGGCAGCTAGTAAAAAGATGACGTCCTTTGACAAGTAACAAACAAAGAGGAAATAACTTATTGCATTCTTCTTTCCGATGTTTTTCTTCTTCTTCACGTTTTTTATCTCTTTCTTCTTCGAGTTTCTTCAGCAATTCATTCGTCCTCTCTGTGTCCCAAGATTTCAAAGTTTGTTCAACAGTAGCGACTGCAGCGACCTACACAAATGAAATCTATCTTTAACTAAATAGACAAGTCCCCTAGCGGACATTTTTACCATTTTACCTGTTCCGGTGAAGTGCCGTCATTTGCATGTAATCTGGGATCGGCGCCATGTTCCAAAAGCATCTAATGGCAAAGAATGTTAGCATCACCGGTTAGCATCAATGAACATCTGTTTCTAGTAACACCACAAAATCTTTTGAAATATTGAAAACCTGAACTATGATATACCTGGACTGCTTCTTGATGACCAGCAAAGGCAGCTCTCCATAGAGGGGTTCTGTCATAATGCCCTCTTGAGTTTACCTCCCCTCCTTTCAGGAGTAGCATGGATATAGTATGAATGTGTCCACCAGCAGCGGCTTCCGACAATGGAGTGTTACCATTAGCATCTTCACAATTAACAAGACTTAATTCGCATTTCGGCCAGCTGTTCCTGTTTGGATTCTGTCTGCTTGCTCATTTTTTGTATTGCCTTAGTACAAATAAAATTGCTTGTTATGTGTGTACGAAATTAGATTGGCAACACATGTCATCTTCAAGCTCACTTCATTTAATACAGCTTCAATCACATCATTTTCACCGTCAAAGGAAGCTTCCAGTATCTGCTTCTTCCACTTCATCTCCAAGGCTTTTCTCTTTCTCTGTTCTTGCTCTTTCAGCCTTTCTTTCTCCTCCTCTTCTCGTTCTCGTTGCACCATTTGTAGCCATGCCTGGTATAAAAACAAGGTTCATTATATTTCCAAAGAAGAAATTGGAACTACCACCTCTTTTTCCAATTTTATCATCAGATTCTCATAGTCTTCCTTTTCCTTCCTCAATCTTTGTAACTGTCTTTTTGCGAGGTATCTTTTCACTGCTTTTTGAATGACCAAAGCATGCTGGTCTTCTTTGGACCATTTTGTCTTGCTCTATATTAATATTGAATGAAATAATTTGTGGGAACTAATTTATAACTTTTTTAAATACAAGCTCATCACCATGGTAACCCAATATAATATATGTATATATATTTACAAATTATAACCTCTGTATGTGTATGTGTATTGAATTGCTTTCATTAAACCAATGAAATAAATACTACGGTCAAAATTTTAATAAAAGCTTGCGTTACTACCTCTGACTTGACGGAAGGAGCCTTCCTGTGCGATTGTCCTGGTTTTGCATTTCTTGTGGGTTGCGCCGGACCGTGGCGGCCTAAGTCTTTCGTGACTGATTTTGATTTTCGTGCAGATATTTTTACAGCCTTACTTTGCGTTTTTGAATTGACAGTAGATTTTTTTGGTGGCATCCTGAATTTTTCACATTTCGTTAAACGTTTCCATAAATACTTGTTACAGATATTACATGAATTGGTGAATGCGCGGAGCCGTATATTCTTGGCGCGTCATTTTTTCGTCTTTTGAGCTGGCACTTGAAAAACCAACGAAATTATAACATTTTTCAAAATGGCAAACCGGTATTTGTCGGTTGGAAAATGATTTCTTTTCATATATAAACTGCATAGTTTTTATTCATTACACCCACGTTCTGTTGTTCGTCTTAAGATTTTTAATCAAGCCCTAAAGGTTGTCGCGAAATTTTACCGCAATATTGTTTGATGTTAAATGAAGATATGATCATATTGTTTGATGTATGAATAATATGACTATTATTTACATAATTATGTTATTTTGTGTTGTGTTGTCTGTCACACGATGACACGCATATGACAACTCATTTGTACAAACAGAGCAATGAATCTTGAAAAACAAAGCAATGAATCAAATAATGCTAAATCTTGCGAGATCAATGATACACCAGATGCCGGCGCTTCGAGAGATACTTTTTCGTCGTCCACGGTAAATGTTTCGACAACAGACAATCAAACTTCAAAAGTTCATTGGTACGACGATGTTTACCTACTTTTGTGTGTTATTTTTTATTTGGGAGACGTTGGTACAGATATTTTGGTATCAGCGGTGTATTTCAAGAACGAAGACTATGTATGGTTTGCTTTAACACTGACTTGCGTGATCGGAGCTTCGTTAGTAATGATGGGATTTTCTTTGAGCTGGTATTATGATGATACCTCTCAAGAGGTTGGCAAATCAAAAACTGTGATTTTACATGTATTGCAACTTGGCCCACTTCAAAGGTACCTCTATTAATGATGTTCGTCTATCGTGTGAAAGTGAAGTTGACATTTTGTTGAAGAATTTACCATCATACCTTTAATTTAGTTTGTCTGAGACAAAGGCAGTTCCCATTGTATATAGAAACAATATCAGCCTCGCCTTTATATAAAGAATTTTTGTTTAGAGGTTTTCTGTCCAAGGTCAATGACAAATTGTTTTGAAGCATTGTAAATTGCAAATATTTTTGAAACATTATGTTGACTTCCTCTAGGAAATTGCTTATCACGAAAACTGATAGTGCGGCAAAGTTTTTCCATGTATTTCCAGCTAAAAGAGTTTGTTTCAATAAACACACTATGCAATTCAATTGCAGTCAATTTCACTTGCAGTAGTTTACTAATTTGCAGTTAAATCCTTAGTTTGTTATTAATTTAATAATTAAATTTTACTCTATTCAGATATTGGAATTGCTACAGAAATGGCAGACGATGTAGACAGAAAAATGTCCCTGCAAATTATTACAACATTTATCTTGTGCAATGGCGTGATATTACAATGTTGCGTCTCTTCGAAGTTTTCCTTGAATCTGCTCCACAGCTTGTGTTGCAGTTGTACATACTGGCCTATAGAAAACATTTTGACAATAAAAAAGATTGGTTGACCGCACTGTCTGCCTGTTTTTCATTGATCGCCATATCATCAGCCATTGTCACTTATACAAAAGCTTTACGAGATGTTCGTAAGGACAAAGGTATGGTTATTTATGAAATGCATAGCTTGTGCTGAGGTAGCCAGGCTTAAATATAGTCCTGCTTGGTTAGTTTGTTTGGTGTTCACTTGGTGCAAGAACAATAGATTCTAAAGAAAAGAATATGGGCAATATTTACAAAGCTGGATTAAAACATGCATGTTGGCTTTGCCACTGGTAACCAGAAGCAAAACTGGAATGATAATTAAGGGGGAGAGGGGAATATTGATATATTTAGCTTTGCCCAACTGACTTTCTTTAAAATTACAATGGTTTTCATAATAAGTCAGTTGGGAAGATCTAAGTATACAAGTATTCACCTCAACCACTCCGTAATGTAGTATTCTAACCTCGCTCCTAGTAGCCAGTCTGTTTATGTAGTCTTGCTATGTAAATGTTTGTCTTTTTTCTCACTGCTAAAACAATTGAAGTTTCCATCAACATAGATAGGCTGGCCACACTGCATATTTTATGCTGTTTTTTGAATTTTCGTGCCATTGAATTTTATAACTCTGAACATCATTGGTTCAAGAAATAAAAGTTATTTTACTGTGCTTCCCAGCCTTATGTAAGCCTAGGGGATGTTTGAGGGGAACTTGAGAACACCCGAAGAAGATCAGTGCAAACTGGAGACTGCAGTTGCAAGAGTTCTCATTAATCTCTATGAGTTTGGCATAAGCAAGTGCAAACATGAATAACATATTTTATTTCATTTATTAAATAATAACAATGCAAAACAGATAAGTTCGTTTGTTTTAAATTTTCCTGTAACATTTGCAATTTCTCTTTAACTGATTTCATTGACTGAGCTCAGATCAGTTTGCACCAGTTTGCACAGGGCTAATGCAAACTCTGCTATTGACCAATCAGCACTGGAGTTTTATTCATTGTTATTTTATAATTGCTATTGAAAAATTCTTCGCAGGAAAATTGACATGGTGGGGATTTGGTTGTCAGATAGTATGGCGATTACTTATGGTAGCATCCCGTATAACGACGTTAGTATTGTTTGCCTCTGTATACAAATCGTGGATATTACTTATGATCGGTTTGCATTGGCTTGCTATGTCAATATGGATTTTTCAACAAAGGACGACCTTCATTTCTGCGTCTGCTAAACTGACGAAGCCCGTTTTCTCCATCGTCGTCGGCTTCATCTATCTCTTTTGTTTTTTCAACATTAACGACGAGTTCACGAGAAGACCTTTGGTAAAATTTTACACTCTTATGTTCATCGAAAACTGTGTGCTCATTTTTCTATGGTTTCCACATCGTCACGAGTATGGTGTAATATTCGTTGCTGCCATGGCGATGGTTTTTGGTGGATTTTTTGTTGGTGTCTTAGCACTGATTTTGTACCATCAATATTACCACCCCAGTCTCCCTAAACAAGGTCTGTGTATACGCACATCCCATGATGTTCCATCTAGTCAGGGCATCGTATATCGTATGCTCTGCTGCGATACCTGTTGTTTCGTGAGAAGCTACGAAGATGAGGAAATTTCTCCAAGCACGCAATGTATGACGGGAGATGATAATGCACCACGTGATACAGTCGGTCTGGAAGTTGTGGATCCAACAACAGGTAGAGCATCGGACGGGAGTACCACACCCAAACTTGAAAATGAGCTTCTTTTTCATCAGGCGTCTCCTTTGCAAATGCAATATTTATTAGATGGAAGAGATAAGTTAAAGAAGGAAAAGGCAGCTAAGGCAAAGCAAAAACGTGATGAAAAAATTTCGTCCGTCACCACTCATTCCAACCACAGCTCCACCTTAGAAAATGGAACGGTCGTCCCATCTTCATATGCACCCGAACCTGTCGGACAAAATCCCTCTGCTGAATCTGACAAACGCAATGATGATGATGACAACGATGATGATGACGTCACATCCAAGAGATCTGGTTTCTTGAGTCCCGAGAGGAAGTCCCTCGAGAATGATGAAAACATGAAGGAAATGTTGATCACAGAGAGTGTAGTCGATGCCAACTCCAATCGAAAAGGATTGCTTTCACAAGACAAGAAACTACGACAACCTCATGCTGTCAATAATGGTGGGTGGGCATATCTGGATACACAGAAAAATAGCGATTCCGGATGTGATGACGTTGACCATCCGGGTACTGAAGCTGAAAAGAATACAATATGTGATGACAAAGTTGATGGTGGTTCTGCTCAAGAGCAAAAGCCACAAATAGACGCTGGTAAGAATAGTAATAAAGTTTTGAAATTTGGTAAGGAAGTTATGGATGAAGAAAGGCGTGCACGTGATACATACATGCATAGCACGTGTATACCTTTACAAAATTCAGCTGACATTTTGAATTTTCGAAATCGGTACAGTTTTGTAGCCGACTGCATTTCCATATCTTCCTCAAGCTCCTCGAATAACGACGATGATCAAGAGGATGGACGCAAAACTATTCAGCAAGACATGGTGGAGACTGGGAACGAGAGCTCGTATCTGAGCGAACAGTTTTTACTGAGGCAAACCGGGAACGAGGATTGTTCAACAGGATTTGATAACGTCTCGTTACAACGTTCAAAGAAACGTCATGCCAATGGACGAAGTAAGCAGGGAAATCGTGTTAGCTTCCCAAATTTTGTTGCTACTAACTTGAGGCAAGGTCGGTTCTCATCGCTTCGATTATCTCCCGATGACTGTACGGGGATAGACGAAGATATACATCCACATTTTGTAGAGTTTTCTAATGATTCTAGTCGCATTTGATAAGAATTCACGCGTATATTTGTACAAATACAAACTTTCAATTGTTATAAATATCTTTTAGATTTTTCTGGGGTCTAAATAAAGATTTTTGCCACAGAATAGCTTGCTATGATATATTTGTTTCACCAAAGACCGCTCTCAAAACTTTATGTCACATCAGGTTCATGCGACAATTGGCGGGAATTTTCGAATCATGCTCGCATGAAAAGTCATGAAAGCATTCAGTAAAGCTTTTTAGAAACGTATTTTTTGAAACAAAAAATTCGATACTCTTTCTTCAAATTTGCCATTTTTCGTCCATATTGGTTTTGTAGCGAGAGCAGGTTCATTTTGCTCAGTAATTTATCCTGAAAGAAATGCCTGTCGTCGTAAAGTTGTTCAGGAAACTAGAACATCAAATGTTTCGGTTCGAGCAGATTGAAGATTTTTCATAAATGTTTCTTTTAGACAGATAAAGGTAAATGAGCTTAGAAGTAGAAGACAGAGAAGAGTTGTGCAAAATCGTTTTACTTTTTACCTAGGTATGTTTCCTGACTGAATAGTGGATAGTTATCCTGGTTCGGGAGAGAATATAATAAAGTGAACGCCATTGCGCAAAGGTAGGATATGGTTACTAAACGATGTTTTTTTGCGTCCATTATTGTTTTTGCTACTTGCCTATGAACGCAATATTGCACTGCTGCGAATATTATTGTGAGAACATTTGTTTTTCGCCCATTTCCATCTGTTGGGAATAGCAACGTCTTTACATATTAGATATGTTGCCAATAAATAGTAATTTATTACCAACTTGCTTGGAGATTGTCTTGAAAGTAATGTATTTCAAGAAAATACCATGAAAATATGACAGGGCGTACGGTTTACCTTGGAAATTACTGAAAGTGATTCCCAACGAAAAACTTCCGAGATAAAAGTCTTGTTTTGTGGAAATGCGATTGTGGTTAATTATTTCTATGAATATTTAACTAGAGACGTCCGCTTTATGAATAAAACTAATATAAAAAGTAGTATCAAATAGAGATTATATAAAATTTAATAATGGACCGACTTATCCACCCATATTTTAGACAAAACAATTTACTCTCGTACTGTGAGAGCGTACAAGACACAATATTTCAAGTTATCTAATTGAAGCGGCCAGCACCTTGTTTTGTAGCTTGTTTTCATATCACTTATCGCGATACCGGCGTCATGTCGCCAATATTTAGTGCATAAGCAAAAAATTCCATACCCTGTTCCTATTGGTCGTTTCGACGCGTTGCTGATCACGTGCTCAGAATCTTCCTGCCACCTGCTCTGCATGCATGGTGCGTTGCGCGGCAACGTTTTGATAAGATGACATCTGCCATGCACCTGTTGCTCGTCAGACATTTTGCCATGTATGTGTTTGTATATATATCGCTTATTTCACCTTGATATAAATTATTAACATGTGGTCTTTGATCGTGTAGAAAAGTTTACGAAAAATTTACAGCTAAAATATTACTTATTAAACACTTCGGTGTACTATCTTGGTAAAACTGATCAGTAACACTGCTCTCCTGTCAATAATGTATTTCATGGGCCCATATTTATTCTAACAAAACAACTTGCCCTCCCCTCCCCCCATTTGTAAACCTAGACATAAAGATTACATTTGGTGGTGGATTTTTCCCCTGGAACAACAAGAAATGAAGCCTTGTTTGTCACAAAATTATTATAAACCCAGTAACGTGGAGCTTTTTGACACATATGCCATGTAAGAATTGTCCTTTTTCCTCTTCCCCAGCTAAATATTTGTTGCTCGTTACAATTTTGTTGTTTTTTTATGCCTTCACAACTGCAAATTACACAAGTTTCCATTCAGTCTGTGACATTGTTTCATGTAAACACATTTGAACTTAACAAAACTCATTAACTGCCAATATTCTCCTGCTATGCAAATTTTTCCATGTTTACTCACAGGAAAAACAACGAGATTTCTCAAGGAATAGATAATGATGATGCTCTGAATTTCAAATAAGCGGTACAAACACTTGTACGTTGGCTGCGTCACTGAATATAAATGAAATATTTAGTTGCAAAGGCGAAAATTGAGCCCAAAGCTTTTACTATATCTTAGTGTTTTTAAATATATGAATGACGTATTGATAGATTGGTTTGCTGGTTGTTATGATGGCTTCAACCTAATCTTGTACATCGTGCATTAATGAATTCTTAATAACATGCAACAGGTTTGAGCAGGTTGGATTGAAAAGATGCCGGGTTGAACGTTTTACACACGCATCCAGTAAAACAAAGGAATTTTATAGAAGTACTATATGCTCCTATTTGTTAGATTATTTGGATGTTTGCATTAACACATCTCCCCAAATTCGGTTGCAATGTCAATATTATAAGTATAGTTAAGATTTCTCTATACCCATATACGCTCTCTTTCGGAAGGATCTAAGATATATCTTTTTTCATTTGAATTCTTGTTTGAGCCTGGAATACAACTATGTAGTTAATGGACATGGCCATAAAACTTATGTTTCGCATTTGGCAGGTGTGTTAAAATTATAAAATCGCTATTTGCGATTGCGAAAAGTATATTTTTCGAATCCCTTTTCATTGAAAATCGGTGTTTGGTTGATAGCTACAACTGTCATTCATGACGATACAACTCATATATCATAATCGCTTGAACACTTTGGTTTTAAAGAAGTTTTATGCGAGTGGTGAAATAATTGTAATATATAGATGACATGCCTCTTCGAAAAAGTGTTCATGAATGAAGCTAGAAAACACTGAAATAACTCTTTGGATTAGAACTGCATCGTGGGCGTTTGGTTATTGGCTCCTCATATGACAGATTTAATGATCGGTAATTTAGACAGAATTCATGAATCTATAACACGAATCTTATGTCTAAAATCTAAAGAAATCCAAAGCTATGTAATCGCGAACGGAAAGAGAATGCTCATTTACAATCAGCTTTTGCAAAGTCGATATAGAACATGTGTACAGTCAAGCGGAACACTAAATCCAATATTGCTGGGCAACACTATTATGGCAAGGCACTTGTGTATATCTTTACCCGCACAGCAGTATGTAATCATGGGCATTAAAAATATTGACTCCAAGTTAAAATCTAATCATTTTTATTAACGACCCGACGTATACATCAAACTTGATGATAAATCGTATCTTTCCTCTTACGTAATAATCACATATATTATTTAACAACGATAAATAGAAAATTCACACCTAGATAAAATTTGTACAGCGCTTATAACTACATATATTCGTAGCGCAAATCAAAGGACCAAGCACAGCATTTTATTTTTAAGAGATCTTCCTCTTACGCTTTGTTTCATAGCCTATACTTGTGGTCGTTTGACTTGCGACGCATTGAAAAACTCCCGTTCGAAGGAGTTTTATTGATCACAACTTCATGTAAAAACTGTTTTTGATGATCACGTAAACAAACTTAATATTAACAGATCGCTACAAATTGCGGCAATTTTTTCAATCGCCTCGTGTGGTTGAACAAACTGTGTAAAGAATATTCTATAAAAATTTAAAAATTCCTAAGTGCTTTACAATCAAGTAATGTCGCATTACACGACTGGCACGTTCAAGACAAACGTGTATATTTCCTGAAAAATATTGCCAAATTTATTATTAGATGAATTCGTATAAAACTCAAGCGTACAGTCATTCGTTCATTTTAAAACAAAGTTTGTTTTAGAAAGCATGACCACGCATGGTCCACGGGCCAATTCAGGCCGTGTGGTAACATATAAATATCAAAGAGAATCAGAATCATGAAATCCAAGCATCTTACTGTTTGATTTCACGAGAATATTTTCCCGGCAAGTTTTAATGTACAATCTCGAGATGAGGTTCTGGGTTAGGTTACAAGGCCTACATGTTCGTGATTTGCCCAAGGCTATTCTCCAACCATTGACCCTGTATGATCTCGGACACTTCTGGCGGTGTATACATATCGGGAAAGTCAAAATGCGAAGTTCCTGAATTAAAATCTAATAGTGGCGACATGGGTAGGTTATTGATATTTAGTCCAGCAAGTTCAAGGTTAGGCCATGATGTTGGCACTTGTCCTACAACTGCGGGCGCTGTCAACTGTCTCTTTATGCCGTTGATGTCCTGCTTACGATCGAAATCCTCGTACATTGATAGCTGATCTATCTGATCATCTGGACTAGTGAGAATCGAGTCGGGCACGTTCGGTGTCTGGGTAGGATTTGCCACAGGTACAGTGGCAAACGCGTCGTGTCGTTGTTTTATATTGCCGACGACATCAGTATTGAAGATCCTTGCATCCGGGATGAAGCTGTACGCTGCTGGATTTGATCGAACCATTGATTGTATTTGTCTTACTTGAAAGTTGTTTTGCTCCATAGGAACGGGGTGCGCCTTCTGTGGCTCGGAATTTGTTTTTTTCGGAGTTTTTTTCTTACGTGGTCTGTATTTATAGTCTGGATAATCCTTCATGTGTCGGACGCGCAGTCGTTCAGATTCTTCAACGAAAGGTCGCTTTTCGGCGTCACTAAGCAACTTCCATTGCTTTCCCAATCGTTTACTGATCTCTGCATTATGCATATCTGGATGTTCTTCGGCCATTTTCCGCCGCTCAATCTGGGACCAAACCATGAATGCGTTCATGGGTCGTTTAACGTGATCGTTCTTGCTAATTCCATGTTCGTTTTTATCACCTTTCGTTTCGTGTTTTACGTTGTTAGTTTTACTTAGTTGGGTTGAGTTCAAGCCGCACGACGCGTTGGACTGTCCTGCGTGGCTAGCTTGTAAAACCATCTTTCTGTGGTCGTCCAGGGTTCAATGATAAAAAATCCTCGATAACCGGATTTGGAAAGTACAAGTATGTTTAAATTGCTCTACAAAACTTCGTGAATTTTTAGGCCAATTGTGTGGCACTTGAAAGTCGAAGTGCGCTTTTAGATATCCTTCCGTCCCTTCGTGGTGGTAGGAGGTTAGCAATTGCGTGGTCGTTGAGATTTTACGACCGTTCAAGTACACTACACGCAGTATGTCTTGCACGTTACACTGTTCCTTCGATCGACGCTCGATCAACACTTGCTCCTTGAGCGGAAAACTTTTCTTTCTTCCAATGAAATGAGTTTAGCAATCGAGCTCGACGTTTGTCTGTCTGCGCCTCCTCGTTTTCACTCTCCTCGTCCTCACTTGTCAATCTTCGGTGATGTGAGCCTCCCACGTTTTTATCATGAATCTCGACCGTGTTTACGATGTCGACACGAGTTTCTCTTTACAGAGTTTTTAAAGTCCGATTATTTTCCTCACCACAGATTGAAGTATGATTCTGTTCTCTGTGAAATATACAAAATGAAATAAAAAATCTTGCGAACGTGAATACACCCACACACAATGTGTTGATTGGCGAGGGATTTGTTGAGCCGTCGTCCACGAGCGTGTGTACTTGCCCGATGCCGTAAAGCAACTGACCAACTTTGATCTCTGCTGTTTTATGACCAGTGTGTACAACGCATCGTTCGTGTGCCGTGTCTATTGACACGTCAAGCTAGGCACAAACATCAAGGACGCCGGATGCCAATTTTAGCAACACTTTTTTTTGATTGGTTCATTGCGGTAGCCATAGTGACAAGCCAATGCTACCGGCAATGGAAAATTTACCCTTGCCAAGCATTCAAATTGTAATTTCAATACGTTTACGGTAATACTGCGGTATTTTTGCGTGTCTTAGAGATTTTTGCAACGAAAGCCGTACGGAAGCCACCGAGCAACACACACAGCCAAGGCGTAAATTAATTATGCAAACCTGAAGGCGAATATCAGACATTCATGTTTTGGCCACGTGTTGAAAACAATAGATCTCGCATAATTAATGACAATGTAGGGTGACTGAACATGTGCATAAGAAACACGCCGTTTAACGAAGAAAAATTTTTCAAAACAATCATGTGCTTGCATCATATTAGAGATTATATTGACGGAGTGTAATGCTTATAGATGTGCATGCACTGGACATGATCGTTTTGTGGTTTTGCGGTTGTTGGCTTGTTTTCGTGTTAATATGTCTTTCGATGCAAGTGCTTTGTCCTCCTTCATAAATATGTGAGGTTCCGTTTCTGAGCAAAACGTCGAACTTAATTGATTTAAAATGGTGTAGTAGCCCATTTCCGAATGGCGTGGCACTGATGCCAGTTGAAATGCATAACGGCTCCATTAAACGTCATGTCGCTTGCACATAATGTTTCTCAGGAGTTTTTTATGCATCATCAGGGCTGTCTCTCATTCTATATTCCCAGGTTTTCTTAGCAATATGTTTACATCTGGTGTCAGTGGTATGTGTTTGATGCCATGTTGCCCATAACATCTGTCATTAGGGCAGTTTTTGTACATCATGGCTGTCTTTAAATCTCGTCGCCCACAAACTTTTATAAAGTATAATTTCTCCCAATTTCACAGCCAAATTAATTATAATTGGTTATTCATGTCAGCCTTTCATCGTGGATGGATCTATTTCCGTTCTTCGTAAACGATTAAGTTGGGTGTACTTCTTTAGATTTCCTGAGATGGGAAACCTATGATAATTTCTTCAAACTTATTGGATTTTTTTTTTAATATACTTGTTTTTGTTGTTTATCCGATGAGCTGATCATCATAAAAACATAAACGCTGGAGGATTATTTAGTAAATTGATACTTTAGTTCGGTGAACGCGTTCGATCGATCAATTATTGAACCGATGACGAGTGTTGAAAAATTGGCAAAAATTTATGTTTGGTCTTCAAATCGAAGCAGAAACAAATAACATTTTAAAAGAGCGCAGGCTGCTTTCATTAAAAATATCTCTAAATCTTGCGATGAAACATGTCGTATGATTAAAAACATTATGAATTTATGCCACCAAAATATAGTTCACAATTCTTAATCACTCCAAGATCAGTATCATCGTGTTTAAATAGTTTAGGTACATAGCATACATAAACCTTATATTAGTTGTTTTACATCTAGATAACACTGTAGTGGTAATGAAGAAATTATCTAAAGGCAAATATCATCGTGTAACTGACACAACACAAAAATAATACGTTCGTAGACCGTGGATTCGTAGGTGACATCTAGGATGGAATCGTAGGCCATGTGTGGGCTGAGTAAGGTCAACATTTTGCCGGGTATTAAAATTGAAACATTTACTAATTCTTAAAGGTCGGGTTGCTCCCCACGTCGTTGGTGACACATTTGTTGTGTAAATCGGATATGTGTGTGTATCGTATCATTTGCAAAAATATTTATGCAAATTGACTTTCGTTCGATTTCCTACGAGGTACGGTTTTCAGCAACGTCCGGTTAGTTTGAAGCGGACCTTTATTAGCGAAAAAAACTGTTTTTGCAAGGGATATTTCGACTAGCAAAAATTAAGATCATTAATTTGGTACATTCCGGCATGCATCTATTTCAGAGCTTTCATCATCTACTTTCATCATTGTACAATTAGACATCTCGGATTGCAAACACTTTACATCATAAAATACATGATTTTGGAATACTTAAATTCTGCCAAACCTACTAAGCGAAACCTTCCTGGACCGTTTGTTTCATTATTTTTGGCGTATGAAATATAAAGGAAATGGTTTGAACCCGGGAGTATCGTTACATGTTTGTAGATGTAGATCGTCCAGGTTGATATAGTCCTGAGAAGGACTCTTTTGTTGTTGTTGACTGACGTTTCGACAACCTTAGCGGTAGTCATCTTCGGAGTCAAATAAGGAGTAAACGTCAGGTTAGCCGTATTTGCTATCTGGTTCTTACGTCATTGTTTTGTATAAAACATTAATGCAAAAAATGAAAGTGCTGTTGCTTTGTATCCAAACAAAATGGCTTGACGTTAGGCTTTTAACATTGAAACTAATCAGTGCTCGAGCAACCCAAGACCTTTTAATTGCTCTTACACAAAGTTTCGCCATCTCGAGCTTTCCAATTTTCGATTGACCATCTTCAATTAAATGACGTCAATTCGATTCTTTGAATCGAAGCGATCACATGACAAGCAGATGTTCTGAAATTGCGAAAAACACCAAATGACGTGAATGAGAAAACACATCATAAAAAATGAAAGAAACTGAAATTAAAAAGCTAGGCAATTATAGCATTCTCGATAAAACATTGGGGAAAGGCCACTTTGGTTATGTGAAACTTGCTGTGCACACGCTTACCAACATCAAGGTACATAATTTATTGAAAATCTTCGTGTGTTTTTCAGGAAATTTTTGTTGCTTTTAACGAAAAGTAAAACTTGCTGTGCATACGCTGACTAACATCGAAGGTACATATTAAAAAACTGGATTAAAAAAAGGAACTTTGTTGCTTTTAACGAAATGGATGTTATGGCTTGAGATGATACACTAAAACATGTTTATATTATATATACATAAAAACATCCGGAAACACTTCATCAAAGATATCTTACGTTTTTTCATATCGAAACTTATGCGATACGATAAATCAACGATGTTTTTCAACGTTTCGCGTTTAGATTAAGCAACTAAGCAAAATATTTGATGCGCTCTCAATAAAAAACACAATAACGCCAATCTAGCGTCAATTTAAACCAACAATGACAAAAAGGGTATCTTATATCTTGTTGAAAAAATGACGAAACGAATCTAAACGGTTCAAAGCTCTCCTTCAAAGAGCATCATATTCGAGCTTATATGCAACTGGCAAAGAAAAATAAGCAACTTCACATTTATTTTTTTTTTTACTTTGGCTAGAATGCAGTTTAGTGGACACCCGAAGCACTTACATGCAGAGCGCGGGCTCGTTTTTGGTCACGATTATAGGGTTATGGTTTAGGTCAGCGTCTAAGGTGTCTGCTAAACTGCAGTAATCCCTTTACTTTTTTTAGGTTGCAATCAAAATCACAGAAGTTCATGGGGAGAAGGCTTCCATCATCCGACGTAACTGTTATAGGGAGGTGTTGTCTCTAAACCAGTTAGATCATCCGTGTATCATCAAAATTCACGAGATATTTAAAACTACAAACATTTACTATCTGGTCATGGAGTATGTAGACGGTGGAAGCTTGCTGTCGTTCATACGCGAGACTCCCGGGAGTAAATTAACGGAAAATGATTCCAGGTGGTATTTTCAACAAATGGTTTCTGCTATCGATTATCTTCATCGTCGGCATATCGTTCACAGGTTAGTGTATGCAGGCTCATTTTGTCTTAGTTTCATTGTAATCCATCCGCCCTACTGTCTTCATCGCTACTTTGATGCTATTTAGAGCTCGTTACGTGGCACGTGGTTAAACGATCAACGTTTCCGCTTTCGACATTCAAAATATTTAAATTACCATGTGCTCGTCAGTGGCATGGCATGCTTGATAATTGAGGCTTAATATTCATATATGCATATTCTGCTTTGAAATCAATTGTTTTCTGCTGATTATAACATGTACATATGAATGTTGCCTCCCTATCCCCTCCCGAGGCTAGCTATGTCACTGTTTGTTCGTTTTGCAATTCAAGCTGATTATTAATACATTAGTTGCTTCTTTCAACTTCTCTACTATCTCAAGAAGAGGGAGCTTTGCATGAAGTTCCTCAAAGTGATAGCTATAACTGATCTAAATACAACATTGCATGACTCTGCATAACAACGAGAGTAGATTGCCGCGTGTTATGGTATAGCTACGTCACGTGTTGTAATGTAGCTACAGATCTTGTGTTGTTGTGCAACTACGTCACTCGCTGTGGTATAGTTAGCACGTCACGTATAGTGATGTAGCTACAGATCCTGTGTTGTTGTGCAACTACGTCACTCGCTGTAGTATAGTTAGCACATCACGTATTATGATGTAGCTACAGATCCTATGTTGTTGTGCAACTACGTCACTCGCTGTAGTATAGTTAGCACGTCACGTATTATGATGTAGCTACAGATCCTGTGTTGTTGTGCAACTACGTCACTCGCTGTGTATAGTTAGCACGTCACGTATTATGATGTAGCTACAGATCCTGTGTTGTTGTGCAACTACGTCACTCGCTGTAGTATAGTTAGCCCGTCACGTATTATGATGTAGCTACAGATCCTGTGTTGTTGTGCAACTACGTCACTCGCTGTAGTATAGTTAGCACGTCACGTATTATGATGTAGCTACAGATCCTGTGTTGTTGTGCAACTACGTCACTCGCTGTAGTATAGTTAGCACGTCACGTATAGTGATGTAGCTACAGATCCTGTGTTGTTGTGCAACTACGTCACTCGCTGTAGTATAGTTAGCACGTCACGTATTATGATGTAGCTACAGATCCTGTGTTGTTGTGCAACTACGTCACTCGCTGTGGTATAGTTAGCACGTCACGTATAGTGATGTAGCTACAGATCTTGTGTTGTTGTGCAACTACGTCACTCGCTGTAGTATAGTTAGCACGTCACGTATTATGATGTAGCTACAGATCCTGTGTTGTTGTGCAACTACGTCACTCGCTGTAGTATAGTTAGCACGTCACGTATTATGATGTAGCTACAGATCCTGTGTTGTTGTGCAACTACGTCACTCGCTGTAGTATAGTTAGCCCGTCACGTATTATGATGTAGCTACAGATCCTGTGTTGTTGTGCAACTACGTCACTCGCTGTAGTATAGTTAGCACGTCACGTATTGTGCTGTAGCTACAGATCCTGTGTTGTTGTGCAACTACGTCACTCGCTGTAGTATAGTTAGCACGTCACGTATTGTGCTGTAGCTACAGATCCTGTGTTGTTGTGCAACTACGTCACTCGCTGTGGTATAGTTAGCACGTCACGTATTGTGCTGTAGCTACAGATCCTGTGTTGTTGTGCAACTACGTCACTCGCTGTAGTATAGTTAGCACGTCACGTATTATGATGTAGCTACAGATCCTGTGTTGTTGTGCAACTACGTCACTCGCTGTGGTATAGTTAGCACGTCACGTATAGTGATGTAGCTACAGATCTTGTGTTGTTGTGCAACTACGTCACTCGCTGTAGTATAGTTAGCACGTCACGTATTATGATGTAGCTACAGATCCTGTGTTGTTGTGCAACTACGTCACTCGCTGTAGTATAGTTAGCACGTCACGTATTATGATGTAGCTACAGATCCTGTGTTGTTGTGCAACTACGTCACTCGCTGTAGTATAGTTAGCCCGTCACGTATTATGATGTAGCTACAGATCCTGTGTTGTTGTGCAACTACGTCACTCGCTGTAGTATAGTTAGCACGTCACGTATTGTGCTGTAGCTACAGATCCTGTGTTGTTGTGCAACTACGTCACTCGCTGTAGTATAGTTAGCACGTCACGTATTGTGCTGTAGCTACAGATCCTGTGTTGTTGTGCAACTACGTCACTCGCTGTGGTATAGTTAGCACGTCACGTATTGTGCTGTAGCTACAGATCCTGTGTTGTTGTGCAACTACGTCACTCGCTGTAGTATAGTTAGCACGTCACGTATTATGATGTAGCTACAGATCCTGTGTTGTTGTGCAACTACGTCACTCGCTGTAGTATAGTTAGCCCGTCACGTATTATGATGTAGCTACAGATCCTGTGTTGTTGTGCAACTACGTCACTCGCTGTGGTATAGTTAGCACGTCACGTATTATGATGTAGCTACAGATCCTGTGTTGTTGTGCAACTACGTCACTCGCTGTAGTATAGTTAGCCCGTCACGTATTATGATGTAGCTACAGATCCTGTGTTGTTGTGCAACTACGTCACTCGCTGTAGTATAGTTAGCACGTCACGTATTGTGCTGTAGCTACAGATCCTGTGTTGTTGTGCAACTACGTCACTCGCTGTAGTATAGTTAGCACGTCACGTATTGTGATGTAGCTACAGATCCTGTGTTGTTGTGCAACTACGTCACTCGCTGTGGTATAGTTAGCACGTCACGTATTGTGCTGTAGCTACAGATCCTGTGTTGTTGTGCAACTACGTCACTCGCTGTGGTATAGTTAGCACGTCACGTATTATGATGTAGCTGATCTCGTGTTGTGGTGTAGCTACGTTACGTTTTTCAATGTACCTTACCTAGGCTTCTTATAAACTCAACTCTTGTGAAAATAACAATTATCGTTACTGCCTTCACCATCCCCGATTGTTTTCATTACCAAAATTTATCAATTATTACGGCAGCTGAAAAGCAGCTAGAACATGCGTTAGCATTCTCGTTTATGCAATCATACATTTCCATATTTCTATGGTTTTAGGGATTTAAAGATGGAGAACATTTTACTTCATGGCATGGACAAAAAATTTATAAAGTTGATTGGTATGTATCGACATATAAAAATGCTTCTTTCATGATCAACTTTCAACCTAACCCTGCCCAGCTATTCTGTGAATAACCAAAATATTATTCGGCACTTAAAGGTTCGGCAGTATTTAGCAATCACATCAGCTCATCACGTGAGTAACCAAAATATTGTTCGGCAGTTAAAAGGTTCGGCAGTATTTAGCAATCACATCAGCCCATCACGTGAGTAACCAAAATATTGTTCGGCAGTATTTAGCAATCACATCAGCTCATCACGTGAGTAACCAAAATATTGTTCGGCAGTTAAAGGTTCGGCAGTATTTAGCAATCACATCAGCCCATCACGTGAGTAACCAAAATATTGTTCGGCAGTATTTAGCAATCACATCAGCTCATCACGTGAGTAAGGGGGTGTTTACATGAATCCGGAATGAGTTTCGATCCGGAATGAACTCATTCCACTTTAAAAGAAATCCTACTGCATGTTTACATGAATCCGGAATGAGTCACAACTCGATGCGGATAGAGTTCATTCCTATTTTCATTCCGGATCGAAATTTACTTTTTATCTCATGTAAACGCGAATTGAGTTTCATTCTTGAATGATATTGTGATTAATGACGAATCACGCATGTGCCATGGGTATTGTCTTCTGGCAAATTGAAGCTCGTAAGTAAATAAAGAGGCTAAATGGGTTAAAATGAGTGCGAAGAAAAACAACAATTAGTTTCATGTAAACACGGATTGACATCACGTTTCGATCGGGATTGAAAGTCATTCCGGATTCATGTAAACACCCCCTAAACAAAATATCGTTCGCCAGTTAAAGGTTCGGCAGTATTTAGCAATCACATCAGCCCATCACGTGAGTAACCAAAATATCGTTCGCCAGTTAAAGGTTCGGCAGTATTTAGCAATCACATCAGCTCATCATGTGAGTAACCAAAATATCGTTCGGCAGTATTTAGCAACCACATCAGCTCATCACGTGACTAACGAAAATATTGTTCGGCAGTATTTAGCAATCACATCAGCCCATCACGTTAGTAACCAAAATATTGTTCGGCAGTATTTAGCAATCACATCAGCCCATCACGTGAGTAACCAAAATATTGTTCAGCAGTTAAAGGTTCGGCAGTATTTAGCAATCACATCAGCCCATCACGTGAGTAACCAAAATATTGTTCGGCAGTTAAAGGTTCGGCAGTATTTAGTAATCATGTCATCCAATCACGTGAGTAACCAAAATATCGTTCGCCAGTTAAAGGTTCGGCAATATTTAGCAATCACATCAGACCATCACTCTGTGTCGTTTTTTTCCCTCGAATACTATGGGAAAAATTTGTTGACCTCTTTTTGGCAATTTAGTATTGGCACGAGATTGTCACAACTTATACCCCTTCACTTTTTTTACAGATTTTGGTTTTAGCAACATCTTTTCCAAGGATGATTTTCTAAGCACGAGATGTGGATCACCGGAATATGCTGCTCCGGAACTTTTCAGTCGGGATTCTAAATACACCACAGAAGTTGATGTGTGGAGTTTGTAAGTCCATCGTAGTTTTCTGCTTTACACTATACCGTATTTGCTCTTCACGACATCTTCATTTGCTTTAAAGGGGTAACTGTTCGGAGTAAAAGCTTATTATACTGACAGATTTAGTCTATTTAATTGTGTTTCTGACATTGAACAATTTCACTGCCTTTAAAATACAAAGAAAATTTAACCTGCTACAATAGTAATCCGGTGTAGTGTAAACAGGGGCTTAGTTTTCAGCTTTACTACATGACTTGATGCACATGTTTGTTAGGGTGTTGGGTGATTGTTGTTTTCTTTTTGCAGAGGTATAATCTTGTATGGAATGGCAATAGGATCGCTGCCTTTCAGGCAAGTAACAAAGAGTTACGGACACTAAAGAGGGGGGTGAGCCAGGCCTGTATAAAATATCTCATTTTCTGGGACCACAACGCCTGCGTAAGTATTTTCTGCAAAAAAACAACGCCTGGCGGACATTTTCTCTCAACAAATATATGAATGAAATCATACGCATCAATCGCTACTGTTAAATGCAATAGTTGAAGAAATGACTTGTAAGAACTGCAAAAACTTTTTCTTAGCTACTGTGTTCTTACTTTCTGAGTGCAGAGACTACTGTCAGGCAAGCAATGTGTCTTTATATACATGAAGCTTATTCTTCCTTTCTGTTTTTCCTTTCAATGTCCATCCAGTTTTTTTTCTTTGAGAATTCTAACTTTTAGAACTTTTAACCAAATTTTTTTTCTACCGACATCAAAAATTTGCTGGGACCTGCAGTCCTGCGGTGCGCTATATTATGCAGTCCTGGGGCGAGCCCCCCGCCAAATAATTTTGAATAACTAAAAACTTTTCACAACAAAATGTATTGCAACCAAATTACAACCCTGCCTATAACAATTTAGATTTTAAGAACATGTTAAGCTTAAATTTTTGATTTATCTCATCTGTATATAAAAGCTTGTTTAGGCTATGATTTTAAATATCACACCTAGATAACATAATTCTCTTGATAATAATGACTTTTTATAGACTTTTGTACTGAACAAGTTTCAGCATACACATCAAACCTAGTTAATGACTTTTTCGTTTGGGGTACTTTGTAGGATATTGTAGGATATCACACACCTTGGGGATTACTTGCCACAATACTTCGTTCAACGTATTAGTTGATCAGTCATGAATTTTTCTACACTTTGTTGTTTTGTTTGGTTTGGTTTTTCTTGTAAAAATTTTCATTTTGAAGAACTTTTTATCAATTTTTGATTTAGAAGCGAAAACTACGGCAATTTGGTGTCCTCCATAAACAAAGGCGTCACCGAGTTTCATAGAGAAAAAATGAAAGATTTGAGTTCAGGTGTGTGGCATTATACATCAAATCATACAGCAGTGGTCATGGTTAGAGAGCGCTCTTGAGTTTTACACAGTCAACTCATCCTGTTTACTCTTATGAACGAGCTTAAGTAATCAATTCATCTTGTTCTTCAGGATGAAGTTGAAGTAGTGAGCTTATCGTATTTGTTATTCAGGATGAGATTGACTTAGTCAGCTCATCCTGTTCTTCGAGATGAGATTGACTTAGTCACCTAATCCTGTTCTTCGAGATGAGATTGAATTAGTCAGCTCATCCTGTTCTTCGAGATGAGATTGACTTAGTCACCTAATCCTGTTCTTCGAGATGAGATTGAATTAGTCAGCTCATCCTGTTCTTCGAGATGAGATTGACTTAGTCACCTAATCCTGTTCTTCGAGATGAGATTGAATTAGTCAGCTCATCCTGTTCTTCGAGATGAGATTGACTTAGTCACCTCATCTTGTTCTTCGAGATGAGATTGAATTAGTCAGCTCATCCTTGTTTTCAAGTGAGTACTTATGTTCTTCTTCGCTTCGATGTTCAAATATGTCTTTAAACTTTAGACTTCGCCGCTCTCGTGTCAAACATCCTTCAACCGAAAATGACAAAGCGATACACAATAAAAATGATCAAGAACCATATATGGTATTCGCTCGGAAATCATTCAAACTTTTCCGCGTTTAGTGTGCCTGAACTGGATAGGAATACAAAAAATAAGGTGAAGTGTGTAGCAGCATTAATGTTAAGACAATCCTTCAACTGCATGATAGTTCAATACTTTGAAAGTCTATGATTATTTTTCTTCATTTATAATTAAGCTTATCCAACTTACTGCCGACATTATGGGAACAACTAAAGATGATGTCATTGTTACCGTGGAAACAAGGCAATGTGATGCGACATACGCGGTCTACAACACGCTCTTCCTCGAAGAACTGAAAAAGAATCATCACAAAAACACATCACCTCTTATCATTCGTGATCACCGGGTATGCATCACGAGTTTTTCACGTGAAAGATCCGCAAAACGACAAAAGACAGCAAAGGAGAAAGATGCATCGAAGCGTGCAAGAGATCTCATGGCAACTAAACTTCGTGTCATGAGAGTGAAACGACGTTCGGCTGGAGGGAATAAAGCTGCAGAAGTGAAAAGGTTATAAGCAGTTTCGCGTTTTATCAGAGCTGCCGAAAAACGTTTTGGGGCTCCGTGTTTTGAATTTTGCAACCATGTAAAGCAGATTGCAGAGTCAAGTCCCTCAGACCAAATCTAGGGGAGGGTGAGGGAGGGAATTTACATGGTGTCACTTTGCTAACTTTTATTCATAAGTCATTTTTGGGAGTTTGGAGAAAAGAGTAAAGAATCGGTGTGATTTTAAAAGCAGTCAAACATTTTATTGTATATCATATATAATGAACATTTACTGAGTCGTTTTTTGATTGGTCAATAGACTTTGCTTTGGCAATAAATACAAAACACACCAGTGAGCAAATAGTAGTTTTAGGCAAACATCTCAAAATTGAAAAAATATGACGTAGGCGAAAAAGTTAGTCACGTGACGATATATGGTCACACTATCTCTATTACACATTGGTATCATCTACGACATGACGTCACACCTATTTATACGATTTCACGGCTTCGCTCTTGTCAAAAGACTCCTCCCTACGGTAAATTCAGTTATAGGGCACTGTTGATTGACCCTTTGTTTCCCACTGCTATAATATGGCAACTCAATTTACAAAAACAATGAAAACTAAGGGGATAAAATAGTGTGGTGAGCAAAAATGTACTTTATGTCCAATGTACTTCATTTGAGAAATAAAAATGTTTACTGTGTTTGCACAGGCTTATGCAAACCGAGGAGACCTTTTGGTGAACTTAATAGTAGATCAGTGTAAGCCCAAGACCGAAGGTCGAGTGCACAAGTGTTTTCAAAAATGTCTCCGAGGATTACGTAAGCCAGTGTGAAGACGAAAAACATGTTTTACATGCAATGCGTAAAAGTTAAGTTTAAAACAAACGTTTTAATTTTTCCTCTAACATGTATTGTATTCATGATTGATTTGCAAATTCTCATTGATTGATTTAATTGGTTGAGCTGAGATCGGTTTGCACAGGCTCATGTAAACTCAGCTATAGACCAATCAACGCATGCGTCTCATTGTTGTAATGTCACAATTACCATTTTTCAACTGCAGGAGTGTGCTTGATGGGGTAGGCTGCGTTGTTGGTACGACATTCGGACAAAGAAGAAAGGAGAATGACGTCACGAAGGATAAAAATGATGTGGCAAGAAAAATAGAAAAAGAGAGAAGGATTCAAGAGTACATATTTGAAACGGCTATCAAAGCAAGGAATTATCAATCTGCAATCACTCCTTGGGTATCGACAAATAGCCTTTCAAATAACGACTGTGTCTCGTCAAACAGTATCGACGATTTCCCGAACGAAGAGATTAATGTTAATGATCATTGTAATGACGAAGAAAATTGTACAAAATCACAATGTAATGTTGAAGTAAGTGATAAAAAAATATGAAAGACACGGCGTTACGTAGTTGCATTGCAGAAAAATGGGAACTGGCCAATCATAGTTGATTCTATCTTTTTTTACTCACGGCTCGTGTTGCGAAGAATAGGGAATTGAGGGAAGCATTTAAACTAAGGGAAACATCCAGCATGCTTTGCGCAGACTGTTTCATTCAAAGTCATGTCAAATGTTCAAATAATTTTAAAAAACGGGTATCTTCTTAAAGCTTCATTATGTGTTTTTCCACTTAAAAAACAAGTGATATCTTTGCCCTTATTATCAATGGATATTAGTAGATTTGCATTTAGTCTGTTTTTAAAAAACTTGCCACGAATCTTTTTCATCTCATACCTGACTCGCCTTAAATGGCTTTTCGATTCATGATTCAGTACAAATATCCCTTACATCCTATTTTTAAGGGTCGAACTTGTTTTCGTCTAGGTTTCATCAGATCTGAAATCGAACACTTCTAACGACAAACTTGATTACGTGAATGCTTCTGAGTCGGCGGTAAAGGACACGGAAAATGAAAAATGTTCTCATACGATTGAAGGTCATCGTCCAAGGCGCTGTACTGAAGGCGAGATTTCAAGTGTTGATTTTGAGAAACATGTAATTCCAACATTTATTACTTTGCCCGTATCGACTGTCACAAGTCGTATTGGCACTTCTTTATCGAATGATAACAAGCAGAGTTGTGAAGACGGAAGGACGACGGAAGATTGCAAGGCATCGAAGCAGGAAGATAACGAAATGAGTTGCAGAAGTTTGATAATCGATACAACTTGTAACTCTCGCCGAGCAATCGTGAAAAAAAGAAAAAATCGTGCAGGAAAAAGATATGTGGGAAGCGCAATACTCTCTCAAAGAAAAGGTACTATACAACAAGAATATTGTTACATGTTTGTAGATGTAGATCGTCCAGGCTCTTATAGTCCTGAGAAGGACTGTTTTTGTTGTTGTTGACTGACGTTTCGACAACCTTAGCGGTAGTCATCTTCAGAGTCAAAAAACACAACCATTTGTTTCACCGTATTTCATTCCAAGATGGAGAAACACTAAAAACATCAATTCGTTGGAAATATTTGTTTTCAATACTCATGAAACCAAAAAAGTAATATCAAAGAAAAGGCAAATGTTTCCTTAACTGTGTTTTCTTAAAGTATAGGCAGATATATAAGCATTTGGAAAACATCATGGATGAGAATGCTTCTAAAGCAATGCGATCTACTTTTCCTATTAAGACTCAAATATTGTTTAGTGTTTACCAGCACGATTTGGATTGAGTTAATCTGATAATCTGTTATGAGTTTAAATGATTTGTTTCTTCTTTTTAGGATCAAACGTCAGCACAATTCCGACAAAAAAGTACGTTTCGCCGAATCTTTATTGGTTCGTATCTTCTTGAAATTTGCACGCAAATCTGCATTATCGTAATTATATTTTAGAACTGTAAGCCCAAGCAAAGATGTCGAAGAAGCACTCCAAGAACGGTGCGTTTGTCATACTTGTACTCAAATTTTCCAGTCATTATATAATAACACATATAGTATAAAGCAAATTCCGAAAAAACAAGACATCTTGAGATTGCAAAATATGCATCAAAACAAGACGAGAAGTGAACTGTAAATTTTCGACTTTATTTCAAAGTCAATGATTCTATTCCCATTGACAACCGCTCATCAATAGATGATAATCTACCTAAACTCTGAGTTCGTATTCCTTATCTTGGCATGCGTGGCGATTTCCTCTAAAAGTTCTGTTTTAAGAAAATACAACGACATCTTTCTCAATCGGTGAAATTTGTTACTATTTTTGCTTTATACTATATTTCTTTAAATTGTCGGCTGGTCATGATTTTTATATAATAACTCAAAGAGTCCATTTGAAAACTATCGAAAGGGGGGGGGGAGTATGGCTGTAAAAAGGATCCTTCCAAAATGTCTTTATTTCCTTCTCACACTGTTGATATTTGATTCGTAAAGGTTAAAGCCATGCCTAAAGAATTCCGGTGCCTCACTAAGGTAAATACTTCGGCTTTCTTAATTTTCTATACGATTCTCACGTGACTTATTCATTCAATCAAATCTGTCATAGAAAGCGGCCTTCTAGCCGACAACAAGGTTTGTGTAGCCAACTTTTTAGACATTTTTCTTTGATGTCTATTGTCCAGCAGGATATTCTACCTAAGTTAACAGTGCAAGGTATGGTTTTGCTTTTTATTTATTTGTTTTGCACAACAGAAAATCTCGAGAAAGTCCGAAGAGCAAGATGAAAAAGTATACCAGAGATATGCAAGACCAAAGACTACTGCATCATCACAACCCTCACGATATAACCAATGTCGACGCAATAGCTCGCATCAATTGGAAAAACGAAAAACCTTGGCAGAGTTTTGCAAACAAATCCAAAACCACAAGGTATGATGAAGAAATGATTGGTACTTTGTAGATAGCAAAGTTGTTGTACAACATCTTAATGTAGCATGGGTTTTATTGATAGACTGTAGGTCAGGGGCCGGTTGCATGAAGCCTGGATAACGCTATCCACTGGATAGCAATTTTTGTATACTTTTATAAAACCTTTAAAAAGCAAAAATACAAGATTCCACACAAGCAATCAACGAATTAAAATAGCGTTTGGAAAATTACGAAATTTTTTGTCGTAAGAAAAATACAAACACGTTTTTACAAGTTTGAAAATTTTTGCCATCCAGTGGATATCCATGCTTCGTGCGACCGGTCCCAGAATTCCAAGCAGAGCTATTGAGCAACGAATGATCACTGTATTTAAATTAAGGTTTTGTCTTTACACCTCATTTGTACCACCTTGTATGTCTTTTGTATCCAGTTCATCACACTTAACTCACTGTAATGTAACTAACTCCTAATATAGAAAACTTTGTACATGTTTAAACCCACACCAGGGGCTTGGAAGCCGTGGGTGTCTGGGTGTCCGAACACCGAGAATTTTTGCAGTGAGGGTGTACCTTATAAAAGGACACCCACATGTTTTTAGATGTCGATCCAGGTTAGTACAGTCCTGAGAAGGTTTGTTGAATTCGACTGGCGTCTCGACAACCTTAGTGGTAGTCTTCTACGGTGGTCAACAGCGGTAGTCAACATCATAGCGGTAGTCGAATTTTAAACATCGCCATTCGTTACTCAATGGTTATGCTTAGAATTTACTGTTAGACAGTTGTGTTTTTTTTGTTATAAGACTGACTCTTTCATATAAAAGCCCACCTGTTGTATATGAATTGGTTAAAAAGTCCTTGACTGGAACAGTACCGCATTTTTTTAAAAAAATATTTGGTTTTAATTGTGAAGAACGACTACACGAAGTAATGAGCTCCACATTCCGAAAGTGAAAACTGAAAGCACAAAAAACTTTTAATTGTGATTGTTGTATAGTATAGAAATCTTTCATATAGTTATAGTTTTGGGAAGGAAGCTTTCGTGTATTGTGTTTTACGTTTTTATTGATTTATCTGTAGTATAGAGTTTCTATTTGTATTTATTTTTGTCAATTTGCAGGGGCCGGTTGCACGAAGCGTGGAAAGCGTTATCCATTGGATATGAAAAATTTTCAAACTTGTAGAAAAGGTGTTTATATTTTTCTTACGACAAAGAAATTTCGTAGTCTTCAAATCAATATTTATTTCATTGATTGCTCAGTTCGAATCTTATATTTTTTGCATTTTAAAAGGCTTTATAAAAGTTTAAAAAAATTGCTATTCAATGGATAACGCTATCCAGGCTTCGTGCAACCGTCTATCTATCTTTATAGTTTATTTTGAAATTGAAATACATCCTACCTAGTTGCAGTCCTAACTTTATATCGAGGAATCATTCTTTTTTGTAGGGGAAGCGCCCCTCATCCAAAAATCGACTCATGGATAAAACCAAACAATGCGGATTTTGAAGTCATGGGGACAAAAATGCCTGTTAAAGGTAACTGTGAGATGAACATGGAAGACAATTCATCATGTCAGATGAGCAATAAACGCGGTACTGTCCTTGTCAACACCCGTACGTCTGAAAAATCATTCGACATAGACAGAAAAACGTCATCACCGATAGATTTGATTGTTGGGACTAGCTGTTTCAAAAAAGACTTTGCAATTGACAAAGTCAGTAAAAAAGAAGAAGCGCGTCTCTTGGACGAAGACGCGAAAAATATGAATAATTCAAGCAATAGTATGGCAAATTTACTCTCTTGTTGGTACGTCTTAAACTATAATGTATCAATTACTATAACTAATTGATTGTTGGTATGTCCTAAACTATAATGTATCAATTACTATGACTAATTGATTGTTGGTACGTCTTAAACTATAATGTATCAATTACTATGACTAATTGATTGTTGGTACGTCTTAAACTATAATGTATCAATTACTATAACTAATTGATTGTTGGTATGTCTTAAACTATAATGTATCAATTACTATGACTAATTGATTGTTGGTACGTCTTAAACTATAATGTTCAATTACTATAACTAATTGATTGTTGGTATGTCTTAAACTATAATGTATCAATTACTATGACTAATTGATTGTTGGTACGTCTTAAACTATAATGTATCAATTACTATAACTAATTGATTGTTGGTAAGTCTTAAACTATAATGTATCAATTACTATGACTAATTGATTGTTGGTATGTTAATTAGAGTGATGGCTATATTAATTACCAAGGCTTGAGTTACCGACAAAGACTTAATATAGTAACATGCAGTTTCGTCCAAATATAGTGTTATATACCTAATACATAGAAAATGAGAGCGTTGTAGATCAGAATACCAGTGCCTCACAGACTGACATTTTGGTCATCCCAAACCTTGTCACTATTAAATTCTGTTTCAGGTTATCAAAAATAAATCTATCCAAAAAGAGTTTCACCAAATGTCGAAAACTGGATTCAACTAAAAACGAAGAAGTCACTTGTGAAAAATGTTGCCAGGATGAACTCTTTGAAAAGGCCTGTGCTCAGATCAAGCATTTCATTGATAAAGACGGCGAAAAATTTTTCAATAGCAAGAACGGAAAGCGCCCGACCGATAATAATCGTATCAATACAAAATGGAATGCTGTGGAGAAACTTATTTGTACAGGTCATAAGGCAAATAATTGGACCAGAGAACAGGTGTGATATCTAATAAGAAAGTCCAAATATTTTTTCTTGAGAAATTTATGGTTTTGATAGTCTTTTACGTTTATCGTTAGGTAATCGAAGGCAATCCATTGCAAAGTTATAAAGTAGAGAATTGTCAACAAACATCAGATACTGTGAAGCCATTCGTTCCAGCTTCGGCAAAACAACCAATCATCATTCCTGACTCAACTATGAATACGTTTAAACCAATGAACGAAGACCATTCTGTTCAGATGACTGCTTACAAAGAAAGTATAAAGTTGAAAGATAAACACTGTGAGAACAATGAAAGAAAAAGTTATGGTATTAACATATTCTTGTCCTTGACTTTCTGAAGTCGCATGAAACAAGTATTGTTTATTTTTCTTTTCTTCATAGTTGACTGGAGATCACAAATGAAACCCAAGATATTAGGTTCGCATGGTATAAGAGAATGTGGTAACCCAAAACGCTCAGCTGAACTAAAAAATAATGTATGTTGATTCATGTCTATGTCATTGGCATATAATTTTTCCGAGACCATAACCATCAGCGAGAATAGGAAAAGTCTTCTATACAGCATTTCACAGAAGTTATTTTCAACAATAACTTTTACTGTATTGCCAAGTAAAGTCATGTTTATGGTGTGCAATACAACATTGTTCCCCATGCTCACGTTAATCAGAAGCAATTTGATGATAACTATAAAACGTGCAACCAGGCATGACATGTTTATACACATAAGAGGTATATAGTCAAATCAATCAATGTCGGTAGATTGGTTTTAATGCCATAGGATACGGCATGCAACCAGGCATGACATGTTTTAATGTCATGCAACCAGGCATGAGATGTTTATACACATAAGAGATATATAGTCAAATCAATCAATGTCGGTAGATTGGTTTTAATGCCATAGGATACGGCATGCAACCAGGCATGACATGTTTTAATGTCATGCAACCAGGCATGACATGTTTATACACATAAGAGATATATAGTCAAATCAATCAATGTCGGTAGATTGGTTTTAATGCCATGGAAAACTATATAGGATACGAAATTAATCAAAATACAATGAAAGAACACTTTCAGTTAGGCTATTGGAAGCTTAATCTTCATAAGTCAGTTAACAATCATTCATTTGAATTAACTCTATTGTCAAAGCTTGTCGAGTAACGTTTAGATTGTTTTACATTCGAGCAAGATAGCTTGTTCAGTCCATTTTAAGAACTTTCTTTCATTATTATTATTTTTTAGTTGGCCATTGGCAGCACAATGTGGATTAATACACATTTGAGTGCCGCACAAGCAAGCAGAAAGTTAGAAGAGGGAGTTTTGCCAAATGGGATAGTTTAGTGAGTTTTGTATACACGTTTCATCCGCTTTATTTTAAATAAAACACTTCGAGTTCTTAGTTACGTAAATATGGCTGAAATGTAGTCTCTCTGTACATCACTCAATGCCCTGGTTTATGCCTGCCTTGATCATGAAAGCATCAAAGATGTACGCAGTGTTTCTAACTCGGTACACCTTTTGACAAAATCACGAAAAAATCTTGTAAGATCATGGCAAGATCACGCATGTTCTGCCAATTTCTTGCATTATCTTAGCAAGATCATCTTAGGACATAATAAGATCTTGGAAACATCATGAAAAGTTCTTGTAAGATCATGGCTAGATCACGCACAAAATCTTGCAATATCATGCATAAATATATTTTTGATTTAACAAATGGCAATAACAATGCTTGCAATTTAGTTCATGACAATGGCAATGCATTTGCCTTTTAAATACATCGCAGAACCACTGCACTTGCGATTTAATAAATCACAGTTTGCAAGTAAATACAATTTAAATCGCAACAGAAACATGTTGTTTTTGGTTCCGAATTTATTTACAAACGGCGCCCTATATTGGAAAGATCACGAAAATATCTTGTAAGGTCATGGAAGAATTATGCACAAAATCTTGCCAGATTATGCATGACCTGAAAAGTTCTAGCATGATCTTAACAAGATCATCGTTGGATTATGGTAAGATCTTTGACAGATCATCGTTGGATCATGGAAAGATCATCGTTGGATCATGGTAAGATCTTAGAAAGATCATGAAAAAATCATGTAAGCTCTCATGGCAAGATCGTACGCACAAAATCTTGCAAGATTATGCACGAGTAAGATCTAACAAGATCTTGGTAGGATCATGGCGAGATCTTGGTAAGATCCTTGAAAGATCATGAAAAAATCTTGCATTGTAAGATCATGGCAAGGTCATGCACAAAATCATGCAATATCATGCATGATCCTAGCTAGATTATCATAAGATTATCGTGGGATCTTTAAAAGATCGTGAAAAGTCTTGTAAGATCATGGTTACGGTCCCCAATGCATAACTTCAATCACAAAGGGCTGCGACATAAAACATGAACGAATTTACTTCTGGCGTTGGAAAGTTTGAGAAGTGCAATTTGAACCATTGATATTGTTTCGTTGAAGCGCAAAGGCAGTAAAACCATCGTAAGGAAGCCGAAGGCATGTAATCACATGTACCTGTTTTAATTCTATAGTAACTATATCAATAATATTATTTCCAAGATGGCTGCCAATAGTAATATAGTCGTTGATTCAGAAAAAGTTTGCTCTGCTTTTAAGGTATGCTTTTTGATATTTTATTTGAATATAATTTTAAAAGAACCCTTGCTCTACATCAAATTTTGCTTTACTCGGGTTCTGCAAAAAGATTTAGTACCCTAACTGAGAGTCTAAGACTGAGACAGCATGCTGACGACTGATTTAGCTTGAACCCTGAATATATCTTATGTAAGTAATATGTGATAAAGCAAGATGAGGTTGTAGTGTGTTCATCACGATCATTTCGTTCTTAGGAAGCAATAAAAAGTATAAAGGATGAAAACGATATTTCAGCAATATCAAAGCAATTTTCATCTGCTAATGGAAGGTTTGTGTATTTTTATAGATTTATTATAAGCTTGTGTAAGGGGAGTGTGGACCAGTCTTGTTATGATATGTCTTTTACAGACGAGAATAGGTTGTGTCTGACAGTGCCAGACTGCCAGAGTGACTGAGATTTATAATTAGCACATTTGAGATTTACACTAACATTCTCATCTATCTAATTAAAATTGATTTTAAACTTCATTTTTTGGCATTTTGTTTCCAGTTGGAAAGTATGACTACAACTTGAAAGATTTCATACAAAAAAACATACTATTCAAAATGTTTCTTTTGGTGTTGTAATTATGAGTTTCAGTAAATACTTTGTAGTATTTAACAACCTTGACATGTTTGTAAAATAAGACATCTTGCTGACTTGAATATCCACTCCCCCAGTAAATATCAACCTCCCAGTTAATATCCACGCCCTCCAGTAAATATCCACCACCCCCTGTAAATATTCCAACAATGGCCTTCCATCTTGCCAACCTGTTGCCGTGGTGCAATAAATGCCACATTTCAAGCATGTTTATTCAATTTGCAGCGATTCTGAAAAGCGCTCTTTTGCTGACCAAGCATTTCGTGAAATTCTTGTTGAAAAACTGGTATGTTCTCATGGTTAATATGATGTTCACCTTGGTGAAATAATTGAAGCATGAACTAAATTTCATATTTTTCAGACTGTTGATAAAACACCTTCTGCCTGTGATGGCTTGGTTCATTGTGCAATCAACAGCTCAAAAAAAGGTTGAAAGACTATTGTAATTGATAAACCGTTTTTATGCAATTTTGTAAAAACAAGGTGGCCACTATGCAATTTATAAAAGGAAAGCTTGTGTTACTTATTTACATGTGTTACTTATTTACATGTGTTACTTATTTACATGTGTTACTTATTTACATGTGTAACTTATTTACATGTGTTACTTATTTACATGTGTTACTTATTTACCTATGTTACTTATTTACATGTGTTACTTATTTACATGTGTCCTTATTTACATGTGTTACTTATTTACATGTGTTACTTATTTACATGTGTTACTTATTTACATGTGTTACTTATTTACATGTGTAACTTATTTACATGTGTTACTTATTTACATGTGTTACTTATTTACATGTGTTACTTATTTACATGTGTAACTTTTATAGGTGTTACAACAGTTGGCTTGCCAATTACCATGATATCTGACATGTTTGATTGTGTAACGGTGGATGCTTGTGAAGACCTATTCAAAATTGTTGAGAAACATGTGCTTACCTGGACATCAGTGAGTTTTGAATAAACTCTCATTCTTACACCTGAAACTTCTTCTGATATCATCTCATGCTTTACAATATTTAGGAACCTTTTTTTACTGCGGGAAAAAATCTTTTGCTCAGAACTTGTAATGACTTGCTGCGACGACTGTCTACATCACAAAATACTGTTTTCTGCGGTCGTATTCAATTGATCCTGACGAGACTGTTTCCTCTGTCAGAGAAATCAGGTAATAATAACTGTAATTCATTCTACCTGTAATGACAACTCTAATTCATTCTAATTACAATTATAAGTCTCATTCATTCTAATTATAATTATAGCTCTAATTCATTCATGACTATTATTTGTTCTAATGATAATAACAACTCTAATTCATTCTAATTGTAGTTATAAGTCTTATTCATTCTAATTACAATTATAACTCTAATTCAGTCATTACTGTTATTCATTCTAATTACTTTAACAACCAATTCATTCTAATTATTTGTTGTAATAAGTCTAATTTATTCTAGATATAATGATTACTCTAATTAGAACTGATTCATTCTCTCACCCCAGCCATTTGTATAATTTCCCACTCATTAATTCTGCACGTCAATTATTTCCACAGGTTTGAATTTAATGAGTCAGTTCAATTTGGAAAATATCACAAAATTTGACTACAAAGGAAACTCAAAAAAGGTAGACACGAAGCTCTCTGTGTGATCAACCATTTACGTACTTTACATTTAAAGTGAACCCGTGTGTGATACTATTATTAGGAAAATCCAACATCTTCGAAGGAAATTGTTGATACGTAAGTTTTCAATTTGTAACTGTGGTTTGTCCCAACACATCTACCCTAACGCAAAGGCAACATCTCTTTTTGTCCCAACACATCTACCCTAACGCAAGGCAACATCTCTTTTTGTCCCAACACATCTACCCTAACGCAAAGGCAACATCTCTTTTGTTCCAACACATCTACCCTAACGCAAAGACAACATCTCTTTTTGTTCCAACACATCTACCCTAACGCAAGGCAACATCTTCCCAACACATCTATCTAACGCAAAGGCAACATCTCTTTCCAACATCTACCCTAACGCAAAGGCAACATCTCTTTTTGTTCCAACACATCTACCCTAACGCAAAGACAACATCTCTTTTGTCCCAACACATCTACCCTAACGCAAAGACAACATCTCTTTTTGTCCCAACACATCTACCCTAACGCAAAGACAACATCTCTTTTTGTTCTAACACATCTACCCTAACGCAAAGACAACATCTCTTTTGTCCCAACACATCTACCTAACGCAAAGGCAGCATCTCTTTTGTTCCAACACATCTACCCTAACGCAAAGCAACATCTCTTTTTGTTCCAACACATCTACCCTAACGCAAAGGCAAAATCTCTTTTGTTCTAACACATCTACCCTAACGCAAAGACAACATCTCTTTTTGTCCCAACACATCTACCCTAACGCAAAGGCAGCATCTCTTTTTGTTCCAACACATCTATCCTAACGCAAAGGCAAAATCTCTTTTTGTTCCAACACATCTATCCTAACGCAAAGGCAAAATCTCTTTTGTTCTAACACATCTACCCTAACGCAAAGGCAAAATCTCTTTTGTTCTAACACATCTACCCTAACGCAAAGGCAACATCTCTTTTGTTCCAACACATCTACCCTAACGCAAAGGCAACATCTCTTTTGTTCCAACACATCTACCCTAACGCAAAGGCAACATCTCTTTTGTTCCAACACATCTACCCTAACGCAAAGGCAACATCTCTTTTTGTTCCAACACATCTATCCTAACGCAAAGGCAAAATCTCTTTTGTTCCAACACATCTACCCTAACGCAAAGGCAACATCTCTTTTGTTCTAACACATCTATCCTAACGCAAAGGCAAAATCTCTTTTGTTCCAACACATCTATCCTAACGCAAAGGCAAAATCTCTTTGTTCTAACACATCTATCCTAACGCAAAGACAACATCTCTTTTGTCCCAACACATCTACCCTAACGCAAAGGCAGCATCTCTTTTGTTCCAACACATCTATCCTAACGCAAAGGCAAAATCTCTTTTTGTTCTAACACATCTACCCTAACGCAAAGGCAAAATCTCTTTTTGTTCTAACACATCTACCCTAACGCAAAGGCAACATCTCTTTTTGTCCCAACACATCTACCCTAACGCAAAGGCAGCATCTCTTTTTGTTCCAACACATCTATCCTAACGCAAGGCAAAATCTCTTTTGTTCTAACACATCTACCCTAACGCAAGGCAAAATCTCTTTTGTTCTAACACATCTACCCTAACGCAAAGGCAACATCTCTTTTGTTCCAACACATCTATCCTAACGCAAAGGCAAAATCTCTTTTTGTTCTAACACATCTACCCTAACGCAAAGGCAAAATCTCTTTTGTTCTAACACATCTACCCTAACGCAAAGGCAACATCTCTTTTGTTCCAACACATCTATCCTAACGCAAAGGCAAAATCTCTTTTTGTTCTAACACATCTACCCTAACGCAAAGGCAAAATCTCTTTTTGTTCTAACACATCTACCCTAACGCAAAGGCAACATCTCTTTTTGTTCCAACACATCTATCCTAACGCAGGCAAAATCTCTTTTGTTCCAACACATCTATCCTAACGCAAAGGCAACATCTCTTTTGTTCTAACACATCTACCCTAACGCAAAGGCAAAATCTCTTTTGTCCCAACACATCTACCCTAACGCAAGGCAAAATCTCTTTTGTTCCAACACATCTATCCTAACGCAAAGGCAACATCTCTTTTGTTCTACACATCTACCCTAACGCAAAGGCAAAATCTCTTTTGTTCCAACACATCTATCCTAACGCAAAGGCAAAATCTCTTTTTGTTCTAACACATCTACCTAACGCAAAGGCAAAATCTCTTTTGTTCTAACACATCTATCCTAACGCAAAGGCAAAATCTCTTTTGTTCTAACACATCTATCCTAACGCAAAGGCAACATCTCTTTTGTTCCAACACATCTACCCTAACGCAAAGGCAAAATCTTTTGTTCTAACACATCTACCCTAACGCAAAGGCAACATCTCTTTTGTTCTAACATCTACCCTAACGCAAAGGCAAAATCTCTTTTGTTCCAACACATCTATCCTAACGCAAAGGCAAATCTCTTTTGTTCCAACACATCTATCCTAACGCAAAGGCAAAATCTCTTTTGTTCCAACATCTATCCTAACGCAAAGGCAACATCTTTTTGTTCTAACACATCTACCCTAACGCAAAGGCAACATCTCTTTTTGTTCCAACACATCTATCCTAACGCAAAGGCAAAATCTCTTTTGTTCTAACACATCTATCCTAACGCAAAGGCAAAATCTCTTTTTGTTCCAACACATCTACCCTAACGCAAAGACAACATCTCTTTTTGTTCCAACACATCTACCCCAACGCAAAGGCAACATCTCTTTTTGTTCCAACACATCTACCCTAACGCAAAGGCAACATCTTTTTTTTCCAACACATCTACCCTAACGCGAAGGCAAATCTCTTTTGTTCTAACACATCTATCCTAACGCAAGGCAACATCTCTTTTTGTTCTAACACATCTATCCTAACGCAAAGGCAAAATCTCTTTTTGTTCTAACACATCTATCCTAACGCAAAGGCAAAATCTCTTTTGTTCCAACACATCTATCCTAACGCAAAGGCAACATCTCTTTTGTCCCAACACATCTACCCTAACGCAAAGACAACATCTCTTTTGTCCCAACACATCTACCCTAACGCAAAGGCAACATCTCTTTTGTCCCAACACATCTACCCTAACGCAAAGGCAACATCTCTTTTTGTTCCAACACATCTACCCAACGCAAAGGCAACATCTCTTTTTGTTCCAACACATCTACCCTAACGCAAAGGCAACATCTCTTTTTGTCCCAACACATCTACCCTAACGCAAAGGCAAAATCTCTTTTTGTTCTAACACATCTATCCTAACGCAAAGGCAACATCTCTTTTTGTCCCAACACATCTATCCCAACGCAAAGGCAACATCTCTTTTTGTTCCAACACATCTACCCTAACGCAAAGGCAACATCTCTTTTGTCCCAACACATCTACCCTAACGCAAAGGCAAAATCTCTTTTGTTCCAACACATCTACCCTAACGCAAAGGCAAATCTCTTTTTGTTCCAACACATCTATCCTAACGCAAAGGCAAAATCTCTTTTTGTTCCAACACATCTATCCTAACGCAAAGGCAACATCTCTTTTTGTTCCAACACATCTACCCTAACGCAAAGGCAAAATCTCTTTTGTTCCAACACATCTATCCTAACGCAAAGGTAACATCTCTTTTTGTTCCAACACATCAACCCTAACGCAAAGGCAAAATCTCTTTTTGTTCTAACACATCTACCCTAACGCAAAGGCAAAATCTCTTTTGTTCTAACACATCTACCCTAACGCAAAGGCAAAATCTCTTTTGTTCTAACACATCTATCCTAACGCAAAGGCAAAATCTCTTTTGTTCCAACACATCTATCCTAACGCAAAGGCAAAATCTCTTTTGTTCCAACACATCTATCCTAACGCAAAGGCAACATCTCTTTTGTCAACACATCTACCCTAACGCAAAGGCAACATCTCTTTTGTTCCAACACTTCCTATCTCTTTCCAACCAACATCTCTCTTTTGTCCCAACACATCTACCCTAACGCAAAGGCAACATCTCTTTTGTTCCAACACATCTACCCTAACGCAAAGACATCTCTTTTGTTCCAACACATCTACCCTAACGCAAAGGCAACATCTCTTTTGTTCCAACACATCTACCTAACGCAAAGACAACATCTCTTTTGTCCAACACATCTACCCTAACGCAAAGGCAACATCTCTTTTGTTCCAACACATCTACCCTAACGCAAAGACAACATCTCTTTTTGTCCCAACACATCTACCCTAACGCAAAGGCAACATCTCTTTTGTTCCAACACATCTACCCTAACGCAAAGGCAACATCTCTTTTGTTCCAACATCTACCCTAACGCAAAGTTCAACATCTTTCTTTGTTCCAACCATCTACCATCTCGCAAAGGCAACTATCCTCTCTTTTGTTCCAACACATCTATCCTAACGCAAAGGCAAAATCTCTTTTGTTCCAACACATCTACCCTAACGCAAAGGCAACATCTCTTTTGTTCCAACACATCTACCCTAACGCAAAGGCAACATCTCTTTTGTTCCAACACATCTACCCTAACGCAAAGGCAACATCTCTTTTTGTTCCAACACATCTATCCTAACGCAAAGGCAAAATCTCTTTTGTTCCAACACATCTACCCTAACGCAAAGGTAACATCTCTTTTGTTCCAACACATCTACCCTAACGCAAAGGCAACATCTCTTTTGTTCTAACCCTAACACGCAAAGGCCTCTTTTCTTCCAACACATCTCTTTTCTCTTGTTCCAACACATCTACCCTAACGCAAAGGCAACATCTCTTTTGTTCCAACACATCTACCCTAACGCAAAGGCAACATCTCTTTTGTTCCAACACATCTACCCTAACGCAAGGCAACATCTCTTTTTGTTCCAACACATCTACCCTAACGCAAAGGCAACATCTCTTTTTGTTCCAACACATCTACCTAACGCAAAGGCAACATCTCTTTTTGTTCCAACACATCTACCCTAACGCAAAGGCAACATCTCTTTTGTTCCAACACATCTATCCTAACGCAAAGGCAACATCTCTTTTTGTTCCAACACATCTACCCTAACGCAAAGGCAAAATCTCTTTTGTTCCAACACATCTATCCTAACGCAAAGGCAACATCTCTTTTGTTCCAACACATCTACCCTAACGCAAAGGCAACATCTCTTTTGTTCCAACACATCTACCCTAACGCAAAGGCAAAATCTCTTTTGTTCCAACACATCTACCCTAACGCAAAGGCAACATCTCTTTTGTTCCAACACATCTACCCTAACGCAAAGGCAAAATCTCTTTTGTTCCAACACATCTACCCTAACGCAAAGGCAAAATCTCTTTTTGTTCCAACACATCTACCCTAACGCAAAGGCAAAATCTCTTTTGTTCCAACACATCTACCCTAACGCAAAGGCAAAATCTCTTTTTGTTCCAACACATCTATCCTAACGCAAAGGCAAAATCTCTTTTTGTTCCAACACATCTACCTAACGCAAAGGCAAAATCTCTTTTGTTCCAACACATCTATCCTAACGCAAAGGCAAAATCTCTTTTGTTCCAACACATCTATCCTAACGCAAAGGCAAAATCTCTTTTGTTCCAACACATCTATCCTAACGCAAAGGCAAAATCTCTTTTGTTCCAACACATCTATCCTAACGCAAAGGCAAAATCTCTTTTGTTCCAACACATCTATCCTAACGCAAAGGCAACATCTCTTTTGTTCCAACACATCTACCCTAACGCAAAGGCAAAATCTCTTTTGTTCCAACACATCTACCCTAACGCAAAGGCAACATCTCTTTTGTTCCAACACATCTACCCTAACGCAAAGGCAACATCTCTTTTGTTCCAACACATCTATCCTAACGCAAAGGCAAAATCTCTTTTGTTCCAACACATCTACCCTAACGCAAAGGCAACATCTCTTTTGTTCCAACACATCTACCCTAACGCAAAGGCAACATCTCTTTTGTTCCAACACATCTACCCTAACGCAAAGGCAACATCTCTTTTGTTCCAACACATCTACCCTAACGCAAAGGCAACTCTTTTTGTTCCAACACATCTATCCTAACGCAAAGGCAACATCTCTTTTGTTCCAACACATCTACCCTAACGCAAAGGCAAAATCTCTTTTGTTCCAACACATCTACCCTAACGCAAAGGCAACATCTCTTTTGTTCCAACACATCTACCCTAACGCAAAGGCAGCATCTCTTTTTGTTTCAACACATCTACCCTAACGCAAAGGCAACATCTCTTTTGTTCCAACACATCTACCCCAACGCAAAGACAACATCTCTTTTTGTCCCAACACATCTACCCTAACGCAAGGCAACATCTCTTTTGTTCCAACACATCTACCCTAACGCAAAGGCAACATCTCTTTTTGTCCCAACACATCTACCCTAACGCAAAGGCAACATCTCTTCAAGAAATAACGACCATTTGTATTTCAATTTAGGGAGGTTGTAGACTATGTTCTCTACACAAAGTTCTGGTCTTTGCAAGACTTTTTTCGATCTCCAACTCAATGTTACAATGATCTGCAGTGGAAAAAGTTTGTGGATGTAAGAAAGGGTTAATTGGATTTCTGAGTGTGGCGCTCATGTTGTTATTCACCATGTATTGTCATTCATCTGTGCTTTTATTCACCATGTATTGTCATTCATCTGTGCTTTTATTCACCATGTATTGTCATTCATCTGTGCTTTTATTCACCATGTATTGTCATTCGTCTGTGCTTTTATTCACCATGTATTGTCATTCGTCTGTGCTTTTATTCACCATGTATTGTCATTCGTCTGTGCTTTTATTCACCATGTACTGTCATTCCTCTGTGCTTTTATTCACCATGTATTGTCATTCGTCTGTGCTTCTATGTTTAATAAATGCTAAACCTTATCATCACTTCTTTACGTCTAGAATGCGTCTGCTGTGCTCTCTGCATTTAATAGTCATAAACTGGAACATGTATCAAAGAAAAGCAAGCATAACAAAACTAAAGATTTGAATGCAACGTAATTGCAGCATTTTTCTCAAACTGAACGTTTTGCAGTTAATAAATTGACTTTTTCTTTTCGAAGTGCCAAATCAGACAGTCAAACATATTTTGCCAAGTTTCTGACAAGCGAGAAGGTATTGAATATGTTTGCTCGTAGTTTTTATTTTGCAAAGTTTTGAAGAAACTACATTGGCATCGTCAACATCAACAATAATTGCTTGAACTATTGAACTACTTTTGCCATTCTTCTTATTTTATGAATTCAAAACTTGTACGTAGTATCGTTTGATTCTTTATTGATAGTATTATAGTAATTGGACTATATTTTTAATTGTTATAGTTGCTCTATTTGCAATTAGTAATTGGACTATATTTTTAATTGTTACAGTTGCTCTATTTGCAATTAGTAATTGGACTATATTTTTAATTGTTACAGTTGCTCTATTTGCAATTAGTAATTAGACTGTATTTTTAATTGTTACAGTTGCTCAATTTGCAATTGAATGATTCCAACTTCAGGAGAACAGTAAGTTTGCCGAACATAGTTGTAAAATATGATATCCCATTTAAAGGACAAATCTGAAAGTTTTGTTTTCTTTCTTAGATTCTCGTTCAACTTCTCATAATATTTCAATATTTGACTGGCGAAGTTAAATTTAAAAGGTATATATTTTCATTTATTGTGAAAAGGGTTTGTTTTATGTGATGGTTCTGTAAATTGAATCGACATTTTAGATGGTTCTGTAAATTTAATCGATATTTAGATGGTTCTGTAAATTGAATCGATATTTTAGATGGTTCTGTAAATTTAATCGATATTTTAGATGGTTCTGTAAATTTAATCGATATTTTAGATGGTTCTGTAAATTTAATCGATATTTTAGATGGTTCTGTAAATTGAATCGATATTTTAGATGATTCTGTAAATTAAATCGATATTTTAGATGATTCTGTAAATTGAATCGATATTTTAGATAGTTCTGTAAATTCAATCGATATTTTAGTGCAAATCAGAAACTGAAAGAGAGGCAAAGTACATTTGTGAAAGATACGACAACAAAAGTATATGAAGTAAGCAAAATATCTTCACGCAGTACTTTTATTTGACACTTTATTCAGTGGTTTTGCAGCTGATCTGCAATAATGACGAAACTGGATGGAGCTAAACCGGAAAAATGCCACTCAAACTGTTCAATGCCTGTTTTTTGTAATGAAAATGCCACTCAAACTGTTCAATGCCTGTTTTTTGTAAAAAAAAATGCCACTCAAACTGTTCAATGCCTCTTTTCGGTAATATTTGTTTTTCTGTTTAGCTGTTAAGAGAAACACCACCTGAAGGAGAGAAGTTTGCCAAATATGTAGAGGTAGACGCGCAATGCTATTATTTATAGAGTAAATTGAGGAAAGGCAGGGTACAATTCACATTACAGGGTTCTTGCAGGTGCTTGATGTCCTTGAAAAGTCCTTGTATTGAAAAATCAATTTTAAGGCCCGTTTACACGATCCCAAAAATGGATCGCGTGAACATGTTTAAAGTGAGCATCCGACAGTCGGATCCGTCAATCATAAAAATCGGATGGAAATAGAACTTGCTCTATTTTCAGCCGACTAGGCTAAAGTTTTTTACTCTTTATACTTCCCAAATTTGAGCTAACGCGAGAAATAAGATTTGAAAAAGACTTGAAAACAAGTATGAAAATACGCAAATATATCGATAAATGTACTGGACAACACAAATGGCAGCTTTCAAGACAATAAATATCTAAAGGAATATAAATGTGAACAAAGCTATTGGACCGTCTAAACAAGCAACGAACAGTTGGAACCGAAAAATCGATCTGGTGTACGGGCCTTTTAAGGCACTTGAAAAGTCATTAAAAAATTAAAACCCAACAATGTATCTTGAAATCTAGTAGCGTTACGAAATTTTATTTAGGGTGCTTTAAATAGAGAAGAAAACTGGATTGCATGGAAGAATACAGGTTGCCCTAGTTTCATCAAGGAGAAGTAAGTATTTTAAAGACGTCATGTAACTCAGCATATGTGTATTCACAGTATTCTCGGGAGGTTATGACAGATGTACTGGGGCCTGTTGCACGAAGCCTGGATAGCGTTATCCATTGGATAGCAAAAATTTTCAAACTCATAAAAAAGGTGTTAATATTTTTCATACGACAAAGAAATTTCGTAACCTTCAAAACAAAATTTTATTTCAGTGATTGCTCAGTTCGAATCTTATACTTTTTGCTTTTTAAAAGGTTTTATAAAAGTTTAAAGAAAATTGCTATCCAAATGAATAACGCTATCCAGGCTTCGTGCAACCGGCCCCAGATATTTGGATCCTACGTAGATAGCGCGCCACCTGCAAGTTCTTGAAGATAACTGCAAACTGTTATAAAGATTTATGCACTCTAAAGAAGATTATAAAATTGAAATTCATAAAAGCAACTTTCGAGCAATTGCTTTTGAATGAATGAGAATAACTCCGCTATACCGGTCACAAGCTCGGGACTTGTAGCGTAAGGCTCGCTGCTTTTGAGCAGACTTGTCTCGTTTGAAAGGAGGTTGAGTGGAAGGATTTTACTCACTATTTTATGATTGCTTTAGTGTAAGAAAAACATGATTTAGGTGTTTCGCAAATTACCACTCCCATTAAGTTTGGTCAGCTTAATATTCTCATATAGTTTCTGTATAGCGAGTGCATACTGAATTAATAAGAATAAAGAATAAGTGTAGTGTAGCTTGCCCAACGATTTTAGACCGTGCAGTACTGGATGTAAAATTTTTTTTGACTACATGCAGAAAAGTTAATATGCAGGCATGTTGACGATAAATTGCTTTGTTTCAGGGAAGAAAAAACGAAAAATGATGATGTGAAAAAGTGAGTTTTGACCACATTGAAACTACATCCCTCTCCAGTATTTTTTTTCTTTTATCTTTTATTTAAGGAATTTGTGAGACAAAATCCTATAGGCAACTAGCTCTACCTGTTTGTTTAATTAAGATGGTAACAAATTATTAAAACATGCTGTAAAACCAGAAAAATTCTTCTGCAATCATCCATCCCGCATCTCATTAATTTGCATCTTTAAAAACGCTTTTACTTGTACAACGGTATTTTAAAAACTCAATTGCTTTGTAAAATACTTATAAAACATATTGTTTCAGTTCTAGGAAACGTAAAGCGAGGGACAATATTTCAAGCATGATCGCCGGCTCAAAGATTGATTTGGGAAGGTAACAGTCCTTATGTGAAATTGAAAATTTCATTGCGACGTCAACTAGCAATCACATCGCTCTTGCTTTCATTTTGTCTAGCCCTGAACTGACTAGATTATGGAACTTATGTCCTGATAATATGTCCGCGTGTAAAGCTGAAAAAAGGTTTGTTATTTAGCTTTGTGTGGCTATAATATCAAATATCAATAAACGTAAATCGTTTATAGTGCTTTGTACAACTGAATATATAACCCTACCCTCCCCCCTCACGATTGACGTTCTAGGGACGGCTCTGCTTAGTACGTTCTTCATACAATCTCTATCTTAAAAAGACGCAACGATTTCATCCTTACCTGATCATACTCCATCATATGAACCTATCTATAACACAAACCGTAACAAAGGATGGTGTTCTGAACATCAGTTACTGAAGCATATAGTCTTACACATCAAAACTCTGACTCTCGCCATGCAACTGTGCTCCGACTCAGTTGCTCAGCACTAGTACTAGTCATTTTCTGCCTGTATTCCATGTTCCGTTGGAAGTTACGAAAGTGTGCCGTTGTTGTTTTCAGAAATTTTCTGCCGGATTTAAATAAGTATTTCGAAGAAGCCTTTGAACAAGCTGATCCAGAGAGTCAGATAGAGGAGCAATACAAGTACGTGTGAACGAAAACTTTTGTTTCCTTTAATCAGTTTCAATTTTTGTGATTGCAAACTAAAATCTGTTCTTATAGGCTTGTTAATGATCCAAAGTTTGGTTGGAGAGGTAGGTTTAAGCACAATCTCGTTCCCGGGCGCTTTTCTACCCTCTTTTTTGAATTCGTCGGCTGCGCGCAAAACACACAAGACTGGGGACGAAGCAATAAAAATTAGTACACATGATTAGGAATTAAAGCTTTCCCAAGGGCATCGAGACTGACTGGTGAAAATATGAAACTGCAATGCAGCAACACAACAGTATTTAATCCTGCATCTTTTACAGTACAATAACAAGTTTTGATTTTGGTGTTGGCATTTCAAAAAATTTCTCGTTTTTGTTCAAAGCAAAATTTAATCAAATTAAAAAAGAAAAATGCTGTCGATATTTAACGTTATAATTCGTTATTCTACAGTTTCTTATGATGTTAAATGGCCAAAACAATTACCACAAATTTTCTTGCTAGCATTGCGGTTGCTGTCAAGAAAAAGCCAACATTTTTTTCAACCAAGCACTCATCCCTTTAAAACCTTGCCCCAATACTTGGAGCTGGCTATTCAACAACTGGGACAAGAACTACTGGTAAGATTTGGGCTAGACTGCAGTTTAGCGGACACTCGAAGCGCTTGCATGGGGAGCGCGGGCTCGTTCTTGCTTAGGATTATAAGGTTAGGGTTAGGGTCAGCGTCCAAGGTCTCCGCTAAACTGCAACAGTCCGAAGATTTGTACATGTAGATCATCCAGGTTAGTGCTGTCGTGAGGACTGTTGGTGTTGATGTTGACTGATGTTTTGACATCCTGTTTATCTTCAGTTCAGTGACAAGTTGTTATGGTAACGACGTCACAAAATAGGTCAACATAAACACCAACAGTACTCAGGATTGCACTAACCTGAACGACGAACATGTTGAAATATATAACGATACGTACGTCTTCAAGTCAGTGACGTAGCCAGCCCGCAAGCGTAGCCAGCCTGCAAGCGTAGTCTGCCCTCAAATTTGGTCCTGCTACGTAAATTTTAGAGCATTAACATTATTCATTTCTTTAGAAATCTATTGTTTTTACAGTGAGTGAACACAGAAAAATTAACATAGCAGGACCAAATTTTCGGGCTGGCTACGTCACTGCTTCAAATCATTCACTACATTCCTGGCAAGATTGATAATACATGATCCCGTATCTGAGCGATTTCTCATAAACATTAGTTTTTTTCTTCACTTCTAAGCCTCCAAATAAAGTTGAAGATGAGTCTGATGAAGTTCAAGTCGAGAATGGTACGTACGACCGTCTCTTGTTTCCTAAACCAGGGCTCAAAATAACAGCCGGTCAGCGGACAATGACCAGCCACGTTGGTAGTATATTTAAACAATTTGAAGTTATAAATTTTGATGAACTCAATGTAAAACTGTCAAATAATGAAGAGTCAGCAACGAATGCTTCGTAGCGATACAGTAAACAGTGGCATGATTTATCTTGGTAAAAGCCGAGAATGAACTTGTTTACAATGACCATCCGCTTATAGGGAATGCAAATATGACCAAATTGAGTTTGTTCACCATCATTTAAAGATGGTTGTTAAGTTGTTAAGATGGTTGTTATTGAACTTTAATTGACCTAATGTGTATTGCTATGATTTTTATGTTAAAAATTGAACAACTAGTTTCTTCTTGATTTGATAAAGGTTTGGCTTCATCTCAAGTGCAAGAAGACAAACAAACAGGTGCAAAACAAAACGCAGCTCAAGACACTCATTAAAGCAAGTTGAAACTTTTTTTTATTCATTATATAAGAATCGAACGCCATCAGTGTTCGATTTCATATTCAAAGTATGATGGATCAAAGTAATGTACCCTTACGTATCCATCTTCACCACCACTACTGTAGCTGAAATAGATGACACAGACATTAACCAACAACTTTTCTTATAAAATGTAGTTTGTGCGAATTACAAACCTTTTGCCATCAGGATGAAATGCCACACTATTTATAGGACCAAAATGTCCTTTAACTCTGCCGATTTCCTCTTCAAACACCATGTGAAAGAATCTTGCATCAAATTTACCAATTCTTGTTGAGGTTGTTGTTACATCCATGGCTTCTTGCCCACCACCAAGAACAACCTATAAAGTGAAGTGTTTTGCAATACATACATAGACTAATAAGTTTGAAAATTGGTAATCCAGGCATTTAATACATAAAAGATAAAGTTTCTCTGGATTTTAAATGATGTTTTATTGAGCTTTCGATTTGTTGCTTCGAGCCTTCATCAGAATGAGGATATCATTTATTGACATTTGCTTTTAGCTTGTAGATGCTTAGAGCGTCTAATTGGATTAGCAGGTGGATTAATGTGATTGGATGGGGTGAAAGGCGTTGCCATAGACTAATAACAATATTGCTTTCTACGTAGTACTTACATGATGTTTTAAGGAAGATAACGAGGCTGAGTTAACTGGTCGCTCAGTTTTATAGGTTTTTATATGTTCCATGCTATCTGAATCAAACAACTAGAAAAGAAACTCCACAATGAGATAAGGTAATTCATTCTAAGGGGCCCATTACATGGAGCAATTTCAGCCTGGGCCTGTTATAATGTGAGAACAATTCTAACCTGGGCTGAAACTGCTGGAATTTCAGCCCGGCTTGAGCTTACCGGTCATGTAATTGTTTTAGCCCAGGCTGAAACCACAGCTGAAATATTCACGCATGCGTAATTGCGTACCTATTGCTTACAATGATAACAACAAAATGACAACAAATGTCTAAACACCGGGCTGAAATTGACCATATAATCACACAAAATTTCAGCCCAGCCTGAAATTGCTCCATGTAATCGGCCCCTAGTACAATAAACCACAAGTGATAAACTTTTAGCACCTTAGCAGTTGAATCCTTGGAAGCTGTGACAAACATAGTGGTGTCGTAATAAGGTTGGATGTCATTAACAGCTTTAGTGTGACCTTGAACATTAAGGAGAAGCTTCGAGTTCTGAAATGATATTATTTACAAGGTTCAAAAAGGATTTCAGGGTATTTTACAGCAAAAAAAACTTATAAAGTATGCTGAAACATGTGCTTTGTTAAAAAAATTGTTGTTCAATTGTAATGTCATAAGATAAATCTTATTGTTTCTAGTTATTGAATTAAGCTGCCAAACAATCATAGCATTTTAACTAAAAATTGTAATCATACAAAAATTTAAAATATACTGGTTTTACTACCTTGGAGTCCCATTGGCAAACTTTGCCGTCCTCATGTCCCGCAATAATAAAATAATCTAAAGGTCCCCATATGGCAGACGTAACTTTAGCACCAGCCACTGGTATACTCAAGTACGAGTTATTTCCACCTGGACACAGAGGAACAAATATTTTTTTTAATGTAACAATATAACCGAAGGGTTACCTCTTCATATAATTGTAAGCCAGCAATTCAACTGGTCACAATCTTTCCATGTGCTGCCCAAAGAAAGTTCATTTACTTACAACAATACAGTAGAGTATGGGATTCAACTCCCTGACATGCATGTAATTTAAGTTCATCAATTACAGGCATGGTTAAATAAAGGTAACCTTTCAGTTATATATTTAGTTCAATGAATGTAAATGACAAAAAAAAGTGAAAGCTTGTCAGTGAGATACCTAACTGTGCCGAATCTCTGATATCACAGAATAATATTTCACAAGCATGGCCCATCTGTTTATCAGTAGAAAACATCACTCTATTTCCACAATAAGAAAATGCACATGTGCGAACAGCGGATCTCGTATCAAACTTTCCAAGCTGTGTTCCAGTTTCCGTATCCCACAGTCTCATAGAATTATCGGCAGAGCCTGTGATGACTTTACTTGAAGTCCCTGTTTGCTGCAATTAAGGAAAGAATAAACTTCCACCAGATTTGAAAACTTAAGTATTTGCTGCATGGTCTTTTTTTAATCTAGAACTGCATGATGGTCACATGTAAATTGGTTTTTGATTCAATTGTATTGCTTTAGTCATTGCTCAGTCTTTCAAGAGTAGAAGGATACAGTCGACATCAATGCACCACACAGCTCCACCGTGGCCTTTATACGTTCCAAGTCGTTCACCATTGATTGAGTACCATACACATGGTGAACTGTCTTTTGCAGATGAAAAAAGTAAGTCACCATCTCTATTGTAGGTGATATGTGTAATTGATCGCTCGTGACCATGTAAGGCAATTGGTCGCTAGATAAAATATCAATCAAACTCTCAGTAAAAAATAACAAGATGAATGACAATGACATTTAAGAAACAAGAATGGAGTTGGTTGTTTTGTACACTTTGAAATATTATTCTCGCGAAAAGTACATAAATGATTGATAATCCAAAAGTTTAAATTCGTATTACCATGGTGTTTAAATTTTTCTAACGTGAAAATATTTAAAATAACAATATTTCTGAAACAATTCAACACGTTTCAGAAGAAATGACTTTGAATTGCATGTCGGCGTCACTGACTTCGTTCTCATACCTCTATTACTTCAAGTAAGGTAAATATTTTAGTTTTTTAAGCCAGTGATCTCAGTATTCTCACGTGGAGTGAGGGCACGTGTTCATTTGTTTTTGCTTGCGCACACGTACTGACAACACGTCAAATGAATAGAGATGAGTAGCAAAGTAATGGCCGCAGAAAATGGCAATAAAATTTTGGACCTTTCTTATCATGGAAAAACCGATTCGAACGAAAGTTTGGATAGGTTAGAATTGCGGAGATATCGTTAAATGCTTATTCTAAATTGTGAACATTTATTCATTCTTTTTGAACGTCTTCAAAACTTGTTGATTTTGGTGAGACGAACTACCATGTTATTTTGTGCAGATTATCGTCTGCTTCGCCACCGCGAAAAGGACTTGGTCAAAGACAAAAGGATAAAGTATTGAGACACGGCAATAGAACTATATACACAGCAGGTATTGTAAGTTTGTGTGTTTTTATTAATTTCCTTCATTCATTCATTCAACTGAATTTGTGAAATTACTCTCTTTCCACTCATATACAAGGATATTTTTGACAATTCAGGCTACAGGGTCACGAGGCCCTAAAGTTTTGATAGTGTGAGTTTTAATGCGCATTTAATTTTGACGTTGATTTTTTCGTGCCAGGTCGCCCTCCATGGTACAATTCACAAGGACAGTTGAAAGAAGCTTTTGTTATTGGTATTGTCTTTTAAATAATATCCACGTACATGCAGTGTGTAAAAAAAAGTCAACACTTTATATTCTGAATTGCATGATTGTCGTGAGCACATTCTCGAGTTTCAATTCTGCCATGTTGGAGGCCAGATATAAAAGAATATATAAATTATCACTGCTATTGTTGTGTAACACCCCTGTAGTTGATTGAAACCCAAGAATTAGTTTAGATGATTGGGAATTCGAAATGGCTTTTAACTAGATAGTTGAACTTCTATTAGCTGTATGAATAGCCAGTGGCATAGCCGGCCTACATGTTTGTTGATGCTATGTCAACATTGTGGCGTTCACTTGCTGTGAAAACAATAGATTTCTAAAGAAATGAATAATGTAGATGACCTGAAATTTACATAGAATGACCAAACTTGCTGGTTGACTAGCCATTGTCAATATCAAATAAACATGCTGCTGACTGTCAGATAATGAGTTTTTCAAATAAGTTATAAGTAATATTATTTGCATTTGATAAATTTTTATTTGTTGTTGGTTTATGCAGTCAACTTTAATGGGTCTAATGCTTTAGTTGTGTTTTTTAGATAAAGTCAATGTTTACATGTATAAAGCATTGCCTTCTTTATACATCCTGTATAATATATTATCAGTTTGAGTTGATCAAAGTGCTGTTTGCTGGTAGTACTTTTAAAATGATTACTTTATTTTTCTCTGGAAATTGATTTTTTTTCAATGCCACAAACACAACTGTGCATGCACTTACACCATGAGATCAGTGGACTGTTTTAATTTATTTGGCCTGATACTGAATCTGCTCCTGCATGCTACGTATGTAGCCAGAACCCAATAGATCCTTCAGATTGCCATTAGACTTTTAAGAAATAATAGATGTTTACTGTGTTTGCACAGGCGTAGGCAAATCGAGGAACTGGGGAGACCTTTGGGAGAACTCGAGAGCAGATCAGTGCAAGCCCGATACCGAAGTTTGAGGGTTGCACCTGACCTTTGTATAAACCAGTGCAAACACAAAAACATCTTTTATCTCTTTTATAAAATAACAGTAATGCGAAACAGACAAATTTAAAGTAAATGTTTTAATTTTTCCTCTAAAATGTATTCATGATCGATTTGCAAATTTTCTTTGACTGATTGATTGTTTTGATTGATTTGATTGGTTGAGCTCCGATGTGTTTTGCACAGGCTAATGGAAACACGGCTCTTTACCAATCAGTGCACGCATTTCATTGTGTTTAGTTTTATAATTTGTCTTGATAGGCATATGTGGAGGAAGTGCAAGTGGCAAAACCACAGTTGCCAAGAAGATCATTGAGGATCTTGGTGTACCATGGGTGTGTTTGCTCTCAATGGATTCCTTTTACAAGGTTATAATGTCGACAAATTTTTATTAATATGGTTATATTATTGGGTTATTATATTGATAGCTTTATGCCATAAGATTGATTGATACTATAGTCAGTGTGTTGACTTCTCTAGTGCTGTGCAATGCACTTTTTTTGTTCCCTATGTGAGGAATGGGATTCAAGTATTACGTATGTCCAATACTTCATGTAATGTTGTTTTCAGGTGTTGACTCATGAACAACATGAGCAAGCTTTAAAGAATCAGTATAATTTTGACAGACCAGGTTGGACGGACGGCTGTAAAATTTTTTAAATTCACATTATACAAGTGATTATCATCGAGTGATTCTCATCAAGTATTATGTTTTAGAATCATTTGATTTTGATATTGCTGTTGAAACATTAAAAAAGCTAAAAGTGGGAAAAAGTGTTCAGGTAAAGGCATTGACACTTTAGTGCTGCACAGTTGTCGACACTAACAGGACAAAGGACGATTTCTTTTGGACTATAATTTTGTAAATACTTGTGAACACAAAAACATTTTACAATGCATAATACATTGACCACCATCATTTGATTTGTTTTGCTTTGCACCTATTTCTCTAGCATCTGCCTCTTGCTTTGTATAAATCGCATGTGCTGTACATGTGATGACTAGTGTGGCAGGCAGATTAATCCCAAGGGAGGTTAACCGTTAGAAAACACTAGCCTACCAGCAAAACATAAACAAGACAAGACGTCTATCCTGTCTTCCCTCTGCTCCCAGATGTATTTATTATCTTCATTTTCAGGTCCCTATTTATGATTTCAACACTCATAAAAGACTGAAAGATGTGCAGGTATATTCATATATTTCCTAAAGTTTTTTTCTTTAATAAATACTAATTGAGAATGTTAATTAATTAATTAATTAATTTTAAGAATGTTACGGTGGCTTAGATTTATATATTTGTCATGGAAGTATTTCTTTTTCAGAATACAATGTATGGTGCAAACGTTATTATTTTTGAGGGAATAATGGCTTTTTGCAATGACGAATTATGCAAGGTCCGTGATGAAAGTTAAAATCCTTTTTGATTCCTAAATAACAGGGGTTTGATTTTTTCATCTTCAATTTTGTATCATGTGTGAATTCTTTTAGGGGCTGTTCACACGAGCCTGGTAACCGGGATTCAGAGATGCATGAATTAATTTTGAGTCATTGAAAGGAGTACAAACTTTAACGCAAAATTTACAACCTTTTTGAGCATCATAAGTCATTTTAGTCATAATTTTCAAATCAGGCTAAATTATTTGTTTTCATTTTAAAGATTTTGTGAATTTGCAAAGTCAGAGCTTAGAGAAATTTCTCAAATAAGCTTTTTGTTGTGAAGTATTTAATCTTTTCCATTTGCCAAAATGATTTAGCGCTTCGCTGAATCCCGGCTACCCGGGCTCATGAGAACAGCCCCTAAGTTTCAATAGAAAGATTAAAGTTGGTCTCTCCCCCACCCAGCCCCGTTGTAATAGATTGCACTGCTCGCTCTTTTCTCCACTTTCCTTAATACCTACCCCAGTTACTTTCTTTCATTATGTGTGCATGAGGAAACGATTTTCGAACAGATGATTTGCGTAATCTTCGGTAATGCCAGACGGAGCACAAGGCAACTCTTATTTTTCTCCCAACAAAAGTACATCATGTCAAATCTCAAATCTTATTACGCGTTTGAATAACAATTCGTCCATTTGACTTAATAGCTTATGGATACGAAGATTTTTGTTGATACTGACGCAGATATTAGGTTGGCCAGAAGGTATGAACAAAAAAAAACGCCTTTCCATGTTGTAAATTGGATTTCCACATGCAACTAATTATTTTAACTAAGGTTGAAGCGAGATATTTCGGAGAGAGGACGTGACCTAAATGGCGTTCTTCAACAATATAATAAATTTGTCAAACCTGTGAGTAATTATTGAGAACGTTCGTAGATTACTGATAAATTGTTTAGGTCACGTGCATCAGGTCGTACGAAATATTTGCATAGAAAATTTATCGCTCAATCTGTGCTTCCATTAAATCAATTTAAAACTTCGTTTGCAGTCGTTTGAGAAGTACATTGCCCCCAGTATGACATGTGCTGACATCGTTGTTCCTAGAGGTGATTGGATTTTTTAAGCACAATTGTTGCATTAATTACCGTAATTCTAATTTACCTAACTCTAATTAATGCAGTAATTTTTGTAATGCTTATTGACTTAACTCTAGTTGCTTCAATAATTTCCGCAATTCTTATTTACCTTACTCTAATTAATGCAGTAATTACTGTAATGCTTACTTACCTAAGTCTAATTGCTTCAATAATTACCGTAATTCTTATTTACCTTACTCTAATTAATGCAGTAATTATCGTAATGCATATTAACCTAATTCTAATTGCTACAATAATTACCGTTATTCTTATTTACCTTACTCTAATTAATGCAGTAATTACTGTAATGCTTATTTGCCTAACTCTAATTGCTACAGTAATTACCGTAATTCTTATGTACCTTAATCTAATTGATGCAATAGTTATCGTACTGCCCAAATACCTAAATCTAATAGACGAACATTTTTACTACAAGGTGGTGAAAACTTAGTTGCAATAAATATGATTGTTCGGCACGTGAAGCAAAAATTATCGGAGGTTTGTTATAGCTATACCATTCATATAAGAGTCTTTATTCTTCCTATCTTAATTTCTTTCCATCTCTCACGATGATCTATTTCATTTGTTCTAGAGAGGTTTCTATCTTAGGTATGTATTGCTCGACTGCCTTTAAATCCATGGTGTGTACCAATATGTACCATAGATGTGATCTGTTTTTAATAATTCGTAGCAATGATTTCTATTGATTATAGACCTCAGCTTATTTCAGCTCATCAAGGTCAGCGTTTGCCAAACAGTCTGCACGTGGTTGAAACCACTCCCCAAGTAAGGGGGGTTCAAACAATTATAAGGTACTTTCAATATTTTTCTTAGTTTGACTACAAAGCATAGAAGTGTACTGTTATCCATATATTTGTGCTACGAAACATAGAGTTGTACTGTTATCCATATATTTGTGCTACGAAACATAGAAGTGTACTGTTATCCATATATTTGTACTACGAAACATAGAGTTGTACTGTTATCCATATATTTGTGCTACGAAACATAGAGTTGTACTGCTAGGCATATATTTGCACTACGAAACATAGAAGTGTACTGTTATCCATATACTTGTACCTAGAAGCAAATAGTTGTACTGCTATGCATATATTTGTACTACGAAACATATAGTTGTACTGCTAGGCATATATTTGTACTACGAAACATAGAAGTGTACTGTTATCCATATACTTGTACCTAGAAGCAAATAGTTGTACTTCTAGGCATATAGTTGCACTACGAAACATATAGTTGTACTGCTATGCATATATTTGTACTACGAAACATATAGTTGTACTGCTATCTATATATTTGTACTACGAAACATAGAAGTGTACTGTTATCCATATATTTGTACTACGAAACATAGAAGTGTACTGTTATCCATATACTTGTACCTAGAAGCAAATAGTTGTACTGCTATGCATATATTTGTACTACGAAACATATAGTTGTACTGCTAGGCATATATTTGTACTACGAAACATAGAAGTGTACTGTTATCCATATACTTGTACCTAGAAGCAAATAGTTGTACTTCTAGGCATATAGTTGCACTACGAAACATATAGTTGTACTGCTATGCATATATTTGTACTACGAAACATATAGTTGTACTGCTATGTATATATTTGTACTACGAAACATATAGTTGTACTGCTAGGCATATATTTGCACTACGAAACATAGAAGTGTACTGTTATCCATATACTTGTACCTAGAAGCAAATAGTTGTACTGCTATGCATATATTTGTACTACGAAACATATAGTTGTACTGCTAGGCATATATTTGTACTACGAAACATAGAAGTGTACTGTTATCCATATACTTGTACCTAGAAGCATATGCTTATACTACGAAACATATTTGTTGTAGTGTGAACTATATAGCTATCATACTTAAAACTTTTCTCTTTGCAGAGATAAACGAACGAGTCGAGATGATTTTATATTTTATTCCAAGAGATTCATGCGAATTGTTATTGAATATGCTCTGTCATTTTTACCATTTGAGGTAAAGAAATGTTAGTTACCAGGCTTCTGTAAAAATAAGAGTAAACCATAAACACATACACTTATTAGGATTATGAAGTAAAAGTAAATGGCAGTCATACGTATTGCGGAAAGAGATTTGCTGGAAAACGGGTTCGTTTTTTCTTTTGAATTAATGTGTTTTATGATTGCACGTGATGTATTTGAAATTATACGTTTTCAGATTTCTGGTGTATCTATTCTTCGGGCCGGCGAAACAATGGAGCCAGCATTGGAGTCCTTATGTAAGGATGTTCGTATAGGCAAGATCTTGATTCAAACCAATGAAAATACTCAAGAACCAGAGGTATATATATATATATATACCTCTAATATATATAGGATTCTAATATATATATTGTAAATAATATAACATAATATAACATATATAACATATTATAATATATATAATATAATTCTAATATATAGGATATTGAGCGCTCTTTTATCCAGGAATATTCTCCCATTAATATATGTATATATATAGTAAATATCCATTTGTCTCGGTAGATAGTTAGATATAAAATCATAGATAGATAGAACTTCACAAATCTAGATAGACAGAATAACTTTATTTAAATACGCTTACCCCGAGGTACCTTGGTAGTTGGTACCTTTTACAAATTGACCCCTTGGTACCTTTTGATAATCGACCGTAATAATTTTTAATTATCTATTCCAATTCATGTCAACTAATTTTCTAGTTATTACTTATAAGTATTCATTACGATTATTACTTTTATGTTAAGTATTGTTATTTGCAAATAGCAATCACAATGGTAATTGGCTACATAATTTTTTATATTACCAACTGTATTTGTAATTAGAATTTTCTAATTGTATCGATTGGTTTATATCCACGTATGAAACCATCTCCAACCTGTAAACAATCAAGATGATTTTTCTTATTTTTAGCTTCACTTTCTACGTTTACCTCGTGACATACACAACGATCACGTGATACTGTTAGATGCAACCCTGGCCAGCGGTGCTGCCGGTAACGTGTAAATTACTTTGTTCAATTTCTATGCACGAATTTTTTTTTGAAAATAATTATCTATACTTTTATTCGGGGAGATATGTACCTCCCACTCAATACTTTGGTGAACTGATACAGTTCAACTGAACGTTTAAACCAGGGGTGGGCAACATGCGGGCCGGGTCTGGCCCCTGAAGGGATTTTGAATGGCCCGTCGACTGTATCCGACCATTGAATATTGAATATTATTCATGTAATAATCCGGCCCATCAATAACTTCATTTTCCTTAAGCTGGCCCGCCGACTGGAGAAGTTGCCCACCCCTGGTTTAAACCATAACATTTTAAGCTATAACAATTTAAACTATAGCTTGTTAAAGGACATTGGCAACGAAAATTTTTTTTCATACGTTTATCATAGATAGCTATGGAATACTTAATTTCGTGTTTTCGTGTCTCTTTTGAATTTTGCTGTTGAGAAAATTTGACATAAAGTTGAATCCTTATCCGCCATTTTGAAAAAAAAGCCTTATGCTAAATTATGCCGGAATACATTACTGACGTCATTGGCTGGTATCCACTGAATGACACAATATAAAATAATAGTATTATAATAATATATAGCACATTTGCTGCAAATTTCTCAGCAACAAAATATTTTTGAGAAAAAATTTTTCTATTTTCGTTGTTAGACATCACAACGGTTCAAAAATATGCCATAAAAATTTTCGTTGCCAATGTCCTTTAAGCTTCTATATTCTATATATTACAATAATGGACAATTTGCTTTAAGTGTAACATCTCAGTGTCTTATCGTGGTTTCAACTGTGTATTTATGTGGAATTCAATTACACTTTGTCATTCGTTCATCCTTAATTTAACATATTAGTTAGTGCTGGAATGCATCGCCATTATTAGAACAATAATCGAGCTCTTGTTGGCATCAATTTTGACCTAGGGAAAGGACTGATTTATTCAAATTGTTTTTTTAGCTCTAATGGCTATTCGTATTTTATTGGTATGTTGCTAAATCCTACGCTTAAGCTTTTTAGTGCTCTGATGACTGCCTAGTATTGTCTCAGAGATAAAAATATTGGTGTGTTTTGCATTTTTTTCATTGCATACTTCTTTGAAAAAATTGAATAGAAGCTACTTTTATCACAGTTTACCCTAAACTTTAAAAGTTTATGAATTTCTGGCGTGCTCAATATGGCTCATTGAACGTTTTTAGGATCATGATGTAAAAGAGGAAAACATATTATTTGTATCGTTGATTTCAGCCGAAACTGGTAAAGTCATCTGATTTATCCTTTTATTAAAGTGAATGATTTGCACCCGGGAATATCGTGACATGTTTGTAGATGTAGATCGTCCTGGTTAGTGGGGTCCGGAGAAGGACTCTTGGTGTGAATATTGACTGATGTTTTGACAATGAAGACGACGGTAGTCCAACAGTCCTTCTCAGGACTCTACTTTTCGACAACCTTAGCGGTAGTCATCTTCATCGTCAGCGAACATCAACACCAACAGTCCTTCTCAGGACTCTACTTTTCGACAACCTTAGCGGTAGTCATCTTCATCGTCAGCGAACATCAACACCAACAGTCCTTCTCAGGACTCTACTTTTCGACAACCTTAGCGGTAGTCATCTTCATCGTCCTCGAACATCAACACCAACAGTCCTTCTCAGGACTCTACTTTTTGACAACCTTAGCGGTAGTCATCTTCATCGTCCTCGAACATCAACACCAACAGTCCTTCTCGGGACTCTACTTTTCGACAACCTTAGCGGTAGTTATCTTCATCGTCAGCGAACATCAACACCAACAGTCCTTCTCAGGACTCTACTTTTCGACAACCTTAGCGGTAGTTATCTTCATCGTCAGCGAACATCAACACCAACAGTCCTTCTCAGGACTCTACTTTCGACAACCTTAGCGGTAGTCATCTTCATCGTCAGCTAACATCAACACCAACAGTCCTTCTCAGGACTCTACTTTTCGACAACCTTAGCGGTAGTCATCTTCATCGTCAGCTAACATCAACACCAACAGTCCTTCTCGGGACTCTACTTTTCGACAACCTTAGCGGTAGTTATCTTCATCGTCAGCGAACATCAACACCAACAGTCCTTCTCGGACTCTACTTTTCGACAACCTTAGCGGTAGTCATCTTCATCGTCCTCGAACATCAACACCAACAGTCCTTCTCAGGACTCTACTTTTCGACAATCTTAGCGGTAGTCATCTTCATCGTCAGCGAACATCAACACCAACAGTCCTTCTCGGACTCTACTTTTCGACAACCTTAGCGGTAGTCATCTTCATCGTCAGCGAACATCAACACCAACAGTCCTTCTCAGGACTCTACTTTCGACAACCTTAGCGGTAGTCATCTTCATCGTCCTCGAACATCAACACCAACAGTCCTTCTCAGGACTCTACTTTTGACAACCTTAGCGGTAGTCATCTTCATCGTCAGCGAACATCAACACCAACAGTCCTTCTCAGGACTCTACTTTTCGACAACCTTAGCGGTAGTCATCTTCATCGTCCTCGAACATCAACACCAACAGTCCTTCTCGGACTCTACTTTTCGACAACCTTAGCGGTAGTCATCTTCATCGTCAGCGAACATCAACACCAACAGTCCTTCTCGGACTCTACTTTTCGACAACCTTAGCGGTAGTCATCTTCATCGTCAGGGAACATCAACACCAACAGTCCTTCTCAGGACTCTACTTTTCGACAACCTTAGCGGTAGTTATCTTCATCGTCAGCGAACATCAACACCAACAGTCCTTCTCGGGACTCTACTTTTCGACAACCTTAGCGGTAGTTATCTTCATCGTCAGCGAACATCAACACCAACAGTCCTTCTCAGGACTCTACTTTCGACAACCTTAGCGGTAGTCATCTTCATCGTCCTCGAACATCAACACCAACAGTCCTTCTCGGGACTCTACTTTTCGACAACCTTAGCGGTAGTCATCTTCATCGTCAGCGAACATCAACACCAACAGTCCTTCTCGGGACTCTACTTTCGACAACCTTAGCGGTAGTCATCTTCATCGTCCTCGAACATCAACACCAACAGTCCTTCTCGGGACTCTACTTTTCGACAACCTTAGCGGTAGTCATCTTCATCGTCAGCGAACATCAACACCAACAGTCCTTCTCAGGACTCTACTTTTCGACAACCTTAGCGGTAGTTATCTTCATCGTCAGCGAACATCAACACCAACAGTCCTTCTCAGGACTCTACTTTCGACAACCTTAGCGGTAGTCATCTTCATCGTCCTCGAACATCAACACCAACAGTCCTTCTCAGGACTCTACTTTTTGACAACCTTAGCGGTAGTTATCTTCATCGTCAGCGAACATCAACACCAACAATCCTTCTCGGGACTCTACTTTTCGACAACCTTAGCGGTAGTCATCTTCATCGTCAGCGAACATCAACACCAACAGTCCTTCTCAGGACTCTACTTTTCGACAACCTTAGCGGTAGTCATCTTCATCCTCAGGGAACATCAACACCAACAGTCCTTCTCGGGACTCTACTTTTCGACAACCTTAGCGGTAGTCATCTTCATCGTCAGCGAACATCAACACCAACAGTCCTTCTCAGGACTCTACTTTCGACAACCTTAGCGGTAGTCATCTTCATCGTCCTCGAACATCAACACCAACAGTCCTTCTCGGACTCTACTTTTCGACAACCTTAGCGGTAGTCATCTTCATCGTCAGCGAACATCAACACCAACAGTCCTTCTCGGGACTCTACTTTTCGACAACCTTAGCGGTAGTTATCTTCATCGTCAGCGAACATCGACACCAACAGTCCTTCTCAGGACTCTACTTTCGACAACCTTAGCGGTAGTTATCTTCATCGTCAGCGAACATCAACACCAACAGTCCTTCTCAGGACTCTACTTTCGACAACCTTAGCGGTAGTCATCTTCATCGTCAGGGAACATCAACACCAACAGTCCTTCTCAGGACTCTACTTTTCGACAACCTTAGCGGTAGTTATCTTCATCGTCAGCGAACATCAACACCAACAGTCCTTCTCAGGACTCTACTTTTCGACAACCTTAGCGGTAGTTATCTTCATCGTCAGCGAACATCAACACCAACAGTCCTTCTCAGGACTCTACTTTCGACAACCTTAGCGGTAGTCATCTTCATCGTCAGCGAACATCAACACCAACAGTCCTTCTCAGGACTCTACTTTCGACAACCTTAGCGGTAGTCATCTTCATCGTCAGCGAACATCAACACCAACAGTCCTTCTCAGGACTCTACTTTTCGACAACCTTAGCGGTAGTCATCTTCATCGTCAGCGAACATCAACACCAACAGTCCTTCTCAGGACTCTACTTTCGACAACCTTAGCGGTAGTTATCTTCATCGTCAGCGAACATCAACACCAACAGTCCTTCTCAGGACTCTACTTTCGACAACCTTAGCGGTAGTTATCTTCATCGTCAGCGAACATCAACACCAACAGTCCTTCTCAGGACTCTACTTTTCGACAACCTTAGCGGTAGTCATCTTCATCGTCAGCGAACATCAACACCAACAGTCCTTCTCAGGACTCTACTTTCGACAACCTTAGCGGTAGTCATCTTCATCGTCCTCGAACATCAACACCAACAGTCCTTCTCAGGACTCTACTTTCGACAACCTTAGCGGTAGTCATCTTCATCGTCAGCGAACATCAACACCAACAGTCCTTCTCGGACTCTACTTTTCGACAACCTTAGCGGTAGTCATCTTCATCGTCAGCGAACATCAACACCAACAGTCCTTCTCAGGACTCTACTTTTCGACAACCTTAGCGGTAGTCATCTTCATCGTCCTCGAACATCAACACCAACAGTCCTTCTCAGGACTCTACTTTTTGACAACCTTAGCGGTAGTCATCTTCATCGTCAGCGAACATCAACACCAACAGTCCTTCTCAGGACTCTACTTTCGACAACCTTAGCGGTAGTCATCTTCATCGTCCTCGAACATCAACACCAACAGTCCTTCTCGGACTCTACTTTTCGACAACCTTAGCGGTAGTCATCTTCATCGTCAGCGAACATCAACACCAACAGTCCTTCTCAGGACTCTACTTTTCGACAACCTTAGCGGTAGTTATCTTCATCGTCAGCGAACATCAACACCAACAGTCCTTCTCAGGACTCTACTTTTCGACAACCTTAGCGGTAGTCATCTTCATCGTCAGCGAACATCAACACCAACAGTCCTTCTCAGGACTCTACTTTTCGACAACCTTAGCGGTAGTTATCTTCATCGTCAGCGAACATCAACACCAACAGTCCTTCTCAGGACTCTACTTTTGACAACCTTAGCGGTAGTTATCTTCATCGTCAGCGAACATCAACACCAACAGTCCTTCTCAGGACTCTACTTTTCGACAACCTTAGCGGTAGTCATCTTCATCGTCCTCGAACATCAACACCAACAGTCCTTCTCGGGACTCTACTTTTCGACAACCTTAGCGGTAGTCATCTTCATCGTCAGCGAACATCAACACCAACAGTCCTTCTCGGGACTCTACTTTTCGACAACCTTAGCGGTAGTTATCTTCATCGTCAGCGAACATCAACACCAACAGTCCTTCTCAGGACTCTACTTTTCGACAACCTTAGCGGTAGTTATCTTCATCGTCAGCGAACATCAACACCAACAGTCCTTCTCAGGACTCTACAAACGTGCACGATCTACGTTCATCCTTTTATTGTTGCTATATTTATAAAGTAATTTTTTATATTTATTATAGGTATACATTCTGTTGCTTACGCTTTTCCTAATGTGAAGATAGTAACTGGTGCAGTTGATAGGGAATTAAACGAATCGTTTCATATTATGCCCGGTATTGGTAAGGCGAAATGATTTTCCGTGAAATGCCTTTTCCCTGATATCTTCTCATATATAAATAGTTCATCCTGATTTAGGTAACTTCGGTGATCGCTATTTTGGTACCGACTCAATGCAACGATAAACTGGTTAGTTTGGTATACACTCAAATGCAGCCGTTGAAGGCTGTTGGTGTCCGTTTTCGTCTTGAATTCAAACAAAACGAATGAACAAAAGATGGGAAAGGAAATGGATTGCAAAGTTTAAGGCTTGGTTTTGTGTTGAGCATTTGACCATGAGAATTTCATAAAGTATGAAGCGGATACGATGTACAGCATTAATCGTGTAGTTTTTTAATGAAAGTATGTATAATGTCTATTTTATAACGATGACACTAAAAGATTATGTTGGTCAACCAAGTGTATTAGAAATTACAATAGTTAAGGCATTAATACAGTTTCAAAAGTCATTAGTTGATACAGTGGCTAAGGATGTCTTCTGAAGGCTGGCGAAATCACGAGAAAATTTGAAAGTTCAAAACCTTTAGACATCTAAACCATCGTTTTCTACAAGGTAATTTGCGTTATAGTTCTACGCAGATTATACATTTTGTATAGAAGCATAATTCGTAAAATACAAAGAATAATTTGGTCATTATTGTAAATCAAATAAAATTTAAGAGATAAAAACCAAAATTTGCACACGTTACGGTTATTTATCCTAAAATTTTCCCTAGGTGGGGAGCCCCGTAATTGAACGTTCATGTCATAAACAATTTACTGCAACTTGGGCGAGCTGTGTGTTCGCTTTCCTATTTCGAGTTAAATCGGAGAACGATCGGTATATTATCGGTAGCAAATTCAACCAATCACGGTAATCGGATTAAAATCGAAAAATCTTGATCTTGATAGCCCGACGACAATCGAACAATAAAGTCTCATCTTTTGATCTCAGCATCATTGAGGCCATCATTTCCTGTCACTTTCAGTACCGATTTTCTGTAGTATATTTTATAAATGATGGATACAGCCCAATACGTTGACGAACTTGAAACGGAAAAGGGAAGTTTAGATCCTGATTATCATCCTCACGCCATTCGTCTTTTATCTGAAGGTAAGCAGAAATACAGCTTCTACAAATGATATGGGTTGACTTTTGCTGTACGTCAAGTATGCCGAAGTATGCCTCATGCGTATCGCTGAAAGATCAATTTTCATTTCAAATACGTTGACTCTAACTTTGATAAGTTTTCCGTTGATGACTAAGTTGTACTCGAGTTGAACTCGTCGATCATTTATGAAAGTGTGATCGCGAACTGGCTTATTTAGGACAGTTTGTTAACGTGAAATGAGTAAATAGGTTTGTGCCGTTTGTATTGTGATGTGTTAATAATGTTTTCCATTCTCTTAAGAAATCAAAAGAATAGAGTCTCTCACGGATGGTGATAAAACATTGAAAGAAGAAATGGATAGCTTTAACAACAATACGGCTGATACGAAGTCAGAAGTACGAGAACGCAAGCCGAACTACATGCGGCAGTATCAACCAGAAATTGAACCTAGTACTAAACTATTTGAGAAAGTTATGATTCCTATAAAGAAATATCCCAAGGTATAATGGACTTGGACATTAATTGACAATCGTGAAATCTTGATTAATTGTGATTTGGAAAATTTTATTTAACTATTTTTAGTTTAATTTTGTTGGTCGACTACTGGGACCAAAAGGACTCACTTTCAAGCGCCTTCAAAGCATGACCGGTTGTAAAATGTCAATTCTTGGCCAAGGTTCCATGAGAGATAAAGAAAAGGTACTAATGAAAGTGTAAATGACATAAGAGGCTTCATTTTATCGTTGATAATTTATAACTTTGTAGGAACAAGAACTTCTCGATTCAAATGATCCTAAGTATGACCACCTGAAGGAAGAACTACATGTTCTTATAGAAGTGGATGCCCCAAAAGCTGAAGCTCATGGCCGTCTTGCTGCTGGCATTGCAGAAGTACAAAAGTTTCTTGTACCAGTAAGAATTTCAAACTTGATTCCCTGTGGGGTTCAAGGCTAACGTTGACATAATTTCATAATGCATTTTTCCAGGATCCAAATGATCCCATTCGTCAGGAACAAATGAGGGAGCTCGCTTATTTGAATGGGATTGAACAAGGTTCCACTACAGTTGCAGCACCTCACGTCACCACCGTCATTGCCAATCCAATTATAAGAGGAAGAGGCAGGAGCCGTGGTGTTACTGTTCGAGGGGCACATGTTGTAAGACCACGAACCATTCCTAGGGCTGCAGTTGTTACAACACAACGACATGCAACCACTGCCCCAGAAACATACGTGAGTCTATTTTATTATTACTGACAACAAACAAACAAACAAACAACATTTGTATACCGGCCAGTATTAATCCCTGCCAGGGGGGTTGACCGGTCCATGAATTTTTCTACGCCAAACGTCTCTATCTCTCGCCATATCTCTCGTTATACCCATCGCCTTCATATCACTGTTCACAGCATCCATCCATCTCTTTCTCGGTCTACCTCGTTTGCGGACTCCATCAACAACTCCATTTATTATTACTGAAGCATGATTTAATCTGTTTGATTGCATTGATATTGAATTCTAAGCTGAATGTTAATTGATTGTTTTTGAGTGTTTATATGGATACTGTCATACCTAGACATATGAAACACATGAAGCTGGTTATGAATTCGAGCAAGCTTATCCAGAAGGGTATGTTATGTCATATAATATTATAATATATGTCATTTAATATTATTCTGTCATGACATGTTTGTGGATGAAGATCGTCCAGGTTAGTAGAGTCCTGAGAAGGACTGTTGGTATTGATGTAGACTGACGTTTTGACAAACATGTTGCAATACTTCGGGTTTACAATATTCTCAGGTTGATGTAGACTGATGTTTCCACAAACATGTTACAATACTCCTGGGTTCAAACTGTTTACTTTACGACTGTCATGCTAAGTTTTATCATAAATTGTAAATATATGTGAGTCTTTTAGGAGAGGGACAGTTAAACAATGGGATTGTCTACCAAATGACCTTTTCTGATGCCCAAATCAGGCTTCACCATATGTAAACAAACTACTCATTTAACGAATGAGTGTCATGGTAATGCTTTGCACGCTTGTGTTTACGTCTATTAATGAAATTCCGCTATCAAATACAGAATTGCGTAAATAATTAACAACAAGATTGCAAAAAAATGTCGGAATTTAAATAAGATCCAGACTTGACTGTGCATTGCATTAGCGAGAGGAAGACAATTCAAATTGTTACGGACCAACAGTTAAACAACCTGATCACAAAGAACAGGTTGCAGTGCAAACTGCTAAAAACCAACTCGAACATTTACAAACCTTTGTATGTACATCAATCGACAAACATGCTCAAGGATTGTTTTCTGACCAATCATATATGAAGACATCTTTGCTTATTACAATCCTTGGCCAACTGTGCTTTGCCATCGATTTACCAGATTCATCAGTCAAAGAGACATTGCTGCACTGGCAATCTAATGTGCAACCATTTTAAGGTGCCCTGACATTACCATGATACTCATTCTTTAAATATGACTTGGCAAGATCGCACCTCCTTTAGTTTAATTTTACTTTGAGTTTAATGTACTATATTTGAGTGCTTTTCAAATGTTGAAATAACTTCACTTTAAAAAGTGTCTAATTCAAACTGTATTCGGTGTTTTGTCAAATAAAAAACAGGTTTATCTTGGTCCTTATTATCAAGTAAATTAGAATGATGGTTGTAAATTTGCGCTCAACCTGTTTCAAAACCTGTTTGAACAGCTCTGAATTCCTTTCATGTCGTCTGTCAGTTAACCTCAATGGTCTTTGAGTTATTATTCTATTAAAAAATATAATCCCAATTTACTATATTGTTTTTAAATTGTCGGCTGGACATGGTTTCTTATTATTATAGGGAAGTTGTTTATTATACCGCAGCAGAGTCTACTTTTACACGTAAGTACATATTTAGAAATATTACTGGTATTTTTTTGTTTCGTTTGATCTTTTTATCTTGATCTTGCAGCTGGTACTGGCGCAATTCGATTAAAAGCACCTGTACGCTCAATAAAAAGAGATGCAAGAGAAGCAACCTATCCATACTAAGATGTGTGAGACTGGAGTATTAAAGGTAAGAAAAATGTTGTATTGAGGACATGTCACTCATAACAAGTAACTTTTCGTTTTATGAAGTCCATCTGTTGAGAAAAACAAAATATTTTTTAATTAATATTTGCTAATGTGAATTATTCTCAATCCATATTTATTTATTCTTTCTTGGTAAAATAACCATTTTTCTGAACAAAGTCAGCTTAATCTGATAACTTTTAAAAAGTGTGTTCTAAACTTGGATAATAAAAATAAAAGAATAAAGTCTATCATATTTTATCAAAACCAATTATGTCAGTATTATCAAAATAACAATTACATATCACAAGGTTGCTCTTACAATGAGAAAAATTAACGTAAAACTTATTTTTGTCATTAATAATACATACTTTTAAATGGTAAACATAACAAGACTAAACAAAAATCCTAACAATTACTCATTAATTATACGTATATCATGAAATGAACTTTGAAAACTATTACCGGACACTATGAAATCTTTAAATTAAATGAAAATTGTAACTTATATGTAAATTGTAAATACATCATTGAACATTCTCTGAAGTAAACAATTTAAATTGAAGTGGTCCTTTTAAACCCATTGTCTTCAATGAAATCTTAAAAAGAGTAGATCGTTTGGTAGCAGGAATAGTAAGGTAAGATCTTTGATCACTAGTCATTAACCACTGCTGGATTTTGTTACATGTTCATGTCCTAATGAGTTAATATCATTGTAAAATTAAAATTATTTGAAGCTCAATTTAGTCGATGAAATGCCTAACGTTTGTTTTGTTTAAATTATAGTACAATGTTCATAATAATGTTTGATTTTGTAATAACTAAACTCACAAGAAGTATTTGTGCTTTTGTTTTTAAAGCGTTTGTTTTGCCATGGTAAGCTGAATCTTCATGGATGAAACTTGAAATAAACTTAAAGTGTAGTTTTTGTATGAGTATTTTTATACCAAATCTCTAATGTAAAGAGGCGTTCATTTACGCTGTTTTCATGTGTTAATGTACGAATCATAATTTTGTGTAAACTTTTTTATAAATTTTGTAAACTTTGGTTAATGGAATTTTTTTAAAAAAAGGAACATAAAGATCAAAAGAAATTTTCTTTGTAATTAGTTGTATCCTACTGTGGTTTAACTCTTTAACTCATTGCCTCTTAACTGCTTTACTTATAACAAGTATTCCATAGTGTGTAAAATCATTTAAGCTTATTTCACCATAGAATGTTAAATAGTGAATATAAAAGTCGTATATGGAGTGGTAACTACTACTTTTCACATTGGTAAGTCGTAAATCAATAACATTCTGAAATGTTTATTAAAAAATAATCATCGTCGATCAGTGGTGGATTCAGCGTACTTCACGAGTCGAAAAGTTAAATTCACGATACCTAAACATGAAATTCCATTGGACATAAATGTCTAAAGAATATTAAAGCTAAAATCTTACCAATTATATTGTCTCTGAGGTATTTTGAATTTTAAATATGTCATTTTTGACCGACGCTAGGTCTGCTGCTATCGCCAATTATTTGAAATGTAATTGAAAAAGCTGAAAACAACACGTAATTTCAAAAATCGGCAGGTACAACACAAGCCATATTTTGTATTTAACTAATTGCAACATCGGTTGCTTAGCAACGCTACTATAAAAACTTGGTGGTCCTCCATTGTTTGGTTGCAATAAAGTGACATGCTTTATAAAATATTATTTCATGAAGAAATGTTGCAAATTTCGTAACAAATGAAAATTCCAAAAGGTTTACCGGACGATGTAGTTTTACGAACTTGGATGGCACACGGCAAGGGAAATGATTCGATCAATTCCGATACGAATTCCGCCGGTAATTTCGTTTCACCCATTCTAAAAGGCAATAATACTGCTGGTGAAGTGCATCCTCGTATCGTTACACTAAGCTTAAGACCATTTAGGACGACCAACGTTTCAGTTAATTCTTTCTCGCACCGCATTCTGCCAGGAGGAATAGTGCAAAGCAGAAACTGGTGCTTAGTAAGTTGTCAATTTCATCATTTTATCATTTTGCATATTAAACCTTGTGCATTAAACTAAACGGGAACTTAACTTTACATGTAAGTAAAACAACATTAACGGATTAACATAATTTAAATGGAAATATTTATAAGCTTCGTGAAATAAAATTTTGTTTAATGTAAATTCATTGTTTAATTTCTCCTCTCAACGCTTTGCAGAACCACTGTCTTTAGAACAAAAGAATTGTTCCTCCAACATTGATATGAGTCTGAGTAACAATGCTTCAGATTTGCAGTAAGTTTCAACCTTAGGAGCAGAGCAGTGTTAATGATTTCCTTGTTAATAAACTGGATTTATGTTATAGCAATCTTTCTTCTCGTGGTTGTGAAAAAGCTTTTCATGGGAAAAGTCTCATAGATACATGGACCGCTTCAACCAGAGGCGAAAAGCATAAAGTTAGAAGGCAATCGGCTGCAAGTTCACATTTGATACCAATAAATGTTCCTGCATATGATTTCAATTCTCGATATCCAAAGACAAGCACCTTACCGGATAACTTATACACAATACAAAACATTTCTCTTCAATCTCCTCCAAGAACAAATCACAAATCTGGTCAAAAGACAACTTTAGGCAACACTTGTAATAGTGGTTTCTTTAATGTGTTTAATGGACAATCGGGGCTTGTGGCCACTGGAATTCGTGCATCTAATATTGAAACAAAACAACTTACAAAACCCAAGTATGTTTTAGTCATTTTCTACATGTATATTTAACCTCTGAATGCAAATATGTTGCTTCCAAAATTTCCTTTTTCATTCTGCTGATTCATCTTAAATTTGTTTAGATTGGAGATAGTCAAGAGTAATTGCTATGAAAAAGGTAAATGGTATTACATAATACCACAAGGTTGTTGGACTTGTTGTAATGGCCAGATTGCTTATTAACTTAACCTGCTTACATTTAATATTGCAATCTTTTTCTAATTTCCTGTTGATGTCTAATCTTTAAAGTAATACGTTGGCCATGGCCTCTAACAATATGATTACGGGTTAGGGATCAATTCAACTTATTGCAGTAAATGGTTTGAACCTGGGAGTATCGTAACATGTTTGTGGATGAAGATCGTCCAGGTTAGTAGAGTCCTGAGAGGGACTGTTGGTGTTGATGTAGACTTACATCTTGACAATCTTAGCAGTAGTCATCTTCAGAGTCAAGTCACTCTTCAATACCAACAGTCCTTCTCTGGACAATACTAACCTGAACAATCTTCGTCCACAAACATGTCAATTTATTGCCTTGTTTACTTAACATTATCATTGGTTAGAATTAATCCACCTTTAGCGAGTTGTTTAGCTACGGTATTTCAATTTAGGTCACAAATATCAAGATCCAATACTAGCCTGTAATCCTGGATTTCAGGCAAGAATTTCAGAGATTATTCAAAATGAGCTTGATACAATTAAATGGGAAAAAGGGAAGAAAGGGAAGAAAAAAAGTGCATTATGAATATGTCATTCGCGAAAATATTTAGTACATAATTTACCACATTTCCTTATGGAAAAAGTTTCCTCGCTGTATAAAATAAAATCATCCATTTTCTACAGTCACCAAGTGATAAATTAAATCTACAATGATAATTTTCTAAATGGCATATTACCTAAATAATTACAAATAAATTAACTAAAAACAGAGTATTTACAACAATACTTTATTCATTTAAGAGCTTCAACTTGGTAGTTGTCAAACGGTAAAACCTTTAATTCACTAATGGAATCTATGTCAAGAGAGAAAAAAGATATAAAGATTAACATTGTTGATTTTCTTTAACTGTGAGATAATACCTAAAAGCCATTTCTCTGAAACGTGAATGCCATCAGTTTTCGCTGACACATGACCGATACATATTTTTGCTCTTCTCGCAGTTCCAATTACCTTTGAAATAGAGTATTTATGTGACTTGAACAAAGTCAACAATTATGTCATTTATTCATCATGTGACACTTACAGTTCCACCAGAAAGCCTAATTAGTGCCAAAATATCCTTTGAAGGAGGACTTGTGCAAGGTGCTACAAATATTGGACCTTTTTTCTCCAATAGTTTACATTGATATGAACTATCGAATGGCTTTTCCTGCCTTTCTTTTAATCAACTGTATTTAAGTCAAAGAAAAAACAATTGCTTTAGACATAGTGTAGAATGAATAGTATTAGAGCTTTGTATATAGTTGATGTTATTATCACAAATGCTCGCTAGAATTAAGATAAAAACTAGCTTACACACATACCTTGGCTGCTGGAAATGCATCTAACTCAAATGCTTCTTCATCTAACCAAAACCCTTTTTCTGATGATTTCAAAGCCCAATCAATAGACAGCAGCCAGCATCCTGACAATATTGTCCTCATAATATTCATTGTTCTATGTTTTCCTGATGAAACAACATGCGTTGTATCCGAATCAACTTCTGTCTGAATTTTACATTCACCCAATTGATCAACAACAGCCAAGATGGTTTCTCGTGTGCTGAAAGATCAAAGTATATGCATTTAAACTTTGTAGGTGTTTGTACAAAAAATGACAAAAAAGTTAATAATACCTCTTAGACACTCCAGTGATCACCATGAATATGGGTTCCTATAAAATACATCATATTAAAACATCTTACATGTTCTTCACTGGCTGGTAAATTTCATTTCCCTTGCTAATTTAAAAATACATCCTAACTTTTTTCTTTCTTTTATACGATTGAACGTTTTCATCGTCAGTTGTGGCGGCTTCTTGCAAAATCTTATTGATTTGCCTTTTTTTCTTACTTAATTTACGTCTTTTCATGCAAGGTAGATCTTCGATTGTTTTCTGTCTTTCAGCTGATTCGCGTTCTACGTTAAAGATAATCGCTTTTCTTAAATCACAAAATAAATGCTTCCTGTGGTACACAAATGGGTATACACAATAAACTAGTATACAATACCCATTTCGTCCATTCTCAATCGTAAAGATTGAACTAAAGTTAATGGTTCTTCATCGCCACTATTTTCATCATTTGACATAATGTTCTCGACAAAACTATTGCTGAAGTTCGCCAATAAGGGTGATGCCTGTATCAAAATTAAATTCCTGTCTTTTTCAAAAGAAAATACTATCGCAAAAAATCTTAATCACACTTCACACAGAATCACGTTATTTTTACCAAAATATTGTCGTCGTTCTTCAGGGATCCGTGACGTCTTTTTTTTGCACTCATGACATAAAACATGAGTGTACCTCATAATATAGAAATACAAACGTCTTTCAGCCGTTTGAGCTCCCGCAATGTTACAAAAATGTTATGTTTGTTGAATGTTGGTTGTATTCGAAAATCCCGGTGGAGGCCTCGAACATGCCCACTGATCTCGAAGTAAAACTGGATAAAGCATTATGTTGAAACCAAACAGAAAGCACACGTATTGTGGATTTATACGAGAATAATCCCGAATTTTCAACATGTAATTCCATAAACTTAACTAATGGATAAATCAGTTTATACAAATAAAGGTAGACATAAAGGTAGACATAAAGGTAGACATAAAGATTGAAATAAAGGTAGACATAAAGGTAGACACAAAGGTTGACACAAAGGTAGACATAAAGGTAGACATAAAGGCAGACATAAAGGTAGACATAAACGTAGACATAAAGCTAGACATAAAGGTAGACATAAAGGTAGACACAAAGGTAGACATAAAGGTAGACATAAAGGTAGACATAAAGATAGACATAAATGTAGACATAAAGACAGACATAAAGGTAGACACAAAGATAGACGTAAAGATAGACATAGCCATAAACTAAAGCTACAATCTTTGCCATAAAATTGCGTAAAAATCCATAAACTATAGACTTCAGCATGAAAATGTGTGAAATTGCAAAAACTATAGTGTTTGGCAGGAAAATGTGTGACAATGCATAAACTATAGTCTTTGCATTTTCACACACTTTAACGCCAAAGACTATAGTCTTTGCATTTTCACACAATTTCAAACCAAAGACTATAGTCTTTGCATTTTTACACACTTCTCCATCAAAGACTATAGTCTTTGCATTTTTACTCACTTTTACACCAAAAACTATACTCTTTGCATTTTTACACACTTTCACATCAAAGACTATAGCCTTTGTATTTTTACACACTTTCAGACCAAGACTATAATCTTTGCATTTTTACACACTTTTACACAAAAGACTATATTCCTTACACTTTTACACACTTTTACACTAAAGACTATAGTCTTTACATTTTTACACACTTTTATGCAAAAGTATATGGTCTTTGCATTTTTACACACTTTTACGCAAAAGACTATAGTCTTTGCATTTTTACACATTTTTAAACAATTTTATGCAAAAGACTATACTCTTTGCATTTTTACACACATTTACACCAAAAACTATAGTCTTTGCATTTTTACACACTTTCACACCAAAGACTGTACCCTCTGTATTTTTACACACTTTAACACCAAGACTATAGTCTTTTTATTTTTGCACACTTTTACACAAAAGACGATAGTCTTTGTATTTTTACACACTTTTACACCAAAGACTGTAGCCTTTGCATTTTTACACTTTTCTACACAAAAGACTATAGTCTTTGCATTGTTACAGACTTTTACGGAAAAAACTATAGTCTTTGCATTTTTACACACTTTTATGCAAAAGTGTTTAAAAATGTGTAAAAAGGCAAAGACTATAGTCTTTGATATGAAAGTGTGTAAAATTGCAGACTATTGTCTTTTGCGTAAAAGTGTGTAAAAATGCAAACACTATAGTCTTTTGCGTTAAAGTGTGTAAAGATGCAAAAACTATAGCCTTTTGCCTAAAAGTGTGTAAAAATGCAAAGACTATAGTCTTTTGCGTAAAAGTGTAAAATGGAAATTAATAGTCTTTTGTGTGGTAAAATGCAAAGACTATAGTCTTTTGTAAAAGTGTGTAAAATGCAAAGACTATAGTCTTTATGTAAAGGTGGAAATGCAAAGACTATAGTCTTTTTGTAAAAATGTAAAATGCAAAGATCTATAGGTTTTGGTAAAGTGTGTAAAAAGACTATAGTCTTTTGCATAAAAGTAAAATGCAAAGATCTAGTCTTTTGTAAAAGTGTAAAAAAAGACTATAATCTTTTGTAAAAGTAAAATGCAAAGATCTTTTAAAATTGTAAAAATCAAAGACTGAGTAGTTTTAAAAGTGAAAATGGAAAGACTATAGTCTTTGTGTAAAATAAAATAGTCAGTAGTCTTGTAAAGTGAAATAGAAAATGAAAGTAAAATAGAATTCTTTTTAAAAGTGTAAAATAAAGACTATAGTCTTTTGTAAATGTAAAATAAAGACTATAGTCTTTTGTGTAAAATGAAAAGATATAGTCTTTTAATAAAAAAAATCAAAGACTATAGTCTTTTGGTAAAAAAGATAAAATGAAAATCTTAGATAGTCTTTTGGAATGAAGATCTGAGGTGGAATAGTCTTAGGAAAATGTAAAATAAGAATGGCGTAAAGTGAAAAATGAAGACTATAGTCTTTTTAGTAAGTAAAATGCAAAGACTATAGTCTTTTGTAAAAGTAAAAAGCAAAGACTATAGTCTTTTGCGTAAAGAGTAAAATGCAAAGACAATCGTCTTTTTGTAAAATGTAAAATGCAAAGACTATAGTCTTTTGCGTAACAAAGTGAAAATGCAAAGACTATAGTCTTTTGTGAAAGGTAAAATGCAAAGACTATAGTCTTTTGCGTAAAAGTGTGTAAAAAAGCAAAGACTATAGTCTTTTGCGTAAAAGTGTGTAAAAATGCAAAGACAATCGTCTTTTTTGTAAAAATGTGTAAAAATGCAAAGACTATAGTCTTTTGCGTAACAAAGTGTGTAAAAATGCAAAGACTATAGTCTTTGGTGTAAAAGTGTCTTCGATTTGAAAATGACTATAGTCTTTGCATTTTCACACACTTTCACACGAAAGAATATAGTCTTTGCATTTTCACACACTTTGACACCAAAGACTATAGTCTTTATATTTTCACACATTTTCAAACCAAAATACAAAATATAGTCTTTGCATTTTTACTAACTTTCCCACCAAAGAATATACTCTTTGCATTTTCACACTTTTTCAGGACAAAGACTATAGTCTTTTCCTTTTTACACAAAGAAAAAAGACCTTAAAGAGCGGGAAAATGCAAAGATTATAGTCTTTTTCATGAAAGTGTGTGAAAATGCAATGACTATAGTCTTTGGCATGAAAATGTGTGAAAATGCATGAACTATAGTCTTTTCCATGAAAATGTGTGAAAGTGCAAAAACTAAACTAGTTCGTGCATTTTAACACTTTCATGTCAAACACTTTAGTTCGTGCATTTTCACACTTTCATGTCAAAGACTATAGTTTATGCAATTTCACGCATTTTCATGCGAAAGAGTTTAGTTCATGCATTTTCATGCACAAGTATTTAAAAGCCCCCTGATTGTCAGTTTGTCAGTCAAACCCATTGAGCTCTATAAGACCTGGAGGGGCAAAGGGGCCTGGGCCTCGTGGTCAAAAACATGGCGGTAATGGCGGATTTTGGTTGTCAAAACTTCCACTTTGAGAAAAATTTTTAACATTCGCTCCCTCCCGAATCCGGATCTCTATTCCTGCTTATATTAATGACAACCAGCGAAAACAACCACGATACCGTAAGCATAAAATATTGAAAATAATGCTTCAGGTTTTTGTGAAATAGACACACACATTTAAATGAGGTAAAATAACGTATATTTTGTCAAGTAATGCTTTAGCTATATTAGAAATAAATATCAAACGGCATTTTTTACACTGTCAATGTGTTGTTAAGCTTTAATGCATAATCCATTAGCATTACTTGTGTTTTTGACTGTTTGTTTACAGCTTGGTGCAACTGTCTTTCCTGAATAGATGGGTAAATCTTAGTTAAAACGTCCAAAAAGGAGTTAGAAAAAGTTAGCTTACCCCTACGACTTAAGTCGACTGGAAATATATTATAAGTAGGTATGTAATTTTTGAGTTTTTTGGTAGGATTGATTCTGGGTGTCTTATAAGGTATTATGATATTCTTATAAATCTACTGAGAACTTATGAAGAAAATATCTTGAACTAGGAGAGCAAAAGATTGAAATTCAGAAATTCTATAATCATGTTGCTGGTTCTGTTTTGAGCCAAGATATTAGAAACTGGATTGTCATTGACAACCATGGATCTACTACTGAACAGAACTACATTAATTTCCCATTGAAAATACAATTTCATAAATTAAAGTGCATTGGTTTCTCTGACATAACACTTTTCTTATTGCTGCATGAAGGCAAATCTGTTTAAATAATTATAATGTAGGTGAAGATATTTAGCATGTTGTATAATTGTTATTGTACAGTCATTATTTATAATATTATGGCCTTGTGTAATGTATGTCAAGAAGAACTTATTAATTCTCAAAAATGCTAACCTTGCACTACTTTTCTCTTGTGTCCTTACAAATTGCAGTTACCTGTACTAATTTTTTCTAGGTTCAAACAACTTGACAAACTTTTGAATTTTACATTATGCCTTCGAATTTTTGTTTTCGTCTTTTGATAAAAATATCAGTGAATGACTTAAAAATCAAGTTTATCTAAAATAGTATTTTGTACAAAGAAATTATACATAATTTGAAAAGTCTCATGTTGAAGACAGATGTCGCTTCTTTTACTAGATTGCTACTCTTATTCTTTTAAATGATATCGTAATTCTTCAAGACATAAAAAGTTCTTTGGCATCAATTTTTGCTTCTCCACATTCAACTTCATTGCAACCAATGCATCTTATGTGAATTTTTAATCACCTGGAATTGAAAAATGTATGGATTTTGTCAGATGATGCAGTACTATATTTAATGTTTCATGCATGTCATCATAACCTTTTCTTGAGCAAATATTTTAAGGTAGGAGCAAAATTTGGCCCATTATTGCACAAAGTAGTTTTTATCTTGATTTTGATGTACTAACCTGTTTACTATAACAAACAATTCATTTACAGAAACACCAGATGGAATTTATAAAACTTTTAGCATAAAACAAACCTTTACACACCATCATCAAAATTGTCCATAATCTGTCAAATTATCCAGGCTAGCTGTTTAATACAGGTATTTTTTATCGTACGACATGTACCAAAGAGCTCATTAATTAATCCTGCACTGCATTTGATTTCAATACAGCTCTGATCTTAATATTTGCTTCATATTTTCAGAAAAATATCATGAAAACACCCTCCATTTCTTGAAGGTAAACTCAGTTGAAACAAGGAGTTTTAAGATATGCATATCTCGATAAGAATTGGTTGCTTTGCCTCGTCTAGCAAGCGATTAAGTAAAGAAAAAATAAGACTGGATAAACATAACTTAAATTATAACTTAGGAGTAAAACATTCACAAAATATATACCATCACACTTCAAGTATTGACTTAAAACAAAACACTGAACACTTTAAATAGTAAAGAATCTTACGTTGCTTACCGTAGTCATGAAATGTTTCCTTTTCTGACATTACTTCAGCATCCGTATACCAAACAAGTTTGCAGCATGTTTTAAAGATAAAATTTCTAAAAGTTTTTGTGCTTGGCATTGATATTTTATAATCGCAATTGTGGTTGTCAAATCCGGGTGGGCGAAAAAAATTTTATTTTATGAGCCCGCGTCTTTCCGCTGACTTTGACAACCAAAATCCGCCATGTTTTTGACCACGCGGCCGCGCGCTAATAATTTATAGTAATTTGGTTGACGTTTCCCCTCCAGGTCTTATAGAACTCAATGGTCAAACCACTCGAATCTGCCTTGTGGTTCCCGATCGTTCACGAATTACAATTTTTACTGACATTAGCATGACATAGTTGAAAATAAAGCTGGTAGACTTAATATCGCATAAAAAATGCCCCCGAAGAAAAAGAAAAAGCTGACAGCTGACAATGCAAATATCAAAAATAATCAAAATGAAACCGAGGTATTTTACTCCGTGAGAGATAGCATTTGAAGTTGAACCAGTGCAGAAATGACAGCTTCTGCTAAGTTATTTTTCCCTTCGATAACAAAAGTATCGTACATTGTTTTGTATGAATTTCTTTAATGTTACTGTAGGCCAAAAAGAAATTCACAAAATGGCTAATGAAATCTGAACCAGAAAGTCGTATAGAAAAAGGAGTGGATGTTAAGGTTGAACTTCAATGCAAAATGCAAATGTCTGTGAAAAGTTCACTATGTTGCATGCATAACTTTGAAATCTGCCAATGAAGTAACTATTGCATTCATAACTTTCCCAATTAATGTAAATTTCAGTGTATAGCAAGTCATACTACACTGTACATAAACTTTGACATTCTAGTTCGGTATTGAAGATCTTAAAAGCAGCCCAAATCAAACAACTCACTGGGATGGAGTACGAAATTATCAGGTTTGTCACAAGTCATCCAATCGACATTTAATATTTAAGAAATAAATGATGTTTACTGTGTTTCCACAGGCTTATGCAAACCAAGAAGACCTTTGGGAGAACTTGAGAGCAGATCAGTGCTATCAAGAACAAAGGTCAAGGGTTTGCACATGCTTAAGTGTTCTCACAAACGTCTTCAAGGTTTGCATAAGCCAGTGAAAACACGAAAAACATCTTTTATTTCTTTTATAAAATAACAATGCGAAACAGACAAATTGAAAACAAATGAATATGCATTTATGATTGGATTTGTTAACTCTCTTTGATTGGTTTAATCAACTGAACTCAAATGGGTTTGCACAGGTGTTGTTTATATTTTATATCCTGCCATTGATTAGTTGCTGCCAATCCATTGCAGGCAAGAAATTTCATGCGAGATCAAATGAGGATCGGTGAATTAGCATTTTTCTACCACAGCAACTGTAAAGAGCCAGGAATTGCTGGCATCATGGAGGTATGGGGTGAAATAACTCATAAATAGTCATCATATAGAGTATATTGTCGAATATGGTTCATTATTTGTAGGTGGTAAGAGAATCATACGTGGATCATACTCAATTTGACAAAGCTGATCCACATTATGATCCGTGGGTATCAAAAACTTTTCAATCTCCTATCCTCTAAATCACATCACAAATGAATTTTCGTATATTTAATAATTTTCAAGAATCAATTTTCACAATATTTCATAATTTACTACATATAGTAAAGCTTCGAAGGAAAACCCCAAATGGTTTATGGTTGATGTAAAATATGTAAGAATGATGAAACGTTTCATCTCGTTGAAAGAACTTAAGAAACTCCACGTTGTAAGTACAAATAACATGATTTCAAGCAAGTGTTGCGTGCCAATGAGGAATGGTCTACACATTTATTTAGGAACATAAAGAAAATGGAGGCCCTCTTAAAACCTTGGCCTTATTCATTCAGTCAAGACTATCTGTGGCACCTTTAACAGAAGGTGAGAGGGATGATTGTAACAACAATGTAACAGACATCAATTTTTCAAACTGGTATACATTTCACTGTGAAAATTGAAATTATCATAATTGATTACATCTTAAGAAATATGATTTAACAGCAATAGTTTCAATGCAAAGCAATTTTCGTTTGGCTTTTTCTTCAGGCTGTAATATCTCTTGAGAATAACTGCCAGCTATCTACGTTTTGCTGTACTGTTGCAGGAAAGCTCAATAAATTTTGTTTTTACTTATCTAGAGGAATTTCGGTTCATTCAGAGCTTAGAGGATCAAAAAGAGTAACAGAACTGTACTAATATCCTGTTTGTTCAAATTTAAAGTATTTCAGTTTTTGTTAATCTTCCATGAATGAAATGATTTTCACATGCTAAAAATGCTTAGCAAATTGCCTCATATGGCTCTGTTAGATTTTGTTTTTATTGTGTATATACTGATTTAAAATACCTTAACACAATAAGGATACATTTTGAATGCCTAACACATCCAACAAAACATATTTAGCATGAATTTGTATAGTTTTGCTGAATATTCAGAATTCTTTTCAATAAAATTTCTCGCCAGTTCTCGCCTTTGTTTAATTCACTATACTTTGTTGGTTTTGTCTTCAAACTTTGGATTGATTTCATTGGTTCATGAGGAATGTCAAGTAAAGCCACAGTTTCAAGGAACTTATCAATATGTGCAGTTGATAGAATAACTGGACCGCAAATAGATTGACTAAAAAGACCCAAGAAGATGAAAAATTAATGTTTAATCTTTAACACACTATTGTTTGGGAAATGACATTAAAAGCAGCCTTACAATTTATTTGTGCAAGCAACATGGATTCCAGTGGCCGTATGGGGATCCACTAAATAGTTCCATTCAATCCACGACTTTTTCATGCTATACATAATTTCATTTTGGGTAACAGAACAAGAGCATAGAACAGAAGATATCTAAAGATAATATGTATTTCTGTATATGTATTGATAAACTATACACAGATACACCTTATATTCATCTCACTTTGGATTGTAATAACTTCAAACCTTTTTTCTTGCCACCTCCGGGACATTGGCTTTGCCATATTTTTCAAATTCACACACAAATTCCGTTACGACTTCTACTCCAGCAAACAGAAATATGATCCTCTCAAAGTTTGATGGTACCTATAAAAACAAAACATTCCAAGAGTTAAACACCAACACATTCCTTAGAAATCAATTGTATCCATTGATAAACCTGTATATCCATTGCAGGAGCAATAGTTTTTGACACTTCTTTAGGGAAATATTCACCAAATGTTATTGCACGATGAGCAGTGTCATTGATATTAGTTGCGCAGGTGATTATTATTGGCAATCCCATAAGATATGCAATACAGCCAGCTATACACAGAAGTCAATTCACAAATCAAACATGCACCATTTGAATTTAAGGTTTTCCCATTGCTAGGTATCATCAAAAAAAGTTCAAGTTTTGCAAGAATGAACATGAAAAACAGCTTGTGTGTGAATTTCAAATATTGCATGAATACAGAGCTCTAAGTAATGGCTAGTCAATGAACAAAGACTGGCAAAATATGCCTGTTGATCAGTCATTCTGACCATCCACTCTTCTCTGTCTTCCACATGAATTATTTTTACTTCAATATTCTTGTGTAATGCTGAAAGTCAGTTTATGCATGTACAGAAAAACCATGTATGCTCTTGAACAAATTATGTGCTGAATGAGCTTGGATTCAGAGCCTTTGATTCCATTTTCATGCACCAAAAAGTGTTCAGATCAGATCGTTTGGCTCATCCATAAACACCTGAACTTTTATTGGTGTATTAATGTCAGCCAAGTTTGTCATATGATGATTTGCCCAAAAGAAATACAATGAGGCAATGTGATGAGACAAGCCTTTAGAATGTCATGAGATTCAGTTGTCTCAAAAAAGTACTTCTTCACATTATTGCTGCAAATTATGTATAGCAGCAAGTGGTCAAAAACCAACATTGACGAAGCTAAAATGAAGTTGAAAGGTCATCTTGACCGAAAATATTTCAGCCATTATTTTGAGCCTTGGAATGAGCATGTGTGTGTGTGTTTTTCAGGCAGTGTATGCTATGGCTTACAACCATCTTAACTGATATCACCATATGTATAGTTATACTTACCAGTTACATTCCCCATCCCACCTGTTGGTACAATGACATGAACTTTATCACCAACATTATCACAAAGTTGAAAATAAACATGGAAATAATGTACGATCTGGATCATAATACGAGCCCAGTTGGCAGAATTTACTGTACAGAGATTATACTTCCTCACAAGAGCCGAATCCTTCAGGATACTCTGTAACACAACATCCATGTCATCAGAAGTGCCTTCGGAAGAAAACACATGTACATTGTCCTCGATGACAGTGGTCATTTGTAACTCTTGTATAGCAGAACAAGCGCCTCTTGGAAACATGCAAATGATGTCAATATTCTTGAATTTACGTACGCTCTCAATGGCAGCACTGCCTGTATCACCCGATGTTGCCACAAGTATGGTAACATGACGAGATTGTTTTGCATTAAAAAAGGCCATAAACTGAGCTACACAACTAAGTGCAAGATCTTTGAAAGCCAAAGAAGGTCCATGCCACATTTCAGCGACATAGATTTTATCAGACACCTTAATCACTGGAACAATATCTTCATGATCGAAGACATTTGTAAAGGCAGCGGTTATTATTGCTGTAAAAAAAGGAATTTGATTTAATCAAAGTGACTATACATGTACTCGAGCACATATAATTCAAGCTTGCCGACGGGTGTATTTAGAATTAGATCCAGTTGATTGAGTTTATACGTGAATAGCTCAGGACTATTCTCCGCTTCAGCAACTTAAGAAATTACATAAGTACAAGTGAAGTACAAACTTACTATTTAAATCAAATGTCGGTATTTCCTTATCGTCAATAAAAATCCTTGATATCTCTTTGCAGAGATCAACGTATGACAAGTTTGACCAATACTGTAGAGTTTCCTGCGATATTTTTGGGACAAATTCTGGCATAAACATGCCACCAATTGACGTGTAATTATTGAATAAAACATCCTCAAAACTCTGGTTGTTAACTTTTCCACGAGTACTGCAATAACGCATTGTAAAATGAAAAGTAACGAAGAAATGAGCAAGTTAACAAAGTAGTTAAAGACCATACACACTTAACTCAACTAAATCGATAGGAGCTGTACGTCAGGGGGGAGAGGAATTTAATTACATGCCGATAAAAAATTGAAAGCTGGAGCTGAACTATTCACACAGATTGATTACTAAAATGCATAAGTGACAGCGACCGGGAAGATATTCATTTTTTGCCCAAGAGAATTAGTAGCATTATCACAACTCACAAGATATAAATAGCAATCGATAAATTATACATTTATTTATCTACTCTCACATCGACCACAACAATTGATTTCCATGATAGCAATGCGCAATAAGAAAAGTTACAAGACCAAATAAAACTATACATTTTTTTACATGACATGTAAAGATATGGACATGATCTAAAATAATTGACGAGTAATAAATGCAGTTGAAGTCAGATAATGTCCATATCATTCACATTACAAGAAGAAAAACGAAAAGACAGAAGAGGATGAAGAAGAAGACGGGAAGAAAGACGACAAGACAGCAAAAGATTAAGATGAACAAGGTAAGAAGAAAGACAAGCGACAGCCGTAGACCTACGGGATGGGGAGGGGGAGAGCGGAGAGTTTGAAGATGGAAAAGTTGGGAAAATTTTTAACGTTTGTCGGGGGGGAATATGGCGGAAGTCACGGAACCTTTACTGTGAGTTAGGGAAAATACTGACTGCCCATCCCGGAAATGATAGCTCCCGTACGCCTATGGAGACAGCGTAACATTTAGATGAAGAAGACAAGATGAACGACGAAGAGACAGCAGAAGAGTAAGATGAAGAAGAAAAGAAAAAAGACGAAGAGACAGCAGAAGAGTAAGATGAAGAAGAAAAGAAAAAGACGAAGAGACAGCAGAAGAGTAAGATGAAGAAGAAAAGAAAAAAGACGAAGAGACAGCAGAAGAGTAAGATGAAGAAGAAAAGAAAAAAAGATGAAGGGACAGCAGATGATTAAGATGAAGAAGACAAGAAAAAAAGATGAAGGGACAGCAGAAGAGTAAGATGAAGAAGAAAAGAAAAAAGACGAAGAGACAGTAGAAGATTAAGATGAAGAAGAGAAGAAAAAAAGATGAAGGGACAGCAGGGGCCGGTAGCACGAAGCCTGGATAGCGTTATCCATTGGAAAGCAATTTTTTTAAACTTTTGTAAAACCTTTTCAAAAAGTAAAAAATGTAAGATTTGAACTGAGCAATCACTGAAATAAAGTATTGTTTCAAAGATTACAAAAGGTCTTTGTCGTAAGAAAAATATAAACACCTTTTTACAAATTTGAAAATTTTCGCTATCCAATGGATAACGCTATCCAGGCTTCGTGCAACAGGCCACAGAAGATTAAAAAGAACATGAGAAGAAAGACAAGAAACAGCATGACGTTAAGATGAAGAGGACAAGTAGAAAACGAAGAGACAGCAGAAAATTAAGATGAACAAGACGAAAAGGTAGAAAGGTTAACAGAAGATTAAGATCAACAAGGCGAGAAGAAAGACGAAGAGAGAGATAGCAGATATTAAGATGAAAAAGACGAGAAGACAGAGACAACAGCAAATTCAAATAAACGTGGTAACATTGAAATATCTGTATGCGTTAGAGATCTTGCAATTTTAATATTTTCCTTTTCCTACAAAAATTCATTGTCTTACAATAATATATACAAATAGTTTAGGAAAATTCAAGTGAACCGATCGTCAATTTCTCTTAAATGGCTTTTCCATTGGTCAGTATATCAAACAAATAATTTCATGCCCAACTTCTATACATAAACACAAAGTTGGAAAATTATTAAATCACATATGCAATTAAGCTTTTGTAGCAACAGTTAGACAACAGCTGATGAAAGTTTATAAAATTTCCATAACATAATTTAATCCATGTAACATGTACATATTTGACAAAAACACTTCAAAACGTCGATAATTAACACAATCGTCTTCTTCGAGCAGTGAAAATTGACAGCTTGCGAGGCTTGGGGCTGTTGTCGATCACCTCTGTAAAAAACCATCTTTTTTGTAAGCAATGATTTGATGACAAGTGATAGACATACTGTGAGTTAATGTGTTTCAACTATTAGGATGTTTCTAATTTTGCGAGCGAAAACACGAACAAACAATAAATAGCAACGTCAGCCGCCTCTTCATGTTTTTAATTTAAATTTTAATCATACATTTACAGTAATTAAACAACGAACAAACGCTTAATTTGTGATTTGGAGACGCTTTGAACATAAAACGACACCTGCACTCTACAACGCAACAAATCTGTGATATACGCTTATGCAATGCAACAAGGGGCGTCTTCATCGATGAGCAGAATTGTTGATGCACTTTAATCAAAAGAAAACTGGTAAGACCGACTACTCCACAATAATAAAATGTAATTCATGTTCTAGCATTGACGTTGGAATCGTTTAAGCTGTCGCAAACTAGTGTATTATATTGAAAAAAACACCAAAAAAATCAATACCTTAAAAAATAGTTGATCCAAACGTCACGTGAACACGTTTCTAGTTTCACCCATGTAAACGAAGGGATTATTTTGACAAGCAAGCTGTCGGAAAGTAAATGTTATCCACTGGATAGCAATATTTTCGAACTCTTCAAAAATAGCAAAAATAGCAAAAATCAAGGATTTGAACTGTACAATCAATGAAATACAAGATTTGGTTTTAGAATTCGATAACGAATTTTTAAATTTCGTAATCGCAAAGAAAATATAAATACGTTTTTTACAAGCTTTGAAAACTGCTATCCAATGGATAACACTATCCAGGCTTCGTGCATCCGGCCCCTGTTTCGAGTTCGGAGCGTAAAGTTGGTGCAAATTGATGTAAATAAGATAAAACTATTTTCGTAAACAGATCGCTGAAACATGTTGTAAGATGTAAAAAAGATAATTACTTATCTCCAAGGTGTAATTTGCTCAACCAGATGCACTCATCACAGATGTAATGATTGATGAATGAACTCCCCATAAGATAACTGAGGATAGCTAGCTTGTACGTATTTTTCTGTGGCTTATTCTTAGGAAATCCGTCACAGAAATGATGCTTGTTACCTGTGAAATGGCAAATTGAGTCTCTCAACATTGCATTTGATAGGATCAATTGTTCTCAAAAGATATACAGAAAGAAATATATTAGATCAAATATTGGAAGAACGGAGTACAGAGAAAGGCAGTGATAACATAAAAGAGAGAAAGTTCAATGGAAGAAGGTGAAAGCCAAAAGTTGAGTAGTGTTATCTTTTTATGTTTAAGCATGCTGGGTGCAATAATTAACATCATTCTCTTGCTATGCATACAACGAAATCCATTAAAATGTTTTCGCAACTGCTCAAGTTACCTCGTAGCTCATCAAGCAATCAGTGACGTGATCACGTGTTTATCCGTTGCCAGTTATTGCATTGCAATGATCAATGGTGATTCAGAGAAGCTCTTCTTCGATGCCATCCCAAAAACGTTTGTTGTCCTTTCGTTTACTGCATTCGTGGCACTTTTCTTAGTGTCTCTTGATCGTTTTCTTGCAATTCGTTTCCCAATAAAGTACAGAATCCATGTACGACCATCAAGACTTCCTCTAGTTCTTCTCCCAATATGGCTTTGCACGTTTCTTCTTATTGTAATCATCATCAAGATCCCAACGCTACATCATTGGATAAACAAGACATTGATGTACAATGGTGTCATTACGGTACTTCTTAAACTTTGTCTACACGCTCTCGCTTTTTGGACAATAAAGCAGAAAGGTAAGGAGCTCGGAAAACGCAATTTTTACTTTAGGGGAATGGTAACTATTCGATCTTTATGATACACTTTATCACTATATAATACATCAAAACCATGACCAGCCGACAATTTAAAGAAATATAGTATAAAACAAGTTCCGAAGAAGCAAGACATCTTGAGATTGCAAAATATGCATCAAAACAAGACGAGAAGAGAAGTGTAAATTTTTCACTTTATTTCAAAGTCATCCTCAGACAGAATGATATTTAAAACCATACATACACATATATTTACAACGCATGAAATAAGTAAACGGAAGTAAGCAATAGAAATTAAATAGTGTGATATTTACAATTCTGCCATTCTGTCTGAGGATGACTTTGAAATAAAGTCGAAAATTTACAGTTCACTTCTCGTCTTGTTTTGATGCATATTTTGCAATCTCAAGATGTCTTGCTTCTTCGGAATTTGTTTTATATTATATAATACATGAAATTACAAGATAATATGGTTCCCATAGGCTCAGACGTGCTTCGAAGCTCCCGCGATTCACAATCGACGAGCAACAAAAACCGAAACGTCACCAAACGGAAACGTCAAAGTCGCTTTCTTTTCACGGTTTTCTTGATCACAGTCGTCGTGTTAGTGACGTCAGTACCCATGTTATCCTTCTACAACTACTATGGACACATGAACTTTGTCTGGACATCAAAAGGAGGATCTGTCTTCATACTATATTGGCTTGGTATTATCTTCAGCCCAGCGATATATTTTATTCGCCTTAAAAGTTACAAGGAAAGTTTAAAGAAACTCCTGACCTTTTAACAGTGATATGGATGGACTTTGAAAGGTGGAAAGTTAACTTTAATTTGAACTTGTTGAAAGCACTGTTCGTTGCTATCTAAACACACATATCATAGCTAAGCCTTTACAAAAGTGCAAAATGAATAGTTTGTTGGCAGAATTTCACGTTTCACGGTTTTTTTTTGTTCTCATAGCTCAGTGGCGTACCAGAATCGTTAATTCAGGGGGGGGGGCACAAATTCATATGCATGTCTTAACTCGTTGACAACAATGGATTTCAAAGGAATGTAATGCGGCAGAACATGAATATATAAATATGCACCCTCCCAATTAACGAGTCTACTACGCAACTGCCCAACTGTAACGGTAAATTTCTAACTTTTTCTTTATTAATTTCGAGTTAAAGTTAGATTGTCGTTCTCAACTTCGTGTATCATCCAATGGAGGCACTCCTATTATTATGAATTTGCAATTTGATTGGATGATCTTTGTGTGCTTCGTTTTTCACTCACGGGGAATGGTGACAAGTTAACGTGATTGGATGATTTGTAACCAATGATCTAAAATACATGAAACGCTACCTGAAGCAAATGATTGAAGCCAAATCTTACACCCAGACACGCGAGATAACACCCAGACACGCGTGTTTAGTGTTTCGAGATTCTCTCGCTGAGTGAAAATTGATTGATTACACACGCGCATCTGGGTGTAAAATTTGGCTTCAAAAATTATTAGGCTTTTCTATTACAGGTGGCATTCCATGTATTTTAGTTCAATGTTTGTAAGTGCTTCGGTTTAAACCATTGAGTTTGTTTCCACTCACGAAGAATGGTGACAAGGCGAATTAAGTCAAATGGAGCCATTGCTTAAATGACATCAACCTGTACAAGTGATATGTTCATAAAAACATGCTAGCTCGATGAAAATAACAACAACATTTAAAATATATATACATAACTAATGCATGCTTGAAACTAAATTGCTATTAACATCACGTGACTTTCATGAAAAGATTGAGACTGCATTGTGAAGCTTTATAATTGTAAAAGTAGACAACTTTATTATAGTTTCTACAATATTTTTGAAACAACCTGGTGCTGAAAAAATGCTGTTGAAATTGTAATGAAATATCAACACTCCTAAAAAGAAGCTATGAAAACCAAATTCTCAGAATCGCGCATACAGCCAATCATAGAAATTTACAGAGACTTGAATTCTGAGAATGTTTGAACAGACATCTGGAGTTTGAGTTCATAGGCATTCCTAACGTTACGGAATGTAATTGAGCCTTCACGAGGAAGTACCAGCGGCTGGATCACATTGAAGCAAACGCACAATAGATGGATCGCTTTTGGCGCCATCGATGAACTCAGATACGGACAGTTTTCCATCAAGGTTTTTATCCATTTGTCGGAAGATTTTCTCGACTCTCTTCTCCGGTGTACTTTCATCTTCTGGCATCTTCATTACAGTGCCAACCATTTTGTAAATAGCCTTAACAATCTCCAGCATTTCCTTCCTAATGAAAAGCGATCGTTTACGTGAAAAATTGTAGGGGTATTCTGGGATCCACATTTTTTTATTTAATCTGCAATTTGTGGAAAAACCCCATATTTTAGCTGGACCAACTTTTTTCCGTCTTCTATCAGTTCATGGAGCAAAGCTTTACACATATTTCACAAAAGGTGGGGTGCCAGCCCCCCACCTCCTAGGCTACAAAAAACCACTAACTTTCACAAAGGTGGGTGCCGGCCCCCCTCCTACGCCACAAAAAACACTAACTTTCACAAGAGGTGGGGTGCCAGCCCCCCCACGCCACAAAAAAAACCTAACTTGCGTCTTGTCTAAACAAAACGACAACTTAAAACTTACCTGGAAATGTATCCGTCACCATCAAGATCATACATGCTGAACGCCCATTGCAGCTTCTGCTCAAGTTTGCCACGTGACGTCACAGAGAGCGCGCATATGAACTCGCGGAAATCTATCGACTTGTCGTTGTTTACGTCAAACGTACGAAAAACATGCTCCGCAAATTTCGACGCGTCACCGTACGGGAAAAAATTGCCGTAGATCTTTTTGAATTCTTCGACGGTAAGATGGCCGCTGGGACAATCCTTAAGGAAGCCTTTGTACCATTCTTGCAACTCATGCTCGCTGAAATCTGTCTGTTCTTTAAGATCTGACAAAACCTCCGGACGAAGCTTACTGTTCTGCTTGCCCATCTCTAAAAAATGTGCGTATAAATATCTAAAACAGCCCAAAGGATGATTGCCACTCGAACCACAAAACACAAATTATGGCTAGATAATATTCTAAAGTTACAAATACTTCATGTTGTTATTGTTTAACCAGTTTGACCACACCCGCATATGATCGTTGATTTTTTTTATAACCGAGCCTTACAATTACTAAGTTCACGTAAGTTTCTTCAAGTATTAGCAGGGAGGATAAAGAGAAACAGAAACACACACCCAGTCGATAATTCAAAGAATTATACAGAGATACTTAAATACGTAAGAAAACCGAAAAGGGACACACATATCAAATACAGTGGGGTGAAGCAAGCCGGCAAGTTTGGTAAAGAAATGTAAAATTCCCGATGTTCACTCGCAGCAAAAACAATAGATTTCTAGAAAAATAAGTAATGTAGATGAGCCGAAATTTAGAAAGCACGACCTAATTGGCGGGCTGGCTATGCAACTGATCAAGTTAAGTTTTAATCTGGATATTTTTCGTGCTAAGAATACTTCAAGTCGTACAACTTATACGAAAAAACATCGAGAAATCACGGAGAAGAAAACTTGAAGACACAATTCACATAAAGGCATCATTTCTTCATGCAATTATTGTAATTCGCTCCTAGTATCCACGCGACCGCAATCGATAATAACTTTAACAATAAGGTTTGAATAATTTACAAAAAAACTATCGCTACGTCTGTGGTTTACCGTCCGCGCAGCTGAACACGAAAAAATTGCATGCTGCGGAGGGTAAATGTTCCGGAATATGCCAGCAGCGATCAGAAAGAAAAAGCTTATCATAGATTTCTTTTATGAAAAGCATCTGTACATACTTTTCATAAACACACAATAAACACAAAGTAAACGAGCATCCCTCAAAAAGCCATGCATACAATAGCAATAAAATTACAGCAATGGAAATTAACATCATGTTTTTGTAAAGAGAAGTGACACCGCTTGCTATGACACCTGCGGACGAATTACAATGGCAAATTACGACACGTGAAAACTATTTCATAAATAGCAAAATACGTTATATATTAAATTCTCTACATCATATTTTACATGTTGGTGTTTGTGTAACTAGAAACTCGAGATTTAACGGTGGACTTACGACAAACACACAAAAAAAGAAAACTCGACATCGCTCATTTTTTAAAAGCAACCACGAAACAGTACAGAAATAGTTAGCTATGAAATTTTGTGCTTTAGCAATCAATATCCGAGGCAACAGCTTATCTTTTTTTTTTCATCAAAAACGCGTGCTATTGCTAGTACGACTCTTTCCTGTCTACAAAGAAATGATTTACATTAACAAGGAACCGTAAAAACGCCTCTCTATGTGAGTGGAGAAAAAAGAATTTTTATTGAATTACACTCCACGATAGAAAAATATTTCAACCGGCTACCTTATGCATACATACATCATTGGACAAATTCTTTGTAATACGCACAAAACGACTTAAAGATAAACATGCTTGGAAGGACAATCTACTTTGATGAAAGAAAATTCACAGCAAACACTCACTTTGAACAAATCGGAGCACAATTTTCCCTCGAAAATCGATCCTTAAAGTCAAATTTCTTTCAATAGGAGAAAAACTTTACATTAGAGACAGTGTTCGAGATGGATGCTGTCGCACAAAACTCTCCTCGCCACTGTAATCACAGGAGACATAAACAAATACATTATACAAAGCACACGTTCTTTTGTATTCGATGACATAATAAATGAAATCTCATGAATGTTTATGAGCTTCGTGTTGGCTCGGATTTGAAAGATTACATTTCATTAATGGGCAGAAAAACATCTTTCTATACTTTGCGTAGGTTATAACACGGAATTAAAAATAAATTGCGAAAAGATTACAATAATTGAATGGAAACGCAACTGTGAGCTAGCGAGTGGGAAGTTAAACTTGACAAACACCACGTATAGAAATGCGTGTTTGTGCCGTATCTCACGACACGAAAATACGATGAAACAAATTTAAAAACGAAATGTTCGAAAATTTTTGACGAGTGCAGAACTTATGCTCACGCCAAACACTTTGCAAAAAAACTTCAATCGTTTTTGCTCACAATGCTTGTTGAGCCTTGTTCGACGAAGCGGAACATAATTAAGTGAAAGCAAAATTAACATTTTGCTATCTGCGTCCAATCTTTCTTAGGTATGTGAGACGTATTTTTGCATTATAATTCGCACACGCATGAAATCGAAATTATGCATGCTAAATTTGTGAGTATACGGATGGCATTTGGGAAAAATCTATGATCCCTCATCCGATTTAAAAGCCCGAGAATTTTTTCACAAGGGGATAAGTTGCAGAAGGATGCTCGAGACCCGTCTCCAGGGCATAGTTTAAAAACTTCGATCATTTTGTACAAGTCGACGACTGTTTCTAAAGCGCTCTTTCAAAGAGCCGTACGATCCATGTCCTATCTGCATGCACTTATATCATTGGTTATACCGACATTTAACAACTAATTTACAAACGAAGCAATACAGTTTGATATTAACTATTTGATAATAATGTAATTTTCACGGGAACATCCTTAGTCACGTAAGGCGTAGGTTGTGATTTGCAATCGCGCCTTTATCATTAAACATACATAAATAGATGATTTTTAATTTATTTCAGAGTTTTTTTAAGGTTCGATGTTATATACTTATACATATATAGTCAAAAAAGTCACATAATATAATAATGAAAAACGGTTTTGCCACACTGAGTTTCGCTACATCAATAGTGAAGGGCAATTCTCCCGTCATGGATATGAAATGTACGCCGTAATTCAGATGTTATTCATAGCTTCAAGCTCAGAAAATAAGCTTAATCTTTAATCATGTACTGTTATAAACAGCTTTACACTATACTAAGAAATGAAATCAAACATAAATATATATATACGTCACCATTAACGGAACTAATAAATTAATATAACAAGGGTGAAAAATAAATATATTGAAAAAATCTGCGCGCTAATTTACAGAATGGACAACATTCTTAAAGTGGTTTACACAAAGTGGACATACATGGCAGACGTAAATTCTTCCACTTGACAATAATTAAGTCCTACGAAACTACGGGACATTTTTTATTGTGCTTAAGAGCAACTTCATCTGAAAACATAAGTTAAAGTTTTCACTGTCCTTCTCAATGATGCGAAGGCAATTGTGAGTCGCATGTGTGACACACAAAACACAACAATGAATACTTGTTAAGTGCTCTTGAAAAATGCCATATTTATGGTAAAGTTGGAAAAATACCTACATAATACACTAAATGTGATAATCCAAATTTAAACTGAAATACGCACCGTAATAATTAACATGCTATAACATTTTATAACAAGTCATTTACAACGCAGGCTCAACAAATTTCCAATGTTGTAAAGCTGTTGGAATATTATCTTATCACATGGTTATTTCACTCTTTCGCTAATGAAATTGAGCACCCTGTTCTTTTGAGATTGCTTTATTCACAAATAACAACTTTGATCTGGTATTACTTCCATAAATAAAGATGACCAGATTTACCACACTTTGGTAAACAATCTTACCAACTTTTTTGTACAAGTTGATTGTCAGGTTAGCGAAGTTTTGAGAACTGTTGTTGTTGACTGACGTTTTGACAACATTCGACACTAAGGATATTGAAATGTCAGTCAAAATCAACACCAGCATTCCTTTACAGGATTCAACTTACCCGGACAATCTACATCTACAAACAATGTAATGATACTCTCATGTTTAAGTCATTTAATTCATCTTTTCACCCTCACTCTCTTAATGGCATCCTTCCCTTCATTCTGAAAGCGGTGCTAAGCAGAAATACACAGCCTAGGACACGGTGTTCCACCCCTCAATCAATGGTGGCCTAGTGTAGCCTATCCCAGGCTATGTGCACATGTTTCATACCTGTGTATTTGTAAGTGGTCCCTAGTCTAAAGCATCTTTAAATTTATTTGAGAAAGATAATGGAAAACTTGATTAACCATACCATAATATAGACATATGTATATGATAATGATTCTCTGGATTTGTTTTAAATTTTTATTAAGCTTTCAACTCGGTGCTTTGAGCCTTCGTCAGAATGTGACAATATATTATTTACAAAGATTTTGTAGGCGTTTGGAGCGTCTGATTGGTTGGTTAGTAGTTGAGTTGATATTATTGGATGGTATAAGATGCGTTGTCATGCGTTATCATTATCATAATATGCCTGGGTTACCAATTTTCAAATATACATATGTATATATATACCAGCATTCATTCATTCAAATATCAGAATGACATTTACACTCATACAACAGAAATATAATACAGACAAAACAATGTCAAAATAAGGCTGCTCGACATCAATATTGATAGAGGAAGGTTTTAGGAGTTAACACAGAAAGGTTTCTCGATTGAACACCCAAAAACAATCAAAATTATTTCACAAGGACCTGATATGAATTTATGCCCACTATGAGCCCAGCCATTAATGATTTAAAAATAGCAAAAAGTCCTAATCTTGAAGAAAAGATTTCAAAAAGAGAGGATTTGCTAGATCAAAATAAATGTATCCTTTTGTTGATATCCCACACTAACAGGGTATTACTAATCTATTTATTTATTTTAACTCTTCAAAAAATACAACAACAATTATTTCCACTTACAATTGTTTGGTTCTTTGAGGTGATGTTCGTACCTTGATATTATAAATTCTATGTTGAAAACAAATTATCAATATTACAGAGAGAACACATTTCTAACATATTAGATGAAATTGATGGATTTAACAGCACGCTGCTGAGGTATAGACAATGAAACTATCCTCATAACAGACAACGAAACGCCTTTATCAGTTTATCTTAGGTTTTCCCAATACATTGATGGGAGAACTTTAGCAAAGGCCAGTTCAACCATAAATATACAAATATCTAGCAAACAATCAATTTCCACAAAGATAACTCAAAAACATATGACGGCAATTTAGCGAGATTTTGACGTCTAGCTACACAACAAAAGATTGGATTGTTTACCTCCAACAAAGCTTGAAGAACAAGGTGGCACGGCTAAAATGTTTCTGCACAAGTCTACCAAGTCAGCGATTTGTGACTCTATTTAAGGTAAGCAACAGAAGAAGAGAATGACCAAGTGGATCGTGTGAGTTTAAAAATATTTTTAATCATTTTACAGCAATAAAACATGCAAATATTCGCGTAAACAAGCCGTTAACGTGTTTTGAAATTGAAAATATTGATTAAATATATGAATTACAATCGTTGTTGCTGCCTGGCTTTTGCCACTTAAAGGGCCACATTATTATACTTCTGCCAACAAGTTGCTTACATGTCGGGATAATAAAATTAATGCAATAAAATCCTCTTACAAACAAATACATCACTTTAAACACCGCTCTAAGCTTTCCAGTAAAAAAATCTGTAGTGGGCATATGACTGGACCATGTGCTAAGCTTTTATTTCAAGCACAAACAAAAATTTCAAACTGATAGGGAATGGCTTCTCTCTGTCTTTGAGGGGGGAAAGGAAAAAAATACTGACAGATAACGTAGTACGTCCACAATTGCTGGCAACGCTCTTGAAACATTTGACATTATTAAAGTTTCAAGAGACGGTTTGCAATGTGGCATCAACAAAATATGCCCAATGTCAAATGCATAATTAATACAAAACTCTGCAAAAAAGCGTCCAGCACAAGAAGGCATCTCAAACAAATTATGAGCAAAATTATGAACAAACAGATGGGAAACCTCTCAAGCTCTTATCGATCCCCCTCTTACAATACGATATATTTGTTGTGAAAATCTCGCATGTTTACCAAACTCGACAGTAACAAAAGAAAACTCACCTGTCTATTGAAAATTGTTAAGTGATTCAGCAGCAAATCTGTTTGAGGTTGACAACTGCAGCAAGAATTGACAAAATTCATTCAATCCAGAGACAACATTGTGTGACGTCACACATTTACATTACGCGCCTGCGACTTTCGTTGACGTCATATCAGTCAACTCCTTGATCCTGTGCAGTCCAATTTGTTGATTTATTCAAGATATTACTTAAATTTGTGCTTTGCTAATGTCGGCTGTTTAATCTTGAATGTGGAGAACATCAAACTGATCAGGCAAGTCACATATTTATATTTTGCGATACTTGGGATGTTAGTCAAAAATTATAGGAATAAGATGTACATATGTTGTATGTAAATACATGCGAGCCACATTCTGACATTCATAATGAATTATTCATATTTTGTCGAAGTCTATATAATTTTACCTAAACAGTTGGTAGTACTCATTTTCGATTGATCATTTCCTTCGGAAGAATCTATCAAGGGATATTTATTAAAATTAAACAAGAAGCATTTGAAAGGTATGGTATGTTAACTAATACATCAAATTCGATTTGCTTGGGTATATTTAGTGAATGAATGGCAATAATAGTAAAAACAATTAGCGCTCCATGCGTGATGTGACGCCGTTTTAGCGCCATCAGGGACATTGATTAGGCGTAAAGAAGTGTGAAAGTTTTTCTTACAAGTGCTTTTAGCTAAAGATGATGAACAATCTTGTGATCGCCTTGCTCCACTCACAGGCCATTTGCCCTTTTATGCAACTGTCTCTGAATAGAATTATGCACAAATATCGTTAGCGTGTAATATCTTTTGGGCATGTACTATATGATGCCACAGTGCTATGTATTAGTATTTAATAAAGGCGTTTGCTCAGGAACATTGTGAAATCACTGAATTTAGTTTGCAACATGGATTTTCAAACTGCAGGAGAAAATGTGTATGACGAAATTATTCTTTCGCGTGAAAAATTTTTACGACCTTTAATGGTTTGTTGTTAATTAACGCTTCGTCGAAAGGGTCTCTTATTTAGGAGTTAACACATATTTAAATAATGAGAAAGCATATTAACCAAAATAAACTCTTCAAATGTAAAGTAACTCAATGTTTTTACTTCATACGAGTATCGTACGTTGCCAGTAAAATCTAAACACACCAATGATTTTAAATATTTGCATTTTCGAGTTTCCCTGCTGGGTATTTCACTTGCTTCAAGTATTTCCATATATTCTTCTTAACAATGACGTGTATAAGTAAAGAGTATTTCAGTTTCCATTTAATAACATGCCCAAGTATCAAGGCTTGTGCTAATATCTCTGAAGATGGCAGTAGAGCAATTTAAATGCAAAGTGAGCATATTTATGTCTTTTTATTTAAGATTATTCTACCGTACTCTAAATGGGAAAACATCAAAGCAAACTGACTCCTGAGGTTTTGGCAGATCTCTCAGCAACCACAGAGTTTGATGAAAACGAAATCAAAGAATGGTTTAAGGGCTTCAAAAAGGACTGCCCCAATGGTCAATTAGGCATGGATGCCTTTAAATCAGTCTACTCCAGTTTCTTTCCTAATGGAGACCCATCAAAATTTGCTGAACATGCTTTTAGAGCATTTGATAAAAATGGTGATGGTTTCATAGACTTCCAAGAATTTATCGTCTCTTTATCAGTTACTTCAAGGGGGAAAATGGACGACAAACTAAAATGGGCCTTTAACATGTACGATATAAATGGCAATGGTTTTATTAGTAGGTAAGGAAATTAGATCTTGTTAAATCACATTTCGTTTTTTAATAATTTAGGTGTAGCAATTATTTTCAACATTTATATTTACTACATCATGAAGGAGTGCATGCATTTTATTCCACAAGGGCTGAATTGCTGGAAATCATGGTAGCAATTAAGAAGATGAGTGGTGCCATACAAGATGGAACTGACGAGAGCTCGGCAAAAGAACGCACCGATACACTCTTTGAAGAAATGGATAAGAATTTCGATGATAAACTTTCACTGACTGAGTTTATCGAAGGAGCCAAACGTGATCCATTCATTGTGAAGATTCTTCAGTCATAACCAGACCATTGATTTGGAAGATAGTAGTGAAACATTCACTGAATGTCTCCTTCGTGGATAACTTTAGAACTGCATCAGTAATTCATTATTTAAAGATACTGCATAAATTGCTCATCGTAAACACAATGTCTTTTCACGAAAAATAATAATATAGCACAATTCATGAAAATTAATACTTGCCTTTGTGTCCTTTGACATATTAGTTTAATCATATCATAATGAATAATTATATCAAACCATTTTACACCACAGTCAACGAGTACAGTACGGTCAATAAAAAGAATCCTAGACTAAAACAGAAAATGAGAAAACTGATGACTGTGGTCACAGTGTTTGGGTGAACCATGGGTGTACATGATGACGAAATGCCCGAATAACAAATAAATTAAAATATTTAATTATTGTGCCGAGTATGCGACAATTTTAGCCAGTACGTACGTACATCGCTTATACGACAATACTTCATGGCGCAACCCCTGTATCCACTGTAGTATTATTTTCGCAAATTAGTTTCGCAAAACCCCCGGCATCGTTTTCAAATTAATAAAAACAACATTTATCGGTTTTAAATTTTAAAACTAATGGATACGTCGTATAATATACTCTGCAAAGTTTCATATTGTATATACATTTTAGCCACAGTTGAGGATTTTTGACGGAGAGCGCATCAATGCATCAAACTCCGCGCACTAAAATACTTTAACATCTATACACAGTAATGAAAACTATCGTGAGTGGATTCATGATTCGCGCGGCTAACCGCGTGACCTCAAATGTCTTCATGATTTCAATGGTCGTCATTATCCCACTGTCAACCCCAAGTACCACCCAACCACACCAACCGACGAAAACGGCCATAAAAACACAAGAGAAAACTATATCGTCTGGGGGTGCTGTCATCAGGTGCGGTTCCCCGCCATTCGGAAGCAAATACGGCAACTCGCTGGATTTGTCTGTGCAAGGTTTTCCAAAAGAATGTGACAATAAGCCAATCACGAGCCAAGAAAAGATGATGACGCCAAACAACATGTAACCAAACGCCTTAAATCTATTCAAAAATGCCATTGAGTTCAAGTCCATAAAACCACCTGAATTCGTCGCATCAAAATAGGCAAAGATGAAGGCCGCTAGCCACGACACGACGCTCCAGAAAACACGCGAATGATGGGGTTGTGAAAACGGATTGCGGTAACCAGAAGGACCAGTAAAATTCATGAATGTCTTTTGAACAATTTCTACGATAAGATGAAAGACCGTGCACAGATTGAGCGAAAGATATGCGAAATACAATAAAGTGCAAAGATTGTCGATATCGCACGTGTCCACATGAAACATCAACACGGTCGTCGTTGCCTCGTAGACGATATCGCATACAACAAGACTGTACAACATCATTCCGTTGAGATGAAGCAAGTTTTGAGGAATTTTATTACGGGCCAATAGGAAGAGAAGAACGATATTGATGAGAATAATAAATACAGAACATGTTACGTGGTATGAACTAGAGTAGAATTGAAAAGCGGCGAGGACGTTGGGAAAGGCCATCGCAAAGTTTACGAACTCCATTGAGATTGCAATTCACGCCGGCGTATGGGATTGGGAACGGTTAACGCTGTCTCCTTTGAGTCCGCTCCTTCTCTTAAAATCTTGAATTCGAAATGTAATGAGTACGACAAGCCAGGAATTATAAGATTAAAGCGCAGATGTTCCAGCGCAAGTTCGCTGTTCGACTAATCACATCTTCGGAGGAAGGACGTGATTATAAGTCGGCACAATATATAAAGTTCACGTGTTTAAATCCCCACAAAGACATGAACACAATAGAAATATCCTCACAGAACGCACGATTTATGCATGATCAAGTCATGCACGATGCGTGTTTAGCAAGTTGACTCACAAAGATATTGAGTTACCTACACCGACCGTTAACAAAAATAACGCGATAGCAAGTCAGCCTTGGAGATAGTAAATTCAAGCGTCCGAAAATTTTTCCAAAGTATTGAATATTCATGATTTATTTATAATTTATTCCAAAAGATTGATTCATAACGTCTTCATCGTTAAATTGCCTGTTTTAAAAGGGTTTATTTTAAAAGTTCTAACTCTGGGTCAGTACTCAATTGATCGAGCTTCAAACAGATGAACGCAATTTAGTCTTTATCGGCTCTACATTTGAGAAATTTTTTTCCAAAACCCTTAGCACTCTGCATATCAACAATGGAAAACACTATTCACTTTCATGAAAAGAAATATCGAACTATTTCACTATTATCGAAACCGCGTTTCTTATATGCACGTTCAACAGTGCATTCCTCCATCACGATATGTCCACGTGCATTCTCAGGCTGGTCCCACTGCATGAGCGCATGCAGTGCCATGATGAAGACAGCACTGTTACCAGCTGTTGTACCTGACTTGGGCTTAAAACAGTAACATTTAAAGGTCTTCATTTTATTTCAAACAGAACATTAAGTGTTTCGGAGGAAAATGCAAGTAATTCAACATAAACCAAACATCATAAGGTGTTAACGTAGCCCTTATATATGGGGCATACATGAGTCATAATGTCGTATAGATTTATGTTGCATTCAAGCCAAAGACACTTCATACATTTGCAATAAGCAAAATTGTTTAAATATCGTAATTCATCTAAAAGCGTCCCACTTTTAATGTCCCCCACGTCTTTGTCTCAATTTTCACGATTTGCATTCGAAACAAAGACTACATGTAACTTAGTAGATCACATATACTGTAAAAGCGGACTTCAATAACTCCTACTGTCCAATACTGTTATCTAGTTTAAGCTACTGCTATCACTGCAAAATAAATATTCGTGATATTGAGACGGTAACTTCAATTACGTAACGCACTCTTCGGCAGTTCAGCTTTATTTCATCCCACAAATTGCCAAGCACCACAAAGGAAATATATGCTTGGGAAAAGGAATACAATTTTCATTTCTTCTTTGGAAATTGCAAAGGAAGACAGGACATAGGTACATCGAGACATCGCGATGAAATACCCGGAATTATTGGGCAATATTCGCTATTGCACACCATTCTTTCCAATGGTTACGGTCATCGACATGTTCATCCTCTATAGTGGGGGTCAAATATTTTAACAAAATTTAAGAAAATGAGGTATTATTTTCCAAAACACAAAACCCAGCTATTCTTTAGCATTTTTTATTTTCATCGTCCAAGTGTCATTTACGTTTGCTTTAATCTCTTCACGACAATGATAATTCATGGCTTTGCCGTGTAATCCAGCGTGTGACTTGAGTTTGTGGCTGGGTTCATTGTTCATAAAACATTTTGATATGCTCGAAACAAAAAATGGCACATTCGTGGATACACTTTCCATGATAGTGCTGAAGTATTTTATAGTTTTTGGTCATATTTTGTTCGTTTTCCTGTTTTTCTCAAGCGTTTTCGCAATGACCGAGTTAATTTTTCGAATAAACTTGTGACAAAAACGTCATTTGAAGAATTCACGAACATCAGAAGAAAAGTCAAGTGGACGCAAACGAAATATATAAAATTGGTTATGGAATATGACACGATGCTTGCTTTATTGACAGCGCTTCTATTCAACTGGTTTGCATGATTTATTGTTGGTGCATGTAATAAAATCTTATTGGTCGAAGAAAATGTTTCAAGTAATCCGGACTTAGAGTAAGAGTGGTCACTCTGTTCACATTGGTGTACCTATATTATTTTCCTGACGATACACGCAATTAACGTGTAAATCAATATTGCTTTAACGAATAGCATGTTGATGTCACGACTAACATTTAGAAGACGAAGTTTCAACTTTTAACTGAATGTAACTTGTACTGTTGTGTACAGCACTGACCTGAAAAGTAGTCTGTAGATGTAAGGCAGCTAGATCAGCCAATATACAATCTGTAAAGAAGTAGTAAATGATTTTAAAAAGTTTAAGTATGTAATGCCTTAGAATTTCTGTGACAGTACTCTTGGTGGACTCTGAGTACGAAATGCAAACAACAGGAATGTGAAACGAGAATAACCACCTTGTTTAAAATGTACTGAAAGCCGATCAGTTGTCGCATAAATCATTTTTGTAGCATTGTTTAATGTTGGAAAATCTCAAAATGAATTTCCTAGTCTTTGTTGGTCTTTGTTTGTCTTGCACAATTACACACTTCAAACTAAAAATGCCGCCATTTTGTTATCCCTTGAGAAGCAGCTTTCATTAAGTATCGCCATTGAAGGGTCGTTCAACCGCTGATTCTTGAGTGTGCAAGGTTTGACCACTGGATTTGACCATAAGAAGCGTCGCACTGGTGGTTCATGCTACAACCGATGCGTATATTTACTCTAAAAAAAGAAATTTTGTTTAATATAGGAATTTAGGAATGTTTGGCTCAGCATTTGGTAGCACTTCAAGCTCGATAGGTGGTAAAATGCCTTTATCACTGGGTCTTGGTACAATGCAAAACCCAATGAAAGATGTCGAAGTTCCCTCCCCCCCGGACGACAGCGTGAGTAGAATTAGGTTCAGTCCAAAAGCTAGTTTTTTCGTGGCATCATCCTGGGCGAATGATGTAAGTATAAAATCAATTTGAACTGTATCTTTGGCTTAACCCAAGAAAAAGAAGTATTTTATTTAAACAATCAAGAGGACTTCGGTTTACTTAGGCCCTCCGTATTCTGAAAGTTTAAATGCTGAAGATCAAATCATACTCTAAAACGGCTAATGTGATTTGCTAACTTTTCACATTCATTCACTCATAGTTAACATTTGGAATAGATTCGATGTTGGGAAGTAACCAGCAATGCTAGTGTACCAAAGGCACAACAGACTCATCAAATGCCAATCTTGGACTGTTGTTGGCATGATGTAAGAGAACATGATCTCATTAAATACGCAATAGACAGATATGTTTCTTATCGGTATTTTGATTTTTATTTTGTTTAAAGGATGGCAGCAAAGTTTTTACAGCAAGTGTGGATAAAACATGCAAGATGTGGGATTTAGGTAGCAATCAATGTAATGTAGTTGCACAGGTATGAAAATCGACAGCCCAAATCAGACTGTTCGCATGCATGTTGATCACAGCTAAAATGTCATTATTCAAACACTTGGTCAAACTTTTCTTATGAAATGTGCTGGTTGACCATGTTGTTCTTAATCTTATCTTTCCCTTAAAAATATCTTGCAGCATGATCAGCCAATAAAAACAGTTAATTTTGTCCAAGCACCAAGCTATTCGTGCATAGTAACAGGAAGTTGGGACAAAACTTTAAAGTTTTGGGATATGAGACAGTCAACACCTGTTGCCACATTTAAACTACCCGAAAGATGCTATTGTGCTGACATAGTTTATCCAATGGCCGTCGTTGGTACAGCCCAGAGAGGAATCATAGTGTATTCATTGGAAAGTCAACCTAGGCAATTTAAGGTTTGTTTTTTCTTTTGCAAGTTTGCCATATCAATGTTTAATATCAACTAAAGTTACTGTTCAGGTTTACAAACATATTAATTTATAAAATGGCAACAATACTAGGCTTGTGCTGATTGGTCCATAGCTGAGTTTACATTGGCTTGTAAAAGGATCTTAGCTCAATCAATCAAGTCAATTAAAGAGAATTTGCAAATCAATCATCAAGACATGTTAGAGGAAGAATTAGACTGTTAGTTTTAAGTTTATCTGTTTCAAATTATTGTTATTTTATAAAAGAAATAAAAGATGCTTTTCGCGTTTGCACTGGCTTAAGAAAACTCAGAGATGTTTGTGAGAACTCTTGTGCAGGTGCAAACCCTCTTGATCTGCTCTCAAATTCTCCCAAACGTCTCTTTGGTGTACATTTTCCCCATAAACATTTTTCAGTGTCGCTATCAGTGCTGTTGTTTTGTTTTTAGAAAATCGACTCTCCCCTTAACTATCAGGTTTGTCTTTCCCATTGCTAATTCAAACTTTACTTCATGTCAGATTTGATGTTGTACACGTAAGTCATATATTCACTGTATTATCAACATCTTGGAATTTGTCCGAATTTCATCTATGTCATACTACACACAGCACCGATGTGTGACAATCTTCAAAGACAAAAACCAACAGCCTACAGGATTTGCCTTGGGGTCGGTCGAAGGACGAGTGGCCATTCATTACATCAATCCAACAACACCGTAGGTTCTTAAAAAATATCCAAATTACGTCATTATCAGAGAAGAACTCCAAAGGATTTTTAACGTTCACAGTTTTATTGCGTTTCAGAAAAGATAATTTTACTTTCAAATGCCATCGAAGCACCACTTCAAGCGCAAACAACGTACAAGATATTTATGCAGTAAGACTATAATTCAAAGTTCAGTTCACCTTGCACACACTGTAAGGATAATCATTAACCTTGGCAGTTTTTTCTTGCCTTCAACACAGGTCAATGATATTTCATTTCATCCTCAATTTGGAACTTTCGCGACAGTCGGCTCCGATGGAAAATTCAGCTTCTGGGACAAGGACGCACGAACGAAGCTGAAGGTGATATTATTAGCGACAGATATACTATTACAAGTACATTGGCAGTGTTCAGTAAAATAGCTATGTTGTGATGGTACATTGACTCATACAGCTTAGCATATACACGTACATATAACAGTTGTAAAAGTTGCCATTTTTTGTTGTATTTGCTATGTATAATTGTTCCTCTCTCTCCACACATAATGCCAGGTAGTGCCCTCTCGTAAATAATTCTTTCCTATGCCACTGGATGACGAACAACTTTATCCTACCAACCATTAGCTTTATATGTCAATAACATTGTTTTTCAACAGACGTCCGATCCTGCGGCCAGCTTACCCATATCAACGTGTTCCTTCGACTCAACTGGGTCTATTTTCGCTTATTCTACCGGCTACGATTGGTCGAAGGTATGAACAGCCCAATCGATTTTGTATTAATATGAAAATGAAAATTATACTTGATACTGTAAATTTCAAAATACTTCTATAGGGACATGAATACTTCAATCCGTCAGTGAAACCGATGATTTTACTGCGCAGTTGCATGGAAGAGCTGAGACCCAAAGGAAAGAAGTAAAGTCCAGTCATTTTGCACATGTCCGCCCACTCTTTCATGACGAAAAGATGAAGAAAATAAGCGATTAAGTTTTCACAGTTTCACCGAATAACATTTGACCTTAACAGCTTTTTGAAAGCTTTATTGACTGTCGTAGCAAAGCCTTGTGAAAGATAATGTGGCGAAAATAAATATTTCCTGAAACGAAGAATAGCGTGAAAATGTATTTTTCAGCATTTAACGATACAAAGAACGGAAAGAAAATGCTTAGCATACATCTGGGTCATCGTCATCATCCCGTAATCCCATTTTTCGCAACGAAACGGAGATTTCCGCAATGAAACGGAGTTTTTACAGTTCTTTCCATTAGAAATTGACCATTAGCGAAAATACACTTATATACATATTATACAAATAGCATTGTCTATTCGATAGAACTTTCAAGTGTATTAAAAATGCGGTTACATTTTCTTTGAGATGTGAAACTCTGTATAATTGATATCTACTGATTCCTCTGTTGAAATCGTAGCTTTTTTCAATTTACTTCGAAGGGATTCTTGCTATTTAGTTTGACGAAACTTTTGCTAATTTGTTGACGACATCTTGCGTCATCATTTGCTGACGTGATAAGCGATTTGAATTCTGAATTGACAATTCAGTTAGTTTTTATGAAATTAAGTTTTAAACCTTTTAATCCCAGCTGAAAAATAAAACATTCTTCATCAAACATGTCCATTTCTTATGCGCCAATGGAGGCCAAAATACCAGAGGGTTTTGCAACGTTATTGGAGGACCTAACGAAACAAGTTCTCGCTAGACAACCTAAAGATATAATAGCCTTTTGCGCGAGTTATCTTCAGCGAAAAGTAAACAGCGTTTCGCATGGCATTAAAGGTATCACATTATTTTGTTGATGGCAGAAAGGGGAGGGAAGGTATTTTCTGATTTGGACAATCAGCTGTTAACATGTATGGTAATCTATAGAAACTTTCGTTAGCTTGGTAAGACAACTGAACAGAATACAAGTTTACGTGACTGCATAAATGTCAAAAATCTAGAAAGGAAAATGTAGAAGAATATTTTAGCGACTCGTATGAAAAATGTGGCGTATTTAGCTTCAAAAACGTTATTTTTGACAATACTAAAGTACCGGTATTTCCTATAATTAGCCCGCAGTCTTATTCTAGCCCTCCCCTTTCTTCTAATAATCCCTCGCTTGAACAGTTGAGAGCTAAACAGAGGAAATACGTTATTAACCACAAGAATGCATTCAAATAATTCATGAGGGGGAGAAAAAAGTTCTATCTCTGAAAGTTTATGTATATATTATTTATCTATGACGCTTTTATCATGTTAATTTTGCTATAGAAATTTTTAAAACTGCATATTTCAGTCTTGAGTGTGATTATCTATTTTCTGCTGTTAATCTGCTAAACTTATTTACAGCAAGTTGCTTATAAGACTTATCATTATAGTATATATAATTAGTTAGGTGTCACGTAGTTAGCTTATCTTTGAAAAATCTAGTTCGTACTAGCACCTTTCGTCATAATTCATTTCGTTAAGCTCTCATTTTTTGATATTTTTTTAAATTATAAAAATTTCCAATAAAATTTTAAATGTCATTTATTTTACTCAAAAAAATTGCAAGTTATACATACATCAACTTCCTGGAACCTTCTGAATGTTAAGTTAGACTTGAAAATTATAGTTATGATATGAAAGTTATAATTTTTTCGTACAAGTACACTTATATTGCAAAATTAATGGCTTTCACGAAAGATGTTGCTTAAGTAACGCAATATGTTGATCGCTATAAAAATTTCTCAAAAAGCAAAAAGTCACGGTTTAAACTATACAATAGAATAATCAAAACTTATCAGAGTTTATTTTTAAAAAAAAAAATTATAACCGCCTTTAAAACATTTGAAAAAATCAATGTCAATTGGAGTTTGTGCTATCCAGGCAGCGAGCAATAAGCCCCGTACTCAAAAAGGTCCTATAAGGCTGTGTGAAAAGTGTTCTAGAAATGAATATTACGATTGTGAAGTAGCATCTATGTCGTCAAATAAGCAGGTACCGTATTTTTAAATGTTTACTTTGCGTGGGCAAATGTATTTTTAATATTATCGTAAATTGAACTACAAGTGTACAGCGGTATTGACGCAACAATGAATTGCGTGCGTCCGTCGAAAATTTCTAATGCAAACAATTTTTTTCAAAGCACGTATGAATAGAAATAATCACTAAAGCAGGTCGGTTACGATAGTTTGTGTAAACGTTGCCAGGCAACCAAAAAATAATGCGAACCAATGAGACGAAAGTAATATGAGCCGAACAATATAGTTCATGTTTGTGAATACAATTCGAACAGTCCAACTGCCAACACGACAAGCAAACATTAAAGGATCAAAGGCGCAGTTTTAGTTAACCAGTTTTGTTTGTGAATGAGTGATTATCCTTTCATAGGATAAACAAAGCGTTAGGGGTTTACAAGCAAAGCCTTGAAAGTTATGGGATGCGGTAATAGTCGTTCTTCTGTTTCTACAGTTGCCAGCACTACAAATGCGACACATGTGAAGCCTGGCTCGTCCACTGAGGCAAATAATAATGCACAAAAATCATCGTCAGAGGAAAAGAAGGACGCCATAGTTGATGCAGAAGGTATATAGTAAAACGATAGACACCGTAATAAGATCAAAGCTAGAGGAAAAATTCCACTGTGGCCTGTACGATTATCAACGATGTGATATGCTTTTATTGATGGTTAATGACCATCAGTGGATTGAAATGTTACGTTAAAAAATTTCGAATCCAGAGTTTAAATGACGTACAACTTGAGTCTATAACAAGTATTTTTCCGTCTGTGAATTTTGACACACATATAAATATAAGACATGCAACTACCATCCAATTGATTTTTTATCTTTTTCAATTGTAGCTGAATAAATCACGAGAAGTAAGAAATGAAATGTTATTTAGTCTGTACGCAGTAGATTAAACAAAATGACCGTGTTAAGCACGTAAATTAATTCCAAAGTACATAAGTTGAACTAACGCAGATTCAAGCATTAACCGTAGCTAATATGTAAGTGAAACACGTCTATTCGCCGCCATTTCAGGTCATTATAAAAATTATTACAACACAATATAAGTGTAGCTTACAAAAAATTATATCAAATATAACCTCGAGATTGCTATAGAAGTATTACTTCTGGCCAGCTTAAAATTGCACAATCTAATTTTTTTGATGCGGCAGAAATGCATATTTATCATCAACGATTGCTTTTCTGACTTTTTTTTAACGCAAATCTGCGTTCTCATTCAAGTATTTTACGTGGTTGCTATGGTGAAATTCGCCATCGTTACTCGGATAAATTTCGTTCAAATTGTTCAATTGTCCCTTTAATGGGTCATTGAATCTTTCATTACGAATTCATGCTCATAAAAACTAAAAGCACAATTAAAAAACCCACAGAACAAAGAAATGGGAATGTTTCCACAACAATATGTGTAGTACTATATGTGCAGACAGTTCAACAAACCAGAAACACATATATCACAAACTTGTTTTTCATTAATGTTTCGTCACTAATTTGCGTTTTGTTGACTAAGCTACAGGAAAATTACGGCTGATTAATTAACATGGACTCGTTGCCTGAACAAAGTATTTTCTCAGGAAAATCTAACAAAAAATTGATAAGCTAAAAGCAAATACCAGAACAAAAACTTAGCTTTTGGAACAAACACTTAGCTTTTGAACACCTATGTCGCTAGAACGTTAATCGTGGGTAAGGGTCTTAATATTCATATATTACTAAATATATGAATATGCCCCCCGCCCTAATTAACCTTCTAGTTACAGCTCTGCGTTCGGTACCAAAGACTCACAAAAACACGTTTACAGCTCCCATGAATCTTTTATAGATTTTAAACTAAATATATTCATAATCATATTCACCTGTTACTCTTGTCAGAGTAAGTAGATATTCTGTTGTGAAGCTTTTTTAAGCCAAACGACTGCAGGTCACAGTAAGTTAGTGAATGAGTTAGCTAGTACAGCTATTGTGTGGACGATTTCCCGTGGCAAAAACATAAGGATAAGGTTAACTGAAATGTCGTCGGCAATGAACGTAATGAAGTCGCCGGCAATCGTGAAAATATAAACACAGATCTACGCATGCATTTGTATTTCCATTATCGAAAAAATATTTCCTGATAACGATTAGAAATACAACTGTGTACTTAATGATCTTTTTAAAAGCACTCAACTGGGCTTTAATATAGTATAAAACAAATTCCGAAGAAACAAGACATCTTGAGATTGCAAAATATGCATCAAAACAAGACGAGAAGTGAACTGTAAATTTTCGACTTTATTTCAAAGTCATCCTCATTCTGTCTATGGATGACTTTGAAATAAAGTCGAAAATTTACAGTTCACTTCTCGTCTTGTTTTGATGCATATTTTGCAATCTCAAGATGTCTTGCTTCTTCGGAATTTGTTTTATACTATATTTCTTTAAATCGTCGGTTGGTCAAGGTTTTTGGGCTTTAATAATCATTATAGAAATACAATTGTTGAGTGAGAGCGACAACCTGACCTCTGTTTTGAAAATAGTGATAAAGTAAATAGTTTGAACCCGGGAGTATCGTTACATGTTTGTAAATGTAGATCGTCCAGGTTGGTATAGTCCTGAGAAGGACTGTTTTTGTTGTTGTTGACTGACGTTTCGACAACCTTAGCGGTAGTCATCTTCAATACACAAATGACTCTGAAGATGTCAAATGAGGAGTAAACGTCAGGTTAGCCGTACTTTTTATCTGGTTCCTACATCATTGTATTGTCGAAACGTCAGTCAACACCAACAAAAACAGTCCTTCTCAGGACTATACCAACCTGGACGATCTACATTTACAAACATGAAAATAGTTATGTTGACGAACACAATGAATACCTTTAGGAAAAGAAGATGGGAAGCCTAATCAAGACGAACGAGAGACTCCGATAGGAGAAGAAGCTGTATCGAAATACAGCGATCCTACTTCACAGCAAGAAGAAACAGAGCCAAGTGATGACAAACCTGCGAAGGATGGATTTGATGATGGATTTAATGAAGATAAAGAATGAAACAGAAATGGAATGGAATGGAAAAATGGAAGATGAGAATGGAAACTAGACGATAAATGGAAGGAAGGAATGGAATGGAATGGAAGAAGAATGGAAGGAAGGAATGGAGATGGAAGAAGGAAGGAAGGAAGGAATGGAATGGAACGGAATGGAAGGAATGGAATGGAATGGAATGGAAATGCGAAAATGGAACGGAAATGGAAGAACTAAAATGGATGGAATGATGAGAACCAATAAACGCTACAGGTAACAACCAAAATGCAAGCTCTGAACCAACAATGCAAAACATCAAGCCTGATGAAGCAGGGATGACAGAGAATGCAAGAGAAGGTGATGGGTGAGCCAAGAAGCAACAGAACAGTGAAAATGAAAGTGAATCATAGAAGCTGGAAACGGTACTTACTTGGGATATGTATTAATTGTATATACATACGCATCATACACCTTACTATATTATTATCAATTTCATGATTATTCTTAAATTAAGTTTAATACAACCATATGTCGATGGAATTTAGGCGTGATGTACAGTATAATGACTATTTTTATTTTTATCAAACAAAAAATTCCATTGAAATTATATTCGTGTATGTTTTGAATGAAAAACGTAAAAAGTCATATGTTGATTTCGTGTGAGACTTTTTCAAAGCTCTAGGATAGCAACTCTAACATTTCATTACCTTTCAAGAGATTTTTCTACCAAAATTTCTAGAATATTATCATTTTCAAACTTTGTCATCATCACAAGTTTGCTGGCACATTTTCCGTGACAACATCGCCAACCATTCCTATTGCATCAATCTCGACTCGAGCACTCTGAAAAAAATTCGTAATATGAGTTAAGATTAGAGAGCAACGACTATTGAAAAGTAGAGTCTCAAAGGTAGCCTACCCCAGACAGTAGCCTCCTCCAGACAGTAGCCTACCCCAGACAGTAGCCTCCTCCAGACAGTAGCCTACCCCAGACAGTAGCCTACCCCAGACAGTAGCCTCCTCCAGACAGTAGCCAACCCCTGACAGTAGCATGCTCCAGACAGTAGCCTACCCCTGACAGTAGCATCCTCCAGAAAGTAGCAAACCCAGACAGTAGCCTACCCAGACAGTAGCCTACCCCAGACAGTAGCCTACTCCAGACAGTAGCCTACTCCCAGTAGCCTACCCCAGACAGTAGCCCACCCCAGACAGTAGCCTACCCCAGACAGTAGCCTACCCCAGACAGTAGCCTACCCCTGACAGTAGACTACCCCAGACAGTAGCCTACCCCCTGAGAGTAGCCTACCCCAGACAGTAGCCTCCTCCAGACAGTAGCCTGCCCCATACAGTAGCCTACCCCAGACAGAAGCCTACACCAGACAGAAGCCTACCCCAGACAGTAGCTACCCAGATAGTAGCCTACTCCAGACAGTAGCCTACCCCAGACAGTAGCCTACCCCAGACAGTAGCATACCCCAGACAGTAGCATCCTCCAGACAGTAGCCTACTCCAGACAGTAGCCTACCCCAGACAGTAGCCTACCCCAGACAGTAGCCTACCCCAGACAGTAGCCTACCCCAGACAGTAACATACCCTGACAGTAGCCTACCCCTGACAGTAAAATACTCCAGACAGTAGCCTACCCCAGACAGTAGCATCCTCCAAAAAGTAGCAAACCCCAGACAGTAGCCTACCCCAGACAGTAGCTCTATCCCAGACAGTAGCCTACCCCAGACAGTAGCCTACCCCCAGACAGTAACCTGCTCCAGACAGTAGCCTACCCCAGACAGTAGCCTACCCCAGACAGTAGTAAACCCCAGACAGTAGCCTACCCCTGACAGTAGCATCCTCCAAGTAGCAAATCCCAGACAGTAGCCTACCCCAGACAGTAGCAAACCCCAGACAGTAGCAAACCCCAGACAGTAGCCTACCCCAGACAGTAGCCTACCCCTGACAGTAGCCTACCCCAGACAGTAGCCTACCCCAGACAGTAGCCTACCCCGGACAGTAGCCTACCCCGGACAGTAGCCTGCTACAGACAGTAGCCTACCCCAGACAGTAGCAAACCCCAGACAGTAGCCTACCCCAGACAGTAGCCTACCCCAGACAGTAGCCTACCCCAGACAGTAGCCCACCCCAGACAGTAGCCCACCCCAGACAGTAGCCTACCCCAGACAGTAGCCTACCCCAGACAGTAGCCTACCCCAGACAGTAGCCTACCCCAGACAGTAGCCTACCCCAGACAGTAACATACCCCTGACAGTAGCCTACCCCTGACAGTAAAACCCAGACAGTAGCCTACCCCAGACAGTAGCCTACCCCAGACAGTAGCATCCTCCAAAAAGTAGCAAACCCCAGACAGTAGCCTACCCCAGACAGTAGCCTACCCCAGACAGTAGCCTACCCCAGACAGTAGCCTACCCCAGACAGTAACCTGCTCCAGACAGTAGCCTACCCCAGACAGTAGCCTACCCCAGACAGTAGTAAACCCCAGACAGTAGCCTACCCCTGACAGTAGCATCCTCCAGAAAGTAGCAAACCCCAGACAGTAGCCTACCCCAGACAGTAGCAAACCCCAGACAGTAGCAAACCCCAGACAGTAGCCTACCCCAGACAGTAGCCTCCTTCAAAAAGTAGCCTACTCCTTGAAAGTAGGAGCCTTTTTTCAAACTTACTAAAGAATCCCAAAAAATAAATTTCCTCTCATAGAAATTCTAAAAGCTTTACAAAATGTTTACTTTTATCCATACAATATGTTCATATACATTTTTGCCAAGCAATGTAACCTTTGATCACATTGAAAAATATGGTTTCTACAGAATGGATTAAGAGCAGCCCATTGGAGTTAACCGATGCTAAAAATGACAATTTGGAACTGAGCATGCACCTAAAAGTGGTCCCTTTTGAGGACACTAATTTTGAAAGTATCCTCATCAGCTATTTTCAAGACTCAGTTGTCATATGTAAGTGAAACTGACCTTTGGTAAATGAGCGACTTGAAAGGCCACTCTTGCTGGCTTTGCACTTGTAAAGTCTGCAAAAATACACCAAGTCCTGTTCTATAACATGATGGCAGAGATTTCTTTAAGTATGAAGAATATTTATTCTTACATTCACAATAGACTTCATTCATCTTGGCATAATCATTAATGTCGGCCAGAAAAACACTGACTTTCACCACATTATCAAGAGAGGAATCTGCAGCTTCCAAGATGCTCTTGATGTTCTTCAAGCACTGTTGTAAATTGGCAATGTTCATTTTATGTCATTATAAAGAATATTCATTGAACAAAAAATTTCATACACACAAATTAAATGAAATTATGGGATCCCCAACAGAACATAGAGAGCAACTACTATTGAAAAGTAGAGTCTCAAAAGTAGCCTACCCCAGACAGTAGCATCCTCCAGACAGTAGCCTACCCCAGATAGTAGCATGCTCCAGACAGTAGCCTACCCCAGACAGTAGCCTCCTCCATACAGTAGCCTACCCCAGACAGTAGCCTACCCCATACAGTAGCATGCTCCATACAGTAGCCTACCCCAGACAGTAGTATGCTCCAGACAGTAGCCTCCTCCATACAGTAGCCTACCCCAGACAGTAGCATGCTCCATACAGTAGCCTACCCCAGAGAGTAGCCTCCTCAGTAGCCCCCAGTGGCAGTTATCAAATCAACAACTTGCCTTAGCTTTGTGGTGGATATTTTTGATAGATTTGAGAAAATCGACTTTTTGTTTTGGAAGCCATAAGATGCACAAAACTAGCTTAGAAACAACTGGTGGATGGAGGAGGGGAGGGGGACAGAGGTGGTAATGATGTACAATTCACAATCTTACCTGTCTGGTTTGGGATACAATATCCTCACCAACAAAATTTGAATCCTTAAAGAAATCACGAAGAGAACAATGGGTAAAATTAGTGGAACATTTAGGGTTTAAAACAGCAGTTTCCATTGTAAAATTTCAAAGTTAAGGATTCTTTAAATACGCAAAAAATTGCAAGCAGATTCACTGGATAGCGTTCAAAATAAAACTACAAAACTACAGTGTTCCGGAATGGCATAATAAAGATCTTCCGTTTTGAATGTACAAAAATATCAAAGTTGCAACTGGTACCTTAGGATTGAGGCCGAGTTGACCGGCCACGTAGACCGTACCGTTGGCGACTATCGCTTGGCTGACAAAAAAATTAATGATAAACATGAGTTTAAACGTTTCCTACTGCTAGATGTGAAGTATATTACCTGTAAGGTCCAGCTGCTTTAGGAGCATTTGGAGTACTTATTACTTTACGAATTAATTTTGAAGCCATTTGCACTTTTCGTTCCTGCTATTTTGTCCTAAATACACATGGCAAGGTTCGGACCTCGACCGACGGGCACCGAGTACGTTACGAAGCAGTACCGAAAGCAGCACAGAGAAGCTTCTCATTTATGCCAATGGTGAATACTTTTCCTTATTTCCGTCTCATCGATTTCATCATGTTATCTTGTATCATACATTTTGCATGAGATTTTAAAGCTTCGTGTGAACTAAAAAAGGCACTCTATTTCAAAAGATCCAAAATATATCAGGAACCAGTCCATTAATACCTGTTTTATATTCAAAAGGATTTTTACGCAACCTGTTCTATTGAAATCAAGATCTTTTCATCTGACGGAAGACATTTGAACAACGACAGTACATATCGCACAAGCGTGCAAAAAAACAAGAAGAGAATCGTTCAATGCTTAATAAACAATAAAATATCAAGGAAGACAACGCTGAGGAAGTTATTTAAAAGATTGATGAATTAAAGGTAAAAGAAAAAAGAAAAAAAGGTAAAGGAAAAAAAGTTAGTTTGAGACGAGTTAGGAAGTTATACAATATTTTGGACTAGATGCACTTGAAATTTCAAAGTGGACTCCTAGCTTTAAAAAACTTCACAAACGATGTCTTTTCAAATTTCAAGTCTTATTACATAAACTGCACACCAAATGCATAAATTCCATTGTATTGGCAGCTGGTTTCAAACTCAAGCGCAAGCAGTTTGCCACTCTTCTGCAAGTTCTTATTTTCTGTTACTAGAAATTAACTTTAATGGGAAACAACCTGGTCTTCAGATGGAAGAAAATGTTAACAAAACCATTTAATTTTGAAAAGAAATTCGGTCGCTCCACTGCGATCGTTTCAGTGGTATGTTTAGTTGTAGCCATCCTCGTTATCCTAAGTAACCAAAGGTTTCCCAGCCGTGTATATGACTTCATCAGATCGCTGTCGACCGCACACGATAAGTTAGGTATTAACCAATCGGAGAGCGATTTTGAACCGGACCTTGAAGACGATGGCCCACGATTGCCAAACGACGTCGTGCCGAAAGCGTACGATTTGAGTATCGCGGCAAACTTGTCAACGATGAAGTTCTCCGGAGAGGTTAAGATAACAATCATATGCAAGCAACCAACGGATAAAATCATCCTTAATGCAAAAGAAATGGACATATTTCAAACGAACGTCACGAAAAGAAAAGCAGGGAAACTTCTAAAAATAAAAGACAGCTTCATGAAAACCAAATACGAGCATTATATCATTGAACTGGAAGAAGAACTCGTCAAGCATAAAAAATACACAGTCATCTTGGGTTACACGGCTAATGTATCCAAAACCTTAGATGGACTCTATAGAAGTTACTATACAACGGAACTTGGCGAGAGAAGGTAAGTGGACTGAGAACTAGTCATATACGAGTTATTAAAATCGATGTTAAAACGTATGGATAGCAGGTTTTTATGTTAAAAAACAGGCCGCTGGTTGCAACTCATTTCGAACAAATGAAAGCACGAAAGGCGTTTCCATGTTTTGATGAGCCTGCAATGAAGGCAAAGTTTACGCTACACATCTCACGTGACCCAACCCACCAATCACTATCGAATATGCCGATTGACCGCGAGGATCGAAAAAGGTTTGACATGATCGTGGATCACTATGTGACCACGCCACCCATAAGTACTTATCTGGTGGCATTTATGGTCATGGATTTCAAGCATGTTGAAAAAACGAGTCAATCTGGAGTGAAGGTACAAGAACGGGAAAACTTTTTTTTAAAAAATGCACGATGAAAGATTTATGAAAGAAATCAAAGATGTTTACTGTGTTTGCACAGGCTTATACGAAATGAAGAGACCTTTGAGAGAACTCAAGCATAATTTGTATAATTCCTTTCCATAAAACAACAATTATGCAAAACAGACAAAGCTTTTACAGCCGTTTTGATATTTCCTGCAAAATATATTCGTGATTGATTTGCAAATTCTCTGAATTGATTGATTGATTTAATTGGTCGATCTCAGATCCGTTTTGCACAAGCTAATGGAAACACAGCTATAGACCAATCACCGCATGCAAACACAGCTATAGACAATCACCGTATGCAAACACAGCTATAAACCAATCACCGTATGCAAACACAGCTATAGACCAATCACCGTATGCAAACACAGCTATAGACCAATCACCGTATGCAAACACAGCTATAGACCAATCACCGTATGCAAACACAGCTATAGACCAATCAGCGCACCATTTTCTTGTGTTTATTTTATAATTTGTTTTGTCGTAGTCTTTCTGCAAGTAAAACAGTTTTTCTATTATTTATTCTCCCATCAGATCCGTGTATACGCACCACCAGCAGATAAAGAAAAACTCAATCGTGCCTTAAACATTTCATCTCAAACGTTGACATTTTACGAAAAGTTTTTGGAATGAAGTTTCCTTCGAAGAAACTGGGTAGGAAAACACACTGCTTTGATTCATGACTGTAGGTACATAAATGGATAGATTGCTCAAAGAAACTGGGTAGGAAAACATACTGCTTTGATTCATGACTGTAGGTACATAAATGGATAGATTGATCAAAGAAACTGAGTAGGAGAACATACTGCTTTGATTCATGACTGTAGGTACATTTATGGATAGATTGCTCAAAGAAACTGGGTAGGAAAACACACTGCTTTGATTCATGACTGTAGGTACATAAATGGATAGATTGATCAAAGAAACTGGGTAGGAAAACACACTGCTTTGATTCATGACTGTAGGTACATAAATGGATAGATTGATCAAAGAAACTGAGTAGGAGAACATACTGCTTTGATTCATGACTGTAGGTACATTTATGGATAGATTGCTCAAAGAAACTGGGTAAGAAAACACACTGCTTCGATTCATGACCGTAGGTACAAAAATGGATAGATTGATCAAAGAAACTGGGTAGGAAAACACACTGCGTTGATTCATGACTGTAGGTACATAAATGGATAGATTGCTCAAAGAAACTGGGAAGGAAAACACACTGCTTTGATTCATGACTGTAGGTACATAAATGGATAGATTGATCAAAGAAACTGAGTAGGAGAACATACTGCTTTGATTCATGACTGTAGGTACATTTATGGATAGACTGCTCAAAGAAACTGGGTAGGAAAACATATTGCTTTGATTCATGACTGTAGGTACATATATGGATAGATTGCTCAAAGAAACTAGATAGGAAAACATACTGCTTTCATTCATGACTATAGGTACATTTATGGATAGATTGCTCAAAGAAACTGTGTAGGAAACACACTGCTTTGATTTATGACTATAGGTACATATATGGATAGATTGCCTCTGTAATCTACAACTGTGGATAATGGTTAGCGAAAATACATCGGTGATTCACAGCGATATATATAGATGATTTTACAAGTTTGTAGAAGTCGATCGTCCAGGTTTGCGCAGTCCTGGGAAAGACTGATGGTGTTGGAGTTGACAGACGTTTTGACATCCTTACCGGTAGTCGTCTTTAAAGTTATGGCTAAGGTTGTCAAAACGTCAGTCAACAACAACAAAAACAGTCCTTCCCAAGACTCCACTAATCTGGACGATCTACATCTACGAACATGTAACGATACTTCAGTGCTCAAATTATCCACTTTATAAAAATATGAATGGGTTGAAATGCTTCTGTGATCCGCAACTGTACGTAAGAGCAGACAAAAGTACTCCTGTTTTTACGTAAAGAACAGACGTGGAAATCCCTTGAATCCATTAAATTCATGTCTGCGCATATTGTTTGCTCGATTTGCTAATTTTGCGTATTTCCCGTTTGGTCTCTCACCCATCTCGTTCCCAGGGCTTTTTACTTCAACCGTTGAGTCATGTTTTTCGCCATCATACTCAACCGTGGAAGCTAAAGTCTGTTTCTCTCCTTGAAAGATATCGTGGCTATGCCAGATATGAAAGAGACGGCCATGGAGAACTGGGGTCTAATCACTATTCGTCGTGAGTTTGTAGTAGACGAAGAAAATTTAATGACGACATTTAGCAAGGAAATGACGGCTGGTGAGATAGCTCGTGCGCTTGCACATACAGTGAGTATACCAGAAAATATGGCTTGTTGATCTATGAATTAATTAAAATGAAAATACTTTATAATAGTGTTCATACCGTTCTAATACAATTCTCATGTTCCCCCAAGACGCATTCCTAAAAAGAAAAATCAAAAATTTTAAGATTTAATCTACTTACAGTGGTTTGGCAATCTCGTCACTATGAAATGGTGGAACGAAGTGTGGTTGAAAGATGGCTTCTCGACATTTGTCACAAATTTAGCACGCTACAATATGGACAAAAAAACTGATTGGGTAAATAGAAGAGTATCCTAACATAATCCTTAACGACGCATTTGTCATATCCTAATCATTTTTGTATCCAGCCACACTTTGTATCCTAACATAATCCTTAACGACACCTTTGTCATATCCTAATCATTTTTGTATCCAGCCACACTTTGTATCCTAACATAATCCTTAACGACACCTTTATCATATCCTAACAATTTTTGTATCCAGCCACACTTTGTATCCTAACATAATCCTAAATCACACCTTTGTCATAGCCTAACAATTTTTGTATCCAGCCACACTTTGTATCCCAACATAATCCTAAATCACACCTTTGTCATAGCCTAACCCTTTTTGTATCCCGTCACAATGTCTTTCAAAAATTGTTCAATAGTCGAGTTAAACATTGTTCTAGATAAAATCCACTTCATAAATGCGGAGTAAGTCGATGCCACGTAACGACTTGCAACGGTCACGAGGAATACAGCTGACGGAACTTGAAAAGTTCCTTATCTCGACAACTTCTCGATGTCGTTGAACTGTGTAATTTAGTATTTTTTAATCGGTTGCAAAAAAACGCGTCACGCATTGAGTGTTGCCACCTTTTGATATAATACGTCATAAAACTACGTCATAAAACTCGCTGCAGTACATTAATGTCATATTTTTCTCGTAGTTGGCATTATCGACAGTATTATATTGGCAGTCAGCTCTCGATAATGACCGAAGCCTTTACACTGTACCTTTATTAAACACAAAAACAACCTCGAAAGATACAATCAACTCAGGCGTTGTTTACTCCAAGGTAAGGCAACAATAGTTGTAGCATGACCAGTAAAAATTTTCACATTTCAAACAATCATGAGAAGTACCACAATCTTAAACATAACACTCTCTCTTCTAAGGGTGCTATGATAGCAAAAATGGTTATGAATACATTGGGGCCTTCCGCCTTTCTTAAAGGTTTGAAGGTAGGCAACCGTTTGACTACAGTTTGGACCTTTTCCTTCTTTGGCAACCATACAACCTATGTTTGTAGATGTAGATCGTCCTGGTTAGTTCGGTCCTAAAAAGGACTGTTGGTGTTAGTGTTGACTGACGTTTCGGCAACCTTAGCGAAGTTCATTTTCGGCGTCAAGAGATGGCAAGGATGTCGAAATATCTGTCAACATCAACAACAACAGTCCTTTTTAGCACTTCACTAACCTGGACAATTTACATCTAAAAACATGTCACAATACTCCTGGGTTCAAACGATTCATTTCATACAACCTACATAACATAACATACATTCCTCCAAACAGCTCTACATCAGGAATAATATGTATGGTAATGCAGATGCAACAGATTTATGGCAATCGTTGAGTAAGGTATGAATGCAATTAATTATCTCCCTTCAACACTCACAATCCTAAGACATTTCTGTTGTCGCTTAACGTAATCATCTTAAATAGCACGTAGAATGGTGTTAAAGGATACATGGGATACGAAGGATAAGATAGGATACAAGGGATAGGAAAGCACAAATGGGACATGAGAATATGCGAGTAGTTAACATTTGCTACATTTCAGTTTGGTAAGCGTCTTGATTTGAAGCAAAAGATGAAGTCATGGACGGATTTGAAAAGTTTTCCAATCGTGACATTGACCCGTTTGAAAGGACCCGAGAAGGATCTCATTCTTGCCAAACAAGAGAACTTCTTGGAACACAGATTTTTCGACGTGAAAGCCAACACCAGAGCAGTGGTGAAGAAGCCGAAAAACAACTCATCGTTTGATTTTCAAGAAAGTGAAAAAATCACTGGAAGGTGCAGTTTCTATGAAGTTTGATTATATTTGTAATTTTTTTTACCAGATTCGGTCGGATGAGCTTAAACATTCCTTCCCCCCTGTTTTGAACATTGCAACCATATAAAGCAGGTGGGGAGTGTCTATACTCATCAGACCAAATTTAGTAAAAACTTTACGTAAAAGACCACACTGTTTCTATTTCAAATACAAGCTAAACTTTGGTTACATTTCTCATAAATACATTCTTGCGTGTTAAACAAACTATTTCGGTGCTTGATGCGTAAAAAGTTGATAAATTTCTAAAGATATCAATAATAATGATGATTCAAAATCAGTGTTCAAAAATCTCAAAATCTACATACCGCAAAACAAAAAGACAACGGGCTCACCATGACGGTTCTATCATCTATGTACATTATTGAATGGTCTTATGATGTAGTTATTGAAAAGAAAACAAGGAATTTCCAGTAAACCTACATTGTACTGAGGAATATATCGTGTAAATACATTATAGAATATTACATAGAACTTAATATAAGTATTTCAACTTACAGCTTATGGCATATACCGCTGACCTACACAGTGCAGTCGACAGCTTTCAAAGAATACACAGTGGTTGGATAAAAATGGGGTAAGAAGTATGATAAGGTTGGTGTGCGATTTAACCATTGAACTGAATATAACTGGACGGCTAGCTCACGCGAAATGAATTTGAACACAGCAACTTCAACTAGTTCTTGTCATAACGCACAGCGCAAAGAAATTTTTGAGTAAGTTAAGGTGCGGGATTTCACCACGCCACGTAAAGGTAGAATTCGGTTTCGTGCAAGTAGGTAGCATATGTTTAAGGTAGCCTTTCTGTTGCATGTTTTAGTTCAGTTGAGTAGAGTTTTATACATATGTTTAAAGATAGGGTTTTATACATATGTTTAAAGATAGGGTTTTATACATATGTTTTATACATATGTTTTAGTTTTATACACGTATATCTGTAGAGTTGTAATGTTGTATATCTGGGGCCGGTTGCACGAAGCCTGGATAGCGTTATCCATTGGATACCAATTTTTTTAAAACTTTTATAAAACCTTTTAAAAAGCAAAAAATATAAAATTCAAACTGAGCAATCACTGGGCATCAATCAATTTCGAAGACTGCGAAAGTTCTTTATTGTAAGACAAAGACAAACACCTTTTTTACAGATTTGAAAATTTATGCTATCCAAAGAAGAACGCTACCCCTGTAGAGTAGTTGTATTGTTATACAACCTTAGAGTTGTATATCTTTGCGTAGATTTTCTTGCTTTAATATTTAGAGAAACTTAGCGTCCTAGATCCCGTTGGTTGGATAAAAGCGAACGTTCGAGCTAATGGATATTACATTGTGAACTACGACAAAAACAATTGGATAAAACTTATCAAACAACTAAAAAATTACCACGTGGTATGTGTGACGTCATGATCGCGAGTTTGTTGGTCATTATGATACGCTAATATTCACGTTGTTATACGTAGGTATTTTCTCCGTCTGATAGAGCTGGTCTTATTCACGATGCGTTTGTATTGGCATGGTACGTAAGTAAGGTGATCATTTATGAACATTTGTGAGCACAAGAGGATTCTCGGGGAATAAGAGGGCCACTCTCCCCTGAAACATGTCATCGTTCATTTCACATCAAATCCCTCCACAACAATAATGATAAAGAAAGAACCGCTGTTTTACGCATGCAGGTGTCCGGAGACAAATTTGAAATAGCATCAAAATCAGTGAGGATGTGTATCGTCCCTCGGCCCTTCCATCACCTCGGCACCTTGCCTCGCTGAGGATGTAATAACCTATAGTGGCATACACTGTTTGCCTCTGGCCTTTATACTAAGACAAGCATGCTAACAAGAAAATTCGATGCATGATAACTACAATTTACAATAAATCTTGTGTTTCATAGCGAAGGGATAATAGACGCAACCATTCCTCTCAAACTCATAATATACATGGATAAAGAAGATCATTACGTTCCAATGGAAATGATGCGGTTGAAATCAAAATGTTTGCAACCGTTATTTAAAGATACGAGAATGAAAAATCTCTACAAACAGTACTTGTGGTACCTTCAGGAACACTTGTTGGATAAGCTTGGATTGGAAGATAATGGTGGACTACTAGAAAAGTAAGAATGATTGAAGGATAATTGTGAACTATTAGAACAGTAAGAATGATCGAAGGATAATGGTGGACTATTAGAACAGTAAGAATGATCAAAGGATAATGGTGGAGTATTAGAACAGTAAGAATGACCGAAGGATAACGGTGGACTATTAGAACAGTAAGAATGATCGAAGGATAATGGTGGACTATTAGAACAGTAAGAATGATCGAAGGATAATGTGGACTATTAGAACAGTAAGAATGACCGAAGGATAACGGTGGACTATTAGAACAGTAAGAATGACCGAAGGATAACGGTGGACTATTAGAACAGTAAGAATGATCGAAGGATAATGGTGGAGTATTAGAACAGTAAGAATGATCAAAGGATAATGGTGGAGTATTAGAACAGTAAGAATGACCGAAGGATAACGGTGGACTATTAGAACAGTAAGAATGATCGAAGGATAATTGTGGACTATTAGAACAGTAAGAATGACCGAAGGATAACGGTGGAGTATTAGAACAGTAAGAATGATCGAAGGATAAGGTGGACTATTAGAACAGTAAGAATGATCGAAGGATAATGGTGGACTATTACAACAGTAAGAATGATCAAAGGATAATGGTGGAGTATTAGAACAGTAAGAATGACCGAAGGATAACGGTAGACTATTAGAACAGTAGTGATCGAAGGATAATGGTGGAGTATTAGAACAGTAAGAATGATCGAAGGATAACGGTGGACTATTAGAACAATAAGAATGATCGAAGGATAATGGTGGAGTATTAGAACAGTAAGAATGATCGAACGATAATGGTGGACTATTACAACAGTAAGAATGATTCCCCCTCCCCCTTCAAAATCTGTATGTATGAACCTTAAGAGGGACGTTTGCTAATTTGTACATTTTTTAGAATGAATCGTGACAACATGTTGGTAGAAGCTGTAAATCACAGGCTTGACATTAAAAAGAAATTTCAGAAACTATTCCAAGAACTGAAAGAAAGGTAGAAAAAATAACTTCAGAAATTTCAGACACATGTCAAAATATGTTCGTTTTGGCCGGCAAAAAGATTGCTTCAATACATTTTATTACATTTCAAACATTTTTTAGCAAGTCGTCGCCGAGCATAAGTCCAAACGTTCGTAAATTAGCGTTGACATACGGTTTCAACAAAAACAACCCGAAAGATTGGGAATATTTATGGAGAGTTTACGAGGAATCATCGAGCGATGCCGATAGAAGATTTCTTCATAAATCTCTCAGTTCATTTGACGAGCCAGAATTATTCAGCAGGTAAGTGATGCAGGCAATAAATTCAAATGTACAGCTGCTTCAACAAGTTTTGCTTCAAGTCATCAACGTTCAAACAATACTATCACACATGACCGACAATACAGGGGGGGGGTTGCACGAAGCCTGGATAGCGTTATCCATTGGATAGCAAATTTTTTCAAACTTTTACAAAACCTTTTCAAAGCAAAAAGTATAAGATTCGAAGTGAGCAATCACTGAAATAAAATATTGTTTCGAAGATTACGAAATTTTTTTGTCGTAAGGAATATATAAACACCTTTTTTACAAGTATGAAAATTTTTCCTATCCAATGGATAACGTTATCCAAGCTTCGTGCAACCGCCACCAGGTTATTCTGAGTCTCGTTCCCAGGTTATTCTGAGTCTCGTTCCCAGGTTATTCCGAGTCTCGTTCCCAATGTCAAATAGCTTCAATGGTCATATTGTATTTATATCATGCACTGCATAAAATTCTTAACAAAGCACACACAAAACCTTAAATTTACTACACATAGACAGGCAATCAAATCCTTACCCTTACTACAAATTAACGTTTTGTAGAACTCTAGAGAATACTCTGGATTTGACGAAAGTTCGGTCCCAGGACACTTTACTGTGGCTTCGCGAGATTAGTAACAACTCAACGAATGAAAAGATTTGGAATTTTATGACAAAAAACTGGAATACTTTCAGGGAAAGGTGATGATGATTTAAGAAGTTATTCTTTGCGTACACTGGATATACCCATTCATACACATGTCCATTCATAACCATACTCATACAAACACATACCTATTCATACACATGTCCATTCATAACCATACTTATACAAACACATACCCATTCATACACATGTCCATTCATAACCATACTCATACAAACACATACCTATTCATACACATGTCCATTCATAACCATACTCATACAAACACATCCCCATTCATACACAAACTCATACATTTTAGCAGTTTCAATCCATCGCAAGATTCCATGAAAACTATTCAATAAATCAGAAGCTTTGGAAGCTTTCAACAGTCGTGGGTGTTCTATATTCACCATGTGATAATGCACGAAACTTGAAATAGTAACGAAATTATTTCATATTAGGCCCGTTTCAAACGTCGCATTTTACATTAGCCGAATGCATTTAAAACAAAAGAAAATGAGATAAAATTCCTCATTATCTTTTGTTTTCAATGCATTCGGCTCGTGTTAAATGCGACGTTTGAAACAGGCATTTGTTGTTTTTCTTCTTTTTCGAGCAAACATTACAAAAATCCTTCAAAATCTCTTTGTCGTGTGTCATTGCATACAAATGACTTGCAAATTTTGTCAATGTTTAAACCATTCAAAATTCACTGGTTCTTCGTTGCCGTTCAAAAATTTAAAAATTTGTTACACCTATCACAAACGTTCTAGTGAGATACTAATTTTGTGTGTGCCCTTCAAATAAGGTACGCCAAACTACAAAAATTGTGTTTGTACTGACAACCAGACACCTACAGCTTCCCAAGCCTCCGGTTTCTATTGCGTTAATTCATTCAACTTCAACTAAAATATACTTTCCACTGTAAAAAGGTTCGGCGACGGCGGTTGCCTGGCAGATTTAGTTCACCATATCGCAACTACATTCCAAACATCTGAAAAATTAAACGAGGTATTTAAAACATTCAACAAGACCATTATCTCCTCCGATGTAAGTGGAGACTTTCAAATTATGAAGCACTTTACCATATCAAATCACGTGCGTATATCAGCTTTCGTCAATTAGGGAACTGATGTTTATCTAATATAGGTGAAGGAATTTCTGAACTCGAGTGGTAAAAATTTAATGAGTCAGAAACTGAAAGAACGAACCATTGAAGAAATAAAAAACAATTTACTTCGAAAGCGAGATAGAAACACGGACCATATCAGTATAACGAAGGCGATAAAATGGCTGCAGAAATATATGAAGAAGATTGCCGCCAAACAAAACGAAGGAAAGAAAATAATAAATTTGTCTAACGAGTTGTCCAAACCGGTTTTATCATGGTATGCCAAAAATTATTTCCACACAATTATATATATGGAGTATGAGAATTATTTAAATTTAATAATTCACTTGTATGATTTAGACTGAAAAATGTAAACATTTAATATAAGAATTGCATTCTATAATAATATATATACTTAAATTTTTATATCGCACATTTCACTGATTTCAGTACTTTAAAGCCTGGGGATGATTGTTTTTCTTTAAAAGCTAGAAGACGCTTTCAATGAGCGTTTCATACATATCAAAGTTAAAACGTCAAACCACAATTTATGAAAAGTCATGACATTATGCAACCCCTATTATAGCAATTTACAACAATTTTTTTGAATAACTCTGCCCCAGACTACTGGCAACTACTTCTATAAACCGAAACTTCTAAACTTGCGACTTGCTTTCATCATTTATGGTTGGATAGAATCTATTCTATCATCAATAAACGTCCTTAGCATTTTCTAACAAAATCATACGCAAATAACCGTTGAAGCTTTTACAACAAGTTCCTTCCCATACAAATGATTCATCGAAACACACAAGAGTACAACAAAGTACAATAGAGTACAAATGAGTATATAAAAGCAAGACATTCGCGTGTATAGCCGCGAAACATTGTCTAGGCAAGACATTAGCCTTTCATGTTGATTCTTATCATAGGTAAAGAATGCTGAATGAAAGGCAAAATATGTTTTTGAAATTAACACGATAAACTCGTGAGTGGTCAGATGTTAACAGAGATTAAATTCCACACTGATTTCATAGCATGTAATAAATTTTTTTGCATGATTCTACGATTCGACGAACTAATTGAATGAATCTTCAGGCAACACTTCGGAAAACGGCTCAAGTTTTTTTACACGGAATTTTGAAACAACATTTGGTATTGAAGGCGAACCGTAAAGATTGCGACAAGGATTAGGGATTAGGGATTAACTTTAAACATTGTGCATGTATAAATTCATATTTAGGATAACAGCAATCGACTAAAGCATTTAGCAACGGTCGGAAGATAATTTTCGCTAATCTTTGTGTACAACATATATTATGATCTGATTAAAGCAGCTTTGCCTAACTTTTGTGAACATCACACATGTTAATACACGATTTGGTCAGTCATGTAAACACAACAGTTGACGAGCGACATGTCAAAATCGAGAGAACAGAATTTTTTTACAACCACAGGCACCATGACGTTGACATTGTGATTTAGAAACGACATTCAAAAGACTGTTTGTTTGCTTATCATTCTTATCAGTAAACAACGAAGAAGTAGCTTGGGGGGCAACAACCTGACAGTATTGTTATGATTATGTGCAATTATCTTGTCCAAGTTCCAACTATCGACAATGTTCCAGCTGTTATCTTTGTCAGCAGTCGCAATTTGCACACAGGAATAAGAAGAAACTCCAGTTGAGACAATACGAAGCGTTTGTAATCAGTGATATTTATTACACAAAATATAAATAAAATATTTTCCTCCGTCTATGTACAAACTCTTTCAATCACATAAATAAATATATTTCATTAAGGTTGACGAACGTTCATCTTCTCAGTTTTCATGCTTCAAGAAACAGACAAGCATTACAGAAATTCCCTATCCTGCTGTCTAATATAATTTTTTTTATGATAAAAACCACCCAACGGCTTTCAATGCTGTTGCCAAAGACCTACGCTAATGAAAATGAAGTTCTCACATCAATCAGCGTTGTAATTGCCGACCCCCCAAATGATAACATTACATCTTTCGCCTTTATGGCTTCGTCTATTACAGCTCTCGTAGACTTTTAAAGTCTGCATTGCTGCCACACGCCTATAGCACGAGGCAAGCGGTTAGTTCATAAATCGCTGGCAATTGATGGTTAAATGAATGTCAATTTAAGGCCAAGATGGAGTTGCTAGACTGTAAACTGATATACGAGACACGCCCATCAGCATGGATACTTCATGTGTACATTAAAAAATCTTTTCACTTCGTAACGACGAACTGTGAATACCTCGTAATGCTCGAGACAAAGGCACAGTTATTTCAAAAACTCAAATTCTTGCAATAACTTGAAACAAATCAAAAACAACATGAAGTAGCCAGGAAGTCTCGTCGATACAAACAGGTCATTGAATTTGTAGCTGCTTCACAATTTCGTTCGCCTTTTGGCAAATGAAACGAGTGGCATAAAGTGAAGCTACAAGATAAATGCTATGGGACAATATATCAAGCATGGTTCTTTGCATTAAAGTAAATGGGCGAACAAAGATATGCTGGACACGACAAACAGAAATTGACAGGAAAACCAGGCATGGCGTTATCGATGCTAAGAGCACTGTTGACGTCAATTGAATAAAAAGATTTGACTTAATCTTTACGATATGGACATGAGATAACAACACAGGTCGACCCATTTACACTTAGGACAATAATTTGGATTACATGTTGTCGTGTAAAGCAAGCTTTATACAACAATATGTTCAAAAATGCGAGAGCGTGGAAAAGTTAGAAAGCTCGATGGATTTTCGCTTTTAAAACCACGAGGTTGAATTTCCAATGCATACGTTAAACGCTAAAAGAAGAATAAAAATATTTTCACACTCGAAGTGTAAATGTAAAAATGAAAAAATCTTAATCGAAGTATTGTGCATTGTGAAAATTTAAACCTCAACTTACTATCACGATCTGTAAATTACTTAGCTAATCGTCATTTCAGTACACATTAAAAGAAGTTACAACAGCAAATGAGCATATAATACCCCAATGACTAATTGCAACTTTGATAAAAACTCAAGGAATTTAACAAGTAAAAGATGTACGGATGACAAGGTTTGGTATCGACAATTTCTGACAGAAATTCCTAGTTGTTTGAGCAAAGTTCACACATGAAAATTATCGAATATCGCTGATAAAAAAAAGCTCATCGCAAAAATTTTAACGGACCAAATAAAATTCTCGAAAAAATTAGACATTATAAGCGTCCTCTCACAAATCGACTTCGAGCAAACAGTTCCTCTTTCAAAGAAACATAAATTTTCAATCCATCGGAATGTTGTTTTCAAAAACATCGAAATGGAGACAAACGAAAAGAAAATTGACTCTTAAAGGCGCCATGTAAAACGCAAGCGTGACTTTCCTGTGAATTTTTGTTCGTCGGCGTGTAGATATGAGATAGCACAACGTCATTAACGCCAAGTCAACTTCGCAGTGAATGAATTAGATGCAGTCGCGCCGTATAGACAGACACAAACTCAACACCAACCCCGTAGAAACACCTGTAACTTATTAAAACCCTCACTTTTCATCGTTTTCCAGTTGGTACAAACACCAAGTTCCTTCCTTTGGATTTAAAAAAGCTGCGGTCGACGAAACCGTCTCTGATGCTGTCAACAGGTGCACCATTACGAATTAGAATTTCAGCACATTCGAAGTTTCCAGCGCAGACGGCCGCTTCTAAAGCTGTCACTCCTTCAGGTGTGGTAATCTTCAAATCCGCTCCGCCTTCCACTAAGATCTCCGTGATTTCCTCGAGACCTGAAAAAGCCGCTTGATGGAGTGTGAATAATCCCAGCTCTGTGCCACGATTTACATCGATGCCGTCGACTTTAACAAGTCTTAGAATTTCTTCAATGTTGTTCTCAAGAACGGCCGAGTGAAGCAGAATCTCCGGCATAAGTGAAACGGCGCGTTTGTCTTGCCTCTGCGCGATAATGTTCTCGTTTAAGACATCAGAGAATGTTTTTGATAATTTTCCACCCGGGGAACACGGTGATAGGGGAAAGGAATAACGATAGAAGTTCGTCATGACTCGATTCGAATTCTCCTTCAAAGCAAAACTTCGACGATCTTTTGAACTGTTGTTTTGTGAGCCCTCCGAGCTACCGTCGGCAAATGATAACACTTGCTTTCTCAAGTTAAAATTTTCGACTCTTGCACTTCGGCTTAGTTCCACATGCACTGCGAAATGATTCAAGAACGACTTTTTCGACACAGACGATCCAAAATTTCTATTCTTTCTCTTCGTCGTATACAAACTAATGGCCACAGACTTATATTACGTAAGTAGAAAGTTTATGTGGTCATCTGATGACAACTTATTCGGTACAAAGTTTTCTTTCCCGCTGCGAAAGCCTCTGCATGAACAATCCACTCCTAATATGAAACTTCAACAGGAGCTGGCGTTTATATATTCAACACGAAGTAACGTGATAGGGTTTGGTTTAGGTTTTCCGTTTCGTCAAAACATTTTGTGATTGGTTCCACGTGGAAGGCGTCGGGTAAGATAAGCTTGGGCTGTGGCTAGGATGTACACCATAGCGAGCGATACACAACGTGTTATTGCACTTGGTGATCGTCGAAGACGCGGGAGGCGGAAGTAAATAATCTCAAAAAGCAGATATGTGAAAAGCAGATTGCACGGGGGATCCTTATCGATTGTAACACGCGCAGTTCTTCGCCCACGAGCACAACCAACCGTTACAAATCCGATATCAATAACGAGAATCGCAGTTTGTTTTCTTCAGATGTACGCGCCCATTATTATACATCCGCGTAAATGATTTTTCAAAAATGCGCGAGCTCAACGTAGCCATGTTTAGCTGCCCGCAAATAATTAAAGAATAAACAAGTTCAAGAGAAAAAAAAAAGCAGAGATAACGATGATGGCTTTCTTCAATCAATAACGCAATAAAGCTTTTAGCTTGGGTCAGACATTGTTGCGTCCTCATGGATCCGACAAGCTTTTCGGATACAAAAACATCCCTACGAGACATCGGGTTCAAAAGTTTCCGGAAAACCGCCCGTGTACTATTTCATGAACGCTGACAACTCCCAAGAGAAAGTTTGCGTATACAAAACTATCCGAATATAAAATAACGCGCTATGTATCTTTGTGTTAACGGAAAAGAAAAAAAATAAGCATTGTTTCGTTTCTCTGAGCAAACATATGAAATCTTTGAGAACATGTTTAAGCATAGCCTCGAGGAGGCCATGTTAGAAACAACAGCCAAAAAGACTTCATTTTAAGCACTAAGCCGGATTACAAGATGAATTATTGTATTTAAATTGCACCCAAAGGCGACAGCATTAAAGGACATTTAGGGATGATATATTTAGAAAGATATTATTTTACACTACAGCGATACAACAACATTTATTTAGAAACAAGCTTGAGTTATTTAGTGCACTATTATATTGAAAATGTTTATGTTTGAGATGAGCCTGTCCCATAACCATATAAAATCAAGTAGATCTCTACACGAAAAACAAACACTTTAACCTCACTATGATCTAACACAAAACGCTAGAGATGTATACCAGCCGTTATTGTTAGTAGAAAGTTAATATAACATGGTAGATAACCTTGCACATACGTCAAAATGAAACAAGCTAGTTCTGTCTATTTTGATATTGCACAGATAAATTTCTTCATTAGCTACGACGCTCTCAAACACACGATCACGGACAGTGGTAAAGACAGCATTCACTAAGACAACTTATATAGGGTATTATTGTACATTCGAGTACATTTGGGTAAGAAAAAAGGATTTTTTCGGCTATTATAGCTAAAAATTTATAAGAGCAATGAACAAAGAGAAATTGGTTTTGAACGTGTCAGCGAGAGTCGTAAATTAAGATTTTGGACTGAATTTCAAACGCGATTTTTCTTGAATCTTTTGAGTTTGCTTAACGAGAATCAGTGATTCTAAAGAATTCTATAATGACGATCAAATCACATTCTCTCAATTCTCTCGAACTCTACTTACGCTCAAATCAACACACTCAATGGTTCTAAAGAATTCTATAATGACGATCAAATCATTCTCTCAATTCTCTCGAACTCTACTTACGCTCACATCAACACACTCAATGGTTCTAAAGAATTCTATAATGACGATCAAATCATTCTCTCAATTCTTTCGAACTCTACTTACGCTCACATCAACACACTCAATGGTTCTAAAGAATTCTATAATGACGATCAAATCATTCTCTCAATTCTTTCGAACTCTACTTACGCTCAAATGAACACACTCAATGATTCTAAAGAATTCTATAACAATAACTAAAACATTTCTAAAATCAAAAAAAAAAAATCCGAGTGACAAATGCACGAGCATCATTGAACGACATAATAAATGTTTCCGGCCCCTAACTGCAAAATAACAACAAACATATTGCACACGTCAAATAACAACGCTTGGTTAGTGTAAATCACTCTCTAACGTCACGTTTTCAGTAAACTGGATTGCTAATGGAGCACGATAAATTTTCAGAAGAGAAAACAAATTGACCAATACCTTAATTTAAAAAAGAACCGTCAAACAGTTACAAAAATATTACTATTTGACTTGACTGTCGAAGATAAAAGATGAATTTCTAATGATAAATAATAAAGTGTAACATCTGTGAAGCCCTAAGGGTTCAAATGAACTCTAACAGGACGATGGACATCGTGAAACAAGTTACACGCACAAACTGAACTTTTTGAATGAAACTGAACTTCAGTCCGGTGGGACGACTGGGCCATACACAATACTGGAATGCTGATTGGGAGGACGGCGCAACACGAAGACTTGATGAGTGATCAGTTGCAAGTTTAAAGTCTTTCGACATTATTACTACGTGTGCTGCAGTTGTGCTTTTATCGTTTGAAACATAGAGAAGTATAAAAAAATAATTCGATAAGTATTTAGTGGGCGAAAACAACGTGGATTGCACTTAAAAAGATAACATTTGGAATGTATCTTGATAGTTTTTTTACCGAAGTGATGGTTGTGTTTAAATATTTTTATTGTTTTGTCTAGAAAAGCAGGCAGAAGATGTGCGATGCACGTTTCATCTGTGGATGGGAATAGTTTCTGCGAAATGTTTTTCATCCTCGGAACCTTAAGCACGATTTTCCATAATCAGCATGGCAGATAAAGCAAAGATAAGGCTGATTTTTTTATTTCGCTCTTTACGTAACGTGTGTCAGCATTCTTTGCAGGAAATCTTCATCTCTCTTATTATTCAACAACAATTTTTAAATTGACGATTTCAAAGAAGCTGATGTGTCAGGTAATCTATCATTGTGACGAAAATATCACACAATCAAACTATAAACATCTCTAACGTGTAGGTAATGAGATGGTGGGCAAGCCGATGAAAGTATTTCCTCTCGGGCTGTTTACTCCTGTTAAATAGTAATTGAGATGTCCTTGTGCAAAAGAATAACTTTTCACAGCTCGTTCACGCGCAGAGAAATAAAGAATGACAAACATGCATGTGTTCAGCTTCCCAAGCAAAGATTTGCCAAAAAATATTACTGAATAGTTGAACAAAATTCGTAGCACTCTGAGTGTTCTGAGCTACCAAAAATTCTCGCGTGTCGTAAATAGTTACATAATACACAAAAAAAAACCATACCAATGATTTGTGTTATGTAACTAAAGCTTTGGTTTAGCATGTTCAAGGAATGAAAAAAAGACTGTTTTACGGTTTCTTTACCGCTCAATCTTTTGTGCTTAGCCGAATCTTCTTGACAAAGTTGTTTGGTGAATACACACTATAATTTAGATCACAACCTACATAAATCATGCCTAACACCTATACTACACAGTTCAATAATTGACGGGTTATAATAATTGAAAAGAACAGATGATAACGAAAGAGTAACTACAATAATATTGAATTTCGACAATCCAGACTCTAAGGTACCATTCCATTATATTATTTCAAGTAAGGACAGGTAATTACAATGTGTAATAACTATCGTACGGAATGTGAACACCCCAGACTATACGGAACCATTCCACTTGTGATGTTTATCAAGTATGTTAAGCTCTGCCTTTATGCACGTTCGATCATTAAATAATTTGTCAACGAAAAAATTAAACCGAAACACCAGCATTCAATTATTGTTTGGCTGGAGTAAAGCCGCCCGAAAAACATGTGGCTTTTTAAAATAGCTCAATATTCTCGTTCTTAAGACAAATACCCCTGTTGCTAAAGTTCGAGGTCAAAGCACAAACACATTCAGCAAAATCCGTTAGGCACTAAATCTAAAATTAACATAAAAAAACTTAATTGAGTGTTGAAATGCACAGTTTGATAACTTCAAAGTGGATAAACCACAGATGCGAACCCTTTTTTTATTATTATTCGAACGTTCTCGAGCGGTGTGTTTCATAGCGAAAAGTACGACAACACAAAACTTAAATCAAAGCAACGTTTACATCATGCTATACATAAAGATGACATAATGTCACACTGGATTAAGAAATATCGCGTACACAAGGGAGGGGAGGGTGGGAGATAAGTACAGAGTGTTCTACGGGTAGAGCCATATATAGAGCAACTTGTTCTGTATTTAGCGTGGTGCTGATAGATTGACAATAACAATCGGTAAATATCAAGCTAATGTATGAATGTACGTGCTAAACTGATGTAAATTTCATCAAGATAATGGAATATTTGCATGTATGGTAAGAACAGATACGAACACGCGCGAGCATTGGGTTGAATGTTCAAGAATTAAGATGCAATAGATAAAAGATCTAGTTTCTAATCACCTTTGGCATAACACAAATTCCCATTTTCTAAAAATGAACGACACAATTACTCTCGTTAAAAAGTGATTAATTACGTTTAGAATGAAGACGAACGTGACTGACGATCTTCAATATTTCTATGTTCGCCAAAATTAGTACCAAATCAAAATTCTTCGCGTCTATGTTACGACAATTACTCTCCTTAAAAAGTGATTAATTGCGTTTAGAATGAAGACGAACGTGACGGACGATCTTCAATATTTCTATGTTCGCCAAAATTAGTACCAAATCAAAATTCTTCGCGTCTATGTTACGACAATTACTCTCGTTAAAAAGTGATTAATTACGTTTAGAATGAAGACGAACGTGACTGACGATCTTCAATATTTCTATGTTCGCCATAATTAGTACCAAATCAAAATTCTTCGCGTCTATGTTACGACAATTATTCTCGTTAAAAAGTGATTAATTACGTTTAGAATGAAGACGAACGTGACTGACGATCTTCAATATTTCTATGTTCGCCAAAATTAGTACCAAATCAAAATTCTTCGCGTCTATGTTACGACACCATGTGTTACCATGCATGGGAACACTTCACTTAAAGTAATTTATATACGGTAATCTTAACACTCCAAAACTCCTCGCCAACTATTTCTCTTCATACTTGACCCGGAATTTATAGAGTAATGGTCAAGATTCTATACAACGATTGGATATCATCCTCTTCAACTCCTTAATAAATACACAAGTCTATAGCTTGGTCTTAAAGAAAAAGAAAACAACCTGTTTACATCAGGAAATAACATAGACAGTGCTCACAGAGATTTCGTTACAAAATACAAATAACATCCACCTCAATTTTTCACCATATACACAAGTCTATAGCTTGATCTTAAACAAAAAAAAAACACTGTTTATTGCAGACGATAACATAGACAGTGCTCACAGAGATTTCGCTACAAATACAAATAACATCCACCTCAACTTTTCACCATATACACAAGTCTATAGCCTGATCTTAAACAAAAAAAAAACACTGTTTATTGCAGACGATAACATAGACAGTGCTCAAGGAGATTTCGTTACAAATACTATCCTCTTCCATCACTTCCTTTACACACAAGTCTATAACTTGATTTCCAGCAGAACGAAGAAAATACTGTATGTATAGTGCTCACAAAGTTTCCATTACAATTACCATTTTACCGAACTCCTTATGCTATGAATGTGCACTAACCAAGATATCTACTATCGATTGCAATAATTCCACAGATAGTGGCATAGTGATCACGAACAATTGATTACCGAGCAAAATCGATCTGTTTACAATTACTCTAAAGCCAGTAAACAACACAAACACCGTTTATATCTATTCACTCATTTTACAACACATTGTTTTCGTGTTTGGAGCATGTTTAGGAGCACGCTACGTGTCCTCACTAATGAAACAGCCAGAATTAGAAATGAACGAGATGGCAAGTCAATATATCAACGTCGGCATAATGAAAACGTCGACATCGGTATTGTGGATATTTTAGGAAAGGAATGTAATGCGAAGCTTAAACTTTGCAATCAGATAAACTCAGTCAGCGAACGTGCAGGCCAGCGTTTGTTTTTCAATTTGTCGTCATAAACTCAGTCAGCGAACGTGCAGGCCAGCGTTTGTTTTTCAATTTGTCGTCATAAACTCAGTCAGCGAACGTGCAGGCCAGCGTTTGTTTTTCAATTTGTCGTCAAAACACTATTGTGATGACGAAGATAAGCAGAGCCAATGCATTGACAGGCAGGTCACATTTATTTTCCTAAAGTTGATAATTGTGACGTCACGATTTACGATCAAAACTGAATAAAAAAAATTTTTAAAAAATTGGCAAATGTTATAAGTACGTGGGCACTGTATCTAGGTTTTGTGTTTTGAAGAGTCATTTCCGAACTATGAAAAACGCCTTTTTTGGTCAAGATGTCATAAATTTCTGTTGGTTGTTTTGTCATGATAATGCTGAATACAAATCACACGACTTTAGTGAAAAATGTCATTAAAATAATATGACAGATATTTGGAACTACCCAGCATGCTTAAGCCGCGGATATGTGCATGGAGTCTTTGGCAAACTCCCCGAAAAACAGCTGTTTTAGTCTGATTACGCATCCCACAAACAAAATATTATCTAAATTTCCTCTGGGGGCTCAATTCTTGGGTGGCATTTGCGCAAATATTATAGACACAATTAGAGTTCACAATGGTCAAATTATCGTAGCTGGAATATCACGAGTAAAGTGAATGATTTGAACGCCTGAGTAATGTTACATGTTAGTAGATGTAGATTGTCCTGAGAAGGACTGTTGATGTTGATGTTGCTGATGTTCGACAACCTTAGCGGTAGTCATCTTCAGAGTCAAATGAGGAGTAAATGTCAGGTTGACTGTCGAAGATGACCACTGTTAAGGATGTCGAAACATCAGTCAATATTAACACTGACAGTCCCTGCATTAACCTGGACGATCTACTTCTACAAATACGCGATATCATCTCACAGAAATTCAATCATCTTGTTTCATAATATTCTAGGGTATTGCCATGTTATCCTATGGAATTCTTATGTTATCCTATAGTGTATAGCTATGTTATCCTAAGGTATTGCTATTATATTCTAAGGTATTGCTATTATATCCTATGGTATTGCTATGTTATCCTGTGGTATTGCTATTATATCCAATGGAATTCCTATGTTATCCTATAGTATACGTACTTATGTTGTCCTAAGGTATTGCTATGTTATATACAATAGTATTGCTATGTTATCCTGTGGTATTGCTATTATATCCTATGGAATTCCTATGTTATCCTATAGTATACGTATTTATGTTGTCCTAAGGTATTGCTATGTTATATGGTATTGCGTTTATCGAACAACAAGTGTTTTAAAACAGATTCTCTTATTTGAGAGTTTGAGGATTGGATTAAGCATATTAAGATTGAATTAAGCATGATATTAACTCAGTCAATAATAAACAATTTGAATAATAGTTAATAAGTTCCCCGAAGTCATAATAGCTACATATAGATAATTTGTGTTCATATTTAGCTTGTTTGAAAGCAACATCTATCTTTATCAGTTTTTTTCTTAACTAAGTCTTCATTGTATAAGCGCGGGCATTTTATCAAAATAATATTGGCCACTCAACGAGTTTCACGAAATTGTTTTTGTTTCGCTTTCCAAAACGTGCACAAAAAAACTTCACTCGATAAATATCCTTTGGGAAACCGCGTGAAAGTGTGACACAGAAGTTCATTCATGGATTCCATCGGCATTTAAGGGATTTCCGGAAAGGATTCGAAGGGATACGATACGACGAACAATCATTTCACAAACTCACGTGACCAAAGACATGATCCTGTGAGATCCTATTTGATTATTTTTGTCACGTAAGGTCCCTCCAGTTCATAACCCAATTTACGATAGTAATTTCGCGTGCCAACGCCTGCAGGAGAAATATTTTGATAATAGGAAGTACTGTAATGGCAGGGGAACTAGCTACTTGAACGTAAGATATGGCAAAAACAAATTGGAACAACAAAGCCGTTAATACAATATTACATCCAACGCGAGACTAAAGCATACACGCTTGACCGCTGAGCAAAACTAATGCAGTAACAGCCAGAGTAAGACATGACGTCCGCAAACATAGATTAACATAATCAATCGCCTATCCTAATTTACGTGTTTTAGCGATTTCTTTCAACACATATAGCAGTGAAAACATTCCAAAGTGCCTATGAAACGAAAATTTTGCTATTTCAACACATATAGCAGTGAAAACATTCCAAAGTGCCTATGAAACGAAAATTTTGCTATTTCAACACATATAGCAGTGAAAAGATTCCAAAGTGCCTATGAAACGAAAATTTTGCTATTTCAACACATATAGCAGTGAAAACATTCCAAAGTGCCTATGAAACGAAAATTTTGCTATTTCAACACATATAGCAGTGAAAACATTCCAAAGTGCCTATGAAACGAAAATTTTGCTATTTCAACAACAGCTTCAATGAGCAGAACTTTTAAAATGCAAATGGACTTCCCGAAACACTTAATCCATATCTCTTTTCATACTCGAAATATTAACGTCTTTCTAATATTCAGTAAAATACATAATACAGTACAACGTATAATGAAAATTTGAATTTTCAGGTATAAATGCTGATGCGTTTCTTCAAACTAGCGGAGTTCCCTTCATTTTTAGAAGTCGTAATGGTATGAAATGATGTTTGATCATTTCAACCAAAACTTGCCTGGAAACTAAATGATGTTTGAAACTTTGCAATGACCAATTACCATTACAAAAACTTCAGTGTGTTGTGAATAAAAAGAGCTATGCATAAACTGTTTTAAAAAGTCCACTGTTATTTCAGAAGTTCTTTTCACTGAAAATATAATTTAAATAGCAAAATATTCGTTTCGTTGCTCTTTAACGTACGAAAATAATTCATTGCTAGCTTCATCGCACCTGAAATGACGGCCAACTTTTCGCTACCGTGTTCATCTCTTGCAATCCTCTCCGCTTCCTCCATTAGCAAAATGCCGAAACCCTTCAAAGAAAGGATATGAAAATGAAAACAAAGCTAAAGCGATACCACTGAACTCGAAAGTGAACTGGAGTGAGAGCTCCGGGGGCTGGGGAATAATTTGAAGACAAGAAGTGTTGATGACTATAAAGGTCGCTCAAAAATACCCGGTGTAAAACGCAGACTAGGTTGCCTAGGATACAAAACAATGTGCAGTGCAGTGGTGATAAATTAAAGTTTGCATTCCAGTTTGCAACTGCGCTCACTGGGTAAATGACGATGTGGAGCAATCCCATCATGCAATCCCATCCTAAGAATCCCGAGAACGTCAATGCACAGCAATTGTCGTACTCTTTATATTGTGAATGTCATATTTGGATATATTAGCGTTGTGAGATGACGTAGTAAGTTTTAAGAGAACAATTTATGTATGAGCCTAGGACATGAAGCAGGGATGGCGTTATCCATTGGATAGTAAATTTTTCAAACTTGCTAAAAAGATGGCTGTATTTTCTTTACGATTATGAAACTTTGTAATTCTAGATTTTACTTCATTGATTGTCCAATTCAAATCGCACATTTTTTCTTTTCGAGAGATTTTTGAGGCTTTCAAAAATTTGCCATCCAACGGATAACGCTATCAAGGCTTCGTGCAACCGGCCCCAGATATCCCCCTATCATCCTTTATGTTAAAAGATATCACAGGCCGAAACTTTCGCGAGATAATGTCCGTAGGTTAATGTTAATATTGCTAAAGTGAAATAAAATAAAACCGCGCAGTTCATACCTGATGTTGAAATTTGGTTGGATCACGAGCGTTTATAGGTACGACACTACCATATCTGGATGGATAAGTTAAAGATATATAAACAAAACCATTAAAATATGATTGGTTTTTAACTTCAGGTAAAACTTGGTATAGAATTGTAATGTGAGGTCATGATTGGTTTAACGAGAAACATAAACTGTCGTGATTGGTCGATCATTTCTTTGAACTTGTTGAGAAGCACGACGCATCGTGACAGTCCTCTTTCCAAGGGATACAAAAAGATAACAAAGGATACACATGAAGTTCACGGACTATGGAACATTTCCCCTTCAATTCAGGACGATAGGTATCTGCAGCGCATTTACGAAGACGAAGAAGACCTATGAGAATGTCTGGATAGAGTCAAGAAAAGATTTGGATAAAAACAAACTACGGTTATATCGGCGTATAGTTGCAGATTTAAGTGCTAACCCTCCCCTCCCCCCACTAAATCATATCGCTCCTATTCAATGTATTTTAATTGACGATGAATTGCACCAAATTTCCTTCTATTGCAAAAGGAATGACTGGTTTGCCGTGTTTAAATACTGTGAGGTAGGTAGCTAAACAATCAAAGTTTTATTCAGTATAACTAAATACTGTAAGAAAGCTATAGTCAACATTTTATTCAGTATAACTAAATACTGTGAGGTAGATATAGTCAACATTTTATTCAGTATAACTAAAGGATATCTTGCAATGGATCTTCGTAAGATAGGAATGTTTCCCATCCTCCATTTGCAACATAATCGCGACGAATCAACTCGACTTCATACGGTTTCACTTTGTGATGTATCTCCTGTATTCCAACTTCACGTGTTCTAACATCACGACACTAAATGAAAGGAGCACAGTTATAGCAATGACCGTTTCAAGTTACTCTACTCCAATTTTTCGCTAATATTATAACAGAAGAGACACACAAAGATATCTATAACTAGCAAAACAAGGGAATTATAGTAGTTATCACACTAGAACATCGTTACTCTAACGTCTCGCAAATATTATGACAAAAAAGACACAACAATATACCTAACTAGCAAAGCAAGGGAATTATAATAATTATCACACTAGAAGATCGTACAAGAGTTTCAGGGACAGCAGAAGATAGATCATTGAGGGGGGGGGGACGGGGGGGCTCATATTCATATATGAATATGATATAGTCCGTAATCACGACTGACGTAAATAGATACTAATAAAGTAGAACATATACGAATCTCCTCCCCGCCAATTATCGACCTTACGCGGTCTATGAGTTTGTGTATGAAGAGAGGAAGCAAAATCGCACTCACTACCTCACTATGCAAATGGTGTTGTGTTTACTCAATGTAAAAATACTAGATATTCAAAGAAATAAATTAGGATCTTTCACATGTCGTACAGTTGTTCCAAGATCTTTCATTCTGGCTAGTGCCAGTTCTCTAAGATTACCATGTTCAACACCGGAAGTCACCAAAGGCATTGGTATATCCCTAAACATAAGAAAGTCATTAGTACAGATTGTTTTCACCTGACGTCATGGTTACCATGTAGATGCATTGGACTAAAATACATGGAACGCTACCTGAAGCAAATAAATGAAGCCAAATTTTACACCCAGAAAGACGCGAGATTACACCCAGACACGCGTGTGTAGTGTTTCGAGATTCTCTCGCGGAGTGAAAATTGATTGACTACACACGCGTGTGTGCGTGTAATCTCGCGTGTCGGGGTGTAAGATTTAACTTCAAAAAATTATTAGGTTTTTCTGTTACAGGTAGCTTTCCATGTATTTTAATTCAATGTTTGATGTACCAATTAGAACACAAATATGGCTGCTATATCATTGTCAGGTTGCTCATTGGGGAGTGAGTGTAAACTTAACCCACACTGCAATAATCGATGTGTGATTGGATAATCTCTACCTTTGAACTCTATAAATCCGAGTCCAAGGAGGAACCAGAGCTAGTATCCTGGCAACCAAGTCGATCAGAACATCAGGAGGGTAACTTTTGTATCGCCCAGTCTTCCATAACTCGTAAAGACCTTACAAACAGTGCGAGTTCAAATTTATCACACAGAATTCTGTTATCTTATTGTCGAACTACAGTTAAAGTAGTGTAGCTACCTGTGCCTCGAATTACCAACGTTGGATAAATCTTCAGACCATCAGTCCTGAATGCTGGGTTCTCAAAAAATTCCTGATATCGAAAAAAAATATGATACAGTAGGCATTGGGCAAGCCACCAAGATCTTTTACTCCAAAAATGTAAAATTTTCCAGCAAAACTATGGTTCGTTACAAAATTAATTCCATTCATTATGTTTCCAGTGATTGAACACAAAAATATTTGCATTTTAGGAGTAAAAACGCTCTTCCTTCGCTACTAGCAGTGGGCCATGGTATAAAACTGTGAATACCGCATTGCACCAGCTATTCTGCTGACATGAACCACACATTATTAACGCACATCTCATTTTGCATTTTAGAAACATATTACTTAGGCTAACCCACAAAATGGCAATCTAGAATAATGAAATCATAGAGTAACATAGAGATACTGTCCTAGGTATGCCATCCTCACGTTCCCACCATTTTCACTGAAGTAAGGCATTTCCCCTCCTGATTTCATTGTATATTTTCATTCCGACGGGGGAGTTTTCTCGACACTTGCAAAGTTGATATAGAAAGCTTCAACACTTACGATAAATTGCTCGATATCTCTTTCTAAGCCAACATTTGGTAGATCAGGCATCATGTGAGAGACAACCTAAAAAAACCAACAAAAATTGTGTAGTGAGGAAAACACTTGGTTTTAGCAACTTATCAACGATGATTGATCACAAAAAAGATTGTATTTAGAGATTCTGATTTAGTATGTTGGTAAGTTTTAATGTATTTTTTACCTTAAATCCGGCATCTTTGGCCATATTGAAGGACTCGCAAGTCGCTAAAACTGTATGGCCCCTATTTAAAAACAAACAACAGCATATAAGCACTGAGTCATTGACATGTACAGATCTACAGAAAGACTGCATAAACACTGAGCTACACAAAGGTACATCTGTAGGTAATGATGTAATAATCACAGAGATATAGACATAGACTGCATAAACACTGAGGTACACAAAGGTACATCTGTAAGTAAAGATGTAATAAACACAGAGATATAGACATAGACTGCATAAACACTGAGGTACACAAAGGTACATCTGGAGGGAACAATGTAATAAACACAGAGATATAGACATAGACTGCATAAGCACTGAGTTACACAAAGGTACATATGGAGGGAACAATGTAATAAACACAGAGATATAGACATAGACTGCATAAACACTGAGTTACACAAAGGTACATCTGTAAGTAAAGATGTAATAAACACAGAGATATAGACAAAGACTGCATAATTACTGAGGTACACAAAGGTGCATATGTAGGTAATGATGTAATAAACACAGAGATATAGACATAGACTGCATAAACACTGATGTACACAAAGGTGCATATGGAGGGAACAATGTAATAAACACGGAGATCTACACAAAGGTACATCTGTAGGTAATGATGGAGTAAAAAGAATTGACAATATAAGTAAGAAATGCAAGAGAAATGAAATTGAAGAAAAACAGTACATGTGCTACTACACAAACTTTTAAAAATTGCCTTCAATGTTAAAATGTACCTATTTGTATCTCGTGCAACATCTTCGTAAACACTTTGAACACCAATTTCCAGTCTTGTACAACCATATTCAAGCATTGAACTAGATGAAGTAGCAGAAGTTGACGGATAGTATATAGTAGGATCTACATGTAGTTAACAAGTAGGCTTACATGAGCTTTCGACAACAGTAGATATATACATGCTTTGGAGTATCGTCAGGTTGGTATAAGAAGGACTGTTTTGTTGTTGTTGACTGACGTTTCGACAACCTTAGCGGTAGTCATCTTCTGACTCTGAATGACTACCGCTAAGGTTGTCGAAACGAAACAACAACAAAAACAGTCCTTCTCACGACTATACCAACCTGGACGATCTACATTTACAAACCTGTAACCATACTCCAGGGTTCAAACCATTTACTTTAGTATATAATATATTGTAAGCATGTTCGTAGATGAGGATTGCTCAGGTTAGTGAAGCCCTGAGAACGACTTTTGAAGTTGTAAATATTGACTGACGTTTTGACATCCTTTTAATACGTCATACCAACAGTCCTTCCCCAGGCCCCCACCAACCTGGACGATGAACACTGTCTACAAACCAGTAACGATACTGCCGCGTTCAAACCATTCGCTTCAGTAAAATTGTATAATGCGGCCGCAAAAAATACAACATTGGACCGCGCGTCCAACCAACGAAAGCAAATGTAAATTTGTACTAAAATTAATCAAAAAAAGTACAAAACAAAAAGAATACTATACAGACCTCAAATGTTTTCGAAGACAATAATCTGGTCTTGTCTCGATTGTTATGCCAATGCATTTCGTTTTACTCTTCTCTGAAAAACTTTAAAATAATAAAATTGCCTTTTCTTATTTCTCTCATTCAAATGATTCACATAATTCAACGACAGATTTCGAAATTTTACTCTGTGAAGGTGAAGGGGGTACTTTAAAACAGCATTTAGAGGTAGTGTATGCTCTTCCCTAGGTTACTATTAGATTTGAAACATTTTTGTCTTCACGAGGAAAACTTTACGTGAAGATAGATTTACGTGAGGATAGATTTACGTGAGGATAGATTTACGTGAGGATAGATTTACGTGAAGATAGATTTACGTTAGGATAGATTTACGTAAGGATAGATTTACGTGAGGAAAAATTTACGTAAGGATAGATTTACGTGAAGATAGATTTACGTGAGGATAGATTTAAGTGAAATAGATTTACGTGAGGATAGATTTACGTAAGGATAGATTTACGTAAGGATAGATTTACGTGAAGATAGATTTACGTAAGGATAGATTTACGTGAAGATAGATTTACGTTAGGATAGATTTACGTGAAGATAAATTTACGTTAGGATAGATTTACGTGAAGATAGATTTACGTAAGGATAGATTTTCGTGAAGATAGATTTACGTGAAGATAGATTTACGTGAAGATAGATTTACGTGAAGATATATTTACGTAAGGATAGATTTACGTGAAGATAGATTTACGTTAGGATAGATTTACGTGAGATAGATTTACGTTAGGATAGATTTACGTGAAGATAAATTTACATTAGGATAGATTTACGTGAAGATAGATTTACGTAAGGATAGATTTTCGTGAAGATAGATTTACGTGAAGATAGATTTACGTGAAGATAGATTTACGTAAGGATAGATTTACGTGAAAGTAGAGTTTCGTGAGGATAGATTTACGTTAGGATAGATTTTCGTGAAGATAGATTTACGTGAAGATAGATTTACGTGAAGATAGATTTACGTGAAGATATATTTACGTAAGGATAGATTTACGTGAAGATAGATTTACGTTAGGATAGATTTACGTGAAGATAGATTTACGTTAGGATAGATTTACGTGAAGATAAATTTACGTTAGGATAGATTTACGTGAAGATAGATTTACGTAAGGATAGATTTACGTGAAGATAGATTTACGTGAAGATAGATTTACGTGAAGTAGAGTTTCGTGAGGATAGATTTACGTAAGGATAGATTTACATGAAGATAAATTTACGTTAGGATAGATTTACGTGAAGATAGATTTACGTAAGGATAGATTTTCGTGAAGATAGATTTACGTGAAGATAGATTTACGTGAAAGTAGAGTTTCGTGAGGATAGATTTACGTGAAGATAGATTTACGTAAGGATAGATTTTCGTGAAGATAGATTTACGTGAAGATAGATTTACGTGAAAATACTTTAGTTTAAGGATTTTTATATTCCCTGCGAAATCATGCTACCATTTCTAAGTGACAACACTCCATGAAAAAATAAAAAAAATTCAAATACCAAACTGCTTCTTTCACATTATTACTGACATGGCCTGAAAGAGCATCATGAAGATTCCTGATGAAATAATCTCGATATTCGTCATCCAGCGACATAAAAGTACCTCCCATGACAATAAACTCGACCTGTATAAGAAAAAAAAGCATGTGTAGGGAGGAACGTCAAAGGATTTTTCACAGAAATAATAGCTAGGGATGCAAGGCTGGAGTAAAGTATAAAAAACAACAGTAAAAAAGAATGCCAAGTTTAGAAACGGTGGGCAAGAAGTCAAAAGAAACATTAAAAAGATGATGCAGTGTACATAGATGGCAGCCAGAAAATGCAGTGAAAGGCATATATAACTGCAGAGGAAGTTTTTTCACTCCAGTGAACTCCAAGGAATGCTAACTGTGTGACCGTATATGAAGCAAAAAATGAAGCTTGTTTTTCAGAGTCATACAAGTTCAATGGTATTGTATTAAAAAATCAATATTAAACATAAAATACAGTAGCACAATTTGGCATACACAAGTTCTACCATACAAAATCAGGTAAATAAATAAAAAACTCAGTTATGAATACATCATAACTGGCTTCTAAAATGTCTTTAGCCCTGGTAATGGAGTTAACGCTCCAGTTTATATTATAGTTCAATGGTGCACTCCAGCAGCCTGTGAATGGAGATACTGGGCGAGAAAAAATATCAAAACTAACCTTGTCGATGTTATGACCTAGTTGTTTTAGCTGAAATAAAAATACATTCATTTTCACTTACTATGATGCAAATGTAATATGAACACACAAACAAATTCATTACTGATGAATGAATGAAAAACCTGTTCAAGACGATGTCGCGTCTGGAGATATGGATTGTATCTAGCACGAATGGCTCTCATTGATGTTGGCTGAAAATTTTAAAAATCTTCTGTTGAAATAATATCAAACGAAGATAAAAGCGCAGGAGATGTGAATAACTTTCATGAGAAAAGTTCAATTTATACTTCATCAAAATACAAATGACTTTCACAAGAACAGTTTAGTTTATATCTCAGGGAGACACATACGACTTAAACGTGAACAGTCCACTTCTTACGTATCTCATGGAGACATGAGTTACTTCAACATGAACAGTTCAATTTATACCTCACAGAGACATAAATTACTTCAACAAGAACAGTTCAATTTATACCTCATGGAGACATAAATTACTTCCACGTGAACAGTTCAGTTTTTATCTCATGTAAAAAAAAATTACTTACATGAGAACAATTCATACCTCATATCCTGTGTACGACTGTGTGGAGTATTCAAAATCAGAATCAGGACCACCGGGGCAATAACTAAAAGAATTATATCAAAATTTTCAATCAACTTCAACAAAAACATCCCATATCCACTTACACGCAAATATTTCCAGTCATGTTAATATGCGGACACCGATGTGGTTTGCACATGACTGCAACAACAGCAATCTAAAATACATTGACACCGTTAAGGTTCAAATTTGTCTTGCATATGTAAGCTTGGTATGAGTGAACCAACCCTGAAGCTGTTCTAACAGGCTTTGCTTTAAGTTTTGGCAATAAATCCTAAAGAAAAAGAAATGATATATTTATGGAAGGAAAATAAAATCAAAACAAGTAAACAATGGTATGTACTCAGTAACATGGCTAGACTACATACTTAGTCATGTGCTGTGTAAACTTTCTATTATACATTACATTGGTGAAAAGTCTGAAAAGGATCCAAACAGGATCCTATCTAGGATGTACTAATATTTGTCCTATCTAGAATCCTAGAGGATCCAACAGGATCTGATAGGATCCCGGTAGAGTCTTGTAGGATCTTATAGAATCCTACTCAGGAATTTCACCAGGGTATTCATACCTTCAGGAATCTATTGTTTAAACAGACAATACAAATTAAAATAATTGCAGACCTTCCAACCTTTAAAGATCTAAAAATTACAATCTATATTTTCGCTCTCCAAAAAACTTGACATTTTAGGGAAAAACTTAAGATAGGACTGTCGAAACGGTAAGCCCTTGTTTCCACTGTAAATATCTAAATTCAACATACAGAGAGGCAATCGATCTTATTCTTTGAAGTAATGTTGGAAAATATTACTGAGCAAAGATACTGAGCAAAGATATTCCGATTTCATAAACTTTGTCAGAACAAACATTGACTTGATTGAAAACTTTCGTAGAAAGCAGAAACTGTGTAAGCACTTAAGCGGAGAAACTTTTCACATTTGATGAACAAATCAACATTGTATGTCATTAAACTATTTCTTTAACATTCTATGTTTAAAATATATGGCAAAAATTATGTAAAATGGATGCTAAATCATGAGACCTAAAGACTTAAATAAAAATTGTGTGTCACACAGCATAACCAGTGAATTGGCAGGTCTGTAATTGTATCGCACCAACCAATAAACATCCTAACTGTGCTACTATGTATGCACAACAACACAAAATCAAGAATAGTTAGATTTTCCTCAAATCTGACAACAAGCACCTTTTTATAGGCAGCAGGGACAGCTGCGATGATGTCAACTAGTCTCGGTTGCGATGCTAGACCATTGATTCTTGAATGATTAAAAATATGAAAGATCAAGAAAAAAAGATTAATATTCATTTAAAATATCACATATAGCTACAATGGTGTCATTAACACTATGTAATTCAGAACTTTGAAAAAATCAAAGTGCTTTTTTTGAGAAATTTGCAATATGCACCGCTCGCCATAATAGATTTGAGCGCTCTGGTGACTATACAAAACAATCCATACAATGTGTAACCATACGTCCTGTGTCCCAAGTGCAGGAGTCACCATTGCATTACGGTGATAGCCGAGAGGACACATTGTTATACACTTTGTACGTATGATCATTAATATAAGTTTAAAGATTGGTAATCCAGGCATATTTACTCTATAATTAATATGTACATGATCATTAATGTGTAAATAATTTTATTTAAACTTTCATTTTTATACATTAAATGCCTGGATTACCAATTTTTAAACTTATAATCATTATTATATAATCATTAATATATTATCACTAATATTTATCACATATTGTTAATAAATATACGCCTTATCATGCCTCAATTTTGTACCACAAAATCTACAGCACTGCTGCACCATGAAATCTTAAGTATTGTACCAAAAAGCCAGGCTTTTTATCAATTTTGTAGCTTCTTATGATTTTATAAGTAATATGTACATACTTATTAATACCAAAAGCCAGGATTTTTTATCAATTTTGTAGCTTCTTATGATTTTATAAGTAATATGTACATACTTATTAATACCAAAAGCCAGGATTTTTTATCAATTTTGTAGCTTATGATTTTATAAGTAATATGTACATACTTATTAATACCAAAAGCCAGGATTTTTTATCAATTTTGTAGCTTCTTATGATTTTATAAGTTATATGTACATACTTATTAATACCAAAAGCCAGGATTTTTTATCAATTTTGTAGCTTCTTATGATTTTATAAGTTATATGTACATACTTATTAAGATTGGAATCTTCTCCTTTATTATGCGCTTCAATTAGTTGATTGACAATTTCAGAGATAGTCAGTAACATCAGCTCAGCCCGGGATGCCTGTGGCACTATAAATAAATAAAAAGTCAATTTTATAAGTTAGCCATCTAGGCTTTTTTTCCCTTTTCTCCTGGCAGATATGTTTCCAGTGGAAATTATCGTAACAAATTAAAATCTAACAAGACAACACAAAATTCAAGACACATCATTTGAAATATATGTAACCCAAAATATTATGTCAACCGGTGGGGGGCACTCAATGAAATATTGGCGGGAAAGGGACTTGTCCTTAAAGCATGAAAGTTCTAGGGATGTCCATAAAATGCCCATCTGATTACTTTTAACAATTAAATCTCCAGAAATTCTATTTTAAAATTTTTAATGCACAACATGCAGATGTGCTAAGACATATACACTATCTATGGCAAAATCTATGCCATGATCTGTCATTTCGTTTGAAAGTTGAGTTACATTATGTAGAAGTCTGCCCCCACACACACACACACAGACCACGTGTGCGCCTCTGTTGTCAAATGTCAACAACTATAATAGTTAATTTTTGGTCTTTTAGAGTACAATGACTACATTCTCTCTCATAAAATTAAATTTTAGACAAAAATAACATCATTTAAACCTAAGGAGCACGCATAGACACTTACCTTTTTTACGAGGCTTCACCATGGTGGCTGTAATTCAGTTTTTGTCGAAACAGCTAAAACGTCTTTTACAATTTTCCACCATGTTGAATTCTATACTTTATTTTATTATAACTTACACGAAGTATCCCATGTATGAAGCTGCTGACATATGGCAATGTTCTCGCGGACGCTTATAGTGTTGTAATTGGTCGACAATGTTTTTTTAAAATATTATTGGATTAGAGTAGCCAATCATTAAAAACCTAAAGTTCGAATTGAATGACTTGACGATTTCTAAGATGACAGTCAAGGACGCCATGGAGAGAGATTTCGTATTGTTGTAATTATCTAACTAGAAAAAAAAATAAAAGACCCAAAAAACGAATGATAATTCCTCTTATCGATAGCATTATCAATGCAGATAAACGATATATTAAACACGAACGACTTTATTTCTTTTGTATTTCGATACTTTTCAGACGCGTTTCAAACGTTAAATTTCACATGTGTTGAATGCATTCAAGACAAAACAAAATGAGATATAATTCTTCGGTAACTTTTGCTTCTAATGCATTCAGCACATTGAAAATTCGACGTTTGAAAAGGGCCTTAAATAGCTTCTACAATGCTTCAATATAAATCTTGCTGATAATCAAAATGCTCTTCGTTAATTGTTTATAATTATATGATAAAATTTCTAAATTTCAGGGGGGAGGTTTACATTTCTAAATCATGACGCGAGGTGTATGAAAACGTAAGGTTTCCTGCACTCTACTATTAAAGGGCTATTTTTGCAAGCTTCATTTGAAATGTCATACTCATCTATTTGATAAATACATAAGTTCCATCAAACCTAATAGATTCAAGACAAAAATAGAAAATATCTATCAGACTAAATTTCAATTCAATTCAAACCACAGTACATCAACTGGGGTCAGTTCTCTTTAACTTCCCTTGGTTAAATACTAAAGTACTAGTTGGATATGGACAGGAGTTTTCGTTGTTTGACGACGTATCAAATGTGTCTTGTACCAATGGAATATCCTAACACAATTAAAATTAATCGAGAATTAAGAGGGAAGAACTGGAGAGCAGGTCAAATACACATGCTCGAGAGTTATCACAAACGTCTCCAAGGTTTGCATAAGCCTGTGCAAACACGAAAAACATCTTTCATATGTTTAATAAAATAACAATAATGTAAAGCAAATGTTTTAATTTTTCCTCTAACATGAATTGATGAATGATTTCAAATTCTCTTTAATTGATTGAGTTTCATACGCTTCTCTTGGAAATCAGCTTACGTTGACGAAGGTAGCGTGTTTAAACAAAAGTTATCATCATCATCATCATCATCAAATCAGTTGGCTAAAGCAAACTGTATTAAGTTATCATTATATATTATAAAATAAAAACAATAAAACGCGTGCGGTGATTGGTCTAGAGCCGTGTTTGCATTACCGCTGTGCAAAACACATCTGAGCTCAACCAATCAAATCAATCAAAACAATCAATCAGTCAAAGAGAATTTGCAAATCGATCATCAATACATTTAAGAGGAAAAATTAAAATGTTTACCTTTTTCGCATTATTGTTATTTTATAAAAGAAATGAAAGATGTTTTCGTGTTTGCACTTGCTTATGCAAACTTCGGAGACGTTTGTGAGAACTCTCGAGCATGTACAACCCTTAATTTACACAATTTTGAACAGGCTCCCAGTTTCAACAGTACAAAAATATAAAATAAATCTTACCTGATAATTGGAGATAAAATCCAACAAACGCAAAGATAAACGTCGACTGGAGTTCACAAGGTTTTCTAAACTATAGAGAATGAGTATACATTATTATCATCATCATAATCGCCTGCTTATTAAAGTGCCTACATACATCACCCTCGGGAAATTTATCTATTTAGATTGAGTTGATCATTTTAAGAACATTTGCAATATATTTTATAAGGCGAAAATTTGATCTTCCTTGACTTTTTGGGCCTCTAAGTTGGCTTTATTCGTGTTTGACCGTGAGGTGCTTGGACTGGGTCTAGTTCACCGGAAGTGGCGTACATTGGAGAACACGCTGCTTTTTAACGCTGTAGTTTATGTAAGTAAAATTTGTAGCGAAGTCAAGAAATTTATTTTTCATCAAACTTGAGTTATATTGTGCATTTTGTTATTGAATCACACTGTAAGTGTCACAGCACCTTAAAGTCAAACACGAAAAAAGCCAACTTAGAGGCCCAAAAAGTCAAAGAAGATCAAATTTTCGCCTTATAAAATATATTGCAAATGTTCTTAAAATGCTCAACTCTATCTGAATAGATTATTTCCCTGAGGGCGATGTAGGCACTTTAGTAATAATGGCAAACACTACACATCAATTATACTTAAAATCGTGGCCAGAGATTTGCCAGGCGGAAAGCGAATTTTCAATATGAACATAATAGCCCAACATAAGACTTTTAAAAAAGCCATCACAGTAATAAAATAAAGAAAGATTTATTAATGACGTTGCGTCTTTAACTTAAGACATTGTTTTATTACTGTGATGGCTTTTTTAAAAGTCTTATGTTGGGCTATTATGTTCATATTGAAAATTCAATTATACTTACTTGTCTTCGTGAAACAATTTTTCTTTCGTTATCTAAAAAGGTGAATGAGAAACAGTTTTAAAAGAGGAGTAAGGATGGTTTAACGGAAAGATGAAGATATTATCACTTGCGTTCAACTGGTAAGTGTGCCAAATTTTTCGCGTTCGTTTACGTTTCGAACGTCACGTTTGTCAAGCGAAACGACGGGTTTTAACTGGTAAACGTTACGTTTGTACAGATCGCGGATTGCTAAGTTGGTAGTAGGCTAACAGCTCTTTCTTATGTTATAGGAGAAATTATCAAATGTTGCAAATCGCCTGGAGAATTCACAAGTAAGCTTCAGTTGCTACGGCAATTCATCATTGTAAACTCGTATAAACATGTCAATCACATGACCAAAACCAGTTCAAATTGTTCCTAAAACGTTAAACATCCCTGAGAAAACGCTAAACATTCCGGTGCAAACGTAACGTTTACCAGTTGAAACCCGTCGTTTCGCTGGACAAACGTGACGTTTGAAACGTGAACAAACGCGAAAAATTCGGGGCAGTTACCATTTGAACGCAAATAGCAATATCCGCGTGAATACCCACCTTTGCACATATTTCTTGGTTCAATTTTGCATCAAATAATGGTAATCCAAAATGCATATCTAGTAGACACCAGTCCTCGAAATTTTTCACACGATCATAATTCGTGGTGTCATCGTCGGTTTCCGTCACTCGGTCAAAATCGGAACCTATCATTTCTTCACGGGATGCGTCAACAGTAAATTGAAACATGCCGGCATTATCTTCGACGTCTGCACCGCTACGTGATGTAAGATTAGGATTGAGTAAGGTGATATAACCGCACGTGTGTTGCATGTCTATGGTGCGTGATAGAGTTTGTATTGCGGGATGAGAAATCAGATCTTGCGTATCATTTTTATCTAGAGGAAAAAGATTTAAAACATATTCATTGCTGTTACAGCAACATCACGTAATATATTAAGGTTTTACTTTACAGTTTCTCAGTTGCACTCTTAAGGAAAAAAATCTTGTTTATCTTTATTGTCCTCTTTTTTATGGAGGACAATCTTGTTTATCTTTATTGTGCTCTTTTTTTATGGACGACAATCTTGTTTATCTTTATTGTCCTCTTCATTACAGAACACAATTTGCTTATGAAGGACGTTAAGTCATTGCCGGCATGTTAGACGACTAGTGATTTTCCTTATCAAATTTAATCTTAATTCAGATTCAATCCAACATGCCGAGAAAATGTTTTGTTCATTATCTCCAGAGGTAATGACGCGCGCCACTTAATGGTTGCCATCAGAATTCCATTAGATTCATTTGTCTTTACAAATACGTACTTGAAAAATCACCACAATTGTTAAACATCATTTTTACCGTAATCATCATTATCTTTGCTTGACTTCAATGGAAATGATATGCGGCGAATCTTTCCTTCTCGATGTATACCGTAGCCCTGTGAGAAAACAACAGCCAGTACCTCGTTAATATTGGTTAGAGGAAAAGTTTGAAAATGCAACGGACCCCAGAACTCTGAACGAAAGAACTTAGAGGTTTTCACAAATTTTCGGAGAATTGTACATTCATAGAAACATCGAAACATAGATACATCCGTGGCACGTGGTTAAAATAAAGTATCGAAGACTTGTTACCAGGCCTTTATCTCAAGTGTGAAAGTGTGAAACAGAAAGAGTTTTGACAAGGGCAAAACAATAAATCCTCGACCTAGACAAATTCTCAACTCATTTCTGACAAGCTTCGGTTTGGGATTGAGCAAGGCCGTAGATAGATACGCATGCAGTTTTGCCCGACTGATTTCTTTAGAAAGCCACATCACTTTCAAAGAAGTCAGCTGGGAAAAACTGAATGTACGAATAAACACCCCTCTACCTGAATTAACGTTCTAGCGACGGCCCAGTGCCGAAGCCAATGATAAAACAGTCACATGTTTGTAAATGTAGATCGTCCAGGTTGGTATAGTCCTGAGAAGGACTGTTTTTGTTGTTGTTGACTGACGTTTCGATAACCTTAGCGGTAGTCATCTTCAGAGTCAAATGAGGAGTAAACGTCAGTCAACAACAACAAAAACAGTCTTTCTCAGGACTATACTAACCTGGACGATCTACATTTACAAACATGTAACGATACTCCCGGGTTCAAACCATTTACTTTAATAAAAACAGTCCATTGGTAAAATATTGAAGTTCTAAATTCAATACAGTTACCTGGATAAGAACAGCTGAATGTGATAAAGCGTCGTTAAGAGCGATAAGAACGTTGGATACAGGCACTGTTGTTGGATCATGACCCCAAGTGGCTATAAGCAAACGATCATAACCCTACATGGAAAAAAACATTACAGAGCAATTTTTCATTTACTTCACTGACCCTTATTACAAAAGCCTAGCAGGTTAAGGAAGTGATGTGCACTGAACCTTCAATAGCAAAGTAGTTTTCTTAAAAATATATCAAGATTCTAGCAAATGATGTCATAGAGGTTATAAGAAAGGTCTGTTCGCGAGGTAAATAAAATACATCATGGTTGACTATTATCTGGCATACTGCCTATCAAACCGTCACCACTGACACTAAACAAATGTAATTTTTAAAAAAAAAAATATCTTGAAATTACAGCAACCGCGAGTAATGTCTGCTCGTCGCAGTAGAATGCATGCACCAAAATTGGCTATTCAAAGTTTCAAACCATAAATCATTTTCACCACCTATCATCACCATCATCACCACCACCATCATCACCATCATCATCACCTATCATCACAACCATCACCACCACCTATCATCACCACCCATCATCACCATCATCACCACCACCATCATCACCATTACACCACCTATCGTCACCATCACCACCACCTATCATCACCATCATCACCATCTATCATCACCATCATCACAACTATCACCACCACCATCATCACCCTTACACCACCTATCATCACCATCACCACCACTTATCATCACCATCACCACCACCATCACCACCACCATCATCACCATCACCATCTAAGCCCTCAATAACAACAATACTAGCCCTCTTCCAACACTAGTGATGTTTAAAATACGACTCAATACCCCCAGAGAAAATCTACGTAAAATAATTTGATGTTGCTCGTACCTCGAAAATCTTTGGTAATATTCTAAGTCGCGATCCTTTCACGATGAGCATGGATGGAGGACCTGATCCAGTGGTTTCATACAAGTACAACTTAAACCAAACTGAATTGACCTACATGAAGCAAATTCAATCTCCGCTGAGAAAATATTCAAAGTCACTTTCTTGGTTCTTGTGGGGGACTTATTTTCTATTTTTTCGTCATCATGTCTAGGAGAGAGACACATACCTCTGGTATAGCAGGACCAATATGAGGTGGATTACAGCTTGCGATTGGCCGTATTTCACTGCTCAAAGGTGCCATTGACAAAAGTACACTAAAATCAAGCGTTGATGGGTGGTATCATCGGTTTGTAAATTGCAACCCGAAGATCACAATACACTTGTGAACACCAGAAATATACCTGTAATTTTTTTGCAAGACTCGACCACATGCAGCTGCATCAAGACTATTTAAGCTTTCACATCGAAGCATATCTATGAGAAGAGAGGCACGAAGTCAACGATCTGTGATTGGTACCTGCATTTCAAAACCGTAATTGTGTTGTGCTCAGTTGAAAGTCTGTTAGGGAGCTTTAGCAAGAGTACGACTACGACAACGAGTACGAAGTTGGACCGTGTAAGAGAATGGCACGAGGAAGTTTGTGGTCGTTGTCGCTTCGTCAAAATTTTGTTTTACTTGTAAACAACAGAACGAGGTCATGTTTTGCAGGTCATATTTTCCTTTTTTAATGTACATCTGCGCTCAAAAAAGGTTCTAAATTAAAGCCTGGATGCTCGAAAATAGTACTTTAAACTAATTTCTTGAAGAATGAAGAAATATACCTGCTTTCTTAGCTTAAAAAGACATCGTAGTCGCGACTACGAATTTTTTTACAAAACATCGTACTCAGATTGATGATGGCTACATGTTGTTGTTGCCGCAACAATGTTTTCGCGCCAAAATGACGCAATTCGTACTCGTAGTCTTTGCTAAAGCTCCCTAATATCATCTAGGCAGTACACAAACGAAAAAACGTCATACCAAGACCCAAAGGATTATCATTGTTATTAAGTAACTCCTTGTTGTAGCGCAAGAAGACCAACGTATTCAGCAACGTAATGGCGTGATGAAAGTATCTCTCGGCTTCACCTTCCGCTTCATCTTCAGCCTCACGGCCAACCTAAAAAAAGGAACGGCATGTATTTATGAAAGATGAACAATAAACCTATTGTAAGAAGAAATGTCAATACATCAGCATCTCACCTTATCTCGCACCTTCTCTAATTCCGATAACAAACTGTCCAATGACTCGTCACTTAGTTTACCAACTTCGAACATCGTAACAGCATGGTTCTTCAAACCCTTGTGAAATAAATATAAAGAAAAACTAAACTCTGAGCCAAATGTATTTTGAAGTATTGAATCAAAAATATAGCACGCTGCAGGCTTATAAGTTTCTAATGAAGCTTGATTACGCAGATTTAGATTAGGGTTGAACTTATTGACCATTCATACAATGTTGAATAATTAGATATATCTGAGGGGAGTCTTTTCGCCAAGGTGAAGCTGGAGAATCAGAAAAAAATGCGACATCTTCATTTGACGTTCATAAGTATTCAGTATAATTGAGAGTCTCCTATAGAAATGTTTGCTTTGGTTTAGAGTAGACTTTCACACACAGTAATACCGTGATATATGAGACTATGCTAGGCAGATTAAAAGTTTAAAACTGTGATTGACACATTTTAAATTACTGAAGTAGATGGGAGGGCTCACCCCATAAGCTTGAAGAAGGAGCCCCTCCTCAAGTGCTCCCCCACTTCTACAGCATTGTATTCATACTAAAGTAAATGGTTTGAACCCGGGAGTATCGTTACATGTTTGTAAATGTCGATCGTCCAGGTTGGTATAGTCCTGAGAAGGACTGTTTTTGTTGTTGTTGACTGACGTTTCGACAACCTTAGCGGTAGTCATCTTTTGACTCTGAAGATGACTACAAAAACAGTCCTTCTCAGGACTATACCAACCTGGACGATCGACATTTACAAACATGTATTCATACTATCAATCACATTTATCAAGATTAAGTTACATACTGGAGAAAGATTTCCCATCATTAAGAATGCTGTTAATGCAGAGTCGAAAAGGAAAGCGATTCTTTTTCCATGTGCATTAGCCAGATCTTAAAACAACATACAAGATAATTCATGTGATAAGTAGTTAAAATCATCAGTCAAAATTTATTTGAAGAGAAGAGAAAAAACAATCAAGATGAATGAAAAATTAAGGCACTAATAAGTAAAAAACATTTGAAAGAAAAGAGGAAAAAAGGCAAATAGGTCTTTGATGGCAACACACACCTGAGTTTGATGAAGAGGAATTTAGTGGTAAACTGTCTTCAGACATTCCATCTGCTAAACCTGACGATGCCTCTGGTGATGAAACAGTAGTAAAATCACTATCCACTAAGATGTTCTCCCGACTGCTTGATCTAAAAGAAGAAGTTTGAATAACACACGAATCATAAGATTTTGTCCATTTTGACATACCTTCGTGCTTTCATCATCGTAGTATTCTCCCATGATGGATGGAGGTTTATATCACTGGCATCGCTGTCTTTTCTGAATGCAAAGCCAAGACGGCAGTAAACAGAAACGGCATTCTTCAAATGTAAGATGTCAAAAATACGGATTCAGAGCGTCTGAATGTTAATCCTCATCCCTAATTTCGGTAGATTACAAACACTAGTACTTATGGATGACAACATACTTTGACAAGTTGCAGGTCGATTTGAAGAACATTTGACAGCTAGATTATAAAACAAAAAAGAAGCATTAAGTTGTTGGAACAAAAATGTTTCCACATTCCACTTGCAATGCTAGTAATCTTTCCACCTCTGAAACATTGGTATGTTCATCAATGGTGACAAAAATTTTATACAGCAGGGTTTCAAAGTAGTCGCCAAGCACACGATTCATCACAAAGTTCTCCAAAGGTGGAACTAAAGCAACAGCAATAAGAATGTTCTTGATGTACAACGTGTTAAGAAGTCAAGTAAATGTTCATGAGAGAAAGAACAATACAAAGTCCCTTATCAAAGAGATGGATACACCAAAAAGGGGGAGTGGGTGTGTGTTTGGAGGAAGGTGCACACCCCTTCTAGCCTTGACTAGACAGTATACAAAAGGCACGGCAATTCCCTTGCAAAATGTTGATACACCAAGGTTTCAAGGACAAACAAATGTGATTTGTGTCAAATAGAGTACACTTCAGCTCAAAAAAATATTTCCCAATCATGGTATAAAGTGAACATAATTTAATGAAAAATTCTGGCATGGTACGGCCACTTCTACCAAGTACACCTTATCCCCCCCCCTGCCACTATAAATCATACTGGATCTATCTCTTCTTTATTATCATGATATATTAGTAGAACATCTGAAAGACACCAACCTACGATGCAGTCATTGTCATTGATGGGAACATCAAGGTAAACAAGTCCTTTTGTATAAAGACCTAAATAAATACATTTTAATAAATAATTTTCAATGAACTCTACATGCTTTAGCAAAAACTGCACATGGTGTTACCATACATACTTAAAACAATACTACGATTCATTTCGCCAGCGTAACAGGGTTTCCCATCACGATCAATCAATTCATCAATAGCAAGGTGCTCCTCTTGTGAGCATGCCTAATGATGACAAAGGAAAGATTACATGACATGAAGTAGTTGATTTCATTGAAAGCAAAGATTCTTCTACCTTCACATCATCTTCAGTAACAAAACCAACATGTACAGTCCACCATGGATCGAGAAATTTCAAAGTCACTGGTTTTACTGGCAAAAGATCTCCCACTGGTCGCTTGCGAAAAAATTTCTACAGAAATGTCCAGTTTCAAAAATGTAGCAAGTTAAATTCAAATATACTTAGAACTGGGTAAATTTGCAAAATTGAATCGTGAGTATCATAAGCAAGACTTACTCGAGAAGATCGACATTGGTTCATCAACTCAATATATTGATTGCGGCCAATAGCTAAAAGGCGAAGACCTTTACCAGAAAAACAGAGTATTAGAAAGGTTTTAGAAAATTGTTTGAAGTCTAGAGAAATCTTTGTCACACAATGGGTAAATTACAACAATGAACTTACAGTCAGCTGCAGTAAAATTTGGCAGTGAATCATAACTTTTTTCTTTCGACATGACATCTTTCATCATCTCAATATAGTAGCCAAACGGTGTAAGTCTTAAACCTTTTACAATAACATCTGCGAGATGATATGGGTATAGCTAAATGAAATTCACATGGATATATATGAAACAAAAGCTAAATATATCATCAATTTTGAGTTAAAATTCAGGCTACAAAGTTCCCACTTGTATCATAAACCATACAAAACACAAATACCATTAAGTGTTCTCTGCTATATGACAATAAATCTTCATAGTACTTTTTGTCATCCTTTCGAATATGACGTACTAGTAATCAGAGAATTACTTAACATGAATTATGTTGTACAAGGAGTTGATGTTTAAACTCAGGTTGTTTACCTAAATTGCCTTTGTATCGAAGTTGATTCTTAACGCTGAATTCCAACACGTTTCTCTCCCATTCTCGTTGATTGTTTCCCAATGACTGCAACAGTTTAAACAGTTGTTGAACATATAAAATGACTGATGATGATGATGAAACCTTGCAGCCTAGGTTGAACACATGTCTCTAATTCTAGCAACAAGTCACCAGTATCTATTAATCGTAAATTCACTTTGGTGTGCAAGGTAGATATAATCACACAAAACAAACAAGTGAAGCATTGCCAATTGGCAACATCTTTCCATTGTGGTTAGCCAAATTAGGCGAGAGGCAAAAACAAAAATTTTTTAAAACCATTACATAATATCATCAGAAAGAACAAGAAAAACAGCATAAAGGATAGAACTTTCAATTTTGGAGTCTGCTTTTACTTTTAGTTCATCACATAATTCCAACCTGTTTTACGCTCGGTGGTAATTTCGACCAGGGATAGTTATTCCGAATGTGGAATTCCAGATCCAAAGCTTGAGAATTTCTCGCCATTTGTCATTCATTGATCTTGAATTGTAAGGGAATGATGCTCAAATCATTGACCCAACCTATAATTACCTTTTTGCTTCTGGCAGTCATTTACATGTAAATAGTTCGATCACCGTCAACGTTAAGATGGGTAACTAACCCCCCCCCCTGAAAAATTACTGTAAAAGCGCAAATCGTTCGGTCGTTGATATATTAGTGAAGATAAAAGAAACGGAAAACTTCGAAATGTCGATGCCGGCAAAGACTGACTACCTTTCATACGGCTATGCTGGTGTTGTTGCTTTAGGTGGCGTGACTGGTTACCTTAAAGCAGGTTTGAAATTTTGCATTTATCATATAAATAAGCATGGATGTAAGCTTCACACAATGTTAAAAACTATTGAAGAACTGAAGGGCAATATATGTTGATTCTACATTCTTTTAAAAGGCAGTGTTATGTCGTTGGCAATGGGATTGCTATTTGGTGGATTTGCAGGTTTTGGTGCGATGCAAACTTCAACAAATCCCAGAAACATAACTCTCGCAGTAGGTTGGTAATGGTGGTCTCATGTTTCAACATAAATGTACACATCTTTAAATGTGTAGCATGGTGTTAAAGCATGGTGTTTTTACTGAATCATTAGGTACTGCTGGTATTCTAACAGTTGTCATGGGGCTACGTGCTTTCAAATCTGGACAGTTTAAATTCATGCCTGCTGGTTTGATTTTCATGTTAAGGTAAAATGGTTTATTGACAACAAATAGTGTGAGATTTCAAGCTGCATTTCTTTAAAGAATTTCACTGAGAATTGTTTCCGTCTACTAAAATATTATTTTTTTGGTTATAGTATGATGCAAGTTGGTCATCTTCTCTACAAAAGCAGAAGCTAGTTAATGCACTACAATTTAATGCCAAGCATAATTTTCAAACCATTGTTTGTAATTTAATCAAAATAAACAAGATGTAATTACAAGTTTGACTTTCTTAATTTGGAACATAGCTCCTATGAAGAAAATATATCTAGAATGCTAAGTCAGGGGGGGTGATTGAAGCTATCTTTGCAGGTCTCCCAGGCCTTTAAAGAATTGTGTGTTTTGATTGGATAAATTTTGCACAAAAGTTTCTGTTATTAAAAAGATTTTCTTTATGCACGCAAAGCAATAATTTTTGATTTCCTGCAATTTGATTGGATGCCTAAGCTTTTTACGATATCTGCCCTGAGCAGAAGTGGTCTTTTTTAGCAATGTTTTTGTTTACGAAGGGAAATGAAAATTTTTGAAATTGATGTGTGATTTGCATCTTATCAAGTAAAATATGCGACAAAAACGTATTTGTCTAATGAACAGCGGAACAGAAAAGGCGGAATGAAACCCGGCTTAGCTTTTACTAAATACTGTCAAAATCAATATTATGACAGTGGCATGTCCACCTTAAATAACTAACTCGTTGCTGTTTGACTTGAAGAAAAGTAAATCAGAGCAGGAAGATAGTTTAATTATTCATGATTTACTGGGTTTGCTTGTCACGAAGTCAAGTGAGGAACATTTTCTTCTATTTTATGCATGGAAAATGATTTGATAGTGAGACAAACTAATCCGATACATTGAGCGTAGTTCTTGGTAGGAATAATCGTAAACCATGCTATGATGGTTACCTAGGTGATCGAGTGTTGGACACAAGAAAGATTGGATGGCACGCTATTTGGTAATGTATAAGTGCCCAGGGAGGCGGTTCCCTATTCATTAGGTTACCTTTCGCCTCAGGTACTCACATTGCTTTGCAGGCGGCTCATCGTTTAAAGGTTTCTTTAAATTTGTTTCGTGAAGCGTAGTACGTAGGTAGATGTTCGAAACAGTTTTCTTTCATGGCACTGATCAATAGGAAGATTTAGCTAAGGGTGCGCACTAATTGGGCAGCTGAAAGCGGCGTAAAAATGGCGTTCACGAATGTTTCCGTTTTTTTACAAGATGTATATTTCTTAACTCCCCTCTTTCAACAACCTTAAAAAAATAAAAGCAGTCTGATGAAATTTGCCAATGTATATATTAATGTAAATAACTTTCTTTGCAAAGACAACTAATAAAAATATATAAGGTGATCCTAGGTAATGTGCACCCACAGACTGGATTTTGTTGTATGTTTGGATCTCTGAGAGTTTTCCTCGGGCAATACGCTGTTTCCCCCATCTTTAAAGAATCGCTCTAAAGAATAATAAAAAAGTGTGGCCATTTCTGGGACCTGCAGTAGGGATTGTATGGTTATCGAGTTGGATTCCCTACCCACTTGAAGAAACATGAGTAGAGATTGCTGGATTTTCTGTTCGTGTTCAATTTAACATTCCTCAAAAATTCATACTTTTGGAGTCAGGTGCATGACCATTAGGACAATCAAAAAAACAATTGTAGGATTATTCTCTTGGCAACATCATAATTACCCCTAGCCACTGAGACAATCTTGTTGGTATTTTCAAAACTCAATAATAATTTGCTGGTAATAACACGAAAGAAATGCAACATCTTGAATTTACTGCAAGAAACATAACTTGTCCTATAATAAAGTACAATCATCACAACATTGGTATTTATCATTATAGAAATACAAGAGCAACAATATCGTAGTTATACATTTATCAAACTTGAATACGGAAATGCATACATTACTGATCTGTCACATTCATGAAAAGTGATGTTCGAGAAAAGTAATAATTCATGGCAATTTCGTTGGTGTCATTGATTTTTGGTTTGCTTAACCGCTGTGTATAATGTTATATTAATATTTGTGGGTGAATATCCCTGCGAAAACTTAATGTTAATGACGACCGTTTACTATGACAACCATTTACAATGACGACTCGTAGCTGATAAGTCAAAAATATTCAAGTAAACTATATTTTTATACACGGACCCTAAACTGGTCTTATGCATGGTATAACGGATTTATACCTCATTATTGTTTTTCATTCATTATTTGTAATTGAACACGTTATAGAATATTTATCACTTTTGAATGTTGATAGGCGGAGATTATAGACAAAAGAAACATGTTCGTCATTAAATGCAAATAACAATTGACTATTGGTAAGTTGTATTATACAAATCAATCAGCAGCAATAAATTTTTATCCAGACTTGAAAATTAAGCAGGCTTTATCTTGTTACAAAGTCAGAAAAATGGAGCTAAACACTTATATTTTTAATGCAAACATTTGAACAAAAGACCCTCTACTCCTTTTTTCTTCGTTATTCCTTCCTTCTTGCATTGGAGAGCAAGCGTTTTTTTGAAATTTTACAGAGACAACAAAAAATCTATAGTTGGGGGGGGGGGCAGTTATTCTTATATTCATAGTCACAGTCCTTAAAAATACAATTGACTTCAAAAGAAAGTTATCAGGCTAAACACGCTATATGAATATTTGCTCCCCCCGTAAATTATCGACGTTCTGGCCTCCCTGAAAATATATACGTTGCATACGATTCACCAAAAATCAGAAAGAAAGTTCCATTGACGAGCAACGTGATTCGGCCATGAAATTTATTTTCAAGTTTAATATAGAAGCAAGTACGTATGTAACATATTTCACTGTGCTTTACCTGTTCAAATTTCTTTTAGCAACTGCAATCAATGACGTACACTATTGTTAAAAAATAGGTGCACTATGCGTACATGTGGCAAATATCGTAGGTGATACTTATACTAAGATTTGCTGTACAAAACTACGAACTTTATTGGTGATGCTTCTTGTTATACAATACAATGAGTCACAACGTCAAATCACAATGAAAATAACTAAATATAACTAACAACCCCCACCCAACATCCAAGAATGAACCAGGAGTAGTAAAATTTACATTAGTTTGGTAAACTTCATGTTTTGAATACTTGATTCTCATTTTAAGGCAGTCCTATCTTAACTGAAAAACGCTTTATTATGTAATATGCAAGATCTTGTTTTAATTACAAAAATTGCTATGATTATCAAGTGTAAGCTGCGTGAAATTATGTGCAAAAGTATTCCGAAATAGGTGGCAGAAGTCTATTTTAGACTACGTCGAGTTTTTGTAAAACTTCTTTTCTAAATGAGAGAGCGAGGGAACTCTCTAATTTAGTTAGAATATTGCAAATTCTAATTTATGTGCGTACTATAGTGTTAGTGTATTCTAGATATTTATACTTGATCATCTGCAAACACCGATCAAAGAATTAAAGACAAAGATTTTGTCTTTCTAAATAATCCTTAAACGAGTAAAAATAATTTCTTACACTTACCGTAAAAAACCATCCCCATCAAAGGCTACGTTGTGACCATCGTAGGCTACGTCGTTCTAACAGAGACACAAGCAACAAAATTGTTAGATTTGATGGAAAAAATAACAATTACAGCCTTGACTTCCTCTTCTTGCATCTTCTCGTCCTCCGTATCTGAAAAATACTGAACAACAAGTTAGTGGCATGAAAAACAAACAAAAATAGGAAAAGAAAGAAACAGAAACATACCGCAGGCACAATCCGCATCTGCTGCCATGTATCACTGTAGGAATAATTGTAAAATACAATCATGAGAAACTGTTGAAGTTCGAGTATTTCGTAAAACCAGTGTTTGCAGATGATGTTGTTAAAATTATTGTCGAAACTCCTACTTTACGATAGTTAGCAGAAGACAAGCGTAAACTTTAAACGCTTGCAATGAAGGCTTACTACAATGTTAACTTGAAATTGTTGTCAGACATTTCAAAGAACCTTATCAGAAAATGTTTGTGTTCACTATGTTTCAACTGCCATGAAGACAATGTTATATCATCCCTCAATGTTATAACAGTGTTAACCTTGAAAACTTTTTAGATTGATACCGTAATCATTTCAACATCAAATAGACCAAATATAATCGAAAAATTTTGCAATACTCTGCCAGCATATTGCAATTTCTTTTTGTAACTTTAATAAGTAAACTGTAAATTAAATTTCGTTTTTAAATGCTTCATGCAAGATCCTAACATTTAAACGTTCAGAAGAAGCACCTCCATATTAACATGTAAACCAACATGTTGAATGATTTGTGCTAACTTCTATAACATTACTCAATGGTATCGAAGAGCTCGATGCAGGCAAGACATCCCTTTAATCCTAAATCTTCTAATTATTGCTAACATCGTTATCAGGGTATACAAATAGACTCGAAATATAAAATGAAAGCCATATTTCATAGAGGTATAATTCTCTGCTGGTCGTTCCAAAGAAATTGATATCGAGAGTGAGAAAGGATGTTTTGTGTCAAAGGATAATCTACTTCTTGTTTTTCAACATCTTGAAAAGGACTTTATAATCTAGAAATATAGAATGAAGATATCATCACATTAACGACTAAATATGTCCGTTATGAATGTTAAACGTCATAGTTTTTGTCTTGTTGATCCGTTCTTATTTTAAGAGTTTTGTGTAATATAACTCATTTTCGCTACCATCTTTCTTCTTTATCTTCTCAACCGTTCATGTTTTACTCTCCATCTTGCATACACACATGATAATATCATGACAGCAAAAAAATACTTAAGTTCACAAATTGAAATAATTAAGGCACAGCAAAGTGCCGAAAATTTATCAAACAAAGACAATAAATAGAAAACATGGAGGTTTAGTTTTGACGTAAACACAAGCATCAGCAAGACTAAGCATAAGCCGAATAATGAACAAAGGGAAATTTCTTTTTGTTTGTCTTCTTAGGTCTCACGAGAATAAAAAAACGAGGTTTCTCATCTATGTTATCATTAAAACTCAAGGTTTCCCACTTGTCTAACTACTAAAACTTAAGATTTTCCACCTATGTATTTTACCAGTGGAAACCAGACATTGATGACCTTAGTTTCTAGCTGTAGACCGATAGGCATTACAATTTACAAATACCAACTTTTGAAAACAATGCTACAACGTTAACCTTACCACCACTTCTTTAAAATTTTAATTTAAGTATTACAATCACCTAGATATTCCGAATGATCCATCAATTATTATCATTCTCCTCCTTTTGGAATTAACACAGAGCTTCTTTTCAAACAAACTAACAACCATGGAATAATTTCATCTACAGCCCATCTCTTCAAAATATACCGAGTGCATCATTTGACCTAACGTCACTACCAAGAGCTTTCCCAACTTTTTATTAACACGAAGAAAATCTTGACTTCTACATCTAGACATCCTCACTCAACAAACATTAAACAGAAAACAGCACGTGTGCAAGTTGTTCAAAAATATTTTATACCTATCTACCTACATGATCAGAGTATTTGATTGGTTCAGAGTGCAACGAAAAACAATACACTACAAAAATGATAAATCTAAAGAGCGAGAGATATTGTTTCATTAACCAAATTTAAAACACATTCATATAGGTGGTGTGCGACCATTCCCCTGGGAACGAGGGAGCAATGATAAGGAAAATACAAGTTAATCATAAAACATGGTGGCCATGACGTAACTTGCACACCAAAGGCTTTAATTTGTTAACCTCGACGTATTTATTGAGAACTATGCGTGTAAACTTAAGATCTTTAATTATTTCGAAAATTACGGTACGTTGTTTATGCTACATCCAGTCCAGAAAGCTCAAAGACTATTCGATTATATCGAACTAAATTAGTTATAGTTCGGATGTTTTTTCTTTGAGTTACTGAATATAAAACGATTAGCTAGTCTATTTGTCTTACAAATTGAAATTACAGTCCAAGATCAGTTTCATCTAAATTCGGGATCAGATGGTAAATCTTGTGATTAGGATTAAAACATATCTTATCAAAGAGTTTACTTGTCATATAATCTTTTCGTTCGTGTAACGTGCTTAAGTCGCACTTTTTAAGGGCATCTTCAGCTGATAATTTCTTCTCTAAATGTCGTCATATAGCCACAAAGCTTAGTGTTAGATAGAAAACAGTATATGAATAGAATACTCGGATTAAATACAACATAATTTCATGTAGTTTTATCAGATAAATTGACATCTGTACAAGCAGCATACTTTATCTCCATGATATGTATTTGTTTTAGTCAGTGACGTAGCCAGCCTGGGTATTTGGTTTTGCTATGTAATTTCATATCATTAGTGTTTCTTTAGAAATCTATTGTTTTTACAATGAGTGAACATCTAAACTTTCTATGCATTTTAAAAAGAGATTGGACTCGTCTCCAACCCCTGAGGGCTTGGTAGCTCAACAGGTAGAGCGGCAGACAAGTATCCCGAAAGTGCGAGTTCAAATCTCGTCCAAGTCACATATTTCTCATGTGCATATAAAAACCATGTTAGGATTAATATTAAATATTTACATAGCACAATGAAATTTGCGGGCTGGCTGGTTACACCACTGGTTTTTATGCTGATAAGCATTGCTGTAAAAGTTTCAAACATTAGCGATAATTTACAGAAGAAATACGTCACATTTCTAATGCATTGAGAAGTTCAGATTTTAAATATGATGACGATATGGAGGAACCGCTTGCTTGTACATCAGACAGTATTGTTGGATCCCAGTTGAAATGAAGGATTGCAGCTGGAACCTAACAAGATAATATGACAAAAAACACGAAGTTATAATTGATAAAAAAAAGCCAGCCAACAATACGTGTGAAACTCACACAGAAAAAAATACTTTTTCTGAAACAATAACATACAACATAATATAATAATCAGTGGCATAGTGAGCATTCCAGTTTTATCATGCTTATTACAATCAGCGCATTATCATTGTACAGTTGCTTTTAAAGTGAGTAAACACATATTTTGCAAATCTGCGGGCTGGCTACGCTAGTTACAAATACACAAACTTTATCATAGCACTAACTTAGAATCATAATAAATGAACAATGTAAATTTAATTCTTAAAAAATTCTAGTTTTATTGTCAGTGAATTCCATGTTTATGCACGAGAAATAGAGATTTGAGCTTTGCTTAAAATGTCAAACAACAAATGCTACATTGAAAGAAGGTGTTTCACTCATGGTAATACAATGAATTTAAAAATCAATTGCATCTAAATACATTTTTAAGTGTAGCTAAGTAGACAGGATTAGGAGCTGTTCACATGAGCCCGGTAGCCGGATTCTATGCTCTGACTAGCAAATTTACAAAACCTTTAAAATGAAAGCAAATAATTTAGCCTGATTTTAAAATTACGACAAAAATGACTTATGACGCTTGTAAGAAATTGTTTCAAGTTTTGCGCTTTAAGTTTTTACTGCTTTCAATGACTCAAAATCATTTCACGCCTCGCTGAATCCCGGTTACGCGGGCTCATGTGAACAGCTCCTTAGACTTAATGGACTAACCAATCCCAGCTCTTCAAAGCTCGACTCATCCTGCGTCAGCTGACCACCACCGGGCTCAGATAAGATGAAAGGCATCCAATCAGTTTGCAGTTGTTCTTTCACGAACATCTTCAAGCTGGAAGCTTTCTCGCGTGCGTGAAATGTTCCTACGTGTGGAAAAGATAACATTTCTTACAAAAGAGCAAGTTTCATATAAAGATGTACATCATCATTACTTTTTCAACAACTAGTTCTCGTCAGCCGCAAGTTTTGGTCTTGCTAGGTAAGTTCCTGAATAAAATTATTCATTTCACGATTGTAGATTGTCTAGGTTATTGGAGACCTGAGAAAGAAAGGCTAGACTGCAGTTTAGCGGACACCCGAAGCGCTTGTATGCGGAGCGCAGGCTCATTTTCGGTTAGGGTTATAGGGTTAGGTTTGGGTCAGCATCTCTAAGGTGTCCGCTAAACTGCAAGACTTTTGGTGTTCATGTAGATATTTGACTGACGTAGCAGAATTCAGCTTCAGAATTAAGTGAGGAATACCACAGTCAGCATCAACAACAAAAGTCGTTCCCAGGACTTCTCCAACCTGAACGACCTGCAACCGTGTTAACGATATCTTCACACACATGTAACAAACATTCACAACAAAGTCGTTCCCAGGACTTCTCCAACCTGAACGACCTGCAACCGTGTTAACGATATCTTCACACACATGTAACAAACATTCACAACAAAAGTCGTTCCCAGGACTTCTCCAACCTGAACGACCTGCAACCGTGTTAACGATATCGTCACACACATGTAACAAACATTCACAACAAAGTCGTTCCCAGGACTTCTCCAACCTGAACGACCTGCAACCGTGTTAACGATATCTTCACACACATGTAACGTTACTCACGGATTCACAACAAAAGTCGTTCCCAGGACTTCTCCAACCTGAACGACCTGCAACCGTGTTAACGATATCGTCACACACATGTAACAAACATTCACAACAAAAGTCGTTCCCAGGACTTCTCCAACCTGAACGACCTGCAACCGTGTTAACGATATCTTCACACACATGTAACGTTACTCACGGATTCACAACAAAAGTCGTTCCCAGGACTTCTTCAACCTGAACGACCTGCAACCGTGTTAACGATATCGTCACACACATGTAACGTTACTCACGGATTCACAACAAAAGTCGTTCCCAGGACTTCTCCAACCTGAACGACCTGCAACCGTGTTAACGATATCGTCACACACATGTAACAAACATTCACAACAAAAGTCGTTCCCAGGACTTCTCCAACCTGAACGACCTGCAACCGTGTTAACGATATCTTCACACACATGTAAATGCAAGTTAATCATTTAACATGGTGGCCATGACGTAACTTGCACACCAAAGGCTTTAATTTGTTAACCTCAACGTATTCATTGAGAACTATACGTGCAAATTTAAGATCTTTGATTACTTCGAAAATTACGGTACATTGTTTATGCTACATCCAGTCCAGAAAGCTCAAAGACTATTCGATTATATCGAACTAAATTAGTTATAGTTCGGATGTTTTTTCTTTGAGTTACTGAATATAAAACGATTAGCTAGTCTATTTGTCTTACAAATTGAAATTACAGTCCAAGATCAGTTTCATCTAAATTCGGGATCAGATGGTAAATCTTGTGATTAGGATTGAAACATATCTTATCAATGAGTTTACTAGTCATATGATCCTCTTCGTTCGTGTAACGTGCTTAAGTCGCACTTTATAAGGGCATCTTCACTTGATAATTTTTTCTCTAAATGTCATCATATAGCCACAAAGCGTAGTGTAAGATAGAAAACAGTATACGAATACAATATTCAGATTAAATACAAGATAATTTCATGTAGTTTTATCAGAGAAATTGACATTTGTAGAAGCAACATACTTTATCTACATGATATGCTCTTGTTTTAGTTAGTGACGTAGCCAGCCTGCGTATTTGGTTGTGCTATGTAATTTCATATCATTAGTGTTTCTTTAGAAATCTATTGTTTTTACAATGAGTGAACATCTAAACTTTCTACGCATTTTAAAAGAAGAGATTTGACTCGTCTCCAACCCCTGAGGGCTTGGTAGCTCAACAGGTAGAGCGGCAGACAAGTATCCCGAAGGTGCGAGTTCAAATCTCGTCCAAGTCACATATTTCTCATGGGCATATAAAAACCATGTTAGGATTAATATTAAATATTTGCATAGCACAATGAAATTTGCGGGCTGGCTGGTTACACCACTGGGTTTTATGCTGCTGAGCAATGCTGTAAAAATTTCAAACATTAGCAATAATTTACAGAAGAAATACGTCACATTTCTAATGCATTGAGAAGTTCAGATTTTAAATATGATGACGATATGGAGGAACCGCTTGCTTGTACATCAGACAGTATTGTTGGATCCCAGTTGAAATGAAGGATTGCAGCTGGAACCTAACAAGATAATATGATAAAAAACACGAAGTTATAATTGATAAAAAAAAGCCAGCCAACAATACGTGTGAAACTCACACAGAAAAAAATACTTTTTCTGAAAGTATAACATACAACATAATATACTAATCAGTGGCATAGTTAGCATTCCAGTTTTATCATGCTTATTACAATCAGAGCATTATCATTGTACAGTTGCTTTTAAAGTGAGTAAACACATATTTTGCAAATCTGTGGGCTGGCTACGCTAGTTACAAATACACAAACTTTATCATAACACTAGCTTAGAATCATAATAAATGAACAATGTAAATTTAATTCTTAAAAAATTCTAGTATCATTGTCTGTAAGTTCCATGTTTATGGACGAGAAATAGAGATTTGAGCTTTGCTTAAAATGTCAAACAACAAATGCTACATTGAAAGAAGGTGTTTCACTCATGGTAATACAATGACTTTAAAAATCAATTGCATCCAAATACATTTTTAAGTGTAGCTATAAAGACAGGATTACGAGCTATTCACATGAGCCCGGTAGCCGGAATTCGGCGAAGCGTTAAATCATTTTGGCAAATGGAAAAGATTAAATAATTCACAACAAAAAACTTATTTGAGCGATTTCTCTATGCTTTGACTTGCAAATTTACAAAACCTTTAAAATGAAAGCAAATAATTTAGCCTGATTTTAAAAATACGACAAAAATGACTTATGACGCTTGTAAGAAAAGATTTCAAGTTTTGCGCTTTAAGTTTGTACTGCTTTCAATGACTCAAAATCATTTCACGCCTCGCTGAATCCCGGTTACGCGGGCTCATGTGAACAGCTCCTTAGACTTAATGGACTAACCAATCCCAGCTCTTCAAAGCTCGACTCATCCTGCGTCAGCTGACCACCACCGGGCTCAGATAAGATGAAAGGCATCCAATCAGTTTGCAGTTGTTCTTTCACGAACATCTTCAAGCTGGAAGCTTTCTCGCGTGCGTGAAATGTTCCTACGTGTGGAAAAGATAACATTTCTTACAAAAGAGCAAGTTTCATATAAAGATATACATCATCATTACTTTTTCAACAACTAGTTCTCGTTAGCCGCAAGTTTTGGTCTTGCTATGTAAATTCCTGAACAAGATTATTCATTTCACGATTGTAGATTGTCTAGGTTAGTGGAGACCTGAGAAAGACAGGCTAGACTGCAGTTTAGCGGACACCCGAAGCGCTTGTATGCGGAGCGCGGGCTCATTTTCGGTTAGGGTTATAGGGTTAGGTTTAGGTCAGCGTCTCTAAGGTGTCCGCTAAACTGCAAGACTTTTGGTGTTCATGTAGATATTCGACTGACGTAGCAGAATTCAGCTTCAGAATTAAGTGAGGAATACCACAGTCAACATCAACAACAAAAGTCGTTCCCAGGACTTCTCCAACCTGAACGACCTGCAACCGTGTTAACGATATCTTCACACACATGTAACAAACATTCACAACAAAAGTCGTTCCCAGGACTTCTCCAACCTGAACAACCTGCAACCGTGTTAACGATATCGTCACACACATGTAACGTTACTCACGGATTCACAACAAAAGTCGTTCCCAGGACTTCTCCGACCTGAACAACCTGCAACCGTGTTAACGATATCGTCACACACATGTAACGTTACTCCCGGATTCACAACAAAAGTCGTTCCCAGGACTTCTCCAACCTGAACGACCTGCAACCGTGTTAACGATATCGTCACACACATGTAACGTTACTCCCGGATTCACAACAAAAGTCCTTCGTCATTCATTTCTTTAGAAATCAATTGTTTTCACATTAATTGAACAAAAAAGGGCGCTGACGACTGCAGTGCTCTCCACAATGATCAGCTTTACTAGAAGCATACCTTGCAGTATGAAACCGTCAGGAAACTTTACACGAAGTAATGTGAAACGATAAACACGAGTTGTAGCCTCGCGTTCTCTCATAGCACGAGTTCTCAACTGTGCATTTCTTTCTACCTCATCTGACCTGCAAATAAAGAAAAAAAACCAATGATGACGATGTTGGAAACTTGCACTATATTGTATGGATACCAAGATATACGGCCGTCCCGAGAAGATTAATTGGGGGGGGGAGGGTGTTTATTCATATACTGAGTTGTGCCCAACTGATTTCTTTTGAATGTGAATTGCTTAATTCCTTCAGTGAATTGCTTTAAAAAGAAATCAGTCGGATACAACTGAATATATGAATACCCCCCCCCAATTAGCGTTTTAGGGAAGGCCCCGCCTGGGTATTAACGAGAAGGTGAGGTGGATGGAGGGATGCGAGTACAACGTGTTAATCTATACACTTACATCTAACTGGGTACCAACGGGAAGATGGGGTGGATGGAGGGATGCGAGTACAACGTGTTAATGTATACTTTTACATCTAACTGGGTACCAACGAGAAGATGGGGTAGATGGAGGGATGCGAGTACAACGTGTTAATCTATACATTTACATCTAACTGGGTATCAACGGGAAGGTGGGTGGATGGAGGGATGTGGTTAGGGTTAGGGTTAGGGTTATGGTTAGGGTTAGGGTTAGGGTTATGGTTAGGGTTAGGGTTAGGTTATGGTTATGGTTAGGGTTAGGGTTAGGTTAGGGTTATGGTTAGGGTTAGGGTTAGGGTTAGGGTTAGGTTAAGGTTAGGGTTAGGGTTAGGTTTATTTTTTGGAATCCCCGAATAACGCTGCCTACTGGATAATGAGTTTTAAAGCTTATCGAAAAAATCTTGTATTTACTTTCCGAAAATGTAAAAATGAAACTGGTAGCTTTCTGCATTTAAAACTATTTTCAAACGATCCATAAAATACTTTCCAGTGAATAGCACTACGTATACAGGTTTCATGAAAACCTGGATGCATTTCTCAACAATCGATGTAAACACCGAACCTTTCCGTTTGCATGCGTTTTATTTCATCCGTGGTCAAATCAAAAAAGTCGTCAGGAAGGTCCAAAGCTTCGTCAGAGGAGGCAATAGGTCGAAGAATCTAAAATGACACAATTAAATTTTAGTCTAAAGTAAATGGTTTGAGCCCAGGAGTATCGTTACATGTTTGTAAATGTAGATCGTCCAGGTTGGCATAGTCCTGGGAAGGACTATACCTAAATCACACATCACAACTAAAAACATTTCACTTCACACTAATTCCCAATGACAATACACATTTCCTGTACACACAATACAATGACGTAAGAACCAAATAACAAATACAGCTAACCTGACGTTTACTCCTCATTTGACTCTGAAGATGACTACCGCTAAGGTTGTCGAAACGTCAGTCAACAACAACAAAAACAGTCCTTCTCAGGACTATACCAACCTGACGGAGATTTTTGTGTACCATAGTTATCGCTATAATACAAAGGGGTATTTGTCATGAAACTCAGGTCCTAGGCTTCTCCACCAAAAATTTATCTAAACTCTTTTTGAATTTGCAAAACAACTTATGCCAGCAATACAGTGCAGTAGAACTAAATTTATCAGAAGGGGGGTTTCTTGACGTTTTTGTCAACAGTGCCCTTTTAAAATTAGAGGGTAGAAGGTGGGGAGCTCCTCCCCCCCCTTCTACAGCACTGTAGTAGTATTGAACTAAGAATGATCAATATGGTTTGAATATGGGTGTGACATGTTCCACTCAAGACAATATATCAAATTTAAATCTTAAATCTGTCAATATTGGTTAATAATGTAACAATTATATGATAATGATGACATGTGAGCGTACAAAATGAACAAATACGATTACATGTTCCACAGGAAACAAAGTTTCAAAATTTTATCATTACACCCACATATTTATTCTATTTCAATGATGAACATATCAAAAATACTTATTTAAGACAATCTTCATTGGTTACAAACCTTCAGTGATCTGTCTAATTTCGGTCTGTTGGCCTCACATGCGACAAGAATGTCCTTCATTACAGTTAGTTTTTCCACAACAAGAGTGGAATCACCCTCAAGCTGGAAACACATCTCATTGGGGTCATCTGAGATCATACACACACAAGTTCGAAAAATAATTGAAAATATTTAATAAAAATTTCTTTCATGTTTGGCACCTACCAGGCAATGGTTTCTCTGTAAAACCACAACTGAGGAGGAATTCTGTGCTGCCAATAACAGGCTTCACTTTTTCTTGAAATATCTTATTTCCTTGCTTGATTCGCCGATACTTTTCTTCACCGGGATTCTTTAAAATATTGTCCAGATATCTAGTATGCAGAAGGAAAACATAGTTCTAATTAAAATATCGAACCCAACTAGAATAGAAGTCCATGGTGATATCATTCTAAGCAAAGTTTTTTTCACAGTACCTGCACAATACGTCAATACATGCATCAATCTTTCTCTGATCTCTATTCAGAGATTTTATCATATTTACTGGAGTGAGAGTTGGATCAGTTTTATAAGCCTAGGGAAAATAGACCTGAATTACAAGGGATCTATCAATAAACCTAGCAAAACTAACAACAAAAATAAATGAAAAGAAGACAAAAACCTTTCCAAGACATTCTGCCATATGTGCACGTATATGTTGCCTGGGATAACTCGCAAAGCAAAATGGACAAACAAAGTAAACACCGCTGACTGCAAGGACTGCAGCAGCATCTTTCTTGATGACCTTAACATATACATATGTAATTGTGACCAGGAATATACCGGGCGGAAAGCAAATTCTTAATATAAATATCAGAGCCCAGCAAAGTGCTTTTAAAAGAGCCATTTAATACAAAATAACATATAAAAAGAAATATTTATTTAGAAGTGTGAATAAATATTTCTAAATAAGCACTTCTAAATAAATATTTCTTTTTATATGTTATTTTGTATTACATGGCTCTTTTAAAAGCACTTTGCTGGGCTCTGATATTTATATGTAATTGTATTGGGCTTTTAGACTCAGTGCTTCAAGCCTTATTCAGAGTATAGAAAGTTATTTACAGTTATTTCTATAAAGTAAATGGTTTTAACCCGGGAGTATTGTTACATGTTTGTAAATGTAGATCCTCCAGGTTGGTATAGTCCTGAGAAGGACTGTTTTTGTTGTTGTTGACTGACGTTTCGACAACCTTAGCAGTAGTCATCTTCAAAGTCAAATGAGGAGTAGTCAACAACAACAAGAACAGTCCTTCTCAGGACTATACCAACCTCGACGATCTACATTTACAAACATGTAGTTATTTCTATAAAAGAAAAACAACTGTAAATAACTTTCAACATTCCGAAGATGGCTTGAAGCAGAAAATTTGCAAAATCTAAAAGATATATTTATTTTAAACACAAAATATTTTGACATAAAAAGTTGATGCCATTTTAAAAGTCAACGGAGAGTGGCACACCCTTGAATTCATCTTTAATGAAAATAGAACTAAAGCTTATTCTAAAAGAGTAATAAAATATTTCAAAAATAAAAACATAAAGGGTCACCATGTTTACCTCACCTCCTTTTCAGTTTTGCTTGATGACGTGCACAAAATTTCATTTTTCATTTCATTTCGAACTACATTTTTAAACAAACCACCAGTGAGATAAGATACACAACAATTTCATTTCTAAAAGGCAAATCAAACTCCTCTTTATGAATACAGCAATAACTATACCATGATTTTTAAGTTGATTTGTTTGTGATTTCCAGGTTGTTGTTGCCGACTGGGGTCGTCTGGTCTGTTTGTCTTGCTGCTGAAACCGTGCGATGGCAGCCTAGCAATAAAAACGAAACCAATTTCATTTCCTTTCAAAACTTCATGTGCTGCAAACATATACAGGTGAGAATCATCAATAACACTATTAAACATGATCATGCTAATAAAATAGTTGAACATAAATAAAGATGAAAGGAAAACTTCAAACCTTACAGGTGAGTCGGAATTATTATTGATGTGAAAGTAAACATTAATTTAATCAATTTGTAATGAACATTTTCGTTGGATACGATCTTATTATACCTCCTACAAAGGCCTATATACTAAATTCATTCTCCTAGCTTTCATAAAGTGAGATGCTGCCTCAAAATTTCAAGAAAGGAGGAGTTTATTAAAAACATCTCGTTGAACTATGGTTGTACCTGTCCGGCTTTTCGAGCATCTGAGCTCGGTTCCTGTCGCTCTTGTACAGAAGGATCCGGTCGATTCTGTTTTGACGATGTGGAGCTTTCATTCAAGGTATGTCCTTCACCTGCTCTGTGAAATTTCACGGCCAATTTTGCTTTCTGAAACAGTTTGTTCATAACTCTATTCATAAAATTTCGCCTACAAGTAGAATGTAGAAAGGTCAAACAAAGGTTTAAGTTACGGTATTTATAAGATGAACCTCAAATTTATAAACAAGCCCCAATCAATAAGTTCAGCATAAGACAAAATAGTAATACCTACTGCAAGCATTTATCAAACCCTTTCGTTTTCACTATTTCCTTAAAATAAGTAAAATCATTTTATTTGATAATATATATTTTCATCGCTTTAATATTGTTTCTAATAGTACACAAGTAGCCCACAGCAGTACATGGTCAGCGTCAGTTCATTATCATCATTACATCATGTAGGTGAATCGTAATGTATTTCTTTTTGTCTTTCTTTTTGGCTGCCTTTGTCTACTTTTAACGTTTGTATAAGAGGAAGTTTTTTTAGTCAAAATAATATTACGCGCCGTTTGTAACAACCTGTTCCTATCTGGACTTTTTGAATACAAGAAATTATAAGAGCATTCCGCGACTTCGGAGTTATATGGTCAGCGTGAGTTAATTTCTTTTCTTTAATGTCGTGCCTCATGTAAGAAAATCTTAGAATAATGGCCACCAAAAACGATGGGCTTCTTCAACAAGCAGATAGCGTATGGAAAATGCTGGATGATCTTGCTGATACAGACCCAGACGGTTATAGAAAATTTATAGATAATATTATGAAAGAGGAGAAAGAATACTGGAAACCCCCAGAACCGGTATTTTGTTTAAAGACTGTCAAGGTTTGTGGTATTTTACCTTTTGTTAACGTATTTTTTTCGTAACCAGGCAACGACATCGTCTATGCTATAAACGACATATAAACGCATGGCTGAACCCTTAACCTAGCACAGAGTTTAATAACTTTGATTAAAATATGACTAACATTAGAGGCACTATGCCATTGCTATCCCAACAATATGTTTTCTCATTCTAGAACTATGGTTTCTAGCACACAGTCACAGACTTACAAATACAATCACAGCAACATACACACATATCCACTAAGCAACCTCACTTAATGGTGACTATAGGTCCATAGGCATCAGCTGGTTGTGTTCAGTAGTGGAGCCAATATACTTATTTAATACTGCAAAAACAACATATTTCTAAAGAATTTAATAATAATCATGACCTGAAATTTTCATAGCAGGACTGTAACTTTTGGGCTTGGTATTAAGCTATTGTGTTTTGAATTCACATTACAAAATAAATATATAATGTATAGAATCCCAATCCATAATCACATCAATTTATTTCAGATTGCAGAATCCAGCAATCCAGATGTATTCATCAACATTTGCAAATGGGAGATGGTATCAAAACCGAAGGATGGTGAAGCAAGAATTTCAATAAAGGCTAGCACTTTGAGATATGTCCCTGAGTCAAAGTACTCTGTAATGGACGTGTGTCTACACAATGATGTTATTGGCTCATCCAACAAAGATGTTCAACAATGGAAATATATTTCGTACTTGGTGTTAGATTACATTGAAGATAAGATGGATGTAAAATTATCAAGGGAATATAAGATTTTGAGCATCAAATACAAGGGTGATATTAAAGTACTGAAAAGATTCTTGTTTGGCCAGAGCTTTTTTGATACGTCTACACCGAAAGAAATTGATCAATCATCAAGTAAAAGCAGTAACAGCTCGATCTTGGATGATCTTTCAAATGTGATGAAAAATGTGAAATGTACAGGACAAAATGGTGCACCACCAACCATTGAAGTCCCTCTACAGAAAAACAGCAGGAACTCTTTGATTCAAGAAATACCAACAAAAAAACACAAAAACAAAGATGGAATGAAGCCGATTCCAATTCATTTCATCAAAGTGTGTGCCGCATCGAATGAAATCCCCAAATGCATTGTGGTACAAGTGGAACTACCGAAGGTTAAGTCAGGGACAGAATGCGATCTTGAAGTATCTAAGGTGGTATGATTTGATTTCTGGTTACAATATTGGATAATAACAAACATTTGATTGTAATTTCTTATAGAGTGATCTCTTGTTGATATCACCTTACTACTCCAAATTATTTCTACCCTTGCCGCATGAAGGAAATCAGGAAGAAACAACATCATTCTTCAACAAAAAAACACACAAACTGACTGTTAAAATACCTGTAAATGATAGTTAATAACAGATGAACTTAAGCTTTCACGTGTATACATACATTTTCACTCCTCATTGTTTCAAGATATAATTCATCTGATTCAACAGGTAATTACTCTAATTGTAAATATATCTTGTGCGTCTAATGTAAATTGTCAGTTTGACTGTTTGTCTTTTAAATTTATATTGCAATTGTTGTATGAAATTAAATATGACATTAAACCTTAGATAGCAATCCCGAATCTGGAGCAGATGTTTTCACAAGTTTTTGAACTTCTTTGAAATTGGGATGTTTTGCATCACCAAGTAATGCAAACATGACGGATTCACTTGTTGTAACAAATGCTCCGCTGTCACGGAGACGCTAGACAAAATAAAAGCATTTTGTCAACATGATCACAGCCAGAAACACAAATTTCCATAGACGGATTTACTGGGTGGGGAGGGTTGTAGGGGGTACCACCCCCTCAGTATCACATTTCTTCCCTGAAATAAATTGTCCACCTCTCTAAGAAGCATTATAAACTCCCCCAATTTTAGCAAAACAAATCAGTAGTACAGTTGAACTGAGTTTTTCAGGGAAATATTTCAACTTTCTACACTACCTTCTTAGCTGCTCAAACCTGACTGCTCTAAATTATAAACCCTTTACCAGCTCACCCCCCCCCCTTAAAATTTTTAGCACCACCTTTGTAAAAAGTATGAAAATCTGTCCATGCTAATTCCACAGAGTTAAATAGCTGGAAAATTGCATGAAGCTGTAAGTTCTAAGATGAAAATGACTTTAAAATGATGTAATTATCAATTACTTATCTATAACATTCACCTCGAATGAAAAAAGTCTGTCTGTCATGCTCCGTGCTGAAACACCATCAGCAACAATGTGAACATCATAGTTTCGTTCAAGAAGGTCCAACGCTGTCTGTTGGACACAAACATGTGCCTGTAAAAATTTTCCATAATTTTATGCAACATTTTAAACACATCTAACACCTTTGACATTGTATGTAGTCACCTCAATTCCAAATAGCACAACAGACTTTACATCGCTCAACTCCTGTAATTTCTTTTCCACTTCAGGTATGACCATGGAAAAAACAGTTTTTGGATAAGCTTTTATTTCAGACATGTCAATCTCTTTAACAGTATTACCAAGGCCTTTGGGATACTGGTAAAGTAATGAAATTGATGTTAAAGCTGTTGTTTTAATCAAAAACTCACTGGACATAAAACAGTTGGGTTTTCCAATCAATGCAACAATTGTTCATTAATCCATTGTGGAGTAGAAAAACAACAGTGTGGTTTCAATTACTGAATAGAGCTAGTCATGTACTCTAATGAATTGCCTTGTTTACATTTTGCTGGCAGGCAGTTTTGGCCAAGTGCTTTTAGACAACACTAGCAACAATGGTCAACCTCTATTGGATAAATCTGCCTGCTAGAAAAACAACGCAAGTCATCTATCGAAACTGTTGTATTCTGTAATCACCACTGAGAAATTGTTGTATTCTGAGAAATTGTTGAGAAATTGTTGAGAAATTCTTGAGAAATTTCTGAGAAAATTGTTGAGAAATTTCTCATTCTTGAGAAATTGTTGTATTCTGTAAACTGTTGTATTCTGTAATCACCACTGAGAAATTGTCCGATTCTTTATACAATACAAAGAACAAGAAAAAACATTGTGCAAATGCAAACTTACCTGTTCTGTAGCTATGACAGGAATTCCCATGATCTTCGCAGTTTCAACCTTAAAAAACACACACAGCTGAGTCTCATATTAAATACCCGTACTAATAATCTAATAATACTGAAATCCAGGCCATTGACCATGCTTCGAACTTTTCAAGCTTTCTCACCAAACGTTTGGCAACTTGGATAATTTCAGGAAAATATCGTATGGATTCACGAAATTTCTCTTGAATATCACACAAGAAAAACGCTGTTGTCTTACTAGCCAATTTTCCGACCCTTGGTACGGTGGCAGCCATGGTTTTAAGCTATGGTCAGTACTTTTGTGATATGTATGGCCAAAGCTAGATTCTCATAAAGAACCACCCCCCGGAATTTTCTGAGAGATCGTAGTGGAACCCATTAGTTGCATACTTTATTAAACTTATTACTTGAAGAGAGATTGTTGTATATTTACAGAAATATTGTTATTTGGGTTTTCTATGTAAATGACATGTAAATATTTACGTGTTTACCCACTGTAAAAATTAATGTTTGTAAATGTAGATCGTCCAGGTTGGTATAGTCCTGAGAATGACTGTTTTTGTTGTTGTTGACTGACGTTTCGACAACTTTAGTGGTAGTCATCTTCAGAGCCTTTTGACTCCTTCTCAGGACTCTACCAACCTGGACGATCTACATTTACAAACATGTTTACTTTATTTACTGTAAACACTAATTATATGAAATTACATAGCACAACCAAATACGCAGGCTGGCTACACCACTGACTAAAACAAGTGCATATCATGTACATAAAGTATGTTGCTTGTACAGATGTCAATTTCTCTGATAAAACTACATGAAGTTATCTTATGTTTAACCTGAATATTGTATTCATACACTGTTTTCTATCTTACACTACGCTTTGTGGCTATATGACGTCATTTAGAGAAGAAATTATCAAAATGCCCTTATAAATTGCGACTTAAACACGTTACACGAACGAAGAGGATCATACGACTGCTAAACTTTAATCCTAACCACAAGATTTACCATCTGATCCCGTATTTAGATGAAACTGATCTTGGACTGCAGATTAAGCATAATTTCAATTTTACCCTTTGCAGGGCCGGATTAACCAAATGGCAGAAGGGGCGTGCGTCCACGGGTCCTGTGCATTACTCAGTTCTGATGAATCTGACGGCAAAGATGACACAACTAAAGATGACAGCGATGTCACAACGTGATTCATTTGAATTGTGCATGTACTTAGTCTCAAGATCTCGAACTATTCTAGCATTTTCCTTATCATTGCTCTCTCATTCCCAGGGGAATGGTTGCACACCGCCTATATGAATGTGTTTTTAAATTTGATTAATGAAACAATATCTCTCGCTCTTTAGATTTATCATTTTTGTAGTGCATTGTTTATCATTACACTCTGAACCAATCAAATACTCTGATCATGTAGGTGGATAGGTATAAAATATTTTTGAACAACTTGCACATGTGCTGTTTTCTGATTGATGTTTGTCGAGTGAGGATGTCTAGATGTAGAAGTCAAGATTTTTGCTGAGTTGATGAAAAGTTGGGAAAGCTCTTGGTAGTGACGTTAGGTCAAATGATGCACTCGGTATATTTTGAAGAGATGGGCTGTAGATGAAATTATTCCATGGTTTTTAGTTTGTTTGAAAAGAAGTTCTGTGTTAATTCCAAAAGAAGGAGGATGATAATAATTGATGGATCATTCGGAATATCTAGGTGACAGTAATACCTAAATTAAAATTTTAAAGATTTTATGGTAAGGTCAACGTTGTAGCATTGTTTTCAAAAGTTGGTATTTGTAAATTGTAATGCCTATCGGTCTACAGATAGAAACTAGGGTCATCAATGTCTGGTTTCCACTAGTAAAATACAATAGTGGAAAACCTTAAGTTTTAGTAGTTAGACATGTGGGAAACCATGAGTTTTAATGATAACATAAATGAGAAACCTCGTTTTTTTATTCTCGTGAGACCTAAGAAGACAAACAAAAAGAAATTTCCCTTTGTTCATTATTCGGTTTATGCTTAGTCTTGCTAATGCTTGTGTCTACGTCAAAACTAATCATCCATGTTTTCTATTTATTGTCTTTGTTTGATAAATTTTCGTCACTTTGCTGTGCCTTAATTATTTCAATTTGTGAACTTAAGTATTTTTTTGCTGTCATGATATTATCATGTGTGTATGCAAGATGGAGAGTAAAACATGAACGGTTGAGAATCGCAGAAGATAAAGAAGAAAGATGGCAGCGAAAATGAGTTATATTACACAAAACTCTTAAAATAAGAACGGATCAACAAGACAAAAACTATGACGTTTAACATTCATAACGGACATATTTAGTCGTTAATGTGATGATATCTCCATTCTATATTTCTAGATTATAAAGTCCTTTTCAAGATGTTGAAAAACAAGAAGTAGATTATCCTTTGACACAAAACATCCTTTCTCACCCTTGATATCAATTTCTTTGGACCGACCAGCAGAGAATTATACCTCTATGGAATAATGCGTTCATTTTATATTTCGAGTCGATTTGTATATCCTGCTAACGATGTTAGCAATAATTAGAAGATTTAGGATTAAAGGGATGTGTTGCCTGCATCGAGCTCTTCTATACCATTGAGTAATGTTATAGAAGTTAGCACAAATCATTCAACATGTTGGTTTACATGTTAATATGGAGGTGCTTCTTCTGAACGTTTAAATGTTAGGATCTTACATGAAGCATTTAAAAACGAAATTTAATTTACAGTTTATTTATTAAAGTTACTAAAAGAAATTGCAATACGCTGGCAGAGTATTGCAAAGTTTTTCCATTATATTTGGTCCATTTGATCTTGAAATAAATACGGTATCAATCTAAAAAGTTTTCAACGTTAACACTGTTATAACATTGAGGGATGATATAACATTGTCTTTATGGCAGTTGAAACATAGTGAACACAAACATTTTCTGATAAAGTTCTTTGAAATGTCTGACAGCAATTTCATGTTAACATTCAGTTAACGCTTGTCTTCTGTTAACTATTGTAAAGTACGAGTTTCGACAATAATTTTAACAAGATCATCTGCAAACACTGGTTTTACGAAATACTCGAACTTCAACAGTTTCTCATGATTGTTTTTTACAATTATTCCTACAGTGATACATGGCAGCAGATGCGGATTGTGCCTGCGGTATGTGTCTGTTTCTTTCTTTTCTTTCTTTTGTTTGTTTTGTCATGCCACTAACTTGTTGTTCAGTATTTTTCAGATACGGAGGACGAGAAGATGCAAGAAGAGGAAGTCAGGGCTGTAAGTGTTATTTTTTCCATCAAATCTAACAATTTTGTTGCTTGTGTCTCTTTTAGAACAAGGTAGCCTACCATGGTCACAACGTAGCCTTTGATGGGGACCGTTTCTTACGGTAAGTGTAAGAAATTATTTTTACTCGTTTAAGCATTACTTAGAAAGACAAAATGCTTGTCTTTAATTCTTCGATCGGTGTTTGCAGATGATCAAGTATAAATATCTAGAATACACTAACACTATAGTACGCACATAAATTAGAATTTGCAATATTCTAACTAAATTAGAGAGTTCCCTCGCTCTCTGATTTAGGAAAGAAGTTCTGCAAAAACTCGACGTAGTCCAAAATAGACTTCTGCCACCTATTTTGGAATACTTTTGCACATAATTTCACGCAGCGTAAACTTGATAATCATAGCATTGTTTGTAATTAAAGCATGATCTTGCATATCACATATAAAGCGTTTTTCAGTTAAGTTAGGACTGCATTAAAATAAGACTCAATTATTCAAAACATGAAGCTTATCAAAGTAATATAAATTTTACTACTCTTGGTTCACTCTTGGATGTTGGGTGGTTGTAGATGATATTAAATTTTATGGAAACTGTAGTTTGACAAGATACCTATTTTGTTAGTTACATTTAGTTATTTTCATTGTGATTTGACGTTGTGACTCAGTGTGTTGTATAACAAGAAACATCACCAATAAAGTTCTGCTAGGCAAACCTTAGTATAAGGAATAAAAGGAATAATGAGGAATATATCCATTATATCATGTATAACACCAGTTAAGGGTCCGTGTAAAAAAATATAGTTTACTTGAATATTTTTGACTTATCAGCTACGAGTCGTCATTGTAAACGGTTGTCATAGTAAACGGTCGTCGTTGACATAAAGTTTTCGCAAGGATATTCATCCACAAATATTGACATAACATTATGCACAACGGTTAAGCAAACCAAAAATCAATGACACCGACGAAATTGCCATGAATTATTACTTTTCTTGAACATCACTTTTCATGAATGTGACAGATCAGTAATGTATGCATTTCCGTATTCAAGTTTGATAAAGGTATAACTACGATATTGTTGCTCTTGTATTTCTATAGTGATAAATAACAATGTTGGGATGATTGTACTTTATTATATGACAAGTTATGTTTCTTGCAGTAAATTCAAGATGTTGCATTTCTTTCGTGTTATTAACAGCAAATTATTATTGAGTTTTGTAAATACCAACAAAATTGTCTCAGTGGCTAGGGGTAATTATGATGTTGCCAAGGGAATAATCCTACAATTGTTTTTTTGATTGTCCTAATGGTCATGCACCTGACTCCAAAAATATGAATTTTTGAGGAATGTTTAATTCAATTCGAAAAGAAAATCGTCCAATATCAACTTATGTTTCTTTGAGTAGATCAGGAATCCAACACGATAACCATAGTTTAAAACTTGAATTTTTGAAATTTATAACAGTCTTGTAGGCAATCCTCGGTAGTATAGTGGTGAGTATCCCCGCCTGTCACGCGGGAGACCGGGGTTCGATTCCCCGCCGGGGAGGGGCAACTTTCTTCCTTCTTAAATACTTTTATGACTTCAAGTTCCTGATGTAAAGACGAGTGTGAAATTTATTTTTGTTTCATAAATGAATATCTCTGAATGAAATGTTTCTTTTGATGATGTACCTTAACAATGGAAGACGCTGTGTTTTCAAGAGTTGATGAACATTCCAAAAAACAAAAAGTGCTGTCGTGGTATTCTTTCCATTTAAAAAAGATGCCGTGATGTCATTATAAGCTCGAAAAAGTTTCCTAAATGAAATGTTATTTCTCACTAATTCTAACTCTTTTAACATTCTCATTCGTTTCATCTAAATGACTCAGTAAGATGTGGTTTTGAATCCTCTTTTTCTTGTCCAACAATTAATTTTTGGTTTTCGAAAAGACCACGAAGATTATAGTTTAAAATTGATTTTTTACAGTGTATATCAATCTTGTAGGCAATCCTCGGTAGTATAGTG